AAAAGATAGAAAATTTGGGCATAAATTTTGAAATTTTTTGTGACAGTTTTGAATCAAAATAGACACAAATTGTTCGTAAGTTTAGTACTAATAAAATGTCCATCAGGTATTAATTATGAGGAAAAGTCGGATAAAAACTTAGTAGCGCGAGACATAATTAAAATATTTTTTGGCTATTAATTTACGACTTGACTGTATGTATTTTAATTTTGTGTTTGATTCAATTAATCTCATAAATCTTAAATTTAAATAGTTGATTCAATAAAAATATCATCAATATCAACTTATTTATTCGATTAAAAATAAGATAAAATATGTATCAATGGCAAGTTATATAACTCAATATTTCCCTCATATATCATCACTATCGCTATCGTTAAATGATGACATAAGTAAGGAATCAATTAATCCTTTAATACGTAATAAATTGAATTATATTTTAATTGTCGATTTTAAAAACGATGATAATTTGAAAGAATTTGAAGAAAACGATTCATCAGATGATATTCTTGCATATGTTCAAGAAGACCCAAGCAATAATAATGAAATTAATTCCAAGGAATATCAATCAATTGGAATTATAAAAGGTATATCAGCTTTTATTCATGGGTTTGGAGCAAAATCAAATGAGAGTCAACAAGATCCTATGATACTAAAATTACTGAATGAAACTATAATTTCATACAAGATTGAATTAGAATATACAATTATTTGTTCAATCAATTCTAATGATGACAAAGTAATTAAACAATTGGAATATTTAATAAAACAACAATATTGCTTTTTCAAATTAATAAATAAATCTATAGAAGCAAATATAAAATTGGGAGTAGATGTTGTCAAGAAATTATTAGATGAATGGTGGTCCAAATTCTTGAAATCTTTTAACAGCCAGGAGTATTCGGAAGATATAGATTGGCCAAATAAATTAAATTATTTAGGGTTCAATAGTATACATTTGCCTATACGGTATCGAAAGTCTTCGATCAATATATCTAACAGGTTAAAGGAAGAGTTTAAGAAGTTATTACAAAATGAAGAGTTGATTCCATTGAGCGTTTTGATAAGTTGTTTTTCAAAATCTCCAAAAAAATTGGGACATATATCGTCTCAACTGATCGATGAAAAAATCAATGATGAATCATTAATTGATATTTACAATTTAATGGAAAATGATTTCATAATGCAACAATATACTCATGACAATATAGAAATACCGCAATTGGATGATAGTAGTGGTCCACTAAGTTTGTTAAATCCAATAAACATCACAAATAACTTAGTAGTACAACCTTGGAATTCAGTTTCTGGAATTATAAGAGGAGATAATACAGCTCAAGAAACAACATCAGATGAAAATGACAAAAAGGTTGGTTTTGGGTGGTTATCGATGCCAAGTTTTTTAAGTAAATCGAGTGTTGAAATTAATAATAATAGCATACCAGTACCACAAGAACATGCAAATAATGGACAATTCCTATATGGAATACAAGAAGATGAATCAATCAGGAGAAAAATAGTATACTTGCCAATTAAAAAAGACGATGATGTTGTAGAAGAAGAGTTTCAATTAATAACATTTGTAAAAGATGACATATATATAACACTAATATATTCATCAATCGACACCAACAAATTAGACGATCCAAATTTTTACCACCAACTAACAAATAATGTCTTGATTCCAATGTTAGATGATATAGAACAAGAAGTATTAAATTCAACAATGTCTAAATCTATAAATTCAATAAAAACAATAAATATAAGTTCAAATATTGATTCAGATTTTTTATATACTATATTTGATTTGAAAAACAAGACATATACATCATCAATTCCATTAATTTTAACAAATTTATCACAACTGAAAAATAATCAAATTATAATTAATATACATAATCAATTAATTGAAATTTTAACGGGTTTAGATTTAAATATTCATGAATTTTATCATAAATTTAAATCAAATCAAAATAATGATTGGATGTTTTATTTTATTAAATTTAAAAATAAATTAATAATAATTTTAAAAAATAAAAATAAATTTGTTTCTAGTATTGGAAATAATGGTAATGATTTATTAGTTGAAGAATCAGTAATTAATCAAATTACTGGTGTTGTTTCTGATTATGCAAGTTTGGGATTTTTGGATAATTTAGGTAATGATGTTAAGTATTGGTTAGGTCAAGTGATTGATACTGAATAAACTTTTGAATTTGAATTTATACGTTCAAGTGTTACAATTTACATTCTCTACATTCAATAAATTTAATAATATCAATATACTTAATTAATCAATTCTTTATATACTATTTTTCAACCGTATCACCAGGTTTATAAACCTTAACTACAAAATTTTTATCATTAGTTTTTGCAAACTTACCTTTATTAGCCAAGGTAGCAATATATTTAAGCACTTTTAATTGTCTGAAATGAGCTTGTATGAAAAATTCAGTTAACCAAAGTGGTAAATATCTACTTATCCAATGTAATAAATATGCCTTTTTACCATGATATAAATTAAACCCTGGATCTCTATATCTTGTCAAATCTTTAACTACTTTTTTAGCGTAAGCTTGTGGTGATACACTATCTGTTTTTGTCATTGAAGAAGCAGTTAAAACACTTTCTAAAAAACCAGGAACATTATAAAAAGAATCAATTTGTTCAAATGATCCATTTTCATTAATTTTTGTATCTACTCCTCCAGTAATAACACTATGAACTCTTACACCAAATGGTTTCATTTCTCCATGTAATGTTAATGCATAAGCATCTATAGCTGCTTTTGTTGAATTATAAGCTGATATCCAACTTAATGGAACTCTTGCAGCAACACTTGATGTAAAAACTATTGTACCTCTATCTGCTATAACCAATGGTGCAAATTTTTTTGTAACATTTATATGACCAATTACATTAACTTGAAATAATTTATCTAATTTATCTTCATCTATATCTATAGCTGGTCCAATTATTGCAATACCTGCATTATTATATAATATTGATAATTTCCCATTAGTAATTTCATTTACTTTTTCAAAACATTTATTGATTTGTTCTTTGTTTGTAATATCTAATGGTAATGATATAACTCCATATTTTTCTTCCAATGGTTTTTGATCAACTAGAAATTGTTGAGGTGAACATCCAATTACTTTATAACCTTTTTTTGATAATTCAATTGATAAATCATATCCAATACCTGACGATGCTCCAGTTATAAGGGCGTATTTAGTAGCCATAATAAAATTAAGTTGAAATGAAATTGATATAGTGATTAAATTTAAAACATAATCTAATATTAATATATAGAATTGTGAGTTGTAAATATGTTGATAAAAATACCCCTCTGATCTTCAATGGAAAACGCTCGAGAGATTATTTGTCTTGTGAATTAATTAAATATTTTTAATTCAAATGGAGATAAGATCACCCCACAAAACGGAAAATTTTATTTATATCCTTATTTGAAATATGGGGAAAAAACAACATTTTAAATTCAGGGGATATAATTTGATCTAAAGCAGAAGAAGGAATGTGATTCGAATCTATAAAAGTAATTTGACCTAGTTGAAGAAGTATTCTGTTGATTTTACTTTAATTGACTTTGAGACCTTGATTTCAAACCTCTTTAATAATCCTCAACCTCACAATGCCTTATGCAAATATGATAACAAAATAGATAGTTCTACATTTTCCAATTATTTAAAAAATCTTATTAGGTATCAAGTTTTTGATTAATGACTTCTAATCTACGCTGGTCTGAAAGACTATGAAAAACTAAAGTGTTATTGATTGGTGGCATTAAAATAAGGATTTCGATAACTGAGTTTAATAAAAAACTAAAGGTCATATAGAAGAATTGATAAAAGATAATAAGTTATGAACATTAAGTAATACGTTAAGGTGGGGAAAGGGTCAAAATGAAACATTATTTAAGCCATTTTCAGAAAACAAAGGAATTTACGCGTCTGTAAAATCAAATAATAGATTATATACATTCAATGAAACAATTGAGTATTAACTGAAAATCACTTAATGTTAATTTTAACCATTTGTTGTCCTTTATATTAGACTTTAAATATTGTTTATTAATGTCTTACTTGAATCTTAAACAGTATATATTAAAAATCGTGTACAGTAGTATATATAAATGTTAATAAGTTAAAATAATAATAATAATATATTATTTTGGTGTTTTGATACATGAAACAATATGTAATATGATGTAAGTTACCAATTTTAAATATTCGGATTAATTTTATTTAAAATTTTTTTTGACAGATAGTTTAAAATTATACATGACAGTACCGAATAAATAGTATGAATCACTTCAGCTGTGGATGCTGGAATGTTATTCTTGTCGGGAATGTTTTTTAAAAATACTTATTCATTTCTTATCGAGTCTGAATAACAACTGTTTTTAATAACATCGTCTTTTTCTGTGTTATATTTTGAAAACGACTTGTAATAAAAGAAACGAAATGCCAAGACCCAATACAATATCAAAAAACCTAGTGTTTTCATGAGTTTGATAAACTGTCACTCTACAAACTTTCTACATGCATTGATAATAAACAAATATTGAAATAAAACGCATAAATTTAAATTTTCAACTTCTTGACGTTTAATTACGTACATATTGAAGTAAATTTCTCGAAGAGATACAGAAAATTTTTCACTCTTTATTAGTGTTCCACAAGTAATTTACAACTTTAAGAGATGAGTATAAGCTTCACAAAGTCTTTATATTTTCTTGGGTTTCTATTTAATCTATCACAGAAACAGAAGTGTACTTATAATTAAGAATACTGATCTGTGTCAATTATATTTCGTATTCTTTTACTGTGTTTTGTATAACATTAAATAAGCAAATTTGTTTATTACTTTGAGTATCGTTTTAGTAAATAATTTATGAAACATCAACGTAAATTTTGAATCTTTCCGAATTTATCTCCATTAAATGGTTTCACCTTAATTATTTGAACATAGAGATGGAAGCTCGACACTAATTTTATTTGTAAAATCGGTCCTTCCCCACTTGAATAATATATTATGGTCTTAAAAGAATCTTAAATTTTTTTATAGTGGAATCTTATTTTTAGCATTTTTAGTTATTTTTTTAAAATCAATGTACAATTACTTAAAATATAATAAAAAATGTATATGTAAGTTTACTTAATACAAAAACTATTTTTGTGTTACTTAATTTAATTTTTATTTTCTTTTGCATTAAAATGTATTTAGGAATATAACATTCCCATTCCGAGATGCAATTGCGCTCTGTTTAAAACTCGAGTTTTTCAAAACTTTTCAGAAAGGATAATATCACTTTAAATGAAAGTTAGAACCATCACCATCAATGATTCAGATTTAAATGGACGGTAAGTTACTTATACGAAAGAGAGCAATAAATACAGCCAAGGTTTTACTAAAAAGAAGTAAAATTTACGCGATTATTGCTATCATATCATCGTACTACACTCACATGATTTATTAATAGTAAAAAGATTTTCAAAGCTGGCATAGATAATAATATTATGTACATTTTAGTTAGTAGTATGTAATTTTTTCACAATTTTTCATAAAAATGTACATCATTCTCTGAAAATTGCTACTCATCTCTTTAGGTATTATAAAGCTTATTCAAGATAAATATGTGAAAGATTTTGACTTTTGAATGACCAAGAATAGTTCTTAAAATATACAATACCATCAACACAAGTTTTATAAATTTTGATAGTTGTAAATTTTATAATTGAAGTGTCGTTTAGTTTATATATATACTTGTTTTTTTTTAAAAAATTGACAATTGAAACATCTTTATAGAAATTAATAAAACAAAATGCAAGTAAATGGTTTATATACAGTATTTTACCGACTAAGATACAGTATATTTACACAAACTCATAATTGTATTTAATTAAATTATGCCGTTTAACTTCAATATTTTAGTCAAAAAAATATATATATATATGATACTTAAATTTTAAATAAAATATAAATGTTCAATTACATCATTCAAATAATTTAAAAAATAATTAATAAAGATCTCTTGGGTTAGTAAACATTTTCTTATGAAAAATAGTAATTATTAAAGATACTCCACCACTTATAATATTTAGTTTAATATCCATGAATCATAATCTTTTTTATATCGCTCATCTTAATTAACTAATGTTCAGCTGTCTTTAAGAGGTTTTGGTTGGACTGACTACTTCAAAGTTTTGACTCTAATGTTAATCTTCCTTTCTTTTTTCTATATTATACGGCTAAATGATTATATTTTTTTTTAATGTTAGTGAATCTACATTTATTATATACTTTAATTTTATTTAATTTATTAAATATTAATTATTCCAGAGAAAAGAAATTTAAAGTTATAAAATAAAATTAAAATTCAAATAATATGTCAAATAAATTATTTAAAAAAGTTTAAAAATTTAATACTATTAAATTACGTATGTATTACACAAACTTAATTATTGTACATATATACATATTTACATACACAAAAATTAAATTGTGTATTAAATAAACCCCAAATTAAGATTAATTAATAGCAAAAATTTTCAATCTCTTTATTAATAGTTTACAAACATACTATTATAAGACAATAATAATAATATTTAATGAATGTATCATTTAATATAAACAAATTAACAATAAAATAAATAAATAAATAAAAATTTTTATTTAAATTTCAATGTTTATATAAATAGAAATTATTCTTCCAATTTTCAAATCTTCTCCAAGAAATTTTTTATTTACCAAGGAATTTATTACTTCAATTCAGATCTAATTCATTCATTTTATTTTATTTTTTTATACATTTATTCATTTGGATTTTTTAATTTTCTTGAAATTCATCATCATAGATAGAATTAATCAATTATTCAAAGGTAAATCTGTCAAATAATTTCATATTATAAGAATTTAAAGATACGATAGACAAGAAAATCATACCAAATTTACTAGTATAAAGAAAAAAAATTAGTATATAACCCATATTACATTTTATATACATCAACAAGAAGAAAAAATGGGTAAATTTGACTGGTTAAGTGGTAGAACAGCCACTGGTGGTTTAAGAGGTAAAAAATTAAGAATAGCAGTTACTGTTATTGCAACAACTGGATTTTCATTATTTGGTTATGATCAAGGTTTAATGTCAGGTTTAATTTCTGGTGAACAATTTAATTGGGAATTTCCACCAACTAAAGGTAATCCAACAATTCAAGGTGCAGTTACTGCTTGTTATGAGTTAGGTTGTTTTTTTGGTGCTATATTTGCTTTAGTTAGAGGTGATAAAATTGGTAGAAAACCACTTATTGTAATGGGATCAATAATTATTATTATTGGTACAATTATTTCAGTTACTGCAATTAAACCATATTGGCAAACAGGTCAATTTGTTATTGGTAGAGTTGTTACTGGTATTGGTAATGGTATGAATACTGCAACTATTCCAGTTTGGCAATCAGAAATGTCAAGAGCTGAAAATAGAGGGTTTTTAGTTACTTTAGAAGGTGCAGTTGTTGCATTTGGTACTTTTATTGCTTATTGGCTTGATTTTGGATTTTCTTATATTAATTCATCAGTTCAATGGAGATTTCCAGTTGCTTTTCAAATATTATTTGCAATGATTTTATTTGGTGGTATTATTAATTTACCTGAAAGTCCTAGATGGCTTATAGCTCATGATAGAAAAGCAGAAGCTTATGAAGTATTGGGTTATTTAAATGATGTCAGTCCAGATGATGATAGTGTTATTGCAGAAGCTTCAGTTATTATTGATGCAGTTAAAAGATTTGCTAATGCACAAACTGGTTTCAAAGATTTATTTACTGGTGGTAAAACTCAACATTTCCAAAGAATGATTATTGGTTCAAGTACTCAATTTTTCCAACAATTTACTGGTTGTAATGCAGCAATTTATTATTCAACTTTATTATTTTATCAAACTATTTTCAATTATAGTAAATATAGGTTATCATTAATTTTAGGTGGTGTTTTTGCAACTATTTATGCAATTTCAACTATTCCTGCATTCTTTTTAGTTGATACTTTAGGTAGAAGAAAATTATTTTTAATTGGTGCTATTGGTCAAGGTATTTCTTTCACTATTTCATTTGCATGTTTAATTAAAGATACTGAACAAAATGCTAAAGGTGCAGCAGTTGGTATTTTCTTATTTATTGTATTTTTTGCATTTACAATCTTACCATTACCATGGGTATATCCACCAGAAATTAATCCTTTAAGAACAAGAACTACAGCATCAGCAGTATCAACATGTACTAATTGGTTAACTAATTTCGCAGTTGTCATGTTTACACCAGCTTTTATTGAAAAGTCAGGTTGGGGATGTTATTTATTTTTTGCATGTATGAATTTTGCTTTTGTACCAGTTATTTTCTTCTTTTATGTTGAAACTAAAGGTAGATCTTTAGAAGAAATTGATATTATATTTGCAAAAGCTTATGTTGAAAAAAGACAACCATGGAGAGTTGCTGCAACAATGCCAAAATTATCATTACAAGAAATTGATGATCAAGCTAAAGATTTAGGATTATATGATGATGATTTTGAAAAAGATAATTTTGAAACTAAAGAAGATATAAGTGATTCTACAAGTGCTGAAAATAATGGAGTTTTTGAAAGAAAACCAACTAATATAGAAGAAGAAGTTTAATGAATTTTCTTAAATTCTGATAGATTGAGGTTGTTTTTTTCACATAAGTTTGTATTTATAAAGAGAGACATTTAATTATTTTTAATATTTGGGGTTTATGTTTAGTTAGAAATATTATGGTATTAGATATATAGTATTAAAATATAGAGACTCATACACATTCGAAGTATAGGAAATTTATTGACTATCTCTTAATGTATAATAGACGAAGTGAAATGGATCTTGAAATTCCATCTATGGGGATGAAACCAAAAAACTGTATATATGAAGGGTAAACAATAATCGGTTTTTCTTGAGATTTTCAAGACAACAATTTCAAGCATTACTTCCAATGTATTATAACGTCATTATCCAAAGCTTTAGATTTAAATTTTGGTTGCAAAATTTATTATTAATTATTTTTTCTTCCTAATAATTTTTTTCTTAAGTATAGATTTTTTTTTCTTGAAACTTGGCATTCTCATGTAATCGGATTAATTTAAAACAAGAACAAAAATTAACTTGATAGAATTGATTATAAAGGGCTATTAGAAATTTTTTATTGTTTGTGATTTGGTTCAGTTATTTGATAAATATGACAAGAAATTTGAGATAATTTGTTACTTATGATTAAACTTGGGGAATTTTTTGACACAATATTGTTGTTTTTTTCTTAACTGTCAATTGTTTAATATACCAAGAGATATGGCTAAATTAGAATTAAATTTTGCGTTTGCAAAAATTGATTGTTTTGGTTTTACCCCACTAGATCCTACTTTGATAGTCTAATAAGTTTTCAAAATATAAATATGAGTTGAGATTCAGGAGTTTTATCAATTTTAATTTTAGAACTGGATCAATATTCATACGATAACCACCTTAATATTCATGAAAATACTTAAATCATGGGACTAGGAGTACTTACGAAAAGAACAAATACATATGGACTCAAGGGCAAATCATTAAGAGTAGCCATAACAGCAACATCAGTAGCTGGATTTTCATTATTTGGTTATGATCAAGGATTAATGTCAGGTTTAATAGCAGCTGATCAATTTAATTATGAATTCCCAGCAACTAAAGATAATGGTACTATACAAGGAGCAGTTACTGCATCTTATGAAATTGGTTGCTTTTTTGGTGCATTATTTGCTTTATGGAAAGGTGAAAGAACCGGTAGAAGACCTTTGATATTTGTGGGTTCTGTGCTTATTGTTATTGGAGCTATTATTAGTACTACTCCATTTAGACCTCATTGGCCATTAGGTCACTTTGTTGTTGGAAGGGTTATAACTGGTGTTGGGAATGGATTAAATACTGCAACTATACCTGTTTGGCAAAGTGAAATGTCAAGAGCAGAAAATAGAGGATTTTTAGTCAATATGGAAGGTGCATTTATTGCTGTGGGGACATTTATTGCTTATTGGACTGATTTTGGATTTTCATTTATTGATTCATCTGTTTCTTGGAGATTCCCAGTTGCTTTTCAAATTTTTTTTGCTTTACTTGTATTATTTGGGATTTGGGGATGTCCCGAAAGTCCTCGTTGGTTAATTAAGAATAAACATGAAATTGAAGCTAAATTTGTATTGAGTTCTTTAAAAGGTGTTAATGAAGATGATGAGGAAGTGGGTAAAGAAATATCTGGAATTATTGAATCAATTAATAAATTTTCTAAAGTTCAAGGTGGTATAAGTGAAATTTTTACTGGTGGTAAAACACAACATTTTAGAAGATTATTGATTGGATGTAGTGGACAATTTTTTCAACAATTAACTGGATGTAATGCAGCTATATATTATTCAACTTTATTGTTTTATCAAACAATTTTCAATCATTCTCAATACAGATTATCAATGATATTAGGTGGTGTTTTTGCAACTATATATGCATTATCTACTATTCCATCATTTTTTTTGGTTGATACTTTAGGTAGGAGAAAATTATTTTTGATTGGTGCTGTAGGACAAGGTATTTCATTTACTATATCATTTGCATGTTTAATTAATCCTACTCCTGAAAATGCAAAAGGTGCAGCAGTTGGTATTTTCTTATTTATTATATTTTTTGCATTTACATTATTACCATTACCTTGGTTATATCCACCAGAAATTAATCCATTAAAAACAAGAACTTATGCAAGTGCTGCTTCAACATGTACAAATTGGTTAATGAATTTTGCTGTTGTTATGTTTGTACCTAAATTTTTAGAAACTTCAGGTTGGGGTACTTATTTATTTTTTGCTTGTGTTAATTTTGCTTTTGTTCCTGTTATTTATTTTTGGTATATTGAAACAAGAGGTAGATCATTGGAAGAAATTGATATTATTTTCGCTAAAAGTTATGTAGAGAAAAAACCTGCTTGGAAAGTTGCTGATGAAATGCCTAAATTGTCTATGCAAGAGATTGATGATGAAGCTAGAAGGTTAGGTTTACATGATGTGGGTGAGGATGAGGAAGAGCATGTTGGTAGTTTTGATGATGAAGAAGGGTTTGAAAAGAATAATTTTGAGTCAAGAGATTTAAGTGAAAGTGAGGAAGTTAATTCAGGTTTGAATGCAAGTAATGAAAAATTAGAGAACGAAATATAAAGTAGTTCGAAATTAGGATATTAGATTATAATATAAAAATTATTTAGTATTAATACAACTTTGAAGTTATTTTTTTTTTTTTTGAGTTATCATAATTAAGGGGAAATGAGAGAAGAAAATCACCTTTATCATTCGTCACCTTTTTAATTTTACATATATCCACCTCTTGGTAATTGAGAATGATCATGAGCTTGAACATTTGGATCAATATGTTGATCAACACTAGTTTGAGAACTTAAAGCAGCAACAGCAGCAGCAGCGGCAGCCATACTTGAAGAAGTAGTTTGTGGTTGTTGTTGTGTATTAGTAGCATTCCCATTCCCATTAGTTCCATTATCTAAATTTGTATACAAAGAAGGATCATTATTTTGATTTGGTGGTTGTTGAATTGGATTTTGTTGTTGTAAATTATGACCTAATTGACCAATTAATTCTTGATAATTTGGAGTTGATGGAATATTTGATAAATTTGTATCAACATTTGAAAATTGATTATTATGATTTTGATGATGAATTGTTGGAGGTTGTTGAGTATTTTGATTTGAATGATGAGATTTTTGTTTTGGTTGAGGTTTATTTATTGGTTTTTGAACTAATGTTCTTGATTGCTTATTTCTTTTTTTTTTACTTACTGGATCAGCTTGATGATTATGATGAGGGTTAATCATTCTTAAAATCCACATTTCATGATTTAAAATCCCATCATCTTGAATTATATTACCTTCAGTATCATAAGTAACACTAGTTGGATCATTTGAATTTGGTTCTGGATCTTCTTTTGTTCTTTTTTTAGTATCTTTTTCAGTTGGATATAAATTTGCAACTAATCTAAAATTACATTTATTTCTTTTAGTATATGCAATTCTTTGTCTTTTTTCAGGATCTTTCACTGTAGTTCTAAATGATCCAGATCTTTCACATTGAAAATAAACAGCTTTTGGTTTAGAACTATTTATAACTATTCTACAATGTTCTTCTGGTCCTAAAATATTTTTAACATATTTAACTAAATCTGGTTTATTACTAAAAGTTTTAATAATTTCATTTTCAACAAATCTTGATCTTAAATCTTCTCCTGCTATAATTTCTGAATCTGAAAATCCTCCTGGCGATGATGGTTGATCTGATGATGTTGATGCTATTGGTTGTTGTTGTAATTGACGTTGAGCTTCTTGTTGTTGTTGATATTGTTGAATTTGAGCTTGTGCGTGGGCTTGAGCTTGTGCTTGAACTTGTGCTTGCACTTGAGCTCTTGCATTTGCTTCAGCTTGAGCTTGCGCCTGTGCTTGTGCTTGAGCTTGTGCGTGTGCTTGGGCTTGAGCTTGAACTTGAGCTTGATATTGTTGATGTTGTTGTAATTCTTGTTGTTGTAATTGTTGTAATTGTTGATGCTGTTGTAATTCTTGTTGTTGTAATTGTTGTTGTCTTCTTTGTAACTCAGCTCTATGTTGTAATTCAGCAGAATAATAAGGATGTTGTTGTTGCTGTTGTTGTTGTTGTTGTTGTTGTTGTTGTTGATGATGATGATTTTGTTGATTCATTTGACGTAATTGTTGCTGAGTTGTTGGATGAGGTAATGAAGATTGGTGTGATTGTTGTTGTTGTTGTTGATATGTAATATTTGGATCTTCTGTTGATGTATTTAAATAATTTGCAGCAGCTGAAACTTGTGGATCAAAAACTTCAGGTTTTTCAATGGGGTTTTGATTTCTTTTAGAAGGTGGCATTTCAAAGAATCTTGAACTGATTACACGTAATTAACTACTTTAATTTTGATCAATTTACTTAATGTTGTTGTTGTAGTTGTAATGTTTTAATATATTTATTGATTGATCTCTAACAATTTAAAGGTAAACAAATAAATAATTATTAGTCTGCAGGATGAACCTGTATGTTGATAGATTTGAAATTTGGTTGTCAAAAATTAAAAAAAATTTGTGTTGTATGAAGGAACAGATAAAAATTTTAAATTTATTTGTTTTGATTTTTATATTGTTTAGAAAGTAACAGAAAGTAGTGTGAATTGTAACAACTTCCAAACCACAATAATATATGATCAGACTTCCAAACTACAATATATTTAATCAGAGCAGTTTCATTATTTCATCATAAAAACATATATGTATTTAATATTATTTATTTTTTTAATTCATTTTTTTAATTACTATAACAATAGGAAAAAATAACGACTAAAGTATTATGGTACGAAAGATTATCAAATTTAAACAGCTAATGGGAAAGAACCAGCCCAATCAGAAATTTCTTTTTTAATATTTTCTAATTTTTCATCTGTTTCATTAAGTACTTTATTTTTAAAATCTTTTAATTTATTTGCATCTTTTGGTAAATTTGCTTGAGTTTCTTTTGCATAATTTACTGCAAAATCAATATATTCAACAATTTTTTTAAAATCAGATTCACTTAAACCTCTTGTTGTCATAGCTGGCGCTCCAATTCTAACTCCACCTGGAACTAAAGCTGATTTATCTCCTGGAATTGAATTTTTATTTAATGCAATATTTATTTTTTCACAAACTGTTTCAACTCTTGCTCCATCAATTTGTTTATCTTTTAATGAAACTAAAACCATATGAGAATCAGTACCATGACTTACTAATTTATAACCTTTAGCAGTAAATTCATTTTCTAAGGCTTTAGCATTTTTCAAAACTTGTTCTTGATATTCTTTAAATTCAGGAGTATTTGCTTGTTTTAAAGCAGTAGCTAAAGCAGCAATTGTATGATTATGTGGACCACCTTGATGACCTGGGAAAACTGAAAAATTAATTGGATTTTCTAAATCATATAAAATTTCTTGACCAGTTTTTGGATTTATTGATCTAACACCTCTACGGAAAAATATCATTGCACCTCTTGGACCTCTTAAAGATTTATGAGTTGTTGTAGTAACAATATCAGCATATTCAAATGGTGATGGAATAACACCAGCTGCTATTAAACCTGAAATATGAGCCATATCAACAACTAAATAAGCACCAACTTTATCAGCAATTTCTCTCATTCTTTTATAATCAATTAATCTACAATAAGCTGAAGTACCAGCAACCAAGACTTTTGGTCTATATAATATAGCAGTTTTTTCCAACATATCATAATCAATTAAACCAGTTTCTAAATCAACTCTATAAGGCATAGTTTCAAAATATGTTGAAACTGCACTAATTTTTCTTGAATCAGTTTGATAACCATGAGATAAATGACCACCATGAGGTAAATCTAAACCCATTAATCTTTCATGAGGTTTCATAATAGCTTGATAAACTTGTAAATTAGCTGGAGATCCACTTAATGTTTGAACATTAACTCCCCATTGTTCAGGATTTAAATTAAAAGCTTTTAAAGCTCTTTCTTGACATAATAATTCCATTCTATCAATATGTTCATTACCACCATAATATCTTGCACCAGGATAACCTTCAGAATATTTATTACACATTGGAGTTCCTAAAGCATCAAATACTGCAGTAGTTGTAAAATTTTCACTCGCTATTAAAACAATTGAATGTTTTTGTCTATCAACTTCATCTTTTATAATTTGATATACATCTGGATCAGTATCTTTTAAATGACCTTCTGTTAATTGTCTATGAGTATCTGATAAAGCGTAAGACATTTTTTTTGGAATTGTTATGTTTGATGTTGTTCAAATTGATTGAAATCTGAGATGATTCAAAATTTTTAAAAATTTGAAAAGGTTTTATGTATGATTAAATAAATCCTTAATTTTTTTTTTTTCAGCTCATATTTCATTTAATTATTATTATAATTATTGTCTTATAATTAATTTCAGAGTCAATTTATCAATAAATTATTTATTTATTTATTATGATTACTACCATAATGTAATTTTAAGACTTATGTCACTTGAAATTTGAGTTTAATCCCCTCAATCTGATATTCAATCTATTCTTATAAACCTCATGCTTTAGATTCTAAAGTTAAGTTCAAATTAGTGAAATAGAATTTTTTCATTCAACTGGTACAAATTATTTTTGAGCTATTATGTATAGTCTACGTGGGGCGCTTTCTTATTACACAAGATTGAAAATATTTGATCAATCTTTTACAAGTTTAAATTAAACTTTTATTTAGTAGTAATATTAACAGTGGTAAAGAATTACGAAATTAAAGATGTAAATTGAATGAATATTTGTCAATGATAAGTGGATTTTTAAAGTTTTCTGTCAAAACATCTACTTGTTACTAATCAAGTGAGTTTCACTTTCTATTCGGAGTTTCAACAATTATCTACAAAGTCATTAGTTTGAAATAAAATTAACATAAAAAGTAACTATATATTTTTTTTTCATTGTTCCATTGACTAGCTAAGTTTTTTCCATTCCTAGCTGGATCTTCCTATCCAGTGTACTTTTATATTTTATCTTACATCCTTTATCTAATAATAAATTTGATTTTAAAACTTGGAATTAATTTAATATAAAGTTACTCTTAATCTATGAGCTATAGCCAACTTAGGTATCACAACACACAAACAACTAACACCATTTAATATAAATAAATTTAAATCATAATGTGAATAATGAGTACTAATTAAAAATAAACAAATTGGTACTAACATTAAAAATTTTTTCGTTGGAGTATATTGATCACCATTATCAATTTGTTCCCACATTGTTAAATTATCATATGCACCTGAATTAAATTCAAATGGTGTACCTTTAACTTGATGAAACATAATATATGAACCAATAGTATAAGTTAAATTTGTTAATGTCCATTTCCAATCATTATCTAAAACATTTATAAAATTATAAAAAATTTTTAATAATATAATTATAACAATATGAATAATCCATGCACCCTTTTGATGAACCCAATTTGCATTAACATTTGGATTTAAAGCTTGATCAATTTTTGTATCTAATGTATCAGGTTCTAAATGTTGAATTAATGATGATGATCTACGTTGTCTTGTAACTGCATGTGCCGGTTGATGATGAGATGGGGTTGGAGTTAAATCATTTATATTTGCACTATTACTTCTTATTCTTGATGGTGATGTTGAATTTGAATGACTTCCACCACTTGATCCTAATCCACTTGAATTTGGAATAGTACTACCTCTTCTTGTTGTTGTAGATGCTGAACCTTGGTTATATATTGATGATGTAGTTGTAGATGAAGATGAATTAGGTGAATCTTTTGAGTTTATAAAATTAATTGGTTGTCTCAATTCTTGACTTCTTGTTGATGATGATGATGGTGGTGATACTTTAATTTCAGCTGGTTTTAGTAATGTTTCTTTAGATCTAGTTGATGTATCTGTCATTATCTATTATTGGTATATTATTTAAGGTAATTTAATGTATATTGATAGTAAGTTCTTCGATGATTGTCCTCGTTTACTAAATTTATGAGTATACTTTAATGCAACCTCAATTGATATATATGTAAATTAATTTGATTCTATGAAATTATAATCAATTGTTGTATAAAATAAACGATTTGAAAATTTTGCTAATATGTATATAATCAATTGAATATATTAATGAAATATAATCTATCAAAATGGTTTATAATGTTAATCAAAAATTGAATTTTTTATTTAATCAAAGTTTTTTTTTTTAATTTTCTATTCAAAATCTCTCTCTCCCTTTAAAATTAATATTAATATTGAAAAGATAAATAGTAATACTATTTGATCACACTTTTTATCTTGAAAGTTGTATGAATATAAGATTAATTGTAGTGCCAATTATATTTACAATAAGTTTACAAGTTATAAATGGCACCCGCTTATATATATATATACACACTTTAGGCAAACTTATTTAGAATGAACAGCTCATTTGATTTGCTTTTATATAAATTATGTAATTATCATTAATGTAGTTTTATCTCTCTCTTTCGTATAAATTTAGGTCGAGGTGGGGGGAGGGCAAAAAAAATAAACATTAATTTGGTCACTCATAATTTATCAATGTGTTTTTGTATACTTAACCATAATTGATAAATAAATAAAGTAAAGTTTAAAAGATTATGAGAAAAGATTAAACCCAATTAATTATTAATAAACTACGCCTCATCTTTATATATTTAATATCGTTTAAATTGTCTTTATAACTTTGGATAGATTAAGATCTTATAATAATCTTTCGTATAATAATATCATTTTGATAAGGATCTTTATATAGGTATAATTTAAATTGGAAAACTAGGTATTACTCAATAAATTTAATGACAACAAAAAATGAATCATTAAAATTCTAATTTCCACTTATTACAACAGCTTATTTGTTATTGCCATTTGTCAAAAATCAAACTTTATTAAAAAGACATTGGATCATATTGATTATTGATTTCCATATTAAATTATTCATATCTATCATCTATATGCAGGTATAGTACTTTAAGAATTTGTTAGAAAAATAAATACTATTATTAACGAGATGATCATTTGAGACCAAACCTTTGATTTGAAACATTTGAAGAATAATATATTATAAATTGATACTATTTATACCACACAAATATGCCTAAATCAAAACGTTCTAAATTAGTCACATTATCACAAACTGATAAAAAGGGTAAAGAAGCTAAAACAAAATTATTTGATGAAATAAGATTAGCATTAGATAATTATTCAAATGTTTGGATATTACAAATGAAAGATATAAGAACTCCTGTTTTACAAGATATAAGATCGGATTGGTCAGATTCAAAATTAATATTGGGGAAAAGAAAAGTTATACAAAAATCATTTGGTGAAACAATTGAAGAGGAATATTTATCAAATTTATCAAAATTAACTAAATTATTATCTAAAAAATCAAATAATGAAATTATACCTGGTATATTATTTACAAATGAAGATGAAGAAACTGTGAAAAATTATTTTAAAGATTATACAAAACAAGATTATACAAGAGTTAAATCAAAATCTCCAATAACTTTTGAAATTCCTGCTGGAATAGTATATTCAAGAGGTGGACAAATATCAATTGAAGAAGATATACCAATGTCACATTCCTTAGAAGAAACTTTAAGAAATAAATATAAAATTCCAACAAAGATTAAAAGTGGGAAAATTATTTTAGAAGAACCTTATTTAGTTTGTAATGAGGGTGATATTTTGGATGTTAGACAAGCTTTAATTTTAAAACAATTTGGTATTGCGAGTTCTGAATTCAAAGTTCCTTTAGTTGGTCATTACAATAAAGAAACTGGAGTTGTTGATGAAATACCAATTGATGAAGAATAATTAGAGTTGAAAAGAAAAATTAGTGTTAATAATACATTTAAAAGTTATAAATTAATAATACAAAATTATTTTTAAAAGCACATTTATCAAATATTTTATCTTTCTTCTATTACTTCCTCTACTATTTCTTCATCTCTAACTTGAACAAAATGTAAAAGTGCAGGAAATTGACCAATATTTTTTAATCCATATTCACTACCAGAAGGTATACAAAAATTACAACCTTTTGTAACAATAAAACTTTCATCATTAAATAAAACTTCAACAGTTCCCTTTACAACTAATAAAAAATAAGTACTTGAAGTAATTTTAACTGGTGGTTTTAAACCTTTCAATTCTAACATTCCAACTGCACAATTTCCAATAATATCATTAAATAAAGTAGCTATTTTAAGATTTGGATCTTCTGATGTTGTACCATCTTCTTCATTGTATATTGCTGGTGATCTAAAAGTGCCATAATCTGAACTATATGCTATTGCTTTTTCAACAAATTTTCCATGTTCTGGAATATTTAATTGTAATACTTGATTTTTTAACCATGATGCACCTGGAACATTTGGTTTTTCTATTATTGGTTCATCTTGATCATCTGAACTTGTTGGAGATATTGGAGTTATTATTGATTTATGTTGTGATTGTTTTCTTTTTGTGGTTCTTCTATTGGAATAATTATATCCTTGTGGTTCAGGTACATGAACAACTTCCTTTATCAGTCTTAATGGAATATTATGAATATCTCTTGCCAATGTAGTATCAGGATCATCTAAATCACTACTTAATTGACTTGCTTTTGTATATATTACTCTTTCATTTCTCCAATATGCTAATGGTGGGATCTTGGTTCTTTTTGATCTTCTTAATCCTTCTGTGGGTGGTGATGGTAATGAATTTATTCTTGTTGTTATTTCTTGTGATGATGTTGGTTTTTTTCTTTTAGTTTGGTTGGTGGTGTTATTGGTTGTTTCAATCGATGATGAGGGGAAGTAATCACCTGATGTTGTTGTTTGATTTCCATAAGTAGTTTCATCTAGTGAATCATCTTGATTTTCTTGTGTTGTTGTTGATATTGATGGTTGTGTTTTTTCCATTGAATCTGAATCATTATTTATTGTTCCTCGTGTTGATTTTCTGGGGTTCGATATTCTTGTAAATTGTAAACTAGGTGAAGATTCTCTTGATATTGAAGGATTTCGTTGATTGATGTTATCATGAGACCGTATATCATTATCGATGTGTTGATCTGAATATTGTTGATCATTATCATAATCGTCATTATCGAATTGATTATAATCAAAGTCCATTTCATCTTGTATCAATTGTTGTTGTTGTTGCTGTTGTTGTTGTTCGGGTAATGGAGATCTTAAAGGTGATTGTTTATTTAATGCTGGTGATTTATTTATTTGAAATATTTGACTATTTGTTTCATTTTCAGTTATATTATTATCATCATTATTATCAAAATTAATCCTTCTTGCTACATAATTAAAAGGTGATTGATCATTTTCTTTATTACTATCATTCTCTGCATCATCATCATTGTTTTTCGTGTGGTTTGGATCATTATTATCGGAATTGTTATCATAATCGAAATCATTGTAATCTATCTCATCTTGATAAACAGTTGGTTCTACTGGTGGTGATTGTTGTTGTCTTCTTGACCGTATTGGTAATTGATCGTTATTGATTCGTGGTGGTTCTATTAGGTTTTCTAAATTTTTTTGTCGTAGTAAATCTTCTTCAACTTGTTGAAATCTAATATTATCTTGTGTATCATCTTCTAAATATTCATCAATACTTTGCATTCCATTTTCATCTCTTGGTAATTCATCTCGTACTGATAATCCAAGTTTTCTGGATAGTTTACCAGCTAATAGTCTATCCATACAATTTTTATTTTGGTAGACGTTGGTGGGGCTTTGTTGATGATGGGTTGGTTGTTTGAACTTATTACTAGTTACAGTGTGTTGTTTTGTTTTGAGTAAGGAATTTTTGGATTTTGTTTTTGTTTATATTTTAGGTAGCGCTCGTTTGATCTGGAACAAAAATCGCGATAGAATTTTACCGAAGTAATCAATGATGATGTAGAGGTTGTAATAACTTACGAGATTTTTTAATCAATATAATGTTCAAAAATAAGCAAATTTTCATTGAGATTTTATTTGATTAATCTTGGACTCAGTCTGAGTCGAGTCATAGAATAGATGGAAAATGAGTCTTTACTTAAACGTAATCTCCATACAATTTCTAGATTTGAAGTGGTAGCATTGCTGATTTGAAAAATGTATGTAACCTATTTAAATTTAGTAAGAACCAAGTCATTTATAAATTCGTGAACATCAATAATGTTGACCATTAGTATTGAAGATTTCATTGAACAAATACCTACAAATATCCAGAATGAGAATTTGAACAAGCTTCGAGAAGAAAATTGCTCAGACTTAAAAGATTTGATCAAAAATTCAATAACACAGTCATCAAATGATACACAATTAACAACTCCAACATCAACTTCCATTTCATCAAATACAAACTTATCGACAACAACTAATACCGAACTTCCAAAAATTCATAAACAAGCAATAAACATGAGTGATATAATATTAGACGTTGAAAATTTAAATTCTTCAAATGAATTAACAATAGAGGAGAATATAAATGAAGAAGAATTTAATTCAGAAGTAATAGAGTATTTAAAATTTAAAAAAAATCATCAATTGAAATTTTGGAAAGAAGTTAATGAAAAAGGTTTGAATGTTAAGCTGAATAAAGTTAGTGTAAATAAATTTATGAACTATTAAAAATAATAGGTTTTATGGATAAAGTCTGGGAGATTTGATGCTACTGATACATCTGTCAACTGGGGATTAATTCAAGATGTTGGAATCGAAAATAGTTCAGCAAGCTACGTCAATTTTACGAGGAGAAAGATTGATGCATTAACTATTGTACAGTATCGAATTACGGATTAATAGGTTCATCAATTAACGTTTTTAGAATAAACCAAGTAAGAGATCTTTTAAACATGAATCAAATTGAACCTCAAGAAACTGATAAATATCAAAGTACAAAACTACAAAATTTATGACATTCGCACTCATTGCAAATAGAGTTTTTCGGGTAAAACTCAAGATAAAATTGGAAACTTTATGAGATATTCATATTGAAAATATTTACTAACAATTAAATAAAAATTAGAGAACAAGAGAGTTATAATTCAATATGTTCAGCGTATTCTCCTCATCGATGGTTTTAGACTTAGGAAGGATACAAATAAGTGACAATTATTAACTTAATAATTTAGGGATTGTCCTTAAATTGTAATGATAAGTTAGGATATCTCGCCTATATATTTCGAGTTTTTACAATCCATTCGGTTCTTCATCGTATCCTTGTAGTAGGTATCTTAGGTAAATAAATAGTAACATACTTTTAGAAATTTTGTTCATATCTGTAGATTTGTAAATGCAATAAAAAATAATGCAAATGCCTGAGAAAGAAGTAAAATGTCCGGGCGCAAATTGGAAAATCCTCAACTTTTTAGGGGGGTAGATTTACAGACTTTTTAACCGTATTGAGAACTTTTAGTACCATCAAGTACCAATAGACCACATGTATGCATCACTTCAGCACATTTATTTAATCAAATTGTGCAATTGTTGAAGTTGTGCTTATAAATGTTTTTATTTTTTGCAACAATATATTGTTGACAGCTGTAAACTCCCCCCAATTGAGGATTTTTTGGGGTACATTAATGTAATTTTGTATCTTTAGTTCAAGTAATTGCTAAATAATGTGACTCAAATTGTTTGAGTACTTTAATTGATCATATCAATCATTATACAATATGTAGGAAATTTCAATTATATACCTGCAACTTTTTTGCGTGCACTGTGTTCAAAATTTTTAGCTATGTGGTAGCATATTTTGAAACAAATTCATATCTTCATGTTTTAAAATTTTCAGCTGTCAAGTTCCAAAACATGTGTGTCTTGTGTAGATTGGCCTGCTTTTCAATTTCATTGACCACTTTTTTCTTTTAGTGGCTAGTTTTATGTCACATTTGTAGCAATTGTCCTGTCTTTATCTCTTATCTTTAGTCTTATTAATTGAATTAAAATTAGTCTAATAATATAAAACGACCTAAATCAAAATTAAATTAGAATCGACCATCCACCTCTACCAAGCAACCTGTCCACTCACAGTCATGTATCTCAAATATCAAAGTCAATAAGGGTTGTCAGTCAATTTTCCAAGAACATCAAATATCTCACTTGCTTCACCACAATGTCTAATCTATATCATAGTCAAGTCAGTCAATTAAGTTTGTCTCCAAAGGTTGTGTCTCAAATTTAATAAAATTGTTCATCTGTCCATTGAGTAAGAAAAACGTCTCAGGTAGTCAATTCAGGTAATTCCCATAGTTCTGTAGGTGAAATGTCTCACAAAAATCTCCCAATTGATAATGATACCAAATTTTGAAGTGAGTAAATTAAATTAATAAATAATTCTACATTTGTATGGATAAAAGTAGTATTGAAAAATAGTATGAATAAAAGTAGAAGTTGGTGATCAATTAAAGAAGAAAAAGTAGTTTGAATCAGTTTCAAAAAGAAAAATTAATTGATAAATTTAAATGGCAAGATCTATGTTATGCTAAACCTTTAGCTGCAAAATCTCTATTAATATTTAACTGCAAAATATTAATGTATGAGAGAGTCCTGCAATTTGAGCTTAAAATATTAACAGAAACTTCAAACTACTTGAACTTGGAATAGGCTTAATTTTACCAGCGAATGCTTTACATAAAACTCACTGTTCTTTATTGTCTTGAAATTCATGAGTTCATGAACTCGGATTCACGATACTTGAGTTTGTTTTGGTGTTCGAAATTAGACTATAAATGCAACTAATCTATTTAAAAATATAAAAACTTTGAGTCAAAACTTACATCGATCTCTTTTTTTATTGTTTCAAGCTATTTCCCTATAGATTAATCCCACATTCACTATTAGTAAACAAGCTCGAGGCATTATTTAAACCTGTCAATAATCAATAATCAAAAAATAAAACAATATTAGAAATCATATTGATACAAATTAGTAAAGTGAAAAATGTTCCTTATTTGTGTAAAATTTGATTAAACTTTTCATTCATGAGCCATGCTATATTCTTCAGCCGAAACACAAAAGTAATCATAAATTTAATCTAAATCTAAATTTATCTTTGAATGAGTCGATAAATTAAATTTAAATCAAGTTGGAAGTCAAATGTAACCATTCATAAAACTACTATATTATGTTATTACGATTTTTAAAAAGTAATAATATATGACGTAGTGTATTAAAGTTTGTTTCAAATTTGACATATTTTCACAACAAAAATAGTCTAAAAAGTTTAAAAAATTTTGCTACACAAAAATATACATCGATGTCTACTTTCTTTCATGGGTGCTTTCGGCTAGATAGCTTCCTTACATTTACTTTCTACAAACAGATTCGAGGGCACTTACTTAGTCTGCGCATCGTGCATCAATTCTGTAGCTTAAAAAAAATTACAAACCAAATTAATATTTTAGTGATATTAAGAACACAAATTCATAGGAAAAATCTAGATATATACTTGTCTTTAAAGAATATAGTAATTCCAAATTTTCTTAACTTTGCTATTTATCGACATTCAATTGATTGACAATTTATAAATAGACTTAATAATTGTAAATCAGAGTAATAGATTGAAAATACAAACTTAGAAGCTTTTTTTTTGAGTTATTCTGTTGTTTCAAAATATTTCGGATTTATTAATTCCGTATATATACGGAGATTACTTTGATTCTTTTTGCAATTTTTATTATTAAAAGATCTTTAATATATATCTAAATTGTATCGTATAATACTTTCAAATATATATATTGTAAGAACCATCACTCAAGGGTCCAAAACCAAGTTCGAGTTTGAAAATTTTTAAATGAATACGATCGTTCTTTACTAATTAATTATTAAACACAATATTGTTAATTAGAGAACTCAAAAGGTCTAGATTAATTATCATATTAAATTTATATTTAGTAAATCAGCCATATTGTCCTCGAAAACAATACGGATATTACGCTTCAAATTTATTAGAGTGAGACGGAGATTATTTATGTAGTAGAGTTTATTCGACTTTTTTAAATCCAGAGACGGAAATGTGAGAAAGGTAGTTAAATTTTGCAGTAAATCTTTCTTTTTTGATAGCCTTCATAGTTGTATCAAATACAGACTAAAATCATCGATTTTATTCAATACATGGGTAAAGTTGACTTGAATCAAAGAAAATTAGATTGAGTCTAAACTTAAATTAATCAATAAATTAATACTAAAACTTTATATTGCCTTAGGAAAAAAATTGTTCCTAAATTAATAAATAAACTAATTTACGGACTAAGTCACGTGTAAAAGTGGACTTGAGTCAATATGATAAAAACTCATAGTATTACTGTAGCAGGGGATCTACCCTCGTATTTAAAAACAAATTTAAAAAAAAAAAACGGAGATGAATTTAAACCAAACAAAATAAATTTTATATAGATTGCGGATTTATTAAAAAATTAAAAAATTGAGCAAAAACAAAAAACAACAAAAAAAAAAGATGGTTTCAAATCATCATTATATTTTGAATCATATTTGTGTTTATTATTTAATTCAACTAGAGTTCAAATTAATAATTTAATTAGTAATTTTATTATTCTATGCATATAGTAAGAAATAATACATTCTAATAGCCGTTTAATTATTAATAATAATAATAATATAATTTTAATAAACTAAAATGCATTTAAATAGTTTTCAATACATGTTTTCTTCTTCCTTTTCTTGTTAAATTATTTTTGATTAAGTCCTTTCAAATTAATATATATATATATATATATATATATTATATATCATTTACTCAATTATCAAAGTTTGTTAATTAATCCATAAATTGTCCAAATATTAATACAATTTTTTATCTATTCGATACAATTGATATATTTTAATATATAACTTGATATTTTTTTGTTTAAATGGTAGTCACAAAAGAAGATTCAGTTGGTCTCAATAAAAATAATAATCATTACTCCAATAATAATAATAACAGTAATAACAATCCTAATGCAGATAATTTAATAAATTCAAACTCATCATCTTCAACAGCAGCATCATTTACTTCATCAAAATCAATTGAAGAATTTATTGGTGATATTACAAATTATACAACAACAGTTAAAACAAAATCAATTAATTTAAATGATGGCGATAATGATGATAAAAAATTAAGTGATTCCGATGATTTAGATTATAATCATCATTTTGATGAAGAAGATGATGAAAAAAATAGATTGGAATTGATCAGGACAATAACTCAATTTTCTCAAAAAGATGGAATTAGTAGATTAGATTCAATATCCAAAGAAATTTCACGTCTGATAACTAATAAAGAAGGGGATTTTCAATTAAAATTAGATGAATTTAATCTTATGAGAATTTTATCAAATTTTGTTTATTTTGCTAAAAAACAAGGTATAAAACTAAGAAGTAGTGGTGTTACTTTTAAAGATCTTTGTGTTTATGGTACTGATGAATCATTTGCAATTGTTCCAACAGCTTTAGATTTATTAAAAGGTCCTATTGGTATTATACAAAATATTATTGCTTCAGCTAGATCTCAAGATAAAAGAATTTTAAATAATTTAAATGGTATTGCAAAACCAGGTGAAATGGTTTTAGTATTGGGTAGACCAGGTGCTGGTTGTACAACTTTTTTAAAATCTTTAACTGGTACTGATTTTGATTTATATAAAGGTATAGAAGGTGATATAAGATATGATGGATTACCACAAAAGGAAATGATAAACAAATTTAAAAATGATTTAGTTTATAATCCTGAATTAGATGTTCATTTTCCTCATTTAACAGTTGATGAAACTATTACATTTGCAGTTGCTTGTAAAACTCCTGATGTTAGAATTAATGGAGTTTCAAGAGATGAATTTGTTAATGCTAAAAAGGAAATTTTAGCAACTGTTTTAGGTTTAAGACATACTTACCATACAAAAGTTGGTAATGATTTTGTTAGAGGTGTTTCTGGTGGTGAAAGAAAAAGAGTTTCAATTGCTGAAGCATTAGCTTGTAATGGATCTATTTATGGTTGGGATAATAGTACAAGGGGTTTAGATGCTGCTTCTGCATTAGAATTTGCAAGAGCTATTCGTATGTAAAAGAATTTAATGTTCAAGTCATACAATCTGTGTAACTTTTAACTATTTTAGGTTATAATTATACTAACTTTAATCTTTTTTAGGTACTTCAACTAAGATTTTAAAAACTACAGCATTTATTTCAATTTATCAAGCTGGTGAAAATGTATATGAATGTTTTGATAAAGTTACGGTTTTATATTTAGGTAGACAAATTTATTTTGGACCAATTCATCAAGCTAAAAAATATTTTGAAGATATGGGATGGCAGTGTCCTCCAAGACAAACAACTGCTGAATTTTTAACTGCTTTAACTGATCCAATTGGTAGAACACCTAAACCAGGTTGGGAAAATAAAGTACCAAGAACTGCAGAAGAATTTGAACAAAGATGGCAAAATTCAAAAGAATATCAATTATTACTTGAAGAAATTGATGATTATAATGATTCAATAAATGAAGATGAAAAAAGAAAATTATACTATAACTCAGTTGAACAAGAAAAAATGAAATATACTAGAAAGAATTCACCATTTACTATTTCATATTTACAACAATTAAAATTATGTACTATTAGAAGTTATCAAAAAATTTGGAATGATAAAGCTTATACTGTTACACTTATGGCTGCGGCTGTTTCTCAATCATTAATTGCTGGATCTTTATATTATAATACTCCGGAAACAGTATCTGGAGCATTTTCAAGAGGTGGTGTTATTTTTTTCGCTGTTTTATTCATGTCATTGATGGGTTTAGCTCAAATTTCTGCATCATTTGCAAGTCGTCCAATTCTTCAAAAACAAAAAAATTATACAATGTATCATCCATCAGCTGATTGTTTATCAGAATTTGTTTTATCTATTCCAATTAGTATTTTAATTAATACTTGTTTCGTTATAATTATATATTTCTTATCTAATCTTGCAAGAGAAGCTGGTAAATTTTTTATATGTTATTTATTTGTTATATTGTTACATTTAACTATGGGATGTATGTTTCAAGCTGTTGCTGCTATAAACAAAACTATTGCTGGTGCTAATGCAATTGGAGGTGTTTTAATGTTGGCTTCATTAACTTATTCTTCATTTTTAATTCAACGTCCATCAATGCATCCTTGGTTTAAATGGATTTCATATATTAATCCTGTTTTATATGCTTTCGAAGCTATTATTGCATCTGAATTTCATGGTAGACATATGGAATGTGATGGTCAATATTTAACTCCATCTGGTCCTGGTTATCAAAATTTATCAAATGGTGAACAAGTTTGTGCATTTACTGGTTCAAGACCTGGTCAAGATTGGGTTTTAGGTGATGAATATTTAGTACTTTCATTTACATATAAATTTGATCATGTTTGGAGAAATTTAGGTATCTTGATTGGATTTTTAGCATTTTTTTTAGCAATTGCATGTTTAGGAGTTGAATATATTAAACCAATGTCTGGAGGTGGTGATAAATTATTATTTTTAAGAGGTAAAGTCCCACATAAAATTGCTTTGACTGAAGAAGTAAGAGACAATCAAGATATGGAAGCAGGACCTGCAATCGATCAATTAGATGATCGTGAACCTAAATTACAAACTGATGATGATGAATTAAGAGTTAAAGATGTCTTTGTTTGGAGAGATGTAGATTATGTTATACCATATGATGGAAAAGAAAGAAAATTATTAGATAGTGTTAGTGGATATTGTATTCCAGGTACTTTAACTGCATTAATGGGAGAATCAGGTGCTGGTAAAACTACATTATTAAATACTTTGGCTCAAAGAATTGATTTTGGTACAATTACAGGGGATATGTTAGTAAATGGTAAACCATTAGATTTATCTTTTAGTCGTAGAACAGGTTATGTTCAACAACAAGATATTCATGTTTCTGAAGTAACAGTTAGAGAATCATTACAATTTGCAGCAAGATTAAGAAGATCAAAAGATGTAAGTGATCAAGAAAAGTTAGATTATGTTGAAAAAATTATTGACATATTAGATATGAAAATGTATGCTGATTCAATTGTTGGTAGATCAGGTAATGGATTGAATGTTGAACAACGTAAAAAATTATCAATTGGAGTTGAATTAGTTGCTAAACCTTCCTTGCTATTATTTTTGGATGAACCAACTTCCGGTCTTGATTCTTCTAGTTCTTGGGCTATTGTTAAATTATTAAGAGATTTAGCAAATGTTGGTCAGTCCATATTATGTACTATTCATCAACCATCAGCTACTTTATTTGAACAATTTGATAGATTATTACTTTTAAGAAAAGGTGGACAAACTGTTTATTTTGGTGATATTGGTGAAAGATCTAAAACTATATTAAGCTATTTTGAAAAAAATGGTGCAAGACATTGTGAAGATGATGAAAATCCAGCTGAATATATTTTGGAAGCTATTGGAGCTGGTGCAACTGCTGGTGAAGTTGCAAATTGGTTTGAAATTTGGTCAAATTCTCCTGAAAAAATTGAAACTGATAATAAAAGAGATCAATTAATTGAAGAATTAAAAAATAAACCATCTGATTTATCTGAAAAGGAAGAAAAAGATTTAAGTAATAAATATGCTACTCCTTATTGGTATCAATTTCGTTATGTTTGTGAAAGAAATGCATTAACTTTTTTCAGAGATCCAGAATATATAATGGCAAAATTATTTTTAATGACTATTAGTGGATTATTTATTGGTTTTACATTTTTTGGATTAAAACATACTATAACAGGTGCAAGAAATGGATCATTTTGTGCATTTATGGCAGTTGTTGTTTCAGCTCCTGTTATAAATCAAATTCAAGAAAAAGCAATAAATGGTAGAGATTTATATGAAGTTAGAGAAAAATTATCAAATACTTATCATTGGTCATTAATGATTCTTGCTCAAATATTAAATGAAATGCCTTATTTAGTAATTGGTGCAACTTTTATGTTTGTTTCATTATATTTCCCAACTCAAGTTGATATTAGAGCTTCTCATTCTGGTATGTTTTATTTTACTCAAGGTATATTTTTACAAGGATTTGCTGTTAGTTTTGGTTTAATGGTTTTATATATAGCACCAGATTTACCAAGTGCAGCAGTTTTAGTATCATTTTTGTATACTTTTGTTGTTGCTTTTTCAGGTATAGTTCAACCAGTTAATTTAATGCCTGGTTTCTGGACATTTATGTATAAATTATCACCATATACTTATTTTATTCAAAATTTAAATTCTTCATTTTTAGAAGGTAGATCAATAAGATGTGATGAAAAAGAATTATCATTTTTTAATCCACCAAATGGTGAAACTTGTGGTCAATTTGCTTCAGATTATATTAAAAGAGTTGGTGGATATATAACTAATCCTGATTCAACTTCAAATTGTGGTTATTGTCAATATAGTAATGCTAATGAATATTTATTAACTGTTGGAGCTAAATTTTCATTAAGATGGAGAAATGTTGGGTTCTTTTTTGTTTATATATTTTTTAATATTTTCATTTGTATGGCACTTTATTATTTGTTAAGGTATAGTAGGTTTACTACAAAAGTATATGAAAAATTTAGTTTATTGATACCTAAAAAGAAAAAATAAGGTTATAATAGTGCTTTTTTAATTTTGTACATAGGTGAAATAATTTATGGTATGTGATAGATTCAAGTTCTAATATTATTTAATAATTTAATAAACATTTTAATTTCAAAACCAAGTTTTTTACTCTGGTTCATTTTTAGTCTTTTTACTATAGCAAACTACTCCATTCGTGTTCCTGATATTTTTATGTCAGCTCATCAAATTAATATATTATAATCACACAAAACTAATATTTTTTTTTACGAATCAATTTCCTCTATACCCATAAAGCCTTCGTATTTTATAGCCTGATAAAACAATAAAATAGTTGTCGACGTAAGTTTTGTCTCAAACTTTTTCATAATTTTAAATAGACTAGTTGCGGTACGGATGCAATTTATGGTTTTATTTTCGAAAACATACTCGAATATTGTGAAATCAAATTCATAATATGAACAAGATAGAATATAAAGAATAATCTTAAAAGGTAAGACAACTAAGGGCAGACGATTATTATTTAAAGCATTCGCTGGTCAAATTGAGCCTAATTCAAGTTCAGGTAGTTTATAGTTTGTATACTAATGTTTTGTACCCAAAATACACTACTTTCTCATACATTATTATTTTGCAGTTAAAATAGATACAGAGATTTTGCAGCTAAAGATTTAGCATAACAAAGATTCGCCATTTAGATTTAGCAAGTATATTTTTTCTTTTTAAAATATTTTATACTTCTTTTTCTTCTTTAAATGATCACCAACTTCTACTTTTATCCATACAACTTTTATCCATACTACTTTTATCCATACTACTTTCATCCATACAAATGTAGAACTATTTATTAATTTATTTATTACTAACTTCAGAATTCTAGTTTCATTATCAATCGAGAAATATTTGTGAGACATTTCACCTACAGAAAAATGGGAATTACCTGAGTTGACTACCTGAGACGATTTTCTTACCCAATGGACAAAATAAAGAATTTTATTAAACTTGAGACACAACCTTTGGAGACAAACTTAACTGACTAACTTGACTATGATATAGATTAGACATTGGGTGAAACAAGTGAGATATTTAGTGTTTTTGGATAATTGACTGAGAACCCTTTTTGACTTTGATATTTGAGATACATGACTGTGAGTGGACAGGTTGCTTGGTAGAGGTGGATTGTCGATTCTAATTTAATTTTGATTTAGGTCGTTTTATATTATTAGACTAATTTTAATTCAATTAATAAGACTAAAGATAAGAGATAAAGACAGGACAATTGCTACAAATGTGACATAAAACTAGCCACTAAAAGAAAAAAGTGGTCAATGAAATTGAAAAGCAGGCCAATCTACACAAGACACACATGTTTTGGAACTTGACAGCTGAAAATTTTAAAACATGAAGATATGAATTTGTTTCAAAATATGCTACCACATAGCTAAAAATTTTGAACACAGTGCACGCAAAAAAGCTGCAAATATAGTATTGAAATTTGCCATGAATTGGACAATAGTAAATATGATTAATTAGAATACTCAAATTTAATTGAATTACACTGTTTAGCAACTAATTGAATCAAAGAGACAAAACCACATTAAAGTACCACAAAAAATCCTCAATTGGGGGGAGTTTACAACTGTCAACAATATATTGTTGCAAAATTTAAATAACATGTATGATAACTTCACCAATTGCACAATTTGATTAAATAAATGTGCTGAAGTGACTTATACTTGTAGCCTATTGGTACTTGATGGTACTAAAAGTTCTCAATACGGTTAAAAAGTCTGTAAATATCCCCCCTAAAAAAATTGGGGATTCGAATTGCGCCCGAACATTTTACTTTTTTTCAGGCATTATCTATTATTGTATGAAATTGAACATAATATTAGATATATAATACTATTCATTTACCTAAGATGCCTATTATAAAAATAGGTTACAACTAAAATTACAAAATCCAATACATATAGGGCGAAACATTCTAATTATTCAGTAAAATTATTTCATTACAACATATATCTCCCTAATATCTCCATCACTGATCAGTGAACTATATTTTTTTTAATTTTTTTTTTCTTCAATTTGATTTATGATAATGTCTTACTTTACATTTATTGTTGACAGGTTTAAATTGAAGTCTAAAATTAAGAGCACTAGCTTATAGCATGTTAAAGCTTTACAATCAAGTTGATTGATTAATCTTAGCAAAATTCAAGAGTTGAGAGGAGGGATTCAAAAGATTTACGTGCTTTCACTATAGTCACTCAGACGTAAAATGTTTGAATTTAATTGATTTCTTACTAAGTTGATGCAAAAAACGGTTGATTTGAAAATTTTTTTCAATGGAATAACGATTTACAATATATTGTAAGCTGTGACCCAATCAGATTTTTGGTTGAACAGTCAAGACCATTGTTCGTTTGATTATTATTTTTCAAAGACTAAGTCTTTTTTTTTTCTAAAGCAAAAGGAAGTAAATGGTTGCAAATTTTCTTTAAATTAGTCTACTTTAATACGTGATCACGTACAACAATAATACAAATCGTATAAAGAAAATATCAAAGTTATTCGACAATAATTAAATAAATTACCAATAAGACTTCTCTAAAGTTATTTATTTTGTGTCTTGTATTGTCTTATAGATATAGAGATAACTCCGATCTCTCGTATCTCTGTCTTTTATCTTTAACTCGAAAACTAAAAAAGAAATCAATATTTTAAAGAGAAGGAAAAAAAAGAAATTAAGAAAAATTAAAAATTATTATTGCAAATTATACATTAAATAATAATAAATAAACTAAAGTAAACATCGAACCATTTGTTATTTATAGATTATCATAACTATATCATTCATTCAGTTTAAGAATTATTAAATTATCTGATCTTCATGATATGAGTAACAAGAAATCTAAGATTCAATACCCGTATGTTAAATTTTTGATGTCCATCATTGTTTGAATTTATTTTAAGCTTCGGAATTTTTCAAAAAAAAAAAAAAGAAAAAACGTTCCTTGTCAAGATAAAAGTTTATTCAAATATTCAATTGGATCAAAAGAATCGAGATGATAATTTATAATTTATAATTAGCAAAATTACTAACTTAGTAATGTAATAAAGGTTTTGGTATGGTGGTGCTGCCAGTATGGCTGCTTGTTTAGTGACACATCCTTTAGATCTTGCGAAAGTACGATTACAAACAGCTTCAAAACCAGGTCAATCATTAATTGGTATGTTATATCATATTATAACAAAAGATGGTATAACGAAAATATATTCAGGATTAACTGCATCTTTATTAAGACAAGCTACTTATTCAACTACAAGATTTGGAATTTATGAATATTTAAAAGAATTATATATAAACAAAACTCATAATCAAAAACCAACTACTGGAGTTTTATTACCAATGTCAATGATTGCTGGTGCATTGGGTGGATTAGTTGGTAATCCATCTGATGTTGTTAATATAAGAATGCAAAATGATTCAACATTACCAATAAATCAAAGAAGAAATTATAAAAATGCATTTGATGGAATTTATCAAATAATAAAAAATGAAAATATTTCTTCATTATTTAGAGGATTATCACCAAATTTAGTAAGGGGGATATTAATGACTGCTTCACAAGTTGTTACTTATGATATTGCAAAAACACAATTAATTGATAAATTTCATATGGATCCTTCTAAAAAAAATACTCATTTTAGTGCTTCATTAATTGCTGGATTAGTTGCAACTACTGTATGTTCACCAGCAGATGTTGTTAAAACAAGAATTATGAATAGTAAAGGAAGTGGTCAAAATGCAATTTCAATTTTAATTAATGCAGTAAAACATGAAGGTATTGGATTTTTATTTAGAGGTTGGTTACCATCATTTATTAGATTAGGACCTCATACAATTGTAACATTTTTAGTATTGGAACAATTAAGAAAATTTAAATTGGGTATGTAATATTATTTAAAAGATATTGTTAAAATTCATTATTTATTGTTTAATTAAGTATAGGATAGAATTTATAGAGTTATTATAGACATTTTTGTTATAGAGACTAATTTAATATGATTATTAATTTTTTAAAAGTAGTTTATTTTGATAAAACAATTAGAATTGGTGAAACATCAAGTGTATGAGATCGAAAAATCAATATTGGGTATAACAATTTCCAGCAATTTGATACCTCATAGTGATCATTATTTATCATTGTAATGCTTCATTATTGAATTTACAAAAAACCTGACAAAATTTTCCGAAATTTTAAATACGTATATTTGTTTTTAATTATATAACTAACTCCAGTAATGTAACCCAATAAATTTCAACTTTCATTAATTTTTTCTTCTTTTTTTAGTATAAATTAATTTTTTTTAACTTCAATATTATCTAATTCAGCTTTTTCAAAAGCTTCTTTTTCAGCTTCTAAAATATAAGGTATTAAATAATGATCATCTTCTTCTGGTTTAAGAGCTTTTTCAGAACTTAAAATTTGATGTTGAAGTGATAATTGATTAGCACTTAAAATTCTAAAATTTCTTGCATAACTTACTGATGGTGGTAATCTTTTTATTGCTTTTTGCATAATTGGTGTTTCTTCTAAAAGTAAGTCGTTGAATCTAAATTAATTAAAGGTTAGTAAAATTTATTTCTTTAACTTAGTAATAGTTTTAAGTTTGATTTGTAGTTTACATACTTTAAACCCATCTCTCTATAACCTGCATATGCAGTGAACGCTTTCGCAATTGGTTTGACAAGGGTTGCTAATGCTGGTCTTGCAAGAATGAAGTTGGCTGCCTTAACGACAGATGTCATAGACAGCATGATTGATTATATATATATATTAGTTGAAAATGGAATAGGTTGGTTAGTTGGTAGTCAGTTTTAATAGATTCAGATATTGAAAAAAAAAAATATAAAGTGAGAATAATTAAAAATTTAATTAATATAATTGGTTAATCTCTTTTTAGTATGGAGTGCGGCTTTTTTTGTTAGCTATCATGAAGATATTAAATGATTTGTAAGTTGAAAGAGTAACAACAATATACTTCTTTAAGCAATTGGGAATAAAATTGAATAAGACGAAGTATAGAGCCACGTACAAGAATTGCATGTATAAAATTTTGCAAAGTTTATAAACGATGATCTTGGTAAGATGACTATACATGAAAATTCAAAATAGCAATTGTCTTTAGGGTTCATAATGGGTAGATAAGATTAATACTTCTAATAATTTATATTCATCAATTTGACTCTAATAACTATATTCATCAAATGTAATATCACTTGAATTTGGTACACATACTTCTTTTAAAATATTTAGCACTCCAACTTCTTTAACCATATCAAACAATTCTTGATTTTTACATAACAAAAGTCCATAAACTCCACAAGAATTTATACCTAATTTATCTTGATATTTACTTTTAGATCTTGGAATCATTAACATGAATTCAGTAGTCATTATAAAATTATAAGATATATGATTTATTGAATTGTTTCTTAAAATTGTTAAAGTACTTTGTAAAAGTGATGTAAAAGATTTTGTTAAAATTTCTTCTGTTAGTTCTTCTTTATTTTCTGGTAATTTTATAAGAAATTGACTAAATGGTAAATCTTGATTTTGTAAAGGTTTAGTTGCATCTAGAATATTTAAATTATTATTATTATCTTTTTTAAATAATTTATTCTCCAAACAAACTTCCGGATATGATTTAAATTTGTTCTTTGGTGGTAACGTCATGAACTGAATATGTTTATGAGCTTGAGATGCTCCACTTTCTGGTCCACAATTATAAAATGCAAACCATTCTTCACCTTCTGGTTTTAATTTATTAATTTTGTTTAAAATATTATAAGTTGCTAATAATTCAGTAGGTAATAAAGGAAGATTTTGGGATGAAAATTTCTTAGTTATTAATAAAAAATGTTTAGCATTAACTGGGAATTTATTGAATACTAATTTTAATTCTTTATTTGATCCAAAATTATCTAAAATAGTTAATTCAGGTTCTGGTTTTTCAAATGGATTATTTTCATTATTTCCTTTATTATTATTCTCAGGTCTATGCATTAAGGATGTAAGTAAAGTTAATTGAGCGTTTGCAAAATGTTTATTATTGTCTATTGGTAACTCAACTATTTCATTTATAACTGAATCACCATTGAATAAAATATGTTCTGAATTTAAAGCTTCATTATATTTTGTAGTTAAGTCGTTATAAAAATTATCGGATAATTCATAGCCATTATTGGAAGACATAGTGGATAGCTGTGTTTCTTGGTTGGTTTTTAATATTGAATATATTTCGTTGCTATATTGTTGAGTCTTAATTTGAAACAAATTCCGAAAAACGCATACAATTATGAAACGCAAAATTTAAAATTATCTTAAATTCTAATTCTCAGTTAGAAAATTAATATTTTGAAATTAACAAACAAAAAAATGAGCACATGGAGAAGCTTGAATAGTTAATTCCTAGTGCATAGCTGTAAATTTTTGGATAGTTTTACTTTATCTAGTTATATATATTTATTTAACATACATACAAAAACGTATTTAGAATAACATAAACTTCATTAAAAAAACATAAAACAAGCGAAGCACATAGATCATTAAGTTGGTTTAATTAACTCAAAGGAGCAAAATAATTTCTTATCAACACTCATAATAGCACCATAATTATTAAATTCACCACAATAATTTGGAGCACTAAAAACTGTAACTAATTTTCTTTTATTAAAAAATTCATAACCATCTTCAACAACCATATGACCTCTAACAATTAAATCTAATTTAAATTTAGAACAAAAATAATCAACATGTTTTTTACCAAAACAATAAGAAACTCCTCTGTCATTTTTTGGCCAATTAGTAAGTGAGAAATTTTTAACCAGTGAATCAGGATCTGACCATAATAAATCTGCTAACAAACCTTTATCTGGTACATCAGTTGGTCTTTTAATATTTTCAATTTGTTTAAAATCAGTTAATTCAGGTGATAAACCTCCATGAACACAAAAGATTTTATCATTTATAATAGCAGCTGTTGGTAAAGAATTAAAAACATCAATAAAAGTTTTCCAAATTTTTGTATTTTTTAATCTTCTTTTACATTCATCATAAAATCCATATATTTTAGTTATATTTGCTGATTCATGATTACCTCTTAACATAAAGAAATTTTCAGGATATTTTATTTTATAACATAATAATAATAATATAGTTTCTAAAGATTTTTCACCTCTATCAACATAATCCCCTAAAAATAAATAATTTGAATGAGGTGGATAACCACAACAATTGAAAATTCTTAATAAATCATAAAATTGACCATGAATATCTCCTACAACTTTAACAGGGGGTGATAACCTTAACAATGAAGGTTGATCCATAAAAATTTGTCTACTTTTACCTAAAATATATTTAATTTCATTTAAATCAATTGGTAAAATATCTTTTGATTTTCTTGAATTTGATCTCTTTTTGGTTGATAATAATCTTTCAATTATTGTATCAATATCTATATCTATATTTTTTGTAGTTGGTAATAAAGGTGGAGATACTGAACTTATTGAAGATGAACTTTCAGATTTAAATTTTGTAATTTCTTTAGTAATACTTAATGGAGACGTATAAATTTTTTTAACATTATTATGCTTTTTCAAATTCTCTTGCGATAACTTTTTTGGTTCAGGTGAAGACTCTATTGATTGAGTTTCAGCTATTGAATCCAATTTGTTAATTAATGATAAATTTGGATGTTGTTGATCATTATTATTATTATTATTACCGTTGTTGGCAATATCTAAATATTCTGAATGTTTCTTGAAACTTGAGTTTGTTGAAGAGAGCAGATCACTATCTTTTGATGAATCGTTACCAACAGTTGTAAAAACAGGAGAGGCCGAAATTGAAAAATCCAGTGAACTTAAAGATGATGGTGAATTTTGTTGTTCTTTTAAAATTTGAGCCATAGATAAACCTATTTCTAAGTCATAATTGGTAGGACTAAGGTATTGCCCATTTGTATTTGATCTTGAATTTGAACCTTTTACCTTAGATGAAGGTTTTTTGGTATTATTACTCCTACTATTACTACTATTATTAGTTGAGGAACCTGAATCTGAATCCTGTCTAATAATTACTGGTTTGTGAACTTTATTATCTTTATTATTAATATCAATAGCTGAAGATTTTGAATTTAAATTGATAGTTTTTTCTTCAATATTATCAATTTTTTTATTATTTTTTAAATTTGAATAATCACCCAAATGGGATAGCGCTGGTGGTTTATCTTCAGCTTCTAAATCACTGATAGTACCATTGGATGATAGATTATTATTATTATTTGATGATGATTTTATAGATGATCTCGGTAGGGGTTCATTTTTGGACGGGCTATTTCCCATTTGTTATTATCTATAATATAGATTTAAAAAAATTTAAAAATTAAATTAATGAAGAAACGTGAATATGTATAATATGAATCAGTTAATAAATAAATAATGAAGTTTTTGTCTTTAATCAATATTAATCAGTGATTTCTTTCTAAACAATATTTGTTGTTGTGGTTGTTGATAATTTTGGTTGTCAATAAAAAATGTAACTTATTAAAATATAAATTAATTTTTTTAAAAAAAAAAATGAAAAAAAAAGGGATTTTTTTTTCTTTACTATGTAACTTAAATTTAATATTGAAGTAAGGGAGTACTGTATATAATAATTGAACTTAAACTTTAGTATAACGCATCATTTTGTATATGCCTAATCACCTTTATTTTACATCTAAAGAGAGTAAGATTAATGATATGTGAGAATAAATACAGATTTTGAACCATGATGTTGAAAATACATTTTGATGGCTATCTGGGGGTATTATTTTTAGTCATAAATGCCGATTTTTTGGTTTTAATCAAAATGAATTCAGTAATCCTTGGGCTGATTGAACCACAGTTTTTCCTAAATATTAATATTGCTTCATTCAATGACAGGAATTGTAATCTTGTTGGAGTAACTTAATTTGGTGACATTGGATTGTTCTCCGTAATCAATTCCAAATTCAAAATCTCAAGAATTTTCAAAAGCTTATCAATTTTTGTGAAATGAAATAATCATGTATCAACTAAGCTTTTCAACATATTAAAACTATTTTAAATTATATAAAAGGTAAATCGGATAGATTAATAACTAGTTACATCAGCATTAATTACAGGGTGAGGGAAAATTGTGAAACTAATGCATACTGAGAGACAATAAAGAATTTCTGTAATTATTGTTGAAGATTTTAGCAACTAGACCGATTAATCAATAGTTTAATTGATCGGTGTACAAGGGTTTTCTGCTGATAATATTCAGATTTCACAAGTTGTACAGGATAAAAATACTTTAATGCCGTCAGCTCCCGAATCGTAATCACTAAAGATATAGTACAAACTAAACTTCAACAACCCAAACATAGTGTGATATAGAAAGTGCACCATTTGTTGAAGCATTAAAACATAAGACAATTTCAATACAGAGTTTTCGGTGATGATTTGCATTCATTGAAGTAAGTTTAGTACTAGTTATACATGGAGAACAAAGAATACTTTGTTCGTCTTGTGCGATTTACTAATCTAGAGATTGTTACTATTTAAGTAGTTTTCAGTGATTTTGAAGATGCATTTACGAAGTTTCATTTACTAAAAGTATATACAAATACTTTGTAGACTATAATTTCTCTTGGTTGAAAATCTATTCAAATTTCGTCGTATTTGTCCTCCAAAATTTTAAAGTTTCACATTAATTTACTCAAATCAAGTCAACACGAAATTTTCAATTATTCTGAAAATCTCTTTTGTTCAAAATTAAATAACTTGTTTCAAAATTGTTTTACAAAAACTCAAATTTCTTTCTAAATGATTTAATCTATTTCGATGATTATGAATCAATCTTTAAAAGAAATTTATTAATGTAAACGACTTGTTTATCTATAGCTACTACAAATTTAGTATTTCACTCCAGAAGTAGTTAAGAACTCGTTATGGTGTTCAACTACATATTACTCTTTTTTAATTTTCAATAATATTACAATTAACTATCGTTTGAGACATTCTATTATCTTTGCTCCATACAACTTGATGGCCATTTTCATTTAGATTGGAATTCTTGATAACAGTTGAATCAACTTCATTTGGTCTTGTTGAAGAAAGAACAAGATCAATAGCACCTAGTAATTCATCAAAGTACAAAAAGAATCTAGGATTCTTTTGATTTATAACATCTTAATAACTAATTGATAAAATCGAATCTGAAAAAAAACTGGATCGAAAATTAACTGTTTTGCTCCATCAACTTTTAATAAGTTCATCTCTGTCTTATTTCTGAAAATACTCTCATGTGATTCAAAACTCCTTTTCTCTATTAATTGACATTGACATTGATTTTAACTTTTAAAACAAATAAGAAATAATATGTTGATGAAATGCTGATGAGTGCTAAAATATCAACAATTATAAATACCATTCTTGATTGATAAAACCAACAAGTAATACAAGTTCGGATCCACGTCAAACATATTAATATGTATTGATAAAATCGTTTATTAGTGTTTGTTATAAAATAAGTTGACATTATTGACTATATAGTCTTTCATTCTTTCATTATTTCTTTCTTTTCTCTAACTTATAAGAGAATATTGATTGTCTGGTTTAACAGTTCTCACTTTCTCTAATTTATATTTAATACCAATTCATCTAATTTGAATGGGTAATACAAATAGATTGTTGACTGGGGGTTTACATCTAATTGGTAATCAACACGACCTCAACTAAAACAACTCTCAAATATTTGATCTATTCGACCCTTGGTAGTTTGATTACCATTGGTTTCAATTTGGTGGGGGTTGCAAATTTATAACTTGAGGGTCTAAGGGAGTGCTTCAAAATTTTTAGATTTATCAACTGAATCAGGTCAATTACTGAAAAATAAAGCTACTCAGGGAAGAACAATTTTAATATCATTATGCTATAACATATACGGACCTGACAATTTTTATAAATTGTTTTCACTTGGTGAACAAGGAGAAGTGCTAAACATACTTTTGTAACAGTTGCGACCGTTAATCATCAATCATTTATTAAATCACCAGGCTATTTTAATAAAGATGGTGAATTAGAAGGGGTTGCAAAGGCTCAAAAGAATCCACTAGTTGATGAACAATTATTCAGTGATATAATAGTTGATTATTTCGAAAAACTTGGTAGAACCATGAGTGTTGCAGATCAAATTAACAGACTTGGTGCCCTAGCTCAAGATGATTTCAGTAGTCATTATGGAGTACCAATATTTGCATTACATTGTAATCATCCTAAATTAGATCCATTGGTATATAATATATGACAAAAGAAGATACTATTGGTTCAACAGGAAACAAATTGAAATATATATTATATAATAAATTATGATAAGATAATAGCAAGCAATACTGGTCAAGAAGATTTAACAAAAACTGATTTTGAGTTCGAACAATGGCTACATATGAGGGATGTACATTGAAAAAAGCTACAACTTGAACATTTTAAAAAGAGTGATATTGATCGAGTATGTGAATTAATTAATAATCAAGTCGAATGGTTAAAACGCAGATATGACAATATTAAAACACTTGTTTACTTTGAAGTAAGTTATTAATGATACATTTGGTGGACTACCCAATTGTTTCTTGACTTATTTTAAATCTCTAATTAGGCTTAACAGGCTTATTTGTTGGATGTATTCGGCTCTTTTGAAGTACACATAACAAGTCTTTTAAAAACGCACAACAAAAAATATATTAGATCTTGGCATAAATTAATATATCTGAAATACGCATCTAAAAGATCTGAAACAAATACATTATATTTGTTATATCCGATAAGCCAAATTGCATAACATAAAAATTCTATGACCGCATATCAAATAAAAGCATTTTAGCATAACAGAAAAACAACTTTAGCATATCAAAATAGCAAACTCAGCATAACAAATAAACCACTGTAGCATAACAAATAAATCACTTCAGCATAACAAATAAACCACTTTAACATAACAAATAAACCTCTTTAGCATAACAAAAAGACAAGTTTAGCATAACAAAACAGCAAACTCGGCATAACAAACAAACCAGGTCAGCATAACAAATAAACCTTGTTACGCGTATCAAATAAACCATTCTAGCGTATCAAACGATTCCACGTACACTGAACAAAAATTAGCTAACGATGTTCAGGGCCCCCTAAGTCGTTGTTGGACAAACTCAAAGAATTGAATAGCGTAAAGCTAGACACTGGCGGGGTTCGTTGAAACCGCTAAAGTGTAAAGTCTGGCAAAAGTAGAAAGAGGTAAACTTTTTGATCTCATTAAAGATATTTGATATATATACTAATAACAATTACGCTGGTAAATATTGAGATTCAATATAAATACTTTTAGATTTGGTTAATTACAAAACTACATAAACTGTAAATTAAAAAACTTGATCAACAACTTATTATTTCCCTCTCCTAATATAATAAATAACAACCTTCAACTACACTTTATGGGTTTAATTTGGAGTCAATTAATTTTAGTAATTATCGCAAGAATGATATTTGTTAACTCACCAACAAGTACAAACATTTCTTTAATGAGCGTTTCAAAATTTTTCCCTATGTCTTCCGAACTAGTGGCATATACAATGTTGTGCATCTTGATAAAACGAAATACATCCGTACCCGAGAACTACTGACACTACAAGATCTCCTAATGACATATTTCTTAAGATACAACTTATAATCATTTTATCTCGGGCAGCCATTTGATCATTTTTCCAACTCCATGCTAATTTGGTTAACTACTCAAAAAGCAGCATAAACAAGCTCGTCATTTTGGTGTTTACATAGAAGGTCCTCAACATTAAAAACTTTTGCAAAATCTCGGATCTTAAAATAATGAACACGAACTTCGAAATATAACAAAAAATTATACAAAACGATCAATACAACTTATAATTGTTTTTATTTAAGCACAAGCATTGCCTGCAACTAAATGCAAAATTTTAAAATCAATCGAAGGACAAATCTTATGTTGAAAATCAATCAAGTGCTTTATTGAAGAAGAAAGGTCAACGAAACAATCTGAGGGCAAATCGACTTTAGACAATGAAAAAACCAACTCAAGCTTTACAGTGAAAAAGAGCTTAACGGTTATTCACAAATCTATACAAATACCAGTAAATCATCATTTTTGTAGAATTCCGAACTTACTCTACTTCAAGAACTTATTAAAGATATTACAGAGGCATGAGTTTTCTGCTTGCCATCGCTGTAACCTTAAAAATCGTTGAATGAAATCATCTTATAGAAATAAGTGGTGTTGTGATATGAACACATTCTCCAGCTAGTTGGCAAATATAACCTACAGTTTTTTAACAAAACTTTTTTCCCACTTGTCAACTAAAAATCCAAGACTTCATAGATTCTAGGCTTTTAACACCACTTACAGAGCTACAAGACGGGCAATTTTTTTTCTCCACAATTAAGTTAGCCCTACCATGGTGTTGTAATAAAAATCTAAAATTTTAACCAAGCAAAATGCAACAAGCTTGCTCAACTTATTGATCTGTATAAAAAAATAAATTTTGGTTCAGATTTCAACGATACCCACCATACATAATTTAATTCGACCCTGTTCTTGCATGTACACTATATCAACATCAATGTTACAAACGCATTTAATAAATGATTACCAATATAGTGGTTTTGTTTGCTCATTCGTAATCGTTCTATGCCATCATGCTATTCTGAATTCGATACAATTCAAATCAGTACTGAGTTTAGGTGCGTTAAATACGAGCACAACTTGTTTGCTCAGTTTTACATATGACGTCTAACATCATTGTGAATGATGCATTGCAATTATATTAGCTACCTAGCAATGCAGAAATATTTATATTGTTGAACTAACCGGTAACATCTTTGTCGTATTTACCATAATAGTCTTACGACATGAATCGAGAGTAATTGGTTTTTTTAGTGGAAAAGAAAAAATTAAAGGGTTGTAATCGGTATTTATGTTGGACTAAGTTGAATAAAAATATCATCAACAATTTCCAATATGTATTTTATATAGTTTTATAATTAGCAAAATGAACAATAAAAAATTCATTTTAATATTGATAAGTATGAGCAAAAATACTAATAATGTCAGACTAAATTTCAATTACACTCAATGTAGGCAAGAGCAGCCATCCTTCAAGGTATCATAAATCATACTTCTGTAGTTGAGATATAGACTAGAAATTACAGATGTTTCATTTGATTCATACGTATCAATTTTTTCGCATCAGTTATCTTGGTAATGAATGAAAATTGCGCTCGTATAAATAGAGACTGCAAATACAATTCTATTCTTGTGCTTCTTGGCTAGCAGATGTAATTCGTCATTATATGCAACAATTATCTGATACGTCTAGGTGGATTGCCTAACTGAAGAGTTAAGCAGTAGTATTATCTGACCCTATGCTATACGCTTGAAAGATTTAATTAATGTGCACAATAAGTTTTAATTGTGATGCTGAAATTGTTTGATTGCTACCTTGAAGTTGTTCACTTGTTATGCTGAGTTATTTTTAGCTAAAGTGTTTTATTTAATATGCTAAAACTGTTTATTTGATTTAGCAGAGTCAATCGTTGATATATTGGGGGTTTATTTGTTTTTGGAAATAGACAATTTGCTATGCTACAACAGTTTGCTTGTAATGTCAAATTATAGTGTCACGCTACTAGGACTTCAAATTTGAAGAGGTAAATTTGTGGTATGTGAGGGCAAAAAAAGTGTCAAACCAAATATACCGACATAATTTTATCGCAAAAAGTATTTAGAATTAGATTAGGTGATAGTTGCCAAAAGGCTGCACTTATAACCTTCAATTGTATACGACAATCAATAATTTTATTAGGAGACCTCCATACACTACTGAGCTCAATCTTAGTTGGTTGTCCTTTTGTCTTGAAACTTCTATAACAGGTCTCAAATTTCGCTACTATCAATTTAAGTTGAGTCAATTGAAGGCAAATCCTCAGAGCTTTAATGGTCAAACTTGAGCGAGGTTACACTTCAGCTATGCTGAGCTTCAATTTTTGACCATTATAATCAAAATGACATGATCATGAGCTGATTGCCATATCAAATTTATGGCTGACTCAAAATTGAAAAAGTTTACATGCATGTATGAACTATTTTTGTATAACTTCATCTTAGTTGTGATCTATCATATCATGTAATGAGCCATCATTCCACAGTTTAAGCCTATTGTCATACTTATTAATGTTTGCAGTTTAGATTCTATCATTATTATGTAGAATTTTTCAACCTGAAGTTGATTAATTCGATACCACTTGTAAAAAATCTTTCAGTATATCAAAAATTTAAAAAGTCTAGCATATCTGGGATACTGTTCTACCTGACGCCACGCTCAAGTATTCAATATGTATCTCCTTCTGCGCACCTGCGTACTTCGCCTGTCATTCAAAATATAAAAAGTCAATGCCACCAATGCCAATCGTTGACTTGAGCTGTAGGCTAATCTTTGACGGGGAGTGTTTTATTCAGTGCAACATCTTTAAGTATTTATATAATCAAAATACTCAATTAAGGACATCAAAGAACAATAAAAGAACAACATGTCAAATAATGCATAACAAATTATCAGCAGAATATAAACTGGGATCTAGCAGATCCAGCATAACAAAAGACTTGGATATAGCATAACATAAAACATAATCCAGCATTACATAAAACGTAGTCCCAGCATAACATAAAACATGGATCCAGCATAACATAAAACACAGATCTAGCATAACATAAAACGTAGTCCCAGCATAACATAAAACATAGATCCAGCATAACATAAAACATAGATCTAGCATAACAAAAGACTTGGATATAGCATAACATAAAACATAATCCAGCATTACATAAAACGTAGAACAGCATTACATAAAACATGGATCCAGCATAACATAAAACACAGATCTAGCATAACATAAAACATAGATCTAGCATAACATAAAACGTAGATCTAGCATAACATAAAACATAGATCTAGCATAACATAAAACGTAGATCTAGCATAACATAAAACGTAGTTCCAGCATAACATAAAACATAGATCCAGCATAACATAAAACATAGATCTAGCATAACATAAAACGTAGATCTAGCATAACATAAAACATAGATCTAGCATAACATAAAACGTAGAACAGCATAACATAAAACATAGAACAGCATAACATAAAACGTAGATCTAGCATAACATAAAACATAGATCTAGCATAACAAAATACATAGATCTAGCATAACATAAAACGTAGAACAGCATAACATAAAACATAGATCCAGCATAACATAAAACGTAGATCTAGCATAACATAAAACATAGATCTAGCATAACAAAACACATAGATCTAGTATAACATAAAACGTAGAACAGCATAACATAAAACATAGATCTAGCATAACATAAAACATAGATCTAGCATAACATAAAACATAGAACAGCATTACAAAAAACGTAGATCTAGCATAACATAAAACGTAGATCTAGCATAACATAAAACATAGATCCAGCATAACATAAAACATAGATCCAGCATAACATAGAACATAGATCCAGCATAACATAAAACATAGATCTAGCATAACATAAAACGTAGAACAGCATAACATAAAACGTAGATCCAGCATAACATAAAACATAGATCTAGCATAACAAAATACATAGATCTAGCATAACATAAAACGTAGAACAGCATAACATAAAACATAGATCCAGCATAACATAAAACGTAGATCTAGCATAACATAAAACATAGATCCAGCATAACATAAAACGTAGATCCAGCATAACATAAAACATAAATCCAGCATAATATAAAACATAGATCTAGCATATCAAATTAAAGCGTTGAACTGGCTATAAGCAGATTCGAGCAAGCGTGCTTTATAACCTCTGACATTGTACTGACCACTTGGCCATTGATGAATCAAGATCTGATTGGAAAATTATTTGAATAAATTTCACCCGAGATCTCCAGCCGAGACCGAATGTTTGGGAATTCAATCTAACGACACGACATTGGTAATATACTTTTATACAATTTAATATATTACAATTTGAATATCCTTTCTAATTCCTTTGTACATCTACCAATCTCTAACTTTCTCCAATTGATTTCAAAATTAAATGCTTAGGAACACGCTGCTTTACTGCTTTCCTGAATCAATTTAGTGTTCCTCTTTGCATTTGTGTCTATTTACCATACAATTATTTTGATTCTCCACATTTTATCCCAGAATCAAAAATGGTACCTCTATCTTCACTAGATCTGCTATCTTTTATTAATCTTTGTTGTAGGGCGCTGAACTAGAATAACGGCAGTTTCTATCTATGGCCAGATTTTCATTAATTTGTACTAATTTTCGACCAAATTTTAACACAATTATTGTTGGAACCAACTCTTTTAAACCAGATTTACCGTTCATCCATCTACTTGCCCTTAAAGTAATGCTAGAATTCCTAAAAGAATTTCACTATCCTCGAACTTGGAACAATGGTAGCCTAAATTATACTACTCTACCCTCAGGCCCTACTCAAACTATTGAGGATGACTCTAGAATTGTTGATCGACCACTCATAGTAGACGATTAAAACTTTGTGGATGTGTAGAAGTAGCTGTGATAAAAATGAGATGCTGATTGTTGTTGTGAAACAAATGAGATTACTGAAGTAAGAATTGAATTTTTTGATTTTAAGTAAATATTATTTTCCTCTAATTAGGTTTTGCGTCAAGTCGTGAATATGAAGAAAGGAGATCTGCTAAACCTATCATTATCAGGATCTGTGATATGTAAAGAACACCTTATTTACGAATAGAAATAGCTATATCGACGAATTCTGGTGTTTGGGTTGTGCTGGTTTCAGCGTTCAGCGTCAACGTCATTTTAGAATTATACTTACTTCAACACTTGTCTTCAACCTAATTTAATTAAAATTTGCAGCAAAAAAAAAATAAAAACTAGCTTATTACTATGTAGCACAAATTCAAACTTTCAAGACTTCAGATCTGATCCCAACGCCTTCTGTACCTTAAATCTAAATCAGATCAGATCCCAGGGGTGTGTTGTACCTTAGATCTAGAGTAAAACAAACTAAATGTTAGATCTGGCCCGCTCTCAACCACAGTACATACAGGCATCTTGATTATGCCATTCTTCAGAGTCTGACCACAACATTACACCAATTTTTAAAGGATCTCTCTATGCCATAACAGAAATATAACTACTAAATTACCGTAATAATAAATTTGGGCTCAAGATTCCAGTACCACCGTGAATCAGAATCAGTTTCAACATTACCGCAAAAGTTAAGTTTATTAGAGATCTCGTTGGATCTTGACGTCAGATTTGAAACACTAGACTGCCATAAATATGTCTTGGAATGATTGCAATGTGTTTTGTATTTGGTAAGCTTGGCGGACATCTAGTAAACATGTAAAGTATTGAGAGAAGAAGAAAAAGAAAAATAAGCCAAGTATAGAGCAATCAACACAAAACATGTCTAAACGTTATTAGAAAATATACAGTTTATCTTGTATTAAGATGTTGTTATCATTATTGATTATGGCTAAACCTTTCTCTTTGAAAAGCTTCAAAATTAGACACTTATCTAATGTTTCTGGGTTGAGTTGGGTGCGAAAATATTGTTTAAACTAGTCTTTAAGTTAAATCAGACATCGAGGTCTAATTTCCAAAATTTGCTGATTTTAGCACATTCATTATTTACATAAACATTTTAGACGCTAATATACATCTCTTTGCATCAAAACTATTTCTCTGAAGACACAAGCAAAATGTAAATTGTTGCATTGATTCATTTGAAATTTAGAATCTAGAATCTTGTATCTTTAAATATAAGTTGAAAAAAATGTCAGATGAAGTCTGCTTTAAGCTCTATTTTTTGGGTTCTCTGAAATTTAGGTATCTGATCAGTGATTCTAATTTTTCTTCATTCCATAGCCTAATTCATATTGCTAATATATTTAAGCTGAATGTTCAAGGCACCTAATTAACACCTGATACAGTATTTGAGTCCGACATCCAAACTTCAACATCCGTGCACCAGCTTTTTGATCCGTTTTTATCCGCTGCTTAATTATGAGGTGTGAGGAGAAAAACGGGGAAAATTCAAATCCAATTGCAACATTACCGCAATAATTAGTTTCATTTGAGATCCAAACATATTTGAAACACCTCAAAACCACCATATTTATACTTGAGGATAAATAGCCATTTGATTCTAAATTGAATGCTGTTAACATAATTAAGAAAACGTTCAAAATTGGGTATATCTTTATATAGATCATCATTAATCTATCATTAACAAGTATTGCTGAACCTTAACTTTCGAAACAATTCAAAATGTGATGCTCGTTTTTGAATTTATATAACCTGAATTTTTTATTTTGATTAAAATTTTTGAGTAAACACTCATAAAGCAAGTGTTGGTTCAACTTGATAATTAACGGGTTACAGTCTTCTATTAATATCAAAATTATATGAATGGGGCATATTGGTCAAGCATTCTTGTTTTTTAGGTTTTGAAAATTCTCACTACCTCAACACTATTACCATTTTGAATTAAATTTTACATTGTCCCCTATCTGAAAACATCCGGCTTAGCTTAATTTTTCCCATTTACTATTTCATCTTCTTCTGCTTGAGAAATTTGTTTGGCATTTCCTCCTACGTTTTCCAATAAATTTTTCACTACCCAGTCTATTTCAGAATTTTGTAAATTATTTGCAATAACACTAATAGTATTAACCTTTTGTCCCATATGTGGATAGCTTCCAATCTTTAAAACCCCTTTACCGTATTTTAAATCACAATCATTTTGTAATTTGGTTAAGTATGGAGCCAATCCTGATTCACCAGTTTTAGTTAATACATATCTTCTGATGAGGTTATTCGAGTTTATCCTTGGTTTCAAATATGTCTCCAAATCATTTACTAATCTTGTAAAAAGTTGTGGAATTCCAGGTAAAATATAAATTTGCTCATTTATGACAACAATTGGAAACCATAGTTCGTCATCAACAAATATTTTTCTAACTTTGGTTTGAGATCCAAATTTTTCTGTGGGTAAAGTAGCCATTTTATAAAATGCATTAAGTTGATCTTCGTTTAATTTGGATAAGTATTCCTTTCTAAGCTTTTGCATTCTATCTACCACTTCTTGATCCAATGCATAGTCCAAGTCAAAATAATCAGCAATAACTTTGTAAGTTATATCATCATGAGTACTTCCTAATCCACCAGAAGTGACTATAAAATCTATATTATCTTGACTTATCAAGTTATTCAATGATGTTACAATGTCATCTGTTTCATCTCCACAAACTATTGTTCTTTTAAGTGGGATAGAAAGATTATTAAAACAAAATTTAGCAAAATTGTATGAATTTGTATCCAATATTTTCCCATTTAATACTTCATCACCAATTATTAGACACCCAGCGTTTTTAATGACGGGAAGTTGAGTCAGCAGTGTCATTGATCTATTTAACGTTGAATTGATATTTTTGAAAACTAGTCTATACGATATAAAATTCTTCAAGGATGATACCTTAAAATAATTCATTCAATTTAATTTCAATTAAGCAATTTATTATTTAATTTTACATAGCTTTACTTTTGTGGCAGCACTTAAATGTGAGTGCTCGTAAAATGTCGGATCTTTGTTAAAGAATTTGCAACCATGTACAGGATCAGATCTGAAATATCCCACATTGGTAATAAGGAATCAAGTCTTGGATATCGTAGTGATTTCTGTCTGCGAGATTCGGACACTATATCTCATATAATCCATTAACATTATTCAAACCTTTTTCAAAATTACAACATGGAGATCATCAAAGACAAAGGATACACAAAAATGCAAATTCATTAATCATATACAAATACATATAAATCAAATTAAAATTTATTTAATTTAACGTTGATATTGTACAATACCTTGACCATTACTATTGATCATTTAATCTCAAAGTTTCTCTTTTATCTACATCAAAAATACTATTTTCTTTTACGTCCGAATCATAATATGATAACGCTGGATTTTGAAGTTCAGTTAATGGATCGTCTTTAATTAATTTAATCATAGAATTTTCCCCATAATTTACACCATACGATGCACTGATTGGTATAACACCTTGAACCCAAGCATCTACAATTCTAGCTCTTTGTTTAGTTCCAAGTCTTGAAATAGGAAATTCTCCTTTTTTGATAAATGCAACAACATCAATAATTAAATGATGTTTACTTAATACTGTATTTATGATCAACGGAACTAATGATGCAAAATATCTAGTTCTTTTAGATTCACAAACTACCACAGTATAATCTGAACATCTAAATACACAAGATCCATTTTTATAAATATCAGCATGACAAAATTCTATTGTGTTTTCAATATCTATAGGGAAATGATGTAATCCCATAACTTCAAATGTATCAGCAATTTTACCTAATATGAAAAGTGGTTGAAAGTATGAAACTTCCTTGTCATTGTCATTTGAAGTGTTTTTAGTAATGGAAATGTTGTGTAGAAATCCCAAATCTCCAGTTCTTAAATATGTGACATCTGGATTACCATCTTCTATAACTCCATTAAATTGAACTTGAGAGAGTTGATCAATTGGACCCTTTGGACCATTAGTAAAAGAAGTTAAGTTAGCTTCAGAACAAACCCAAATTTCACCATATTCACCTTCTTTACAAATTTTTCTTGTTTCAGGATTGACTATCGCGACTTCAGTACAAACTGGAACCATACCTGAATCTTGGATATGTAAAGCATTTGGAACTTCTGATTGATTTACAACTGATACATATCCTTGTCTTAGAGCAACTGGATCCAAGTATAAATCTACTGGTGCAACCGTCATATAGGATCTAGTTGAAATCATTGGATTAAAATAATGATTGTGAACAGTTGACATGGAAGCGGCACTTAATTTAGTTGGTTGGAAAACTCTTGCAATTTTTCTTAATAAATCTACTTCAACTCTATTTTCTGTACTAATCATCATATTCTTCAATAAATTTAAATTAAATCCCTTTGGTGCGAATTTTATAGCAGCATACTTTAACATCTGTTCAGTTACAAAAACATCTTTCACCTTGTGTCTAGCAAGTGTTAAAAAAAATGATAAAGGATTTTCAGCGTAAGTAACTGGAGAACTTAAATACGTGGTTGTACCTAAAAATACCCCTAAAAGACAAGTTTGAACAAATCCAATACCTGATGCATGTCTAACACATCCAACGATTGAAGATTGAGAACTCAAGTTACAAGTTTCCTTGAAAACTTTACAGATTCCGATGATATTTTTATTACTCAATGTAGCACCAACACGATAATGATCTGATGTAAAATTTAGCCAGACCAAAGCTATCTTATTTCCAATTTTACCTTTTGTGCTTCCCAGAAAAATTGCAACTTTATGAATTAATGATCCAACATTTGACACTTTACTAAGCTTGGTTGTGTTTTTAATCTTCAATGATTTGACCTTTTTGTGGGTAATTTTTTTCAAAGAATCAGCAACAGGTCCATTTTTTAAGAATTTTTCAACTTCATCATTTACTAAAATTTCTGAAATATCAAAATCACGGATGACACCAACAAATGCAGGAAAATCTTCACCAATTCTGTTAGAATCAAAGGGCAACATTGGCACTGGAATAATACCACACATAAAACAAGCAAAAACAGCGACAACAAAGTCTTCTGATAATGAATACATTAAAATAGTGAATTGACCTGCCTTTAAACTTGTCTTTTCGATCAAATATTGACATACAGCATAAACTTTAAGTTCAAATTTTTTCCATGTTAAAGGTTTATTTTTACCACCAACTTCAACATTCTGAAATGCAATTGCATCACCACTTTTGCTCACTCTATATTTTAAAATATCTTGAATAGATTCAAAGTCACTTAAAACTAATCCGGTTTTTTCATCAACGGATTTTGGACGATAATCAATTGCAGAATATTGATCTGGAAAATTTTGTAATGCTTTATTTCTGAGTTCTGAAACATATGGAGACCAAATACCACCAATTATATCCTCCCCATGAGGAATTAAACTGATTGATTTTCTGACAAAAAATTTTACAAAATCAGCTTTCAATGTTCCTTCCAAAAACTTCTTTTTACAAAGCATGTTAGCTATTTCTCTTCCACCACTTCTCATAATTTTAGGTAACGTATCACAATCAACCACCAATACACAATAAAGTCTTAAAAAATGTTTCTTATAAAGGGTATCAAAACACCTTTGAGCTATTGCATTCAAGACAGGCTCATTTAATGGAACACCAGTTGCGTAATCCTGCTCTCCATTCTTTGTTCTAGTACCTCCCGAGTTACCAGCTTCAGTTCCATTCAGATCATCAAATTGCTTTCGTATAACTTCAGCTTCAACTATTGCAACTGGTAAATATTCATTTCCAACAAATATATCAAAAATTGTACAATCATATAATTGTTTAACTTCACTGGCTAAAGTAGCTAACAAATGGGAAGAGTAATGATATCTTGATCCAGAGGTTTTCAATAATTCTTTATTCATCTTTTTGAATAATGCATGATCTATCCAACTAACCCTTTGCCTTATTCTATCTTCATATAACCCTAATACGTAAACTTTTCCATTAAATGTAAATCCTAACAATCCAGTTCTTAAAAAATCCATTTCTAAAAAACCATTTGGACCTCGACATTTCGCATGAAATATCAGTTTTGATTCTTTTCTTAGTCCATAGAATCCCCCAGAAAGACAAGGACTGTCGATCCATATTTCACCTAATTCACCTTTTTGAACCAAAATACCCAGTTCAGGATTTACAACAGCCAAAGTTGCATCAGGAAGAGGATAACCAAATGCATCAACTCTTAAAACATCACTACCAATTTCATCTGAAGTTGACGGATTTGTTTCCACAATTTTTACCAAGTTCCTAGTCAAACAATCTTTGTCAATTAAAACTGATGATAAATCATTTGAATCTTCCTCAGATATTGTAATTCCCATTCTATCTTTACCACCCAACCAATCCCTTAAGGAAATTACCATCCCACCATATTCACTCAAGGTTAACATTGGTATAATTGCATTTTCAGGGTGTTGACAACCAAGCGGTCTTAAATATCTTTGAGATAAAATTTCCATAAATTCACCATCAATAGTCAAAGCATTGACCAATACCCATTTGACTGATGAAAAATCAACACTTTGAGTTTTTGAAAAATATCTAGTAGCACTGGGAGATTGTTGGTAATCATATGTAACTCTTTTTAACCCCAAATAATCAGCTAGAAGCAACGATGCCCTACATTTTGTAATTATGTTGGCGTACAAACCTTGTATTTCCATTACCCTTTGAGGAGCCCAAAATAGAACATTCCCCGAGTATACTGTAAATAAAACACCCAAAATTAACCCAATGGAAAATCGAATATCCAAAGTAGCTAGTACTACTTTCTTATTTCCTCGATATTCTTTCAAATTTCGACGTAGTCCTCCACCAGAATTTGGCAAACTCAGAAGAGCTGCATCTAAACATTGCATTTGATGTGAGATTGTTCTATGACTTAATGCTATTCCCCTTAATTCTCCCACAGGAGATCTAGAAAATTCAATATAAGCTAAATTCATTGATGGAGTTTTTTCTCTTTTACTATTTTGTTTCAAATTCCAATATGATACTTCTGATTTCTTTGCTGATCCAAAATCAGTAGTTCTCCATCTCAATAATTTCGAGGGCCAATGGATTCTCAGATTTTGAGCATTTAATCTATCCAATTCTTTGGCGACTGTTTCAGAATATAACAATAATTTTGATGATGTTAAATTTAAAATGTTTAAAACTTCTGACAATGAAATATCTTGATGTATGGGTATGGCAGTAACACCCGCTATAAAACAACCAAATAATGCCGTTACAAATTCTGAAACTTCACCATCCTTATATAACAACACAACAGTGTCTGTATTTTTTGTAGAAACTTTATGACGAATTTCATAAGCAATTTTTACAGCTTTTAAATACAACTTTTCCCAAGTAATACTATTCACTTCTTTACCTCTTGAGTCCAAAACAACAAATGCTAAATCTGCTTTATAAGTTCCTGCTCTTGCAGCTAAAATTTCTAATATGTCATCACTATTTCTATAGTTTTCTGAAAACGATGCTGCTGGTCTTCTTGGATTTAGTGGCATTTCCAATAATGCAGGATCAAGCGGTTGATAATCTTCATTTTGCTTTTGATGTAGTTTATTAATGGTTTGCATTATCTCTTCTCTTCGATTTATATAATTCCATTGATCTATAGTTTTATTTATTAAAAAATCTTCATCCAACTTTTGTAGTAAAATAGCTAAATCTGGTGGTATATCAGCATTTGAATTTGAAATACTACCAGTTCCTATACCTGGAGATAAGCCAGAAGAATTTTCCATTATTGATTTTGGATCATTTATTGTTAAAGTACCTAAACCTGGATGAATAGCTGCTACTGAACTTGATCTCAGTCTTGGTCCTGAAATATGAATTGAATTCAAATTCGGTTGAGACATTATTAATTTTTGTAGTGATTATGGTATGATAATTTATTTCATTAATTCAAATTGAGTATATTATTGGTATAAACAGTTGGTTGAAGTCCTTTGTAAAATTTTGAGAGATTGTAAGTGAAGTAATTGTTGTTATTGTTTTTAAATATATTAATGATTTTCGTAGTAGTTTTTTGATATGTATATTGTTTTGTTAACAGCACTAATTAATTAATACTTGAATAATAATAATCTGATTATGATAACTATAAATGGTGAAATATGTAAATTTTTTTATTTTTGTAACTTCTTTAAATTTTTCTTTATTTAATTTGCAATCATCTAATAATTACATAAGTATTTAATCATTCAAGACTCAAACTATATATCCTACTTGAGATTCTGAAAATCAATTTATTCAACTACTCATATTAATTATTCATAAGTCGTTAATTAATCAAACTGCTTTTTGTGAAAAATTCCACCCATTTCAAAGATCAAATCTCTCATATTTTAGTGGGATCATCTCACATCAAGATTTACTAAACAGATCAAATCAAGAAATCATACGACCATATATCCAGAATGCTACGACTAAGATATAAAATAAGCATAAATTTGCGCAAGCAAATCAAATTACCCCAACGTTTTTTGTACGTTCCTAGATCAATAAATCCTTCAACCATACCAACATTAGACGGACTACTACCTTTTAGTGAAAATCAAGATCCAATAGAAAAAAAAATTCAAATCAAAAGGAGAATGCTACGCAACCGTAGTCTTGAATCAAATAATAGAGAAAATAAATCAAATTTAAGCGAAGACTTAAAATCTTTAAGAAGTTTGTCATCAGTAATCTCAAATCGAATCAATGGTATCGCACAAACTCCAGATGAAAAGCTAGACCCAAAATTAACTGACCTCATCTACGACGATCTAGATCTTGCGAACAGATCTAATTCAGGAAACACTGAAGTTTCAACTGTATTTAAGAAAGATGCAATAGAATTGCCAGAAGAAATTACTACTAGAATGGGTTTAGCTGGTACATATTTAATACCAAGTGATGGCACAACTACACCAAATTGGAATTTAATAGTGTCTCAACTTCAGCTAGGTGGAGGGTTCTCAAATTTATCTTCTTCAACTGTTCATAAATTCATAAAATCAATCCCAATACGTGATTTAAAATATTTAATACCAATCTTACAAAAAATGTGCTCAAGTGCAAACATAGAACTTCAAAATAAGACGAATTTATTATTTTTCAAATCTTTAGCAATAGGTGGAAGACTATCTGAAGTTGAAATGGAATTAATGGAAAATTATTTCGAAAAATTTGCATCTTTAAATGAACTTAAACTTGATGTTTACGAAACAATGATCTGTGCTTATACTAAATTTGGTAACATGAATAAAGTAGAACAATTATTAAAAGAAATGAAACTTAACAAATTAGAAATTTCAAGGTCAATTCTCACTTCAATCCTTCAAGGTTATATATTTTATGAAAAAGATTTTAATAAAGCTTTAGAAACATTTGATGCTATGAAATTTTTATCAACTACAACTCAACCAAATAGTAGAACTTATACAGATATGATAATTGCTTGTGTAATGAATAAAAAAATAGAAAAAGCCTTAGATTTATATCAAGAGATGTTAGATCATAGATTAAAAATTAATCAAAATACATTAGCAGCATTAGCAAAAGGTTGTTCAAAATCTAAACAATTTTCATCAAAATCTTGGGATTTTATTTTTAATATTTATGATCAAGGAATTTCACCAAATTTACAAACAATTGAATGTATGTTGAATATCTCTGGTTTGGAAGGTGATGTTGATCTATCAAGAGCTTTGTTTCAAAAATTAGCTGAAAGTGGATCAATAACATCAAAATCAATTGTATTTTTAATGATGTCTTATTCAAATTATCTGCCAACTAAAAAAGTTAATAAAATTATGGAAAATGATAGAGGTCGATTATTTAGAGAAAATATGATTGAAAAAGTTGACTTTTTTGCTTTGCAAAATGATTTTCCTTTCCTTCCTGTCAAACATTTGTCATCTGATCAGTTAGTTCTTGCAGAGTCTTCTGCGTTGATTACATTTATTGTTGAATTTAGACCGGAATTAATAAGTTATCAATTGGTTTCTTGCTTTTTAAATATAATTCTCAATTTGGGTACTTTTGATCAATTTAAAACGACTTACAACAAAACAACATTTCCTATTTTGGAAAAGCAACCTAGACAAATTTCCACAGACATCATAATTGAAGAAGCAGATTCAAAGTTCGATCACCAGGTGATTAACAATGACATACCACACCAAATCAAGGACAATGACAATCAACTAAACTTTAACAATCAGGCAACAAAACTTCCAAGAGACACCATTATTCATATTATAGCTTTAAGAGCTGCTGCTAAATTTAAAAATTACGAATTTGCAGATGAAATTATTTTAGAAAGAGGACAATATAGAAAATCAAGCAATTTCAAATCATTGAACAAAAAAGAACAAACAAAGTCAGATTTTGAATTTAGTAAAGCATTGGTCAATTTTTATATCAAATTGAATATGTTAAATGATGCATTAGCTATTGTTTTACTGTCAGAAGATAGATTTCAATGGAGTTGGAAAGAATTAGGCGGTTTGGTCGGAGCTGCACTAAAGATTGACGACTTTAAAATGGCTGAAGATGTTAAAACTGTATTAAGAAAGTCAAAGAATAAATACATTAAATAAAATTATTATTTAAATCTGTAAATAAATTGTATATAATATTAAAGAATTAGACTTTAAAATTTCAATTTTTATTGACTCTAAATACAAGTTATATGTAGAATATATACATGGACATTGAAAAAATTTCCAGACCATCCTCATAAATTATTGGTTGAAGTCAACGGAAAGCCTGACCAAATTATTTAAGAAATGATACTCAAAACACCAGACTTCTTGATAATTTTTTTGATGGATCCGGGCAAATGTTTTGATACACTTTCATTCTGTTTTAAAACTTTTATTAGATCAAAATCATTTTGATTAATTAAATCCTTCTGTGCTAAAATTGTCCCTCTAGATTTCCCATTAATAAAAATATTAAAATTTTGAAATGAAGTATCAATTGGTTTATCAGTTGGGAAACTGTATTTGAAAATTGAAACCGTTTCCTGAATTCCATCAAACAATTGTAATGATTCCCAACATTCTTCAGCTGTTGCTGGTGTGACTGGCGCCATGCAAAGTAATAATTTCTCATATGAATTTCTAATTAAAGGATATTGATATGTATTGGATTTGGTTGCATTGTATATCAAGTTTGTCATCTTCATCAAGTCAGATACAATCGTATTTAATGAAAAGTCAATATCTATTGATTTAGCAATATTCTGAGTCAAGTTTTGAATTTGATTGTAAAATAAAAACTCTTCCTCATTCAACTTGATATTCTTGTAGGTCTTATTCAAGTTATTTATGATAGGAATGGTATGTGTTGTATTTGTAGAATGAATTACGGGTTTAGCAGTGGTGGTTGTGATTGTATTTCCCAAGGTTATAACTTTTTTAAGCCATCTTTCAACTCCTAAAATTTGTTCTTCATTCCATAACAATGTATCATTCACAGGTGCCAGAAATAGCATTTGTGCTCTAGTCGCATCTGCTCCATATTTCTCAATACATTCCCCTGGATCAGCTCCATTATATTTTGATTTTGACATTTTTTCAAATGAAATAATTGGATCTTTACCTGTTTTTTTAATAATTGGTTCGTTTGAATTGGTGAAATCTATCTCTTCGGGTCTCAAAAACTTCTTGGTATCTGGATCAGAATATGTCTTTCCATGCACCATCCCTTGAGTAACTAATTTAATTATTGGTTCATCTTTACCATTTTTTCCTTTCCAAACTCCACAATCGCTCAAAAATTTAGCAATAAATCTTGAATACAACAAGTGTAAAATTGCATGTTCAACACCACCAACATAAAGATCTACAGGCATGTCTTCACTAGCTGATGGAGACAATAATTCTTTTTCATTCTTAGAATCCAAATATCGTAAATAATACCAAGATGAATCCATGAATGTATCCATAGTATCAGTTTCTCTTTTTGATGGTTCTCCACAAGATGGACATTTACAATTAACAAACTCATCAATGTTTCCTAAGGGACTACCTTTTTCAAAATGTTTACTATTAACTTTTGGTAAAATAACTGGTAATTCTTCATCAGGGACAGCAACTGGACCACAATGTTTACAATAAATTATTGGAATAGGGGCACCCCAATATCTTTGTCTACTAATTAACCAATCTTTAAGTTTATATTGAGTACTAGCTTCACCAAAATTTTTATTAGTCAAATTTTTGATAATCATTTGAGCAGCTTTTTTACAACTTAACCCACGATATGACTCCAAATTAGGTAATCCATTTTCTAAAGTTGATTTGTCTTGTATTGTACCATTTTTTGAAGTGTAAGGCATCTCAACTTGTTTACCTTTTGGACCGACAACTTGAATTATTGGTTCGTTTGGTTGATGAAGTCTCCAAAATTCAAAATCTCTTGTATCATGACCTGGACATCCCATGACTGCACCAGTACCGTAGTCACTTGAAACGTATGGAGCAACATAAATTGGTACATCAAAAACTTTTTTGATTTCGTTACTTGGATTTAATGGAATTGATGCTGAAATGTTTTTCAATCGGTATCCATCTCTAGAATCAAAATCATGATCTTTTGAATCGTGTAAAAACTGTTTTAACTGATGATCTACTTTTGATAATTCAACAACAATTGGGTGATTCATACTCAAAGCTATAAATTGTACACCAAATAAAGTTTCAGGACGAGATGTGTAGACATGTAATTGATTATCTTTTAAATTTGTAGGAAAATTGATGATACAACCTTGAGATTTACCAATCCAGTTTTTTTGCATTGTTTTGACATTTTCTGGCCACTGATCAAGTTGTTTTAAATCTTCAACTAATCTATCAGCATAAGTAGTAATTCCAATGAACCATTGTTCGAGTTTTTTCTTCTCTACTATAGCTCCACTTCTCCAAGATCTTCCCTTTGAATCTACTTGCTCATTTGCTAATACTGTTTTATCTATAGGATCCCAATTAATTTCTGCATCTTTTCTATAAGCTAAACCTTTTTCAAATAACATTAAAAAGATTTTTTGAGTCCATTTATAATAATCTGGAGAACTTGTATTAATTTCACGATCCCAATCAAAATCAGCTAGAAATGACTTCATTTGTTCTTTCATTTTGGCAATATTAGTTTCTGTCCAAATAGCTGGATCAATATTTCTTTCAACTGCTGCATTTTCAGCTGGTAACCCAAAAGCATCCCATCCCATTGGATGAATGACATTGAAACCTCTCATTTTCTTATATCTTGCAACTACATCACTAATGGTATATACTCTTAAATGACCTAAATGTAAAACACCAGAAGGATAAGGAAACATTACTAATGAATAAAAGTTCTCTTTATTTGCATTTGTATCTTTTGATTTCAGACTATAAACTAAATCTTCTTTTTCCCATTTGTTTCTCCATTTTTCATCAATATTTCTAAAGTTATTGTTTGTAGATAATTGTTTGTACTGAGTGAAACTTGACAGACCTGATATTCGAATATTACGATTTGTTAATAAAAATGTACTAACTTGTTTTATTCTCCTCCTCATGTAGTAAAATTTGATCTTAAGTCTAGTCTCTATTAATTTTAGTTCAAAATGTTATAGTATCATGAATACAAGTCGTCAATCTAATTATTTGATGATATAATTATAATCAATTGAAATCATTATAATAATTTTAATATGATACTTTCTAAATTTTTCAAAACATTATAATCAAATGACACAAAAACCAATTGTTAATAGAAACATTAAATAAGAAGAGAAAAAATTCATACTTTAGTCAAAACATCATCAAATTATCATTCATTAAACATTTATTATTATCATTTGATTAATTAATTTGTCAAAGTCAAGAAATAACAAACACTATTCAAGCATTATAACAATTGAATTTTGATGACGCAAGATACGCCCGAGCACAATAATTTGGGTTTAAAAAGTTATAATGATTCAAAGAAAGAACCAAATTCAATCACAAGTTATTTTGGCAAACTTAAAAATACATTTTTCAATCGAAATAGACCTCAATCATCTTCAAATATAGAAAATGAAATAAAATCTCATCAACAAGAGCAATCATTCAATCCAGATACCGAGAACCAAAACTTATTCGATCCACTATCTAATCAATTCACTAAATCAGAGAAAAGGAAACGACTTTCAATAGTGGGTCATATAACAGATGAAGCAATCCCTCGATCATTATCAACAGCGTTTTCAAATACAAGTTCCAGGAATAAATCATATCTGTCAGCATTTAGTAATAGTATTAAACTAGAAGAAGAATTGAATAACGATCTTGAACGAAGAAAATCAATAAAAGATGGATATTTAAGTCGTATATCAGATATGGAACTTTCGAATAGAGATGAATCACCATCATTAATTATCCCACTCAATTCAAAAGAATCACAATTAAGTTTTGAAAATGATACATATGTTGAAAAATCAGATTATTTTCAATTAAATCCTCAAGAAAGAAATAAACTTGTACAATTAAAATTATTATCACAACAATCATCGGAACCTAGAAGAAAAAAAATGAAATATTCTAAAAGTCCAAATGAAAGTATGAGTGAAATACTTGGGAATTCATCAATGGTAAATACTTCAACTCAAACTCATAATTTAGATTATTTAGATAAAAAATTAAATTTTAGAAAAAGAGTTGCATCATCTCAATTAACAAATCAGATTAAAAGACAAAAGAAGAAAGGATTTCAATTGAAAGAATTTTTTTATGATACAAAAGAATTTGAAAATGATTCATTATCTGGTTCTTTAAAAAATTATGCAAATAAAGTAGGGAAACCAAAATTCAATCTTAAAAATGACATAAAAAATACAGAACTGGATACCGAGAAAGGATTTGGTCCTACACCGAAACGAAATCATATAGCATTGAATGAAAAATTATCATTATCACTAGATCCAGATTATTTGAACAAAACGAAGTCAATAGCAGATATAATAAAAGTCAAAGAAGATATAATTGTTAAGGAGAACAAAAAACCGGCTATTCCATCATCTGGCTTCAAGTTTGATATAAATCCTGAAAAAATAAATAAAATAATCAATAGTCAATCAGTTGAATCGGAAGGAAATGGAACTTTGGACAAGGTCTCTAATAAACGAAAACACCAAACTGAAATGGATGATGAATCTACTAAAAGCGACAATGGAACAGAGCAATTTGCATTTTTTGGACAAGCAACTTCAGAACCACCAAAAGCTATATCAAATAATTCAAATCCTGCTACTGATGATAAAGTAACAAACGCTCCAAAATTTAAGTTTGGACTCAAGCCTAATAAAGAAAGTGAGACGACAAATGCAACATTTAATTTTGGTAAAAAACCAGAAGTAGCAAAAACTTTGTCAAATGATAAGAGTTTGTTTGGTGAAACTACTCCTAAATTTCAATTTGGTAAAGAAGGTACTAAAGCAGAGAAGGAGGACAAAAACGAGGAATCGGGGAAAGAACAACCTTTTAATTCTGGTGGATTATTTGGAGCGGATAATTTAGATAGGAAGACAAAATCAAGTTCACCAATAGCATCAAATGCTCAAAATGAAAGCAAGACAAGCTTGTTTGATTTTAAGAGTAACACTCAACAACCCACTACCTTTACTTATTATAATAAGTTTACTTTTCCTACTTCAAATAAAGAAAATACACAAAATGATTCGAGAACTGACAATGAATCTAATACAGCTAATGTTGACAAAAACACCTTTAGTTTCACACCAAATGCCAGTAATGCTACAAAGAGTAATAGTTTGTTCTCATTTGATAAACCAATAGAAAGTGCAACTCAATCAACTACCTCATCATCCAATTTATTTTCCTTCACCAAAGACAAACGAAAATCAAATACACCACCTTCATCATTTAATTTCAATATTGGTAAGACTGATGAAATTTCTACCAACAATAATGAAGCTAATAAACCCCCATTATTTGATTTCGGTAAAAAATCAGATGAAACTCAACCAAAAGTAGTCGAACTTGAAAATAAACAGGATGAGAAAGAAAAAACTCCCCAAACAGATGATTCAACATCAAATACAAATAAACCAGCTTTTTCATTTTCAATTAATGCACCAAAAGCACAATCTGCTGATCCTATCTCAAAAAATAATATTGAATCTTCAGATACTGAAAATGAAACAAAAAAACCAAAATTTTCATTCAATATACCTAAATCAAATGATGAAAATAATAAATCAAAAACTCCTACTTTCAATTTCGGAACTAATATGTCAAGTAAAGAAACAAGCAGCAATGGTCCTGAACCATCAACAATCTTTGGATCAACTAAAGCTGATAATTCTGCTCAAACATCAATTGAAAAAGTAGATAGTGGTGACAATACAAATAGTACTTTCCAATTTGGTGCTCCAAAATCATCAACAACTCAATCAAATGGGTTTAAATTTGCTACAGGAGTTACACCACCACCTACAAAAAACACATTATTTGGTAATCCATCAACTACTTCATCAACAAAACCATTCAGTTTCCAAACTCAGCCATCAACTTCAACTTCAAATACTGCAAGCTCATTCACTTTTGGTCAACAACAACAGCCACCTCCACAACAACAACAACAACAACTGCCATTTGGTAATGCATTTCCAAATAATGTCACCAATAATAATAATACAAATAGTAATTCATCAAGTGTTGAAAATGCATTTGGTTCACGTCCAACAACTCCAGCTGGTTTTAATTTTGGTAATTCAAATCCAACAACGTCAATAAAAAATCCATCAATTCCACAGTTTAATTTTACAGGAAGTAAAGAGCCAACTCCAGATCCAGCTTCAATCTTTGGATATCATGCTCAACAAGTAAGTAGAGAAGCTACACCATTTGGTGGTAGTAGTAATACGAATGGAGGTAATACTAATGTTTTTGGTTCAATTAATTCAATAAATTTTGGTGGTGGTGCAAATAATAATACATTTGGTGTGAACACATCTACTTTTGGACAACAATCACAACAACCTCAATCAATTACAACTCCAACTGGTTTTGGAATGGGTTCTACACCTCCAGCTTTTCTGTTTGGTAATAATAATAATATTAACAGTCCAAACCCTGTTACTAATACATCTATGAATAATATAAGTGGTGGATTGATTCCAACTCCTCCACAACCAAATCCAAGAAGAATGGCACAACCTAGATCAAGAAGAAGATAAGTGAATTGTATCAAATATATAGGTGCTAATTAACGTATAGCTAATTAATATAGACTCTTACATAATTTTGCAATTTTACAATTAAATGTCACACGATATATCTAATTAAAAAAAATCTCCACTCATTTTTTTTTTAAATGGGTGAAATAGTGCAATATTTAAAAACAATATCAGGGTATCATTATTGAATCAATTAACCCTCAAACAACTTGAAATGAGTATAAAACAAAAAATAGAAATACTTGCTATAGATAATATATAAAGTCATTAAAGTACAAGATCAAAAACATCTATTAAACGTTAGCAACTTAATGTAAGCAAATTTGAAACAAAAAAAAAAATAGAGCAAAAAATATTAAAAAGTATTATATATATCAAATTCATTTAAACGTTTCATGATGTTATAAATTAAATTATAGTATTAAATTAAAATTTTGATATACATTATATTCAAATTTTACAAGACTTCATTTGAAATTAACACCTTTTGTTTAAAAAATAAATTTGATTGAAAATTATTATCATATGAAATTGTTTGTTTCAGATTTATTAAATAAAATGAATTAAGAGATCAATAAAATAATAATTTATTTTGAATGTGAATAAATTAATTTTAAAATCAAAGTACGTGTTAAATAAATAATTATTTAATAGAAAATACCCCACATTTGAATAATTTTTTTTTTTCATATGTTAAAAAATAAATTAATTTAAATTAAATTAAAAATAAAAATTAAAAATTTAATAAAAAAAAAAAAAAATAAAAAATAAATTACTATATTAAGAAATTAAATAATGTCGTATAATTTATTTAATAAATCTTATTTCCATAATTTACTAAATAATAATAAAAATTTTGAAATATTATAATTTTGCAACCATTTGAAACAAATGAACACAAAGAAGTACCGTCATAACAAACAAATTCCCATTTGAATACTCAATTCCAATTTGTAATTTCAATCTATTTCATATCTTGATTTCATAATTATTTTTATTATTGAATTCAAAAAATAATGTCTTTTATATAATAATGCTAATTTCCGTAAATTGCATATATTACACTAAATCTTGGGTTATTGTGTCTAATACTTTTTTAATTTTTTTAATTTTTCTTTATTAAAATTTGTTTCAAAATTTGAAAAAGATACTGTTGACATTATTAGATTAAATAATATTAACTATACAAGAGAATGTAATTCAACAAGCTATGACTTTAACCGTCATCTTGGTTTTGAACCCCCTCCATATAACTTAGATCTTTAACTTAATTCAAGATCTGCTACAATGAATCATGACCTTAATAGTGTATAAGTTAACCAACGGTTAAATTAATCAGAGTTTATTCCCAATGATCAATTAATCTTTTTAACGAACGCTTTAAAATTTAAATTCTGAATCTCAAAATTGAATAATTTAGTTACGTTTTTACCAAACAAAGTTGTAAAATATAATTTATTATTTTTTCTTAAATAATTTTTAAATAATATTCCAAATTTTGACTTTTTACATAATAAATTATAATTTGATAGAAGAGGAGGAGAATGAAGGTTTAATTAATTTGATTATTAAATTCTAATAATAATAATAATAATAATAATAATAATAATTCATTAATTTATTAATTAACTGATTAAGTAATTTGTTTTAAGATATCTTTATTAAAATTAATTAACGTTTTATTCAATTTTTATTATAAACTTAAATTTAAATTAACTAATGATTGATCAAATCAATTAATTATTAATATATACTACAAAGCTAAGAATATTTATTAATTATCGAAGGAATGTATAAAGTATAATATATAATAATCTGGTTATTCTGAAATTTTTTTTCAATTAAATTTTTCACTTTTTTTTTGACTATTTCAAATCAAATTTCAAATTAGATTATTTCCAATTTAAAGAGAAAAAGTCTTAATCATTCATTTAACATTAGTTTAAGTTCAATTTATAGAATATAATTGTTACTTTTATAGATTTTAACTTATAATCAACATATTCAATCTATTCAGATATATTCTTCGACCTAAATAAAAAAAGAAGGGGGTTAAATTAATACATTATACATACTCGGTTTGAATTATATTATAAACGACAATTAAGGTTCAAAATATTTTCTATCATTTAATTCAACGACATAAATAATTTATATTTTTAATAAAGGAAATAAAGGGAGAAATATTAATAAATTCAACACAACTTTTCTTTTTTTAATTTGTTTAATTTTTTCAACCGATTTATCAAATCTCAATTCAATTCAGATTAGATCTTTATAAATTATTAAATTATTATTATAAAATCTATAGATTTCATTCATTATTAACTATTAAATTTTGATTAACCATTTCAATATATATTAATAACAAAATTAATTGAAAAATGTCATCAGATAATGTTAAATATAGATTACAAAGAATTCAAACTCTTAATGGTGATCAAGAAATTGTTTTAAAACAAGTTTGGGCTTATATGTTAAAATATTTTGGTTATGAATTAAATATTAATAATCAAGATATTCAATATAGACAATGTTTTATACCATCAACTTCAACTGCTCATTTTGATGAATCTCATGCACTTCCAACTGGTGGTTTAAGTAAATCAAATACAAGAGGTTCAATTAATTCAACTAAATCTTCTGCATCCAAAAAGAAAATGGGTTTATTTGGTTCAAAAAAAGCTTCATCAAGTGCAAGTACTGCTAATCAAGCTACTGGTTCTGCAAATGGTTCACCACCAGCTAATTCAAAAAGAATGAATCAAATTCAAACTCAATCATCATCTGAAAGATATATACCAGTTGATATTCCAAGTGAAGTTATTTATTCTGTTTATGCTCATCATTATAAACTTGCTTATGAATATGCTGATGATTTTGATGGAAGTAGCGCTGCTCCAATTGGTGGTGGTGGTAATGGTGGTGCTGCAGGTGCAGTAGGTGGTTATAATGATTATAATGATGATGCAAATTCCATTAATTCAATTGAAACTTTTGTTACTGCAGAAACTACTTTAACTGATTATGATGCATTACCTCCTCAAATTTTTGATAGTAATTATAAAAATAATAATTATAAACAAAATGGTGGTAAAAAAGCTTATGGTGGTAGAATTGGTCATCCAAATCAACATCAACAAAATAATGGATATCAACAACAACAACAAAATGGTTTTGCTGGTGGAAATCAAGTTGATATTTTCCAATCTACTGTTAATAAACCTTTAAAAGTTAATCCAGATTCTTCAATTTTACAATGTTTTAGTCAATATAATCCAAAAGATTTACATCAAACTTTACAAAAAGTTCAACGTAATGATTTATTTGATAATTTAATTTTAAAATTTATTAGAGCAAGAAAATGGGATCATGAAAAAGCTTTAGAAATGTTTTTTAAATCATTAAATTGGAGAGCTAATGAATTTCCAAGTGATGATTGGGTTATGGAAGGTGATTCAGTTTCTTATTTAAATGGTACAAATCAAGGATTTATTAAAAATTTTACAACTGAAAAATCTTGGATTAAAGGTAGAGATAAAAATAATAATCCAATTTTTACATTTCAAGCTAAAAAACATTTAACTTCAGATTCTCCATTACCACAAAATCAAAGATATGCTGTTGTTACAATTGAATGGGTTAGATTATTTTTAAGAGAAGTTAGTGAATCAGTTGATACTTGTACTATTGTTTTTGATTTAACTGGATTTTCATTAAAAAATGCTGATTATGCTACAATAAAATTTTTAGCTGATGTTTTTGAAGCTCATTATCCAGAAACTTTAGGTTTTATTTTAATTCATAATGCTCCTTGGATTTTTTCAACTGTTTGGAATATTATTAAAAATTGGTTAGATCCTGTTGTTGCTTCAAAAATTCATTTTACAAAAGATGCAAAAGAATTAAGTAAATTTATTGATCCAACTTTAATTCCTGATTATTTAGGTGGTGATGATACAACAAGAGGTTATTATCCAATTCCTGAACCAAAAGATGAATTCCCACCAAGAAGAAAAGATGCTGAATATGCAAGATTAAGAAGAGAAAGAGATTTATTAACTGCTAAATTTTTTGAAACTACTAAAAGATGGATTGAATCAACTAATCCTCAAGTATCTGATAAATATTTAAAAGATAAAATAGATTTAAATATTGCATTATCAAGTAATTATATTCAATTAGATCCTTATATTAGAAACCCAGGTATTTATGATAGAGATCATACTTTAACTGTTGGTCATTAAATGTGATTGTTATTTAAATTTTAAATTGGACTCAAAAAGGAATTACAAAAATCTTAAAAAAAACCAAAAAGAAACAAAAGCAGATTGAAAACAATCTGATGAATTCATTCATCATAATTATGATAACTTATAAAAATTCATTCATTCAATTTTCTCTTTACTTATTTTTATATATATATACATTAGATAGTTTTATTCATTTTCATTTATTTTAGATAATATAATTATTATTTTATACACAATTTTAAACAATTTGATCTATTTTCTTATGTTCATAAGCGCATGTACTTCGATAGTGTTAAGTAAATGTATCAGCTTAATGTTTTCTTTGCTTGAGTTCTGATTTCCCCGCAAAATTTAATATACTTTTTAACCCACCTGTAATGATTTTCTACTTTAAGAAGTATGAGATTTGAATTTATGGCTCAATTAATATGAATTAACTACGTGTTTTTCTTACTCGAAATATATTAAATGAAATTAACCACAATAACTGTACATTTGAATTCCTTAATTTTGTATCAATTTGGGACAAAAAATTGCAGTAATAATAACTTGTACTACTAAAATTTTTTTAGAATCTTATATCTAAGATACGACGCTGAAATCTACTGAGATACGAGATTTGTGGCTAGTGAATGCACTTTCTTGTTATGCTCAATAAATTATTTTGTTATGTAAATCTACTATTTATTTGTTATGTTAAGATCTGGACTTTTTTGATATGCTAATTATCACTTTTTTGTTATGCAACATTCATTTTAGCACTTCACAAGGAATCGAACCAGGTACCTTAAAAAGGAATTAACCACTAGGCCAAATTTTTTAGCAAATTCTGTGGCTCAGTGGCTAGCACCTGTGTCTTCTGTTTGTTAAAAGCTCGCGAGTTCGATTCATATGGGCAGTTTTTTGTAAGCTTTGCGTGGCGTAGTGGTCAAGTTTTTACTTAAAATTTTTACCTTGCGGGTTCGACTCTTAAAATAGTCAAATATTTTCAAAATGTAGCCTAGTTGCTAGCATAAGGCGCTATTTTTATGTTGAAAACCGCGGGCTCGATTCCTTAAAAATGCAATATAATTAATAAACGTGGCGCAGTTGTTACGCTACCTTCTTCTTAGTAACACCGCGGGTTCAGCTCTTTTTGCTTTCATTTTAAAGATTTTTGTGGCCGAGTCGTCACGCTACCTTTTTTTGGTCCAAAAGTTCCTATAACGCGGGTTCGATTCTGATTTAATAAAGCTTTTGGCTTGAATTTTAGCCGAGTTGTCAACGATAACACTTAAGGCGGCACAAGGACTTTCCTGGTAGAGATTTAGGTTATTCGATTCTGTCAATAAACATACATTTCTTTAATTTTGTATAATTATTGATCATTAAACAAGAGTTTTTCCTTGATTGAATACAATATAAAATAGATCCTATTTACGATTCTCTCATTTAAGTAGCTTATAAATTCCTCATCTAGTCTCAGATTAGAAATTTACTTTATCATATTAATGCTAAGAACTTGTGGTAGTTTACCAGAATTTATAATTTAAGTTTGTGTAATAACTTGATAAATAAAAAATATAATATTTAATAGTAAAGTAAAAATCATTTAAAAATAAATCTTATAAAAACACAAATAAATCATACAACCAATTTATACAATCACATTTATCATTTATCAATTTTCCGTTGATCATAATTGTTTATATACCATCAAAATATAATATATTATTATGTCAAGAAGATCAGGTAGAAGATCAATAAATTTGGAGTCAAAAAATTCATCAGAAGTCGAATTAGATGATAATAATTTTGATACAAAAAATTCAACACGAGGAACCAGAAGTAATGATAATGTAGAAGAAGAAGAGGAAATTGAAAGAGATAATGGTGAAGTAGAAGAAGATGAAAATCAAAATAATAATAATGATTCATCAATTGAAGATGAAGAAGAAGTAACTAGATGTATATGTGGTCAAGATGAATTACATTCAGAATTAATAAACCCCAATTTAATAACTTTTTTGAAAAAAGAGTATAGAATAACTATAGATCAAGGATTATTTATTCAATGTGAAGAATGTGGAGTTTGGCAACATGGTTATTGTGTTGGATTATATGAAAATGAAGATGTGCCAGATAAGTATTGGTGTGAACAATGTAAACCAGAAAATCATACATTAATATCTGATCCATATCTGAAAAGAACATTATATAAACCAGTTAATGATAAAAGAAAAAAATTAGAACAATTTGGTTCTGAAGAATCAAAAGATTTGAAATCAAATTTAACAACCACTACTACACTTGATGAAGATAATAATGAGAATTCAAAATATAATAAAAGGAAAAGAACCGATAAAGTATCACCACCAGCACAACCGAAACATAAGAGAAAAGAAAGAAGTCATCATCATAATCATATTGAGGAAGATATATATGATAAACAACTACAAAAAGCATTGAGAGAAAGTGCAAAAGAATCAGGTATAGTAATAGATGAAAGTGATGCTGATAGTTTATCACCAAGGAAAAGAAATAGTAGAGCGGCTTCATTGAATTCATCATCTAATAATCAAGAACTACCTAAAAAACTTAAAAAAGAACCCAACACTAGCAACAATGAAGAGGATGATGAAGTGGAATTAGAATCAACAACTACAACTACCAAAACCAATACCAACCCTCCAATAACTAGTGGAAGAAGAAAACCAGATTATAAGAAATCCAAAAACAAGATCTCCAAGAAAAAACGAGATTTGAACTCATCTTCCTCATCTCAATCATCAAATCAAGATGTGAATCAAGCAAATACCACCACCAACACAACAACAACCTCAAATTCAAGCTCATCAAATCCATCTTCTTCTTCATTCACAATCAACAAAGATGAAATAATTCAGCTACCTTATAAACCAAGATATGTTTCACAAAAATCTTCAATATATGATTTAAGAAAAAGAACAAGTGCAATAATAGAATGGATATCAAGAACAAAACAAGATCTTATTGAAGAAAGAAAATATAAATTTGAATTATATTCTTTTACTCCCGATTCTGAAGAAATTCTAAAGGAAAAAAATTTATTTGAATTGAAATATAATGAAAAATCGGATTTAATTGATAATTTGAGTTCGAAAATTAATGATTGGGAAGTTCAATTTGGTAAATATGCTCCTTAATCAATCAAGTAGGTAATTAATTGATAATGTTGACTGATTTAGATAATTTCTCATCCCTTTGTCTCTTCCAATTTGTCTTGGTCAGTAAATTCTATAAAAATTGTAATACTATTGAGGCAACTCTCTTAGGATTTACATCAATTAAATTGTCAATTTGAGCAAATTACTAGCCATGATAGAATATGAAAAATTTCTGTAGCAAGAAAATTTAAAGTATGTTTCAAATTTCTCACGACACTGAAAACGCGGTGTGGTGAGAAAAATTAAGGCAAAGCTAGCTCAAGCACGCCCTGCATACGCCCGCATTAAAAACAAATATATCCCAACAACGACAATACTATTCACTCCTAATAATTGGATAAAGGTCTCTTAGCTACTTAGGTATATATAATTGAGCGAGAATTTTTAATAAGTATTCTTGCTAGAAAAATTTGCAACGTTTTGTTTTTCAAATTCGTCAAAGTTATTGTGCACATAGATCACCACAAACAAAAAAACAAGTCAAGTAGCTACTAAGTTAGGCATAAGAGAGACCGGTTATTATCAAAAATGGACTAGTTTTCAAATTATATTTTTAGACGTTTTAAATCGCCGAAAAAGCAAATTCATACTCCAAATTATTTCAAAAAAAGCAAACCATGTAACAGTTTGATCAACAAATAATATATAAATGTCTAAATTTTAGCTTAAAAGGTAAAGTGTGCATTGATTTTTAGTGTTTTAAAACATGGCAAAATTGCTGCAAACTAGCCAAATTTGCCTTTTTTTGCGACTCACCCCTGTAAGAAATTATAGTTTGTAAGGTTTTCTACACAACAAATTTAATTCTCGAGTTGTAGAGTTTTTATTAAACAGGATTATTAAGCTTTAGCAGGGGATTATTTCTCAGCTATTCATTTTTATCCTAGAGCAATATTCAAGTAATTATTGAAGAAAAACGATTTTCAAAAAATCACATCAGAAAGAGTCAATGTTGCTGTTTCAACTATACCATGTTTCTTACTGAGTAATTTCAAGCTCTACCACTATTATGTGACTAGTTAAATTTTTAAATTATAACATTTTTAAGTATCTATTTAACAAAATTGTGTTTTTATGTCAAATATTCGTCTGAAATGGAGGTCAAAAATTTTAGGTATTTTTGGTAACCACACGAAAAAAATCTTAAGTATTGTGGTTGAGATTTAATTGATAAGGTCGAGACTGGCACGAGCTCGCACTAGTTTCGTAGTAGGAGCTACAACAATAAAAATTCATAAAATTTTTTACTTCACTCTTCACTAGGTCAAAAGCTAATTCGCCTAGTAAATACTAAGCTACTCATTAAACACACAAAATGCTCAAGACAATTAACTAACCTTAGTCTTAATAATGGTGGATGGATTTTGAGCTTTATTCACATAGTTAAGGACCAATATTTTCATCGCAGGGAATGAACTTATTACTGGGTGTATAGCACATTTGAAGCCGTAATTGAGCTCTGTAAATCTCAAAATCACATAGTTTACTTACTTAATGCTGCAAATCCATAAACTGGGTTGAACAAAATTGGGAACAAAATCCCTGAATATGACATTTCTAATATCTTGATCCTTAGCCCCTAAAAATTGCTCTGATGCACACTTGTTGATGGGCCAGATAAAGTACTTCATTGCGGATATTGAAACTCAGTTATAATGAATAAATCCTCGAGTTTTATTTTTCTACTAAAGAGTTCAAAGAAAAGGAGATTTTATGAAAGTGAAAATATTATGAAAATCAAAATTAAGTCATCCAATACGTTCAAATTTAATTCAAGAATATTCCATTTTGGTGAACATGTTTCTTCATTAATTAAATGAGTAGCTAAATGTAGAAATTGACTTCAGATTTGTATCTCTTCATCCTTCAATTAGCATCTATTCGTTATAAAATATCACGTAATGCAGTTCTTCTATCAATACCATCACTGAACCCAGAGTTGTTTGTTGTTGAAGTATTAAAATTCCCCATATCCATTTCATACATCTTGTTCAACCATTTAGTTGAGTTTAAAATTTCATCACCACCAATAACAATATTGATCTTGTTATTTGATTTTGAAATTTCATTTATAATCCTATATTCTTCATAAGTAACACCTCCCTTAATGTATATTATAATATCTTGAACTGTTGTAGGTGCTGAACCATATTGTTGTTTCACTTTTTCTGGAATTAATGTAGTTAAAAATGAAGTATTAGAGCCATTAGAATTATTTTCTGGGTTGATTAAATTATTGATTGTCCCACTCAATTTTGGAGTATATTGTAAATAAACATTATCATTCTCTGGAGTCTCATTTTTATTGAAAAAGCTTTTGAAATTCACTTTCTTATTATTGAAAAGATTAGCCAAACCTTGCTGATTGAAATTTTGAGATGAATCTTGATTTGTTTGTTGTTGTTGATTTCTAACACTATCCTCCATGTCAAATAATACTCTAAAGTTCTTTAATAAATGAATTTGTTCTGATGTTGGTGGTTCTTGAGTGATCATTGGATCATTTAATTGTATTATAAAAGCATTCACATCAGATATATTGTTGTATTTATAAGTATACAATAAAATTAATTTTATTTTGTTTATTGTTGATATTTGCTTATTTTGTAGAACTTGCAATAATGCATTTTTAATTGTTTGTTGATTATCTAACCCACATATTATAGTTTGTTGTAATTCACCAATTTCCCATAAATGTTGTTTTTTCAATTCTTCATCAATTTTAGAAATTAAATTCACATGAGTACCAATATTTGTTGAAAATTTTTGGAATTCTGGAAATTTAGTTAAAGTCTTTTTCAATTCTGATATATTTAATAATTGATCATTATTTATTGAGGATTGTTTAGTTTCCCTTTTATATTTTTCAAAATACTTTTGATAATTATCATTTAAATCTCCATAATTCAAAAATGAGGATTGGTTGAAAAAAGGATCATCATCTCCTAAAACAATTTGATTATCAGGTAACGCAACAACATTTTTTTCAATAGTTAAAAATTCATGAATCATTGATTGATAGGTCCATGGAGTCATTAATGGAGTTATTGGATCATTTTTACGATCTAATAATAGTAATACTGGTGGTACATCTGATCGACGATTTAAATCATCAAACAAATTATTGTTTGAATTTGAATTTATAACATATAATATTTCTGAACTCAATCTTTTTAATTCTATTGAATTTGAATCATATTTTATTATAGATGTCTTTTTCAATGCTAATAATAAACTTGTTAAACTTTCAGCTTCAGCAACAACTGGATTAGGGATATTAACTGGTGGTCTCTTCAAAAGAAATAATTCATTGTTCAAAATATAATAATCTTCAAACAACTCTATAATTTTATCAATAACTTCAAATTCGTCAGCTTCAGCAATTTGTTCAATATGATTTTTCCCCACCATATTATTAAAATATACATCATACCTTTTATAATGGGGAGTCCTTAATTCTGATAGTAATAATTTGATTGATTCTAAATTTGGATTTATGTAAACAATACAATCTAGATTTTTCATAGTTGTGAGGTTTTGTTGTGATTCAATTAATTCTACCAAAACAATGTCATTTGATAATAATTGCGATTGTGTATAACATAATGATATAAATGAAGTTGTTATATTATCTAGAATCAAAACTTTTGGAGACTTATTTACTGATATGGAATCTGTTGAAGAATTACCAATCGAGTCAGAATGTGATTGAAACATTTTTTCAAAATAGACATCTTTAACTTTGGATAAACTTAGTGTCATTGTAATTGTAATTAATATGGATAATTTGAAGAGTTGTTAAATTTAAATTGAGTCGTAATCAGTATTGATCTTTTATCTATCATCAATTTTTACGCGCGCGATTTAATATCTTTAAATACAGATAGAATAGTGCTAAATGTTGAAACATGTAATTTCATTTTAATAAACATTGAATACATCCAAGAATAGTTCAAACTCTAATATATTTGTAGATTAACCAAGAGAATAGTGCTAGTATTTTGAGAGCTTTTGTTAACATAAGATGGAAACGAATTAACTTTTTTTTCTCTAAAGAAAATATACAATTTCTACTAACCGTTTTTGCAGTAAAAATTTATTTAGTTGAAAAAACTTTCTATGCTAGTCAAAAGATTTTGGAAATCAGAATTTGAAACATTATCAGATGACAATCCTTGGTACCCAATTTTAGCAAATGTAACAGCATCAATTAACCCTTCAAAATAATCATAAGTAGCTTTTGAAACATTTGGATAAAATAAATTTTCAGCTCTTACAGTATGTGAACAACCTTTTACAGGTGGTACACCAGCAAATCTTTCTTCTAACCAAGTCCAAGCAGCTGGGGCTCCAATAAGAGTTTCTGTAATATGGCCATTTAGTAAATCTTCAGCAAATTCAACTGATGAAACGCCAGCGTCACACCATTGTTGATAAGTCTTTTTAACATCTTTAATGGGAATAATTTGATCTAAGGTACCGTGATATATAAATACTGGAGTTGTTGGTTTATATTGTGATACATCTAAATTTAATAAACAATTTTCTTGAACTGCTTTATTTATGGCTGGTAAGTTCAACAAATCAAACCCTCCTGGAAATAAAGGTGTATCACCAGTTAATATATTATGACCAAAATATTTTATAATTGATCCTCCTAAACAATGATTTTTTGCATCTTCTATATCTTCTTTTTGATTTGGATCAACATATTGAAATAATAAATTAGTTAGATTTGTATATTCATTAGTTAAACCAGTTAAAGCAACAGGAATTAAACCAGCAGCTAATCCACCATCAACACTTTCTGCTGTAGCTGTAATATTTGTGACAAATCCACCTAACGCAGTGCCGATAATGTTATTTTCAATTTCAGGTGCATACGAATTTAGAAAAACATTAGCCCAACCAGACGCAATACTACCACCACTATACCCCCACATAGCGACCTTAGCATCTGAATTTATACCGGTTAAGTTACCAGACTTTAAAGTAGCGCGAATCGAGTTCAAAGTTGCATATCCTGATTGTCTACCCACCGTAAATGTTGATTTGAAACCTTCATAATCTGGTGAAACAATATAATAACACTTCTGTAAAGCTAATGTTATAAAAGTCATGTCTATTTGAGTAGCAATTGTCGATATTGAAGCACCATATAAAAATCCATAAGAAGGTGAACAATCCAAATTAGCACTATCTTCAAAAGTTTGATAACTAATAACCTTATTTGGATCAGCGTCATAAGGTTCCATTATGGTTGATACAAATGCATTTGGATTACCAAAAGAATCTTCAGATCGAATTAATAATTGCCATGAATTTTTAATATTTATTGGGAAAATTATACTTCTTAATTGAGCTGGAGTATTTCTATATCTAATAATATCTCCAGGTTTATAGTTTTCTATATCATCTGGAACTATATAAAAATCATCTTCAGTTGGAGCTTTAGGAGTTGTTGGTAATGATAAAACCAATGATAAAACGAAGGACAAAGTTAACAAAATTAATCTCATTTTTGAGCCAGAAATTTGAAAAACTATGAAGAAATCTAATAAGCCATTTTTTCAAAATTTGGCCCTATTGATTTTTATTTATATCATTGGTTCTGGATTTATCTCATAGTGCCTAATTAATGAGCTTCAAATTGGAAAGTACCCCTTACACATTGTTCTGAGTTTTTGCACTTTAATTTGCGTCTTCTTAAGTGATAAAATATGTCAAAATTCACCTCGTAAAAAAAATGGGGTAAGATGGGAATTCTCGAAATCTTAGTTAATTACGGTTTTGTGTAACAAAGGAATGTTTCAAATTTATATTCTTTTCTATATCTAGTAATAATTTGGATTAACTAAGAGGTTTATAATGATAATAAGTACCCAATCTCAAAGATATTACCCAATCTCGTAATTAAATTTACTAGAATCAAGTATACGTACTTAACTACTTCTTTCAAACTTCGTAAATTAAAGGCTTGGAACCTTGAACGGAGATATAAGATTTTTCCATACATAATTTTTAGTTTAGATTTAGATCTAATTGATTAAAGTTTTAGACTAAAATCTGATTCATTAGAAATCTAAAATATTTCGTCTAATAAATCAATCACTAGCCACTTCTAACCTTAAATTTAATATTGGAGCTGAAAGACAAATTGCGTCCTGAAAGTGCTTTCTTCAAGGCAGAGAAGGAGTTTTTATCAATTAATCTACATTAAAACACTTATAATAGAACCAGCTATATGTTATCAAACTATATTTCATCATTAAGAAAGCAATCAATGGTCCAATGTTGTATTTATTTTACCTATAAACTGCAACCATAATCAAATTATTGAATTAACTTAACTCATATGCAAGTAATAACCCATCATTATAAACAATATTCAAAATATAAGTAGATTTATCAATAAATTTTTTCCTTATGCTTAATCCAATAATAGATCTATACTCATTATCATCACCATTAAGTAAATCGTGAACATTCGGAAAAACATATTCTTGTCTCATACCATATATGCCTCTATATGTACATAATCTCATTATTGTTACAAGTCCCTTTTGAGAAACTGCTATAATACAAGATAATTCTGGAATTATGGAAAGTATTGATAATCTATTTGCATGAGCTGTTTCTCCATCATCTGGTAAATCATTATTGAATATTGTTTTGGTGGCACAGGGACTAAATAATGATGGAATATTGAATAACCCTAATTTCTTCCCCGTTGAAACTATTAAAAAATTAGAATCTTCATTTTGATAATTTTTGTTTTGTTGTTGTTGTTGCTGTAGTTTATATTGTTTATGAAGTCTTCTGTATTCATCATTTATATTTGTAAATTTTGAACTATCATGTGGTAAGCATTTATGGATATTACAAAATGCAATAGTTTCACTTTGGAAAAATTGATAATTTGAAGAACTACCCAAATGAATCAGTGAAGTTGAATCGTTGTGGTGATCTTCAATTTCCTCATTATTATCCAATGCCATACTTTCATTTAAAATTCTATTAATTTCATCATCTTCTTTTATTGTAGAATCACCAAATACATTTTGTAATGAATTAACTTGTAAAAACCATTTTGAATTAATGTGATTAACTGTCCAGCAGTCTTCACCTAAAACTATTCTTGATATTACTATGGGTTCTAAAAATTTAATTCTTTCAAAATTATATTCACAAAAATTTGATGATCTTGGTTGTTCTTGATTTTCCATTGTTTCCACTATTGGATCAGTATAATATAATTGTTTTTTCCTATTATAATTAATTTCTTCTATATATAATGGTCCTTCAACGAACTTAAATTTGAATTCAAATATGACTACTTCTCCCGAAATTGAAGCACATGAAACTTGAATTATATTTTTATTTATTTTCAAAATGGAAATATCTGGTATGTTATGCAAAATTTGATGAGTTTTAACATGATAAAATTTTTCGTCCTTTGAGTGATAATATAATAATACACAACTTTGAGAATTATCAGAAGCAACAATTATATTTTCTTTGAAGTCAACTCCCCATAACGATGCACTTAGTTTAATTTTATACTTTGGTTTTATAACTTCGTTAAAATCTTTCTTCTTACTAGTTTCATTTTTCTCAATATATTTAACTAAAGTATCAACTTCCCAAATTAATAAAAATCCATCATCAATACAAGAACATATAATTTGTTTACCATTAAATTCTCCGCTTTTCATATAATTTATAGTATGTGGGAAATATGGCCATGTTGAGATTGATCTATCTGTACTTGATGTATAACTTGGTTTTGTATTAAATCTTAAACAACAATTTTCAAAAGGTAAATTTGTAATTGGATTGTATTTATAAATGATGATTTCTGAATTTAAGCCTATGGCCAAATAGTCTTTATTATCTGAAGTTATATTACATGATAAATTATTTTTATACCTTTTGGACTTCACAATTTCTTTTAAACTAATTCTACCAATTTTTTTTAAGTTTAAACTATTTTCAAAATTTATTTCCGGTGAATTTTTTAATATAAAGAAATCATCATCAAATTCATTATATTGTTGAAATTTATTAAATGTAGTCTGTGATGAATTGAATATAAAATTCGATTTGGTAAATTTATGAGGTAGTTTAATAGTAGAAGTTGTAGATTTTGTTGAATATCTATAATTTTTATCTTCTGAAGTAATATCCATTCTTTTTTCATATTCATTATTATTTTGTGAAGGTGTCGTAAAACTTTCTCTTCGACTATTATAAAATTGATCAGCATCTGAATTTTCTGATTCGTCAATAACTATACCTCTTTCATCATCACTAAGCATTAAATCATTTATATCTTGTACTTCTCTATAATCTTGAATATTAGATTCATTATATTGTACTGTTCTATAATTTTGCGTATTTGAATCAAGTTCCTCATTATCTTCTTCGTCTTCGTCTTCATCATCATTTTCTTCACTATCATCAGTTACATCATCATAATCATTCATCATTTGCGGAATACTGAAAAATGCATGAGCTCCAGGCGTACCACTGATATTAAAAGCGAGATCAATATCTGTTTCTTCATGTTCATTTTCATCTTCATGTTCATGCCCAGGTTCAATTCCATGATCGTAATTGTATTCTTCTTCATCAGATTCATGCATATGATTAAACACATAATCGAATAAATCTAAAGGTGATTGAACTTCATTTTCATTCCTAATATCAGAAATAGGTATACCATTAATTCTATGATCTATAATTTCATCATCATTATTCAAAACAATAATTTCTGATCTTCTTGTTCTTGAATTTTCATTTCTTGTATTGGTTCTAAAATTTACATTTCTAATTTGAGAATTATTTCTAGTAGTTGATTCAGTATCTCTATGAATTTGAATTCTTTGGATCCCTCGAATTGATAGAAATTTTTCAAACCCATCCATAAATCAATATAAATAATTTACAAATTAAAGTGTAAGTTTTATAAAGGTTATTATAATTCTAGTAATAATTAAAGATTAAATAATAATTATAATATTTTGAGTTTTTTTTCCCTTGATTTTAGTCAATTTTTGATCCCTCGAAAATTCTTTAATTGGGGCAAAAAGCCAGTGAGCACGTACTACATTTGATGCATGATCGCACGAGGCCGTACTATTCTCGCGTAAAAGATCTGAACACAATCCATTTTAAAAAAATGACACAATCATTTAAAAATAAAACATCATGCATATAAGACAATATTTGAAAAATTTATACAAATATAATAAAAAAGCCATACATTTTTCAATTCAATTACAACTTCACCAAAAAAAACTATCCTCACCAGCACATCAATTCAGAAATGGTAAATCATGCAGATTATTCCAACATTACAGGACTAACAAAAGAAGAAACACTAAAGCATATACTAGATTCATATGAAACTTTAAAAACTTCAAATTGGGTTACAAATTTATCAAATTTATCATCATTATTATGGCATGGATATCATTCTATTGGAGTACAAGTAAATTGGACTGGATTTTATGTTAAAAATCATGATTCACAAAATCAAGAAGAACAATTGATTTTAGGTCCATTTCAAGGTAAAGTAGCTTGTCAATTTATAAATTTTGGTTCTGGAGTATGTGGGAATTGTGCATCAACAAAAACCACTCAATTAGTTCCTAATGTTGAAGAATATCCTGGTCATATAGCTTGTGATGGAGAGACAAAAAGTGAAATTGTTGTGCCTATTCTACTGGGTGGAGAAGTTTGGGGAGTTATTGATTTAGATTGTTTAACATTGGAAGGATTTAATGAAATTGATCAAAAATATTTAGAAGAATTGGCTGAATTGATAAGTAAAAGTTTATAGAGAATGAAGGTATGGTTATGTTGATAATAATACATATATTATTTTATGAAGTGATTTCTTATAATTTGATTTTGAATTTAAACAGCTAAAAAAGTTATTATTTATATATATATACACACAAAAATTGATACATAAGATTGTAGATAAATTGTAGATTAGTTAAAAAATGATTTGAGGATTTTTTGAATTTATAAGGATTTCTCATTGAAGATTTTTACACATATTTGAAAAGTTATTTCATCATAGTTAAGTTCTTATTTTGGAATATGAAAATATTGTTAAATGAAATGTCATAAAAACATTTATTCATTAAATTCAGCTCTTCTTTGTTCTTCTCTTTCTAAATTATGATATAATAAACCTTTTGCTTTTTCAACAGCTTGTTGAGTACCAGTTATAGTGAAAACTCTTTCTTCTTTACCATCAGTTGCTTCACTTATACCAATCATTGCACCAGAAACTTTTCTAACACCTTGAATTCTTGAACCATTTTTACCAATTAATGCACCAACCATATCATTTGGGAAACTTATATTTTCAGTAGTTTTTCTTGTTAATTGATGACTTCTTGGAATATAATAAGTTGTTCCAACACTACTTGAAAAATCTTCAATTAAACATCTTGATATAACTCTTAATGAATCATATAAATCATTTACTGTACCTTGTAATTCAACTAATCTTTCATTTGATCCTGGTAAAAATGATTTTGATGCAATCATTGAAACTCCAAAATTATGTTGAATTTGTTGAATTCTTGCTCCTTTTGATCCAATTAATGTACCCATTTGACTATTTGGTACTAATAATCTTAATATTGTTGTTTCATTTTGAACACATGGAGTTGAACTTAATTGTTTTAATGGAAAATAATTATAAGTTTCTATAGATGATCCAATTAATGCTTGAGCAAAATAACTCAATGCTTTTGCTGCGTCATCTAATTTACCACTTACTGTTAAAATTCTTTCATGAGTACCTGGAGTTAATTTTGAAATACCAGCTTTTGTATTAGTTTCACCTCTAATCGAATCAATAACTTGACCATTTTGACCAATTAAACAACCAGCTTCTTTTGCTGAAACTAATACTCTATAATTAATTAATGCATCAACATTTGCTTTATCATTTAATGAAGGTAATGAAGTTGATTGATCATAACCATTTGAATCTTCCGCTGATTTATTTGAATCTTTAATTTGTGAATTTGATTTGTTTGTGGTGGTGTTATTAGATGATGATTGATCATGTTTACCATTTAAATTATTTGATTGATTAGTTTGTGGATTTTGTGAAGTGGCGTTGGAAGTTGTAGTTGGTGGTTTTGGTTCATTTTCTGATGCGAAATTTGTATCAAATAATGATTCAGTCATGATAGATATTTAATTGTTATACTTTGATTATCTTTTGGGATGAAGGTTTGAAGTATTGAAAAAATGTGTTTGAATTTGATGTTTTATTTTATAAAATTGAAAAAAAAAAGGATGACTTTGATTTGTTTTAATAAAACGGAAGAATTTAAGAATTTTGGAAAATGAAATTGTGGTTGAGTTAATCTATTAGAATGAATCGTTTGATTGATTGATTGATATAATGACTTTATAAACTGTTGCAATTTCGATATTTGATAAAAAATTTTTAAACTTTAGTTTTAGTTGTTGAATAAATTTTTTTATTTAAAAAAAAGTTTTCGTTTATAAAAATGTACAATAGTTAATATTTGTTAAGTATTATTTTATATGTAATATATTATATACAGTAATCATCTGTGTCTGAAATTTTTGTCGTGTTTATTTTACATGTATGTAAATATAACTCGAGTAAAAAATTGGTCAGCTCGTCTAATTTTTACACGATCTTGATCCAAAAGCTATTACGTATTTTGTTATTCTCTCAATGTCGTAAAAGTTTTAGTCGTTCCAAATCTAATTATAATCAATCTTTTTACAAGGCGTGCGTTTACCAAAATATACGATACAAAATCTAATCTTATACTCCGAATAGTTTCAGAATTTTTTCGCTAATGATCTATGAATAAAACAATCTACATCAAATTATTATTCAAAAAATAAATAAAAAATTTATTGATATTAATACTATGCCACATGCGTATCTGACTAAGTACAAAGTTATATAAGATAGATATATAAATAACTGAGTTATAAATCTATTTTAAATTTAAATTTTCAAAATAATGCAAAATCCACAATCTTTACTCAATTTAAAGTACTCCAATGTAATCTTTTGCATTAATTGTAGCATAACTACCACGTCTACTTGAAATTCCTCCTAAATTATTAAATCTAATACTTGGTCCACCATTACCAGAATTTGTATTAAATCCCATTTCACCTACATTTGATTGATTGAATGAAATGATTTCATTATCATCATCACGAGATTGTTGATCATTTGCATTAAAAGATTGATCTTGGAATTCTTCTTCTTCAATTTTGATGAAATTATTTTCATCTTCATTTTTTATGATATCTGCGTATGAAAAAAAATCAATTGTTGGAGATTTGAAATCATCTTGTTGTTGTTGTTGACCACCAAAAGAATCTCTATTTGTTAAAGATTTGTTTCTTGAATGTAATGTTGAACCTGCAAAACTTGATGATCTTTTAGTTTGATAATTTGATGGGTGTAATTTTGGATTGTTGTTGTTGGTATTAAAATTATTATTAGATTTAGTATGAGTTATAGTTGTTAAACCTAATGAAGAGTTCATTTTATTATTACCATGTTTTAAATTTGAATTATCTAAAGTTGAAATAATCAGTTGAGAAATAATACTTCTTGCTCTTGGTCTTATATTTGGTGAAATTGACTCTAATTGTGGTTGATTACATTGTTTTTGGTTGTTATTATTACTATCAAATGAACTAGTATTAAAATTTACATTATCATTATTCGTGGTAGAACAATTAAATAAAGTATCATCAAAAGAATTTAAATTATCACAATAACAATTTAATTTAACTTGATCTAATTTTATATTTGGATTAGTTAAAATTTCAGTAGTTGTATCTAATATTGGACTTGTATAATTTTCTATATTATAATGAAATGGAGTTTCTGGATTAGTTAAATTTATAAAAGGAGATTTCGAATCATTATTTTGTGAATTATTGAAATTTAATACTGATCTTTCAAAAATATCACTTGATGATGAATTACATGATACTATAGAATTAAATCTTGGATGTGATTGTGATAATTCAATTGGATCTCTTTGTGTTTGTTGAGATTGTTGAGATTGTTGAGATTGTGATTTAGTTGTGGTTGATGCAGATGATGACGGTGGTGGAGGTTGTGCAGAAGAAGCAGAAAAAGATGGTGATGTAGATAATTGTTGCTGTGATGATTGTTGTTGCAGATGATGTTGTATAGCAGGTGATAATTTTAATTTATGAATAGTTTTTCTAACAAATTTATGAAATTTTTCATCTTTATTATTTGAATTATGATTATTATGATTATTATTGTTATAAGGTTTTGAATTAAAATTTATTTTGTTAGTGTTTGTTGAATGATTATGGTGATTATTATTATTATCATTTGAATTTGAAGAAATTGAAGAAATTGATAAATTAGATGAAATTGAGGATGAATTATGATCATGATTTAGTTTATTGCTATGACTACTAGTTTTTGATGAAATTGTATCTGATTGTTGCGTAGGTTGTTGTTGTTGTTCTTCTATAGTTTGATCTTTTTTATTAATTATATCTTCATCAATAATAGATGAAGACAGATTACTAAATAAATTAAAATTAACTTTCGAATCTGACATCTTTATATCATATATATTTAATAGTAGTTATTTTTAGGTACGATATATGAAATAATAGATTACGGTGAATGAACGATGTATGTCAATTGAAGCGTAAAGATAATTAAAATTGAATTTAATGAAAAATAAATTGAATGATGATAAGAAAATAATTGATATTATTATTAGTGATTTAAAAATAATCTTAGTATGGTATATATATATATATTATAATGCTGATATAATAATATTATTATTATTATTATTATTATTGATTCTTTTCAATGTATTTTTTATTATTGTTAGTTTTTGATCGTTGAAAAATTCAATGATATATATGTTGATATATTTAAAGATATAATTGATAGTTATGAACAAAAATGAATTAATTCGTATATTAAACAAGGATAATCAAATTGGAAAATTAATAAACTTTTTATAAAATTAATATGAAAATAGTTAAAGATTAGAATAAAATATTATTATAATATTTAATTTGAAATGAATTAATATTTGTAAGGATTGAAAATTGTTTAATATATATAATTAATTGAACAATTAAACTTTTTCAGTAATAGATTGATGAATTGTATTTATATATATATATATAACTAATTTGAACTAATTGAAATTGTAATGAAAGGTAGTAAGAATACTACAATATTATATAATAATATTATTATAGTGAGTGTTCAATAGTTAGTACAACATTAATAAAAAATTAATGACTTTTTTATTTTTAATTTTTTTTTATTTTTTTTGTGTAATTACTTCTATTTTGTGTAATTGTATATTTGATATTGTGTTATTTAGATTTGAAAAATTTATATCCAATATTCTATTCAAAAAATTATTATTCAAATTTGTTTTATAATTCTCAATTAGCACGATTGATACAACTTACCTTATCTAATCAGAACTTTATGACAAGGACAAGAATTTCATCAAATACTTGTTTAAATAGTGAATAAATTAAAAAGGAAAGATCTTAAATCACAATCATTAATTTCTTTTAAGTAACACGAGAGTAAATCGGAAATGTTCAAATTCTAACATTAAATTTTTTATAAATATATGAAACCTCTCATGATTTTTTATAACAGTATGTACTTAATGTCTTTTAATATGTAAACAAGGCAGAAGTTGAATTCAGTTTCAAACCGTAAGGCTTTTTATTCCCTCCCAGATAATTACCCTTTACACTTTTTGCTGAAATTACTATATTGCTCACTAGACTTTATACTTTATTGAGTCTTTAATTGAAGAAATCACCTTTTTTTTTTCATTAATTACACCTTAGTTTTACGATATGAACCAATTGATTTATAATTCAATGATCAAATAGAAGACTCCATTACACACGATAAAGATGACTGCTCGTCTGTACAGATTAATAGATCATTGTTATTCCAACAACCTTCTATTATTTTTAACTCAATGCAAGTTATTATATTACGATTTAATTTAATATTATAACAAGAAAAGTACATACTAATATTCATCTCAATTACTTTAGCCTTTTCTAATAGGGTTAATTGAACAGAATTTGTACTACGTATTATGTACTTTTACTTCACTTCATGCTCCACATTACGTTGTATTATTATATCTTTGATCAAGTAACAAACTAGTTTTGATTTGTACTTCTGAATTATTATTTCATTAGAATTAATTAAATTTATTTAATATTGCTATATCGCAAAATTAATCTCTCCACTTTTTTTTTTTTTTTTTCGATTAATCAATTTAGTTTAACATGCATAGAATATTTATCATTCTTAATTCATAGACATTTTTACTACTACTGTACAAGTACTTTTTATGGATAAATTAATCTGTATATGTAAGATATTAACTCTATGTATATTAAACTTGTAATAAGTTGTGAAGAGTTATTTGAAAAATATATAATATTTTATAAAATTATAATTTAAAACGGGATTATATTATTCTACCCGAGACATAAAACATATTATTCCTTTATTATATAATTGGAGATGAATTTCAGCTTTAGTAGAATTTAAGATCTTCTTTCAATTTTGATTTACATATTCATATTATTCTCAAAATTGTTGACACATTTTATTGCCGATTCTTCTTTTACATTGAGGATTTAATATTATTCTCAGTTTACGAAAAATTCAATGATATTAAATAACGGATATTTGTCAAATTTTGTAAAACAATTTCTTATTGTCCGCGTCTACAAGGCTGACCACGTCTACAAGGCTGAACTTGTAGAAGCAGATGCTCTTGCTGAAACAATAAACTCAACACAATCAAGTTCAAGGCTTTATAATTTACTTTAAAGTTTGTTGAATTTTTACCCCTTTAGATCTGATTTATTGTGCAAATACAAATACTACAAAATTTAATTGTACTTTTTTTCACTTTACATATTTTTTTATCAAACTTTCGTCAATTTCCTAATTCGTATTTGTGAAAAAGGTTCTATGCTTGATGAAATTTTCAGTATTTAGGGTTGAAAAATTTTTCTATCTAGTTTTGAAACTCTTTGAAAATATTGTTGAGAACAAAACCGGTTAAATTCATTAACGGAATTATTAAACCCCCTTTTCTGTAAACTCTTTTACTAATTTTGTACTTATATATAGATCTGTTGCTGTACTGAAAATTTTCAAGGTATTTTTTTTTTCACTTCAATAATGAGATCTCCCCTCTTTTCAAGATTTCTTCTCCTCTTTTTACAGATTTATCGAATGATGACTATAAATATGGGGGAGCTTGAATATACTGTAGCTGGCACAAATCTTGCTATAATTTGCTCAATAGCCGATTTTTCAATTTAACGTTAGTAATGATCCTCCTCAAGAAATAATAAAGCTTGATAAAAATATTGCACTTCTTGTTTCAGCTAATTTGTCTTATCTGGTACCTAAAATTCCGACGCCTTACAAAACGTGATATATTAATTACGACTAAATCAATTTTAACAAGGTAAAGTTGCAACTTTTGACATAAAAATATTTATAATTTTTACTTACTGTACTAAATTTCTAGAAGGCATGGGATTGCTTTGGGTCAGTAAATGAGCTCTTAATACCTTGTAGAATGACGGCAGTTTATCAATGCAAAATATTCTGAACTTTCTGCATTTTTCAAAATATACTAATTATTGGAGTGTCATGTTTTAAGCTCAAAACAGGGTCTTAAATTGTTCTGCTCCCCCTTATATATTATATCGATAAGCTATATTAACTAAAGGATATTTCCCGAGAGCAGGTGAAAATATAATCAATCTAAGGAAGAACTTCGTATAAATTGAACCTCAATATCCGATTCAGACCAGACCCAAGCTAAACCTCTAAATGGTTATTAGCTCTGCTCTGTGCAATAATAGCAGATTTACTCTTTTAGGTCCTGAATGTGAGATTTAAAATTCGATAACTAAACTCTTTTACTAAATTAACAAAGTCTATGTTTCAGAAGTTGCTACCAGATAATTTAATGTCCTGTCCCTCTTAAACGCGAAATAATTGCAAATATAAAACATATCAAATTAACAAAGAATACAAAAGTATGTGGACTATTTCAATATTTCACATACAAGCAAAGACATAAGCATCATGTGCTAAGTTCAATAATGAACAACTTTTTACCACTGATAGCGATATTAATTACATTTAGAATGAGAGAATCAAAATTGCCTTTTACTTTGAAGTAAAGAATTCAATGACAAGCATGATGTTTCAGCACACTACGGGCCCTAGACTTGCAGAGACGCTAGATAAATGAACCACAAAGGCCTGGTTATTTTGAAGTACCTCAAAAAAATTCTCAAAAGGGGTGGTTCTCAGCTGTCAACGAAGTTATTGTCACGACAATCAAAATTACTTATGCACAGCTTCATCGTTTGGACAAATAGAACCAAAATAGAGCTAGCCATACTGCAAGCATGTCGCCTATTGGTACTTGTTGGTACTCAGAGTTCTCAATATGGCTTAATAGTCTGTGAAACTACCCCTAAAAAAATTTGAGAATTTACCATTTTGCGCCCAGACATTTCACTTTTTTTTTCTAAAACTTTTTTATTGCATTTTCAGATACCCTTACCAGTCATCTGTTTAATGAGCTAGGTCCTATTACGTAACTTCCTCTGGTTGTTGAGATATTCAGGGAAACGTCTAACTCGCTCAAATGAGCAGTTACAGCCTTCAAACTAATTTGATAAGCTAGATCTTGATTCAAGTAGATCAATAAACAATTTTGTGTGCTGCTAGCGATGCTAGTTGATGAGATATAGGCCATTTTAGTTTGGGCTACTTTCAAAGTCAATATTACACAAAACTGGATTTATACCACCGAGGTCACGTTATTGGTTACTAAACTACTTAAATAACTCTTTCCCTTACACAGTTGGTGCCAAAAGTGTCATACTAATCACATTCAATTTTTATCAATGATCAAAATGATGTAAAAATTAGATCTCTTTAAAGAAAACTCCAAGTTGGGAAGGAAGATTTTTTTCTTCACAAAATACTGCATATAAGAAAAATTTCACTCTTAGTTTTCGTCTTTTTCAATTGGCTTCAACTTCATACTGGTTCAAATAAGAGAAGAAAGTGTCATATTAATTACATTTATTTTTTCATTAACCTTACAATGGTGTAGGTTTCATAAAAATTGAAGTATTTCTAATTGTCTTGAATATGTCGATTTTAAAATATTGCATTTTGAGTTGTATTAATATGTGACTGCATATAAGCTATTACTAAAAACGCCAATAACTCAAGAACCAGAAAAGAATTGCTTAATTTGAGCGTTCTCTTTGCTTCAGTGAAGTGAGATCTACATTTTGGTACTACTTTTGTTAGTGCAGATGCAAAATTGACAAAGTTAGCTAAAACCCTAAATATCTCAATAACCAAGAGATCAATGGAAAAACAACCTATATAAATGAGAAGCGAGAAAGTAGGAGTATCTGATGAATCAATAAAAAGGGCATTTTGTCATTGATGTTTGTGAGTCAAGAAAAATATTGACGTGCTTCGCCGTCATTTGGCAAAATTCTCAATTTTTTTAAAACGGGGGTTTAGAGCAGCAGCTTATGTGACTTTATAGCTGCCTTGTACCATTAAGGACTTACTAGTCAAATTAGCCATTATATGAATGACATACTTTAGCATTAGAACCTTTATTTATTAATTATCGACTATTATACTACTATAACGTATAATATAATGACTGATAAACCCCCAATTGAGAATTTTGATTGTACCGAAAGCATGAACCTTATCTCAAAGTATAAGCGTTCAGCGCTACAAAACACTAGCTTTTCAAATATTAAATACCTCTCAAGTCTGGAATCTCCTTTTATAAATTAATTAGTTTCTGCACCAAAATGAATAAGAACTCATACATATTCTTAATTCAATAACTTAATGTTATATAACTCCTGTAAAGTCTTAAATTTTGTTAGTTTTGTATAATGTATACAAATTGATTACTATTACTTCAATTAATTGGTCTTGAAATAATCATGTTGTCGTTTATGAACTAATTAAAAATTCACATTTTGCTATTTGATTTGTTATGATTTTAAGATATTACGTACCTTATAATCCTGTATATAAATAAATGTCAATTGATACAGTACAATAAAAGTGGTTTTTAAAGCACACTATTAACCTACAAGATGTCTCAAAAATTAGATTGAATTAAAATTCAGTAAGTGGAAAGGCTTAAAATTACTATTTTTGGTTGTATAAAGTTTTCAGAAGCTTCAGCTTATATAAATTCAGTATACTTTGTTCTCTATATTCTAATTATTTTTTGTCTCAATTTCTTTCATATTAAAATTTTACAACTAAATATTAGCATAACAAAACTATTGCCATTTAGATATATACAAAGCAAAAATAATTTTTTTCATTTTATTTTGACAACTATTCTTTTCAATTGATCACCAACTTCTACTTTTATCCAAACTGCTTTTATCCATACTACTTTTATCCATTCTACTTTTATCCATACAAATGTAGAACTATTTATTTATTTATTTACTACTAACTTCAGAATTCTAGTTTTATTATCAATTGAGAACTTTTTGTGAGACATTTCACCCACTCAAGAATGGGAATTACCTGAGTTGACTATCTGAGACGTTTTCCCGACCCAATGGACAGATTAATGATCTTATCAACCTTGAGACGCGCCTTTGAAAACAAACTGAACTAACTGACTGGACTGTGATTTAGATTAGACATTGGAGTGAAGCAAGTTAAACTTTTGATGTTTTGGAATATTGACTGACAACCCTTTTTGACTTCGGTACTTGAGATACATGACTGGAGAGCGTAAGCTGATTCTTAGAGAGAGATGGTTGATTTTGATTCAACTTTGATTAAAGGCAATTCATAATGTCAGTTGGTCAATACAATGATTAAAATTAAGGATAGCAGATATAGACTGGACAAATGCAATAAAACAGACACAAACCAGAATAAGTCTTACTTGAAACTAGCTACAAAGAGAAGAAAGTGGTCACTATAAGTGCAAAAAAGGTTAAAAGTACCCTAGACACACATTTCTTAGAATTTCACAGCTTAGACATTATGACAAGAGAATTACGAAATGTTTCAAAAGATGCCACCAAGCAAATCACAAAAATACTGCAAGTATAAGCGTATTAAGATAACTACAACCATTAGGTTTAGGTGCAAATTGACCAGCAAAACTACTCAAGCATATCCATTTTATCAACAACAGATACTCAATATTAAGGTTGATATCACATTTACTGAAAAAATTACAGATGGTTTAGAGAACAATTAAATGAGATAATAAATTATAAATTAAGGCAAACATAAACATTATTATATGACTACCCTAGAGCAAGCGGGGATACCTTATTTATCAGCCGACTGAACCACAGATACTTTATTATAATGACGTACCCTAAAAAATCCTCAATTGGGGGAGTTTACAGCTGTCAACAAATTATTGTTGCAAAATTAATTATCATGTACCAGCAAACTTTCAATGAATGCATAACTTGTTTCAAATATGTGCTGAAAAATGTATACATGCTGCCTATTGGTTCTTGATGGTACTCAGAGTTCTCAATATGGCTAGAAAGTCTGTAAATTTACCCCCTAACAAAATTTGAGGGTTTTCCAATTTGCGCCCGAACATTCAACTTTTTTTTCAGGCAATATTTATAATTTTGATACCCTTCTTTTACCAATTTCCCGAGAGTCAGGACACGTCTCTGCCCATGAGACATTTAATTTGCTCAAAAGAGTATCATTAAATTTGCTTAAAAGTGTAGGTCAAAGAATAAAATAAATAACGTAATCTATTTTTTTGTTAAAAATAATCAAAATATAAAATATTTACTGATTAACCGTTCTTAAAACAGAAACTTATTTAGTTAAAATAATTTTCTATGCTAGTCAAAAAATCTTGAAAATCAGAATTTGAGACATTATCAGATGATAATCCTTGATACCCAATTTTAGCAAATGAAAAAGCATCAATTAACCCCTCAAAATAATCATAAGTAGCTTTCGAAACATTTGGGTAAAACAAATTTTCAGCTCTTACAGTATGTGAACAGCCTTTTACAGGTGGAATACCAGCAAATCTATTTTCTATCCATGTCCAAGCAGCTGGGGCTCCAACAAGATATTCTGTAATATGACCATTTAATAAATCTTCAGCAAATTCAACTGATGAAACGCCAGCGTCACACCATTGTTGATATGCCTTTTTAGAATCTTTTATGGGAAGAATTTGATCTAGTGTACCTTGATATATAAATACTGGAGTTGTTGGTTTATATTTTGATACATCTAAATTTAATAAACAATTTTCCTGAATTACTTGATTAATAGCTGGTATCTTCAACACTTCAAACCCCCCTGGTATTGAAGGATTATTACCAGAGAATATATTAGCATCAAAATATTTTATAAGTGATCCTATTAAACAATGATTTTTTGCATCTTCTATATTTACTCTTTGATTTGGTCCAACATTTTGATATAATAAATCAGTTATATTTGGATATTCATTAGTTAAACCCGTTAATGCAATAGGAGTTAAACCAGCGGCTATTCCACCATCAACGACTTCGAACATAGCTGTAACGTTTGTGAAAAATCCACCTAATGCAGTGCCAATTACCTTATCTTCAATTTCTGGGGCGTATGAATTTAAAAAAACATTAGCCCAACCAGAAGCAAGACTACCACCACTGTACCCCCACATAGCGACCTTAGCATCTGAATTTATACCGGTTAAGTTACCAGATTTTAAAGTAGCGCGAATCGAGTTCAAAGTTGCATACCCTGATTGTCTACCAACGGTCCATGTTGATTTAAAACCTTCATAATCTGGTGAAACAACATAATAACCCTTTTGTAAAGCCAATGTTATAAGAGTCATATCTATTTGAGTATTAAATGTTGACATTGAAGCACCATATAAAAATCCATAAGAAGCTGAACAATCTAAATTAGTACTATCTTCAAAAGTTTGATAACTAATAACTTTATTTGGATCAGCATCATAAGGTTCCATTATGGTTGATACAAATGCATTTGGATTACCAAAAGAATCTTCAGATCGAATTAGTAATTGCCATGAGTTTTTAATATTTATTGGGAAAATTATACCTCTTAATTGAGCTGGAGTATTTCTATATCTAATAATATCTCCAAGTTTATAATTTTCTATGTCATCTGGAGCTATATAAAAATCATCTTCACTAGGAGCTTTAGGAGTTGTTGGTAATGATAAAACCAATGATAAAACGAAGGACAAAGTTAACAAAATTAATCTCATTTTTGAGCCAGAAATTTGAAAAACTATGAAGAAATCTAATAAGCCATTTTTTCAAAATTTGGCCCTATTGATTTTTATTTATATTATTGGTTCTGGATTTATCTCATAGTACCTAATTAATGAGCTTCAAAATGAAGAATTCCCCTTACACATTGTGCTGAGTGTTGGAACTTTAATTTGCGTCTTCTTAACTAAAAAAAAATATGTCAATTTTCTCCTCGTAAAAATAATGGGGTAAGATAGAAATTTTCGAAATCTTGATTAATTACGGTTTTGTGTAATAAAGGAATGTTTCAGATATATTTTCTTTTTCCATATTTAGTAATAAAATTGATTGACCAAAATATTCGAATAAAGATGATAAGTATTTGATCTCAAAGGTTTTACCCAATCTCGTAATTTAATTTACTAAAAATTTCATATGCACATTACTACCTCGTTTAAACTTCGTGAATTAGAGGCTTCGATATTTGGCACGGAGATAAAAGATTCTTCCATTCATAGTTTTTAGTATAGACTTACATCTAATTGATCAAAGTTTTAGACTAAAGTCTGAATGCGTAATAACGTAGAATATTTGGTCACCTTTATTGTTGTTCTTTTTAATGCACTAGGTTTTCTTGAAGGATTCTTTCTGGTTGTTGAGATAATGAGCAAAAATCCGACTCGCTCAAATTAGCAACTAGGGTTCTGAAAGCAATTTTGAAAGTTGAATCAGTACGAGTTACTCACATACAGTTAGAGCAGAAAACTTAATTAACCGAATATTGCAAAAGCTATTTCCAAGGTATAATTAATACTGTTACTTTTGCTTAGACAGGTTAGCAAGGCTTATCGTTATGTTCTCTTTCAAGTTTAGCATGCAATTGTATTTTGGGAAAAGTTGTAAATATATATAAGACCAACTAGGAAATGAAATCAGGATATACATGCTTGTAAGATTTAGTTAAGTAAGTAGATTAGATTATAGCGATTCAGCGAAATTAAAATTTGAACTATTTTTAAAGTGTTGGCTCTTCAGTAGCAATCTCACTTCTCAGATGTATGATTACACGTACTATAAAAGTTCCATATGTTAGCGTTTAAAAATCCTGTGTAAATTCTGAAACAGGAATTGGTAGCAAATTGAGGGAAAATTTAAATGTACACTGGTCTGTAAATTTAACCAAAGCATCAATGAGTGATTAGGTCAGATACAACTGAGCAATCTGGCTGTCGTTAAGAAGGAGTAAAAGTACATCACCTTCATAGTTCTGTAATAGCAAGTATATACTAACAAAGACGAGCGGAGCCTAGAAACAAAACAATCTTACAAGCAAAATTTATTTATTATGATAAAAGTTAGATCTCGCTGAACAATTCTATTTAAAAGGAATGAAAAAATTCATTCAGGTACAAAAATAGTATATAATTACAATATATCAGAAAAATTACTTTGACAGGTTTGAAATTCGACGGGTATAAAAAACAAACATGGATTTTCATGCGCGTTAAATTAAAACATTGAAGACTTAAAGAACTGGAGGTTGCTGTTTAAAATTTATATGAATATGTGCTTAAATTAGTAAAGAACGTACGGGGTAATGATATAAGCAATATAACACAACATGCATCTCATATGACTTTAAGATGAAATTCAAATCATATTAATCAAAATTTACTCATTTAGATCAACAACAACCATCTCATACAGGTAATGAAATTGATTTTCATTCCACCTTGTTTCAATCAATGGTTTTAGCATTTCCCAAAGCACCACTAACGCCAAAAGAAGATCCATTCTATATTGCACCAGATAATTTGGAAAATTATAAACTTGGAGATATAATAAGATCTAGAAATACTCCAACTAAGGTAAGAAGTATATTCGTTCCTTTAAATTTGAAGTATTCATGGCAATTACTTGTAAGATCCGAAGATTCATTTGGTAATCCAAATGCATTTGTTACAACTATAATGGAACCATATAATGCTGATCCCAAAAAAATTGTAAGTTATCAAACTTTTGAAGATAGTGCTGATTTAAATTGTTCACCTTCATATGGATTTTTATTTGGTGCTTCAATTGCTACAATTGCAACTCAAATTGAAATGACTTCTATTACTTTAGCTTTACAAAAGGGTTATTATGTAGTTTCACCAGATTATGAAGGATATAAATCGGCTTTTGCTGCTGGTAGACAAGCAGGATATGCAACATTAAATTCAATTCGTGCAATATTAAATACTAAAAAATTAACAGGAATAGATCCAGATGCAAAAGTAGCACTACTAGGTTATTCTGGGGGTAGTATCGCATCAAGTTGGGCTAATGTATTATTAAATTCTTATGCACCTGAAATTGAAGAAAATATTATTGGTACTGTATTAGGTGGATTTGTTACAAATATTAAATCAATAGCAGAAAGTGTTGATGGAGGACTAGTTGCTGGTTTAATTCCAGTTGCTTTAACTGGATTGGGAAATGAATATCCTGAATTCAAATCTGCTATAGAAAAAGAAATTGATCATGACAAGGATATCTATTTAAAATACGCAGGTCAAGTTGGTCTTGCCGGAGCAGTTTTAAAATATTTTGGTCATCGTTTTCTAAGTGGTAAAAATCCACTTATACCAAGAGGATTAGATGTATTGAATGAACCTACAATTGATCGTATACTTAAAGAAAATTCATTATTATATCTAGATACTTCAAAATTTAAACCAACAACTCCAATTTTTATTTATCATGGTAAATTAGATCATATTGTTCCTATAAAAGATGTTAAAAAAATTTATCAACTATGGAGTGATGCAGGAGTTCCTTCTTTAGAATTTGCAGAGGATTTATTGAATGGTCATATAACAGAAGCTGTTATAGGAGCTCCTGCTGCTTGGACATGGATAGAAAATAGATTTAATGGTATACCACCAATAAAAGGATGTTCACACACATCAAGGGCAGAGAATATTTTATATCCCAACGTTTCAAAAGCTACTTTTGAATATTTCAAAGGTCTTATAAAAGCTATTACTTTTGCTAAGATTGGTTATAGAGGTTTATCAACTGATAATATTTCGATTTCTGCATTTAAAGAACTTTTGGGAAAACTTGAAAGTTATTTTAGTAAAGATCAATAAAGATCACGCACAATGTACGGTAATTCAATATACAAATCAGCTTCATTTTTAGAATTGCTTTTGATCCATTTTTGAAGACTTTTTTTGCCTACTCAAGCTCTAAAGTAAGCGTGGTGAATTAATAGTTTAAGTATGTAATGTTAAGTCACGTGATTATTTATTAGTTGTGTTATTAATCCTAAATTGAAAACAAACAAGAACTAGGGCGTGTGGCGTAGTTGGTAGCGCGTTTGCCTTGCAAGCAAAAGGTCATGAGTTCGATTCTCATCTCGTCCAAAGTAAATAAGAAGTTGAATTTGCAACCGACTTTATTTTTTGCAATAGTTTTTTTGCCAATTTTGACTAACTAATTATATCGTAAATGATATTTAGTACATCCGCAAGTTGAGTGATGTTTGCTTTAATACTTATACTTTCAATCTTGCTGGTTCCCCTTCGAGTTGGTGTATTAGAATTTCAGTGTAGAACTAATTTCGATATTTTTTGCATGAATTTTACATTTGAATTTTAACATAACAAACGATAGAGTAAGTTGAGAGCAAGATTTACAAAAAGTTTGTTTTTCTGAAAATAACAATGCCATAGAAATTAGTAGCCTATTAACTTTAAGCTATAAATATACATAAATATAGAAATAAAACAAAATGCCAAAACTTCATACTCATTCTTCATCTCCTTTTTTATCTTCATTTTCAACAACTTCAACTTCTCCATTACTTCTTTTTAAATCAACATCATTCCAAACAAAACTAACTCTGAAATATCTAGCAACAAAAGTTAATAACAACAAGACAGGAACTTCCAATAATGGACCAAAAACAGCAGCAATAGCTTGTTTACTACCTTCACCATATAATGCAATAGCCATAGCTAAACTTAATTCAAAGTTATTTGAACTTGCTGTAAAAGCTTGAGTAACTGTTGATTCATAACTTGCATTACATTGTAAACTTTTAATTTTTTTCTTTTGATTATCTGATAATTTTTCTTCACATCCACATTTATATAGTAATTTTGATTCTTCATCTGTTGAATCAATATTTGTAACTTCATCTGAATTTTGTCTTTTCTTAAGTATATTTTTATAATTCATTATATTTGATAAATAACGTAATAAAAAAAAAGTTCCAAACCACATTATCATAAAGTATAAAGCTAATGGTATTAAACATTTTAAACTTTCTCTTAATTCATGAATAAATTCATCTCCTTTTGATATAAATATAACTATGATAACATATAATAATGCAATTAATGCCCATGGACCTATAAATGGCATAATTTTTTTATTAAATTTTTCAGTACCAATAGTTGAAATAAAACAAAATCTAATAGCAACACCAAAGAATAAAGGAATACCCATAAATATACCAATATTTTTAAGTACTAAAACAAATAAATGACCCATTGAAACATCATTCAAAAATTCTATTGGTTCATTAGTTATAACATAACAAAATAATAATTGATAAGGAGCATATAAAATGATTTGTAGAGTACTATTAATTATTACTAAAATTGCACATAAATCATTTGAACCTAATGCTAATTGATTCCATATTAAAACCATTGCAATACATCTTGCCATACCAATCATTATAATACCAGTTCTATATTCTTTTTCATTAAATAAACAAGCCCAAGCTAATCCAAACATTAAAAAGGGACCAATAATATAATTTAGTATTAATGATATTAAAATTTCTTTTAAATATTTTGAATGTCTAGCTCCATCAAATTTTTTTAATTTTTCAAATTCAATTTTACATAATGGTGGTACCATCATAATAATTAATCCAACATTAAGTGGTATTGAAACATTTGTCATTTTATTTTCATCAGTATTATTAAAAGGTTCTTTTGATTGTGGTACATAAACTGATAATAATATCCCAATAATCATTGCTAGTATTATCAATATTGGTAATAATTTGTCCAATAAGGACATTTCTTTGAACACGATCTTACAATCTCTTTTAAATGATGATAACATTATGTACTTGAATAGTGAATATTTGTATATTAATTATTTATAGTAAAAATATGATTATAATATTATGTGATTAATGATTTATCTGAAAAAATTTGTATAATTTTGAAAACTAAGTATAATGATCGAGTAAGGGTTTAAAGGTTGTTTAAGTATTGAAAATAAATAATGATTGTATTCTAAAGGAAATTAAATAAGTTGTTTGTTTGATTCAAAAAAATATTAAAATGCAACTACAAATGATTTTTTATATAAAAAAAATTTATATCTTTCAAAATTTCTTTTTTTTTTTTTTTTTTTCTCTTTAAACTTTTAAAAATAAAAAAGATTTAAGAAAAATAATTTATCATACAAGTTAATCCACAAATTTTAATGTTGTATTTTCAATACTGAAAATGTCCTTGATCTTATTGATATTCATAGATATTCAATAATACATCTAGGTAGAATAATAGATAGGACTTTTGTCTAAAGGTTCTTACTATCTTTCCATAACGGTTTTTCGTAATCAATTTACGAAGATGTTGTTTCAAATCTGATGCACAATTTAATTTTTTTATTTTTTTCTGACTTCGAATTTCATCTTTTGTTTCAAATAATAAACTAAAATTAATAAACTTTTTTAAATGACGTTATTAATTGATACAAGGCTTAACTATCAAGATTCTTGAATAGTTTTATTTAAATTAAAGATAAGGAGATGAGATTATAAAGTTTAAAGTGACCCTCAATTATACTTTGGTTACGTAGTTTATTTTCTTATTTCCATAACCACTAAAGTACTTTTATAATAGAAGGTCTTTACAATAGATGGTCTCCATCCGTAACTTTTTTGAAATATCAATCATTAAGGTATTTGGAATTTGAGAATAATAAATAAATCGCAACCCTCCTTCAAGTTAGACGCTGATCCTCATAATTTGTGTACTAAGATTTTTTTTTGAGCTGACCATATAACAACCTCGATTAAGTCTCGATAAAACTGTGATCCATTAGCTAAATTTTTCAATTTTCAATAAAGCAAAGTTTACCAAAATATATCAATAGATTTATTAGAGCTCACAAACTATTCAGTACTTACTTGCCCACATATCAGATGATAAAATTGTAAATAGTCGAAGAATTTTATAGCTTATGAAACTTAAAAGTCAAGTCGAAGCAACTAATCGCAACTAGAGCTAGCTTAGCTTAGAAATGCTTGTGCCACATTAAAAATGGATTACAAGTTCTCCAATTTTCCATTTTTTTTAGAATTATCTTGAACAACAAATCACCAAAAAATTCAAAAATTGAGTAATACTTTTTACATTATAGAAAGAAGTTTATCAAACATCAATAAGACATACAGAACTTCAAACTAAATATAGTCTTTCTATTTAGTTTTCATTGATAAATCAATAATGACGATAGATTAACCGAAAAAGGTTGCAAAAAGGTAATAAAAAAATAGCCGTTTCTGCAAAGCTACCAGATTTTTTACATATTAGCAAAAGGTGAATTTTGGTACTTTACAAATTCCAATTAAAAACAAAATAATCACAAATAACAAACTACATTCTACCAAAACTACAATTAATATCACCAACTTACTTAAAAATATACATATATTTTAATTGATGAATCAAACACTAAATACAAAATGGCAAGAGCAACGATAAAATCAGGTACGATTAATCTTCTAAATACAATCATAGGAGCAGGAATTTTAACAATGCCATATGGATTAAAATCAAATGGATTAATATTTGGTTGTTTACTTATAGTTTGGTCTTCATTAACATCAGCATTTGGATTATATTTACAAAATAAAGTTGCAAAATATACTGAACAAAGAGGATCAGTTTCTTATTTTCTGTTATCACAATTAACTTATCCTAATTTATCAATATTATTTGATTTAGCTATATCTATTAAATGTTTTGGTGTAGGAATTTCTTATTTAGTTGTGGTGGGTGATTTAATGCCTAAAATTATGGAAACTTTAAATGTTAAATCTGATTCAATATTTATGAGTAGAAATATTTGGATATCTATATTTATGATATTTATAATAACTCCATTATCGTTTTTAAAAAAATTAAATTCATTAAAATATACAAGTATATTAGCTTTATTTTCTGTGGCATATTTAATATGTTTAGTTGTTACAAAGTATTTTCAAATTATAATTATTGATAAAAACCATGTAAATCATATTGATTGGATTGGTCCAATAAGTTGGAAAAAAACATTAAGTTCATTCCCAATGTTTGTATTTGCTTATACTTGTCATCAAAATATGTTTGCTATTATAAATGAATTAAAACCACATGAAAAAGATGGATCTCAAACAAGACAATCAAATCTTATTATTAGAAATGCTATTATAACTGCATTATTATCATATTTAGTGGTTGGAATTTTTGGTTATTTAACATTTGGTAATGAAGTTAATTCAAATATTATATCAATGTATCCAAAATCTTCAATAAGTTCATTAATTGGAAGATTATGTATAGTTATAATGGTTGCATTATCATTTCCATTACAATGTCATCCATGTAGAGGTTCAATAAATCATGTTATACATTTTTTAAGTGAAGGTTTTAATGATTTAAAATTAAGAAATAAATCAAGTTCAAATAATATTTCAACCGGGTCAACTGGATCAACTGGTTCAACAACTATAAGAAATCAAGGGTATACTTCATTAACATCAGATATAGAAAGTTTAAATTCAATAAATGAAAATAGTATAATTGATGAATCATTCATATCAACAACACCAATGGAAGGTGCTCAAGATACTGAAGGTCATGATCCAATTATAATACCATTAACTACCAAAAAATTCTATATAATTACAACTTTTATAGTTGTTGGAAGTTATATAATTGCAATATCAGTTAACTCGTTAGCTAAAGTTTTAGCATTTGTTGGAAGTACTGGATCAACTTCAATATCATTTATATTACCTGGATTATTTGGATATTTATTGATTAAAAATCCAAATAATGAAGAATTAAATAAATTAGAAAAATTTTGTAAATTTGGTGGATTAGCTTTAGCAATATGGGGATTTGCAGTTATGGTTATTTGTTTAAGTGCTACTATATTTTTAGGAGCAACTCATTGAATAAAAAAAATTCATAAATAATGTTAGATATATAGTTTACAAAAATACATGTATTATTAAGGAACTTGTTGATTAAATATTAAATTACTTCTTGTTGAAATAGATATTTGAATAAGTCTGGATTTGAAGGTGAAGTTTCGATCTTGACATTATTATAAAAATCATTAATTAAAAATATCGGTATTGAACCAATTAATTTAAATTTTTGTAGGGATTGAAAATTAAAATGTTGAATATTAAACTCAATTGAGTCATCCACAAGTTTAGCTTCAACTGGGAACTTATAAGATATAAAGTGTAATACTTTATCTAATTTCTTCAATTGAAACCAAAACTTCCTAAAAGCACCAAACTGTTCAAAAACATTATCACCAACTGTTGGAGATTTGTAAATACAATCAACTAAACTCTTGTTATAAAATTTGTTCTCCACAACCAGATAACTTAGTTTATTCTCAATAAAATCAACCGTTAAACTTAACATACCATCAAATAAGAACACTAATGAAGCACCTTCAGAGTTTAAATACTTTAATTTAGTTTCATCAGATATTTTTTTAAAATTTGATATAATTTGATTGATTTCCTTTTTCGTAAATACTTTAATTTTATTTAATTCAAATTCCAAATTATTTAATTGAATTTGATTTTGTAATTTTTTAGAGTTTAAATTTTCTAATTCTTGATCTAATTTTGAAATTTTCTCTTTTTTGGTTGTTAATTGACTAGATATATTTTGAATTTCCAATTTTTGACTATTCAATGATTCTTTGAATTCATTAATTTCATTAACTGATAAATTTTTCAATTGTTGTTTCACATCTTTGAACTTCTTTAGTTTATTAAGTAATTGATTTTTTTCAATTAAAACTTTTTCATTTAATTTATCCAACTCCATTAAATCATCTTTCATTTGTTGTTTTTCTCTAATTAAATCATCAATTTGAATTTCAATTTCTTCAATTACATTTTTAATTAAAGTTGATCTCCAAATATACCAAGTTTTTTTACTTTGTAAATCTGTATTTTCTTTTAAATTTTGAAAATTTATAAACATTGATTGACTATTTGTTGTCATTGCATTTATATAAAATTTTTTCATTATTAATGTATTATTGTTTGTTATAGTTTCATTAAATTCATTATATATTTTATCTCCTTCTTTTATATAATTTTGTAGTTCATTTTTGATAAATTCATTAAGTAAAAATAAATCTTTGTATGGTTTTGCATTTAAATAATCAATGAAAGTTGCTAATTCATGAGTTGTTTCTGCTGAACTTATATCAATATTTGAAAAATGAGTATCTGTATAAAATTTAACATTTATATCTTGTAAGAAATTAGTCAACAGAACTGGTAAATAATTTTTGAATTCATCATCTTCTTGTTCTATAATATCATCTTGAGTAACTTCTGCCAATGGGATTTTTGTAGTGATGACATTTTCTTGTACAGATGAATCATTTGAATTTGTTTGAGTGACATTATTATCCTCATCAACATCATGTCGTACAATATTTGTATTAACCTGAGTTAAATCCATAGGTTGAGATTGTGTCAAATCATCATTCTGAATATCTTGATTCAACTCCTCAGTTGATTTCACTGCTTTTACTGGTTCAGTCAATTCCATATCTTGCATTTCTACATCACTTTCCTTATTGTGAGCAACATTTGGTTCAATTTCTTCTTTATCGTCCACATCAATTTCATCAGGTATATCTTCAAGGTTAGGTTTTGGAACATTATTCTTATAAGGTAAATTTATTTTATCAGTTAATTCCATATTAATTTCATTATCATTTTCAGATTCATTACTACCATCATCATCATTATTATTACTTGTTTCTTCTGGAGTTTCATTAGTTGTAATTTTTCTAATAACATTTGTAATATTCATTGTTTGTTCACCTTCATCTACCGCTACAAAATTAGCACTGGGGATCTTGATAGGACCAGTGAATTGCATATCTTGTTCTTCTTCTTGATTATCATCTGAACAATCTGCATCTTCATCTGTGTCTTCTTTTAATTTGTCTGTATTTGATATTTGATTCTTGAGTAAACCAGTCAATTCCATTGATAGTTCAACTTGTGGTTCTTCATTGGATAAAGGTAAGTTTTTTACAATTTCAATAGCCCTTCGTCTTGCTGGATCAATTGTTTCTCCATTATGTTCTGGTTCTTTATCAGACAACGGTAAATTCTTCACAATTTCAAGAGCTCTTCTAGGTGAATCAATAACTATTCCTTCATGATCGTTATCATTTTCATCAGAACTATCAGTCAAAGGCTTTGATCCATCATCTTCGTCTTGATCAATCTGATCTGGAGCCAATAGTGGTATGAGTTCATTTGATTGTGATGACATTATGGCACTTAATTCAAAATCTGATTGTGATGAAGGTGAAGAATAACCACCATCTGTTTTTCTTCTTTTATTTGGATTTGTTATTTCAATTCTATGCATGGTTACTTCTGGTGCAAATGATACTCTTCTTGCATTTTGTGTTAATGGGATCGTATTATCTTTTAGTATGCTTTTGGCCATTGTAGATCAGAGCTAGCAGGAGTATTGAAAGCTAGTCAATTGTTGAGGTGTATATGTAATTTTGATTAAACAGCATGAAAGTGGTTGTAAAAATTATTTTATAAATTTATTTGTTATTGTTTTAAAAATATTATTTATTACATAATTTATTACGTAATATCACCAAATTTACTACAATTCAAGGAACCATATATTTGACAAGATTAATAAGGTTCGAAGAGACCTACAAAATGAACTTACAATCATTTCCAACAAATCTAAAATAGCTGAGATACACTCAAAATATTATTACTCCAAAAAACAAACCCTCTATATACACCCAAAATTTATAATTCTCCAACAATTGGTATCCTCCATTTTAAACCTTGTTTATCATATCTACATCTTTTTTGATTAATTTTTCTTTTTTTCTCTGCATTTTCATCTACTTCAGTCTTATATTCAATAGGTGATTGTATTCCATTACTTTGTAAATTTAATTTTAACGGAGTGTCAGTTGTTGTTTTTAAAGATTTTGATGCAATTTCATCTTTCCAATCTAAATCATAATCTCCAAATCTATTTATAAATTGTCTTTGTTGATATATCGTGGCAAATTTAAAATATCTTCTCATATTTGAAACATCACCAGTTGTTTGGAAATAAAAATTTGCATAATTTGTTAATTTTTTTAAATCATATTTAAATGGAGTATGCATTGATGTTAATGATGAAGTTGATGATGAAGTTGATGATGATGATGGTGTTATAAGGGAGTTATGTTTTTTATCACTATAATCTTTTAAAAATGATTTATCATATTTATCCCAAATTTCATATGGATCTCCATTTCCATATTCCATTGGACAACATGATATACTTGTATTATCTGAACATCCACCATTTTGAACATAGTTCAATGCTTTATATAGGTTCTTTAATAAGATATTTATAAAATACTTATAATCGGTTTCATTTAATGTATAATATAATAAATCATATTCATTATATAATAATGAAGGTTGAGATATATCAATAAAATATATTCTAAATCCACTTTTCAAATACAAACCAATTTCTTCCATTTTAATTTCAATTTTTCTTAATTTATTATTTGAGTTTTTATTGTTCTTCAATGGTGGTACTTTAAATTGTCCAATTTTTAAAAAACAAAATTGATTCTTGGGTAATATTTCATTAATATTTGTAGGTGGATAAAACAGTTCAGATTTAACTTTTCTAAATTCTCCTTCTTTAAGTTGTTTAGTATCATCATCATCATCTTCATTATATTTAACTTCAAATTTAGTTGTACCTAATCCATGACCATATTTAACAGCTAATCCAATATTTAAATTATATACACCAGGTGATAGCCAAACATATTTGGAATAACTTAATAAATAAGTTCTATTAATTTCAACAAAATGATTATATATATAATTTGAAGGTTCATCTATTGTATAATCTGAATATTCTGCAAATAATCTTTTGTTTTTAAAAATCGAATAAACATATTTCCAACTATCTTTTATAAATTGTACATTTAAAGGATTATCATCTTCTGGTTCTTCTTCAGTAGGTTGATTTAAATTATCAATTAAATTTAATCTTTTGGCAATAATCATTCTATTTGAAAATCTAAAAGAATCTAATGATTTAATATATGGTTTTAACCATGGTAATACTTTTATAATAACTCCTAAAGTATCATCACCAAATACATTAATAATTTTATGATAAAATAAATCATTATATAATATATAAAAATGAGAATTTACATATTTTAAATTTGAATGAGGAACCATATGTAGTAGTTTCATTTGAATTTCTAATGGTAATTCTGATAACATTTTGAATATAATTTCATTGATAGTTTTTGCTGTTGATGGAAGGATAATTTAATATGTTGATACTTGATATTAATGAACGAATAGTTATTAATTTGATTTTTATTTTGAATTAATGATGATAAAAAGTTTATGAATAGTTTTTTTGTTGATGATAAGGTATAAAGGTAATTATCTTTAAATTTCCAAGATGTGAATTATATGATATAAACGTTTGATGTTGATGATTTTGAATTTATTGTTGTCAATTTGAAATTTAAATGATGATAATAAGATTTCAAATTATTATTAAAATTGATGATGATAAAAATATTAGATTAAATAGATTAAAATATGAAATCAAAATAAATTAATCCAAAATTTTTCAAGTTCAAGTTTGTAATAAAATATTATTATTAATTTTTATGTTATCTATAAGAATCTTTTTTGATCTAAATAAGAAAAGAAAACCAAAAAAATAACTTAATGTAATATTATGTTTAATGATTAAATCTAAAAATATAATTCTGATCTAAATAAGAATAAGTATTATTTAATAATTAATTATAGACTAAATGATGAATCCTTGTTGTAATAATTGATAGTTCGTAAATCAAATTAACAAAATGATGATCTTAAAAGGTTTTTATTTTAATGTAGTATTTACTATCTTTAATTTTGCTTTTATTGTTCTTGTTTAATAATTGTGGGGTGACTTTTCTTCTTTTTAAATTTATTCAATTTTAAGAGATAAAAACATAAATTATTACATCATAAGCAACTTTAATGTCGTATAATTATTTCTTTTGTCAATAAGTTTTGCGTCACTGATGCCTCACTAATTTCCCAATTTAGTTCTTACTAGCTTAATTTTTAATTTATAATTTCCCACAATTATAAATTAAAATAATATTAAGGAGTAGTACAACGTTTTTTAAATTTTAAGAAATTTCAAGTATTGAATAATTACTTGTTGTTCAGCTTAATACTACATTATTTTTTTTCGAAAGTGATGGTTTTCTCAACTCTAAAATGGTTACATTTATCAATCGTTATAGTATTTAATTACTTTTCAGTTGTTAATTCTTTACAAATACAACATCATAATCAAATCTTATTACAAGAAGAACCCCAGAATGAAAAACTACTCAATTTAAATGTACTAGAAAATTTCAATATAGATTCAATTAATAAAGAAATATGTAAGCAATATGACTACAAATACCCTAAATCATTCATAAAAGATAATTCAACAGTTTTAAATATCTTATACAATCAAACATTTAGAAATCAATCAGCTAAAAAATTATCAGGTGCAGTACAAATTAAAACTGATGTATATGATGATGATCCAACAGTTGAAGAAGATCCAAAATATTGGGATAATAAATTTACACCTTTTTATAATTATTTAAATAAAACATTTCCTATAATTTTCAATAACCTAGATGTTAAATTAATTCATAAACATGGAATTGTTATAACTTGGAAAGGTAGTGAATCAAAATTAAAACCAATTTTATTAATGGCTCATCAAGATGTTGTACCTATTCAACCAGCAACTTTAAATCAATGGAAATATCCACCATACAAAGGAGTTTATGATGGTGAAAAATTATGGGGTCGTGGATCATCAGATTGTAAAAATTTATTAATTGGATTATTAGAAACAATTGAAGAATTATATAAATTTGAATTTAAACCAAAAAGAACGATTATTTTAGGTTTTGGATTTGATGAAGAAGTTGGTGGACCAAGAGGTGCTTCTTATATTGCTAATTATCTTTTAAAAAAATTTGGTTCAAATTCATTTTATGCAATTTTTGATGAAGGTGGACAAAGTATTGCTGAAGTTGATGGTGTTACTTTGGCATTACCTGGAACAAGTGAAAAGGGATCTGTTGATATTAAAGTTGGATTAAATACTCCTGGTGGGCATTCTTCAGTTCCACCAAAACATACATCTATTGGAATAATATCTAAATTTATTCTGTTAATTGAAGAAAATTCATTTGAACCTATTTTTTCACCTTTAAATCCAACTTATCATGAATATCAATGTGTTGCTAAATATTCTAAAATTTTACCCAAAGAAATAAAATGGAGTATATTAAATGCACAATTCCCCAATACTAATAAAGTTGCAAGAGATTGGATTTTTAATAATGAATCATTAACTTCAAGATATTTAATTTCTTCAACTCAAGCTGTTGATATTATAAGAGGAGGTGTTAAATCAAATGCATTACCTGAATATGTTGAAACTATTATAAATCACAGAATAGCTATTGAACAATCAGTTGAAGAAATATATAATCATGACTTGGTATTTTTAAAACAAATATCAGATGAATTAAATTTAGGTTTAATATCAAATAATAAAACCATATTAAAACCAACAGAAAATGGATACTTTGAAATTCAACAATTAGATGGATTAGAACCAGCACCAAATACACCAACAACTGGTAAAAAATGGGAATTATTATCAGGTAATATAAGACACGTATATGAACAACTTTCCCATTTAGGTCATACAATTGTTGCACCAGGAATTGCAACTGGTAATACAGATACTAAATATTTTTGGGATTTAACTCGTGATATATTTAGATATAGACCTGGTGCATCTACGTCTGTAGAAAATCATGCTCATGGTGTTAATGAATCAATATTATTTGATTCTCATTTACAAATTATTGCTTTTTATTTTGAATATTTACAATTGATTAATGAACAAGATTATACTGATTAAATTAATGTAAATTGAGATTAAGATGGTTTTTAGTTCAAGTTTTTACAATTGATTAATGAACAAAATTACATTGAATGACTGCATTAGTAAATTGGGATTAGATCAATTGGACCTTTGCTATTTATTTTTCATAGATTTGTTTTTTTTTAAATTGAATATAAAAGTTTTAAAAGTGTTTCATATTCATATTCAAATTGTGTTTAATGTTTCAATACAACGTTTTCTTATATTTTTTTACGTTTTCATCTTAGTTCCACCATTAGTATATTATGACCTTAATCGTGTTGGAACTAACTTGTACTTATAAAATTGCTAACGGTTAGTTATTCTGAACAATTTGATTGAAACTATAATGAAAACCAGATTAAATTTATGTAGGATATTGAAAAAATTTAACTCAAAGTTGAATCAGAAACGACTAACCATTATTACCAAACAGCTTGTCTATTCACAGTCATGTATCTCAAGTACCAAAGTCTAAAAGGGTTGTCAGTCAAGTATCCAAAACACTAAAAATCTCACTTGCTTTACTCCAGTGTCTATTTTAAACAACAGTCCAGTCAGTTCGTTAGTTTTGTCTCCAAAAGTTGTCTTTCAAGTTTAATAAAGTCATTGATTTGTCCATTGGGTCGGAAAAACGTCTCAGGTAAACAACTCAGGTATCCCCCATACTTATGTAGGTGAAATGTCTCACAAAAATCCCCCAATTAATAATGAAAAGCTAAAATTCTGAAGTTAGTAGAATAAATAAATATAATCTACATTTTGTATGGATAAAAGTAGGTTTCTGTGATCAATTGAAGAAGAAAAAGGTTTCCAAATAGTTTAAAATAAAATCATTTTTGTTTCTATTTAAATGGCAAATTATTTGGTATGCTAATCTTTAGCTGCAAAAAATTATGATGTGGGACTTAGTATATATGTAAATTAACATGATCCATTATATACTACAAGATTCTGTCATTTTACACATAAACTATCAAGATCTAAGGACAATGAAAGATCATTTTATGGAGCAGGACCTTTAAACAAACACAACATATAAGCAAAACGTACTATATACTTTCTTATGCTTCAATAGAAAAACTTTCATCACTAAACCTGAATTTATTGGCATAACCAGACATTATATATTTCTAAGGGTAGTAAAAACGTGAATACTCGATCAAGAAAAGCTACAATGTGTTTGTCCCTTCCCAAATTGAGATCTTATGTTACTGTACATTAGCTTAAAATTTCATAGAATGTTTCAGATTTCACGCTAAGTTAATTGTGCAGTTTCGACAGAAAATCAAGTGCAGAGTTGACACGAACTCGCTTGATGAACCGTACAAATTTAAATTCAATTTAATCCTCATTTTGAAATTGTTACTCCTTATTGGTCACAACCACAAGTTCTATTCACATTCAGGTCAAATATTTTAGACCGAAGTTTTCGATTAAATATTTTCAAAGGATCAAAAAATAAGAAAATCGGTTTAAAAAAGGGTTCAAGATAAGTTGCAAATTTCTCTAAGCAAACAAATAATTGACCTTAGCTTTTATAAAATTAGGTAATAAAAGTATTAGAGAATCTCAAAAATGGAAATCTTTTCAATTTTTAATTTTGGACGTTTTAGACTGCAAAATTTGCGAACTCACAATTTGACTATACACAAGAAAACTAAATTACAGGTCAATTTAGCTCTAGAATAATTTATACAAGTTCAAAATTGAGCAAAATCAGTTAATTGTGTATCAATTTATTACGTTTTAAAAAGTGGTAAAATTGCTGCAAATTGGCCATTTTTTACTTTTTTTGCGACTCACCCCTGAGAGTTGACGTAGTTTGCAGCATTTTCAACACAACAAAAAATTGTGTTCAGTAGTGAAGTTGATAATATAAGACAGTGTTACTAATTGACAAGAGAATACAGTTTAACTAATTATATCTATGCAAAGGAAATAATTCAGGAATTAATACAAAATTTCGATTTTTGAAAAGTCCAAGTTTGAGACTTCAATTTGATGTTTCAAGTATGTAAAAAACGTCAATAGCTATCTTATTACACAGTTACACTGAGCACAATGATTAAGTCAAAGATCAACTTTGATGTTGTTAAAATTTGAAAAGTAGTGTTTTCATGCTCGAATTTCGTCTGAAATCGAGGTCAAAAAATTTAGGTATTTTTGGTAATTGCACGATATACATTTAAAGTATTGTGGTTCGGATCTGCTTTCAACTCTTTAATTTAATATAATTCTATCACTGTTAAACTTGGGCTGAAATCTCTAGTACTGACCTTGCTTGAAATTGAGTAAGGATGGGTATGATATAAAAATTGGAAGAGTTTGAGGAAAATTCAAAATTTGGTAAACTCATATTAGCGAGCTATACCAGTACAAAATACTGCATATAAGACCAAATTAAAACTCAATTTTAGCACCCAAAAAAGACAATAATTTCAAAACTATTCAAGTGAGAGAAAAAAGTCTTATACTAATTACATTCACTTTTACATTCTCAAGGTACTTGTTTAATTGTTTTTCAACCAACTAAAATTTTGAAAATTTGAGTTTTTGATGCAACCGACTGGTTCTCTGGGAAGTGCTTCATCTCGAAAAAAAATGTGATTTGTTAAAATTGCAACAATCTAAGCGAATAAATACGATGTTTGACAAAAACCAAATGTGATTTGTAGGGGCAATAATTACATTTAAGGAATAATAGAGCTACTACATGCCCTTTTGGAGTTAGACTATACTAGTCTTAAAATGATTTTGTATTCACTCTACTATTTTTTTCCTCGCTCAAGCTTCATTATTTAGCGTAATTTTTTCAATCGACTAAATGACAAAGTTCACCTAAATCTAAGATTAACTTTTGCACTATTGATTTACACTTGTAAGTTTTAATACAAATTACATTTACTTTTTTGAGGGTTATACTATGGATTTTTAATTGAAAAATTTGGGAGAAATTTGAAAAATTGTAAAAATTTTTGCGGGATGTATATTACAGGGTATTGGCGACTAAGTCCAATATACATCATATTTACATGTAAGAAAAGCTATCAATAGGGACTAAAGTTAACTCTGATATAATACACTCTCATATGCACATTTGGATTTGTAAGCTTTGTCAGCTACTTTTTTGATCAACAGTCCTGCGATAAAACTAGTATGTTGATTTATCAGTTCAAATCTTATTGATTTTGGTGCTAGAAATTACGTCTTGATTTACTATAAGTCGAATTCAAGCATATGGAAAATTCAAATTAGGTTCTAAACCACGGTAAACGGATCATTTAAGCATATTAAGTGTTCTTTTCAAAAACTTGTAAAATGAAGAATATTTTGCACCCTAAATAAGTAATTATCAAAATCTAGATTTTTTCTTATTGTTTCAGATATTCAAAATTGGGAAAATAGAAAATTAAAATAAAATTTTTTTCAAGTTACATGAAAATTAATAGGCTAAACAAATAAGACTTGTTAAGTTCTTTATTCAATTTAATTAAAGTTTTTGCAAAACGTTCAAATGTGTAAGCTCATTGATCATTAGAATCAGACGACAAGTTTTACTTTATTAATTTTTTTATCATCAAGGATAAGATTCTAAAAGCTCTTCTTTTCGATTTATTACAGCCTTTTCAGATTTGCTTTCTGGTAATTTGAACGTTTGATATTAATTATTGAGACTAGACTAACAAATCTTCGAATTATAATATTTTAAATTAATTTAGGTAATTAATTTTTTGGACCCTTAATTGAAACATACTAAATATAAGTATAATAAATTATTTTATTACTTAAAATAGTAAATAGGATTTAAGATTTTACTTTTTTTCTTACGTATTATCACAAGCAGCAAAATTATTAATACGACATTTTTTCTCTCAATTAGTTATTTATTATATTTACAATTTATTGTTACTTTTTTCGGTCGAATTTTATCATATTATTATACGCCACTCGTACTAAAATGTATCATGATTGAATGGAATTAATGGAATATTATGAACTGTAATTTAACCTGACCTAATTGATCATTGAATTAAAATAATTAATTTTTAAATCATGTTTTAAATTTAATTTTCAATTATTAATTTAAAATTTGAATTGAGGAGATTTATTAATTTAAGTAAATAATTTAATTTAATACTTCATGTAAATTATATTGTTAATCAATTAATCTTATTATTCAATTTAATAAATTGAATTCAAAAATATAGACTACATAATAGAGTAAATAAAGTGATTGAGTCTTTTAATGAAAATTTTTCAAATAAATTTAAAAGAACAACTATTACAAATTATTATTTATTTAATTCATTAGTGGTACCTTTTTTTGTTAGAAAGAATAAATTGTCCATATCATATTTTTTATTTTTTTTTTTCATAAGAATAAAATAAAATATATAAAAATTATAATTTATAAAATTAAATAAAATTTAAATTAATATAAAATTTAAATTGAAAAATCAACAACATTTTTTTTTCAAATTTCAATTAATTCAATCAATTCAATCATTGTATTATAGTTACTTCTTTTTGAATCAAATAAAACATTAGATTAATAAATTAACAATGGAAGTTTCACCAGCTACTTTAGAATTTACTGGTATGTTTATTTGAATTTAAGGAAACTTAACACATTTTGATTGAAATTTGGGGTCAAGAAATAGAATTTGATCATTTTATACAACCGGAAATATTGGAAGTTCTTGAAATTATTAGTCTCAACTAGAATATCGAATGGATGATGTATGAGCGGTACAATTATATTACAATTGATCATTTTTTGACTGTCACAATTTCTCCACATGAATGATTGCGATATACTAACAAAATTTAATATAGGTTCATTTACCAAACAAACCACTGAACATTTAACTTTATCAAATCCAACTAATCAACCATTAGCTTTTAAAGTGAAAACTACTGCACCAAAATTATATTGTGTTAGACCAAATGCAAGTATTGTTCAACCAGGAGATTCAATTTCAATTTCAATAATTTTACAAGGTTTTGCTCAACCTTTACCACAAGATTATAAATGTAAAGATAAATTTTTATTAGTTAGTGTTCCAACTACTCAAAATATTGATCCTTCAAAAGTTGGTGATTTATGGGGTTCATTAGAATCTCAAAATAAGTCTGCTGTTATTTCTAAAAAATTAAGAGTTAATTATATAATTGGTCCTGATAAACCAGATACTTCAAGTAATCAAAATGGCACTGCTATTGGTGGTGGTGCTGCTACTTCTGGTGGTCAAAACAATTATCAACAACAACCACCTCAACAACCACCTCAACAACAATATCAACAACAACCACAAATTTCTCAACAAAATTCATTTGGTGGTGCTGGTGCTGGTTTAGCTACTGGAGCTCTTGGTGGTGCTGGAGCAGCAGGTGCTTATAATCATTCTCAACAACAACATCAACCACAACCACCTCAACAACAACAACAACAACAATACCAACAACCACCTCAACAACAACAACAACATCATCAACCACAACAAGATTACAATTCATCATACACAAACCAATCTACTGGTAATGATTATGGTGCTCAAAATAGATCATTCAATGATACTTCATCAATCAACAATTATAATGGTGGTTATCAACAACATCAACAACAACCACAATTACATCAACAACCAAGTTATCAAAACTCATATGGTCAACAGCAACAACAACAACCTCAAAGTGGTGCATCTCCAGCTGTTCAACGTGAATTAGAAGCTTTAGCAAGACAAGTTCAAACATTATCTACTAAATTAGATCAAAATGAAAAAGCAGCTACTTCAAGAGGTGTTGGTGCAATTGTTGATTCTGATTTAGCATCTAATGGTATTTCTTTACCAATTGCTTTAGTTTTAATCTTGATTGCTTTCTTAATTGGTTGGTTAGTATTTTAATTGAAGAAATTATGAAAAAAGAATTGAACCTCATTACTTTGAGTGTTTAATCAATTTATCTTCATTTTTTACCAATTTTGTTTTTGTTTAGTTAGACTTACTTTTCACTTTTTTTTTATTTTCAATTATTATCATACATTTTTACAGAATGTGATTTTTTTATCAAACTAGGATAAAGAAATTACTTTTACAAAATTAATATTTCTCTTTTGTTTAGTATTAATTAGTTTTATAATACATAAAAAGCTATTTTTATCATAAAGTTGTTCTAGTCTTTATCTTCATAATTTAAGAATTGAGGTTTCAGAAAATTCGTAGTTATCAAAAAATATTAATTCTTGGTATTTGCAGTACCTGAAATATTACACTAAAAATAATCTATAAGATCAACAAAAATATAATCTATCTATTTTCAAAACCTACTGTAATTTATATTATTATAAACCGATGAATTCATTTAAACCATCAAATGGATCATCATACACATATCAAATAGAAGACGATATTCCCACACTTAGCTATAGACCACAATCAAATACATCGTCAACTACATATACTACAACCACCACAACCCAAACATTTTCAAATTTAAATTCAAACACAACATATGAAGAAAATTCATATATTGATTGGAATAAAGAATCATTACAAATTCCTCAATTAAGTCAATTTTCATCATTAAATATCTCCAAGAAATGGATTACTGTTATTATTTCAGCTATAATATTAGGTTATGTTACTGCTGCTATTGATTTAATTTCAATTTCACTTAATGATTTGAAAAAGGGAATATGTTTAAGTAAATTTGATGCTTGGAGTTTATTTAATCCTTATTCTACATGTCCAGTGGATGATTGGTATGATTGGTCTCGATTATTAGTCAATTCTACTTCAATTGTTAGTGATATTTTTTTAAATTTTCCTATATATTTCATATTTGCCGTATCATTCTGTGGTATAGCTACTTATTTAAGTATAAACAAAAAGATATTAATTAAACAATCAGGAATACCAGAGATTAAATTATTAATATCAGGTTTTAATTTAAGTGTTGATAAATATTTGAGTTTACAAACTTTAATTTATAAAATTATTGGATTAATACTTGTTGTTAGTTCCGGATTATGGTTAGGTAAAGAAGGTCCTTTAGTTCATGTTAGTTGTTGTATTTTTAATCTCGTTTATGAATTTTTTATGAAAGTTAGATTTGGCAACAAGGCAAATGAAGCATTAAGAAGAGAAATATTAAGTGCAGCTACAGCAACAGGTATATCAGTTGCTTTTAATTCTCCAATAGGTGGTGTATTATTTGTATTGGAAAGTATGCCAAGTTATTTTAATCCAACAAAAATAATGTGGATATCTTTTGTTTCTGCTACTATTGCAATTATTGGATTAACTGGAATTAATGTTTTTACTGATGGTGGGAATTTTATGGAACAAGATTTATTTCAAGTTATATTTGGGAATTTTAGTTGGTTGTTTTTAGAAATTATTCCATTTACTTTATTGGGGATATTTGGTGGAGTTTATGGATATTGTTTTATTAAATTGAATCAAAAATTTCAAAATAAAAATTTGAGACAAAAAGTTCAATCATATTTAACTAATTTAATGAAAGTTGAAACTAAATGGGGTCCTTATTTAGAAGTTTTAGCTATTGTTACAATAACTACTGTATTAAATTTCCCATTAGAAATTTCAAAATTATCATTAAGTTCATACCTCAAAATTTTATTTAAAGAATGTCCAATTGAAAATGATGATCAAACTAATTCATCTAATTTTTTATGTCTGAAATCAAATGGTATAATACTGTTAAAATTATTTTACATTATGATTCAAGGGTTTTTTTTAACTAGTTATACATTTGGAGTAGATTTACCAGGTGGTATATTAATGCCATCATTAGTACTTGGAGCAACAACAGGTAGATTTCTAGGTATAATAAGTCAAGTTTTACAATCAAAATTCAATTGGGAATCTTTGGCAACATGTACTGAAAAATCATGTTTAGTTTCTCCATCATCATATGCTGTAATTGGAGCAGCATCATTCATGACAGGTATAACAAAATTAACCATGTGTGTTGTTGTTATAATGTTTGAAATGACTGGTGCTATATCTTATGTATTACCAATAATGTGTGGAGTAATGACTTCTAAATTTGTTAATGATTGGTTAAGTCCTTTAAATATTTATGATACATGGTTACAATATAATTTTAATAAAGATACTACCGAGAATATAGGTGTTGTTAATGAAGGTAAAGGTACTGGATTAGTTTCATTTTCATCTTTAACTACTACTGTTAAATCAAAATTACCTGATGTTACCGTTAAATCTTTAATGATTCCCTTGAATAAAGTTAAATGTTTATGTTTAATTAATGAAGATGAATCATATACTCAACAATCATTATATAAATTTATAAATGAAGATTTTCATGAAGGATATCCATTAATTGTTAATTATACAAATCCTATTTATATTGGATATGTTAAAAAATCAGAATTATATAATAAATTACAAACAATTCCCGTGGAATCATCAACACAACCAATTTCATTTCAAATTCAAAACTTAAATAAAAAAGCATTATCAATGCAACTTCATTATGAAAGAAATTTGAAAAACTATTCAGAGTTGGAACTTGAAATAGAAACTTCCATTTTTTACATTAATGAATTATCACCATCCATTTTAATCTTAGAAGAATTCGAAAAATTACACATTAATAACCTAATAATACTAAATGAATCATATGATGAAATGAGTGGATTCATAGATCGATTCATTTTAACTAATCAAATAACCAAAAATTTTGACTCATTAACAAAAATTGATGATATTGATAAAGATGAATTTGAATTTATAAATAATGATATTAATAATGAATTTGATTTAGAAAATGGGAATGGTTTAAGAGATGGTGATGGTATTGCTTTGAATGATGATTATGATGAAATTATGAATTTACGATTTAATAGAAAAAGTATAGAATTAATTACCTAATAGTATTTTAGTGATATACTTAAAAATTTTCAATGAACACTCTCAAAACTTTTTATACTCCCATGTTCGCATAGAATATGACCTGTACTTCATTTTAATGATCAAAAAAATTGCATTAATACTCTGCAATATTAAAATCATTATTCAACAATAACTCTTCCACAATTTATTCTATGAACAAAAACCTTATACAAATTACATTCATAATCGAGGACCAAATCATTTACAACTAAATTTAATGTATATGAATGAAACTCGAGAATTCACAATTTTCAAATTTTACCAAAGTGAACCTTTTGCAACAAAGTTGCAACCTTTTTTGAATCTTTATTTGAATCTTTTGTAATATGAGATAGAGAAGAGTAGTTGCTAGTTCTTAGCTTCAAAAGCTACTTGCAAAAAAGAAGATTTGAAGTGTAAAGTTGTGTCATAAATAAGGAATGTGAAGGATGTAGAGTATTTAAAAAAGATGTGATGTAATCAAAATTTGTATCAAGTTACTATAAAAAGTGTCAAACTTACATGAGCTATAGTTTTAATACAAAACTGTATTAATAAATTGTCATAGTTATGAGTTAAATGTTTTGCATAAAGCATTAGTTAAAAATTACGAAATAAAAACGTCCTCGGTTAGAAAATATTAAGTCGTACTCCACATTCCATCAATCCGTACTAAATATTACAATATAAAGATAAACAATTTAACACGACCACCGTTTTATTAAAATATACTCAATAAATCACAATCATTGTAAATAAATAATAATAAGAAATTTTTATTATAATAATCAAAGCGGTTTATTGATCCAATTTAAGAAAGTAAAATTTTATTACATATAATTATATTTTTTATCAAATTTTGTTTTTTCAAAAAATTAGAATTATAATTATTGATTAACTTTTAGAATTTAAAAGAAAAGTATCAACAATAATATTTCAAATATTTTCAATCATTGATTTATTATTTACAACTGTTGATAATAACAAATTGAATTACCAGGTTTAGTTCAAAGATTTTATTTTGTTAAAAAGTAGCAAATATAATATTAATTATTATATAAAATCATCAATCACCACTTTACAAATTTTTCAAATTTTTTAAATTTCTGTCAACTCCAATCTAATCATCAATCAATCCAAATATAGAAAATTAAAAAATGGTTGCTGATTCAATAATTTATCATCCAACTTTAACTAAGTTAGTTAAATTTTGGGATTCAACTCCACAAAGAGAAAAAACTTTTAGATTATTAGCTTATTTATCAAGATTTTTATCATATTATACTTATAAAAAGGGTTATTCAAAAGAAACAATTGATATGTTTAAATCTTTAAAAGGACATTTTACTTTTATTAGAAAAGGTATGAGATTTTTTAAACCTGTTCCTCATTTACAAGCTGCTGCAAAAGCTTATGATAATAAATTAATGGACCCAATTTTACAAATCACCACAATAGTTAGAAACTTGGGTTATGCAGGTTATTTAACTGTTGATGCATTAGTATTTGCAAAATTATTAGGTCTTGTTTCAAGTAAAAAATGGCCCAATTTATCAACTTATGCTTCAAGATTTTGGTTAATTGGTTTAGTTGCTGGTTTAATTAATTCTTTAAGAATAATATATTCATTATCAAATTATGAACAATCAACAACTGATGAAAAATCAACCGTTGACATAAAAGCTATTAATAATAAATTATATGCTGCAAAGAGAAAATTAATTTGGGATTTATTAGATACTTTTATTGCATTAAATTCATTAAATTACTTACATTTCACTGAAGGTGATGTTGGTTTAGCTGGTGTTATTACTTCAATTATGGGATTAGAAGATTATTGGAAAGCTCAAAAAATTTAAAAAACAATTATAACTTAGAAATTACATTTATATATAATGAAAGAAAACTTTTAGATTTATTTCAAACCTAATATTTATTTGTTAAGGTATATATATTTATTCACCCACCTTTTTTATGTTTTTTCAAAAGATTTTATAGAAATTTGTATAGTATGAGATATGTTGAATGAAAGAACCAAATCTATATCAGATACACTTTGTAAAAGTATTTATTCTTACTTCTTATATAAACATTAATCTAAATTGACCAGTAATTAGCAATGACTTTGGCTTTACTTTGACTTCGATACTTCACCTTAGTTCTTTTTAAGTAACAGATTTCTCTATATCTTTCCTCAATTGAAATCCAGCCCAATAAAATTTTATGATTGCATTTTTAAGTTCATTGCTTAATTTTTCTTGATCTTCAATTGTTTGTGACTCAATTAATTTACTTAAATTTGGTAGATCTGATGAAAGATCAATATCAACTGTATCATTTTGATCTTCTATTGAAGGCTGCTGTTGTGCTTTTCTTTGTTTCAATACTTCTTTATCTTTCTTCAAATTATTCTTCTCAACAAAATTATCATATAATTCATGCCATGTATTATTCACTTCATCCTCTAAACTTGACATTATTTGATTGTCATTTCTTGATTTGTTGATGATAAGCTGTGTTTCAAATTTGTACGAGTTTTTGTACTCCAAAATTTATTTTTTGTATCATCTCATATATACAGATTTTTTTACAACCAAAATTATAAACTAAGAAATATCACAACAATCAACTCATTACAATGTCATCAGAGTCAGAAACTAAACAACTACGAATACATATAGGTAACATATCACCAAAGCTAAAAGAAAACTCAAACCTACTAGAATCACGATTCAATAAATTCAATTTTAATATCATAAAACCATTTGAATTTCATACAAAACCATTAGAATTAAAATATTTTGCATTCATAACAATAGAAACCACCAACAAAGAATTTGAAAAATTTAAAAACTCCCTTAATGGAGTAGTTTTCATGGGATTAAAATTAAGTATTAATTTAGCCAAACCTGATTTCAAAGAAAGATTTAAAATTATAAAAGATACACCAAAAGATCTTGAAAACCAAATAAAACAATCACAAATAGTAGCTTCAAGAGCTAAAAGAATAGAAGAATCTCAGAACAAGTACCCTACAAACTCAATTACTTCATCAATTTCAACTGCACCATTATCAACTCCTATATATTCAAAATCAGAACACATATATCAAAACAAATCAGCAAATACAAAAAACGTCCCACCAACAACAAGACTTAACGGTTCAACATCATACGGATCAACATTAAATTCACTTTACTACAAATATTCGAATGGTAAATCCCATTCAGTACAAAAGGCAGTTCATAGAAAAACACCAAGAAAAGAACTTCAATTAAGATCACAAACTTTAAGAATATTAATAAATGGTGAATTAAAGCAATTTAAATTTTATAAAACTAAATTATGGGGGTTTGATCAAAATAAAACAGTTAGAGATTTAACTTTTAAATATGATAATGGAAATTGGAAAAGTGGTTATGATCATATAATTGAAACTTCTTGTGGTATAAATGGTAAACAAGCTTTAAATTATGGTAAAGATACCGCAATTCCTCTCGACATGCAACAACCACTACCTTCTCATGTTGAATCAGAAGATACAGAATTAATTAAAAACAAATCAGTATTAGCTTCCATATTATCAAATTATGATTTTACAAAACCAATTGAAATTGAAGAAGATAACGGGATTGTACAAGATGATATTGAAATTGATTCAAAGGGGAGGAAAAAAGTTAAACATTATGATTATGAAATTGAAGGTAAAGCAAATGAGGAAAGTGATGATGAAGAACAACCACAAAAACAAATTAAGAAACTCACAAATTTTAATGATGTTATTCAATCAAGTGGTGAAATTTCTTTCGTACCGCAAAAAGAAATATATTATGATGAAGATGATGAAGGTAATGATTTGGATTTTGATACTTTAAAACCTAATAGAGTGTCAGAGGATGATGATACAGAAATTGTAGAGGATGAAGAAATAAATAAAGAAGAGGAAATACAGGATCAAGACAATGAAGCAAAGGTAGCTGAAAACAAGAAATCAGAGAAAGAAATATCAGAAGAAAGTTCAGAGGAATCAGAAGAAGAAGAAGAAGAGAGATCAGAGGAAATAGAATCAGAAGAATCAGAAGAAGCAGACGAAGAAAAAGAAGGAGAGAAAGCAGAACTCACAAGAAAAGTAGAGGAAGATGAACAAGAAGAAGAGGAAGAAGAAGAATTTATACCAACTTTTGGCTCAAACTCAACCAGCAACAAAACAACAAGCAATACAGAAACACTCAGATCACTATTCAATCCAACAACAACAACTTCAACAACAACAAACATAAATGATCAAGAATCTAATGGATTCAAATTAGCATTATCAGAAGATGACGAAGACATAGACACCACAAAACCATCAGAAGATCAAGACCAATTACTAAAACAAATCCAAAAACAACACCAACAAGAACAACAAGAACAACAAGAGCAACAAGATCACATTCTTAAAAAATCAAAAGACGTTGGATTATTTTGGCCACATTTTGAATCACCTTTTTTAAGTACTCAATCACAATTTAGTAAAATTGGTAATATTCAAAACTTTGATCCTTCAAAATTTCAATTACCTACTTTAAAAGAAGGTGATTCAATTAATAATGGTAATGAAGATGAAACAGATTATGAAAAATGGTTTTGGTCTAATCGTGGGGAATTTTCAAGGGAATTTAAAAGACGTAGACGTGATGTTATTAGAATTTTGAAAAAGAAACAAAAATAGGTTATTTGATAGATTCATATAATGAAAGCATAGATTTTCTAAGTTTAAAAACTGACTTCTTCTTTAAGCTTCATTCGTAAATTATTCTCCATGATATTGTATGTTATAAACTTCATAGTTCAAGCATTTTTGTGTTAAATTTGAGATCACTATACTTTTCAACTTATCCTAAATATATTACATCTAACAAGACAGAAGCAAAGATTACTTTAAACAAGTAATTGCAACCACAAACAAACCTCAATGCCACCTCCACCAACTACACCGACTGGCGCGAAGCAAGAACCAAAACCAGAATTCACATTAAAAAACATACTAAAAGATATACAAGAAGCAATACAAGGTTTAATAATTAGCCCTGAAGTTTCAAGATTTACATATCCAATAGCAATTTGTTTATCATCAATTATAACTAAAATCGTAATTGCTAAAATTAAATATACGGAAATTGATTATACTACATATTTACAACAAGTTGAAAAAGTTAGCAATGGAGAAATAAATTATTCTAAAATATATGGAGATTCTGGTCCAATAGTTTATCCAGCTGGTTTCATATATATTTATCAACATTTACAATGGATTTGTGGAGATTCTATTCCTGAAGCTCAAAAAATTTTCGGATATGTTTTCACAACTACTGTATTATTTATATCATTTATATATTCACAAATTTGGGATATTCAACCATGGTGTATTTGGTTATTATTAGCAAGTAAAAGATTAATTTCCATATACGTTTTAAGATTATTTAATGATGTTTTTACAACGTTGGCTATATTGGGAGTTATAATATTATTACAACAAGCGGCTGTACTCAAACAAGTATCTTATAAAAAATTTAGAAATTCTAAAACTGGACACATTAGAGATCAAGTTATGGGTTCATCTTGGTTTGATTTAAGTTTTTTATTAAGTTTTATTGCTTGTGATTTATATAGTATTGCATTATCCATTAAGATGAATGCATTATTATATTTACCTGGATTATTACTTGTGATTTATTTTTTAAATGATGAGAACTTAATTAAATTCTTGGTTCTTATTGCTGTTATTCCATTAGTTCAAATTATGATTGGTTGGAAATTCTTGGTATTGATGTTTTCTGATGATGATGCTAAACTTATAAGATGGAATTATTTGAGTCAAAGTTTTAATTTTGGAAGATCTTTTTTATATGAATGGACAGTTAATTGGAAATTTTTACCAGAAGAAACATTCTTGTCAACAAATTTTTCAAACATCTTACTAGTATTACACGTTTTGGTTTTATTATTCTTCACATTCACCAGATTTTTAAATAGAAAAATCATAGATAAGTCCATATACCAACTAATCAAAGATGCTTTTAAACCGTATTCAACAATTTCAAACAATAACATATTTTTAAACAAATTAATAGCACCACAAATCATTTTTTATATAATGTCAATAACTAATTTAATAGGTGTTTTATTTTCAAGATCATTACATTATCAATTTTTAAGTTGGTACGCATGGTCATTACCTGCTTTGTTACAATTAAGCTTACAATGGTACGTTGGTGTTCCATTATGGTTTGTACATGAATGGTGTTGGAATGAATTTCCTGCCACTTTTCAAAGTTCAATTGTATTAGTTAGTGAATTATCTTTAATATTGGTGTTGAGTTGGTTTAATTTTGATTCTTGGTTTCCTTCACCTAGTACTTTGAATCAGTATACTAAATATGAAAAACATTTGAAGAGAATTGAGGAAGAGAAGAAGAAAGAATAAAAAGTAGAGCATGATAGTACATTAATATAGACATAAGTTTTAATTCAAAAATTCTACTTGAAGTTCTAGTTATACTTAATCTTTAAGTCCATGATTACCTTTATAATCAACACATTTAGGAGCTTCCCAATCTTTCAAAACCTCTGTTTCATCATCAATTTTATAAATTTCAATCTCTAATGGTCTACAACAATCTTCCATTTTCAGTTTTGTATCATCAGTTTCTCCAAATTCCCACATTGATAAATCTCCACCAGGACATGCACTAATACCAATTAATAAATCAATTTCTGCAAACATTTCAAAATAATCCTGGGATGTAGAAGGACAAGTTTCCATAAAATATTGATCTGATTCTTCCAGTAATCCAGTAACTTGAAAAACATTTAAAACATCATGAACATCAAATTCATCTAATCCAAATGGTTTAATTGCTCTATATAAATTTGAATGACAATGATCATCATTATGTTCACCACTTAAAAGTCTATCAACGTATGGATCACACCTAGTTCCAAGACAATCTTATAAAACAAAAGTTAGTACATACTAAATTCAGCTAAACAAAGTTAAATTTAATTGAACATACCATGAATTCTTCCACCCCATTCATCTCTTCTTGGACCTAAAGAATCTCCAGTAATAGTAACCAAAGGTCTCAAAAACGGTAAATTCAGCCATAATCTATCATAAGTAGAAACATGATAACTATGCAATTGAGCAGTTCTTGATATCCATAATCTTTCTCTTTTATCATGTTGATTCCATATATTTAAATCACAAACTTGTGGACCTTCAGGGGTAGTTAATCTAATTATTGACTTTGCTGGTATTTTTACTGCTAATCCATTTCTTTTTTCACATCTATGTTTTGATACTAATGTTTTTGATGATTCATGAATTGATTTGTAAAGGTCTTTATTTGCATACACTTTGGACCCTTTACTAGGATAATATGCTGGACTGGGTTTTGGTACGTTATACTTTTTCGGCTCTATGGATTGTGATGATGAGAATTCGACCATTTTGATGACTTTCTGACAAAGTTTAGGAGTTTAATTAGTAATATTTTTTCAAGGTTTTGAATGGAATTAAGACTAATTGAAATAAATTTATACGAATCAAAACTGTTTTGTGTTATGAATTTACGATAAGGAATATATTTTGAAAAAAATTGTATTGAATTAGCGAATTTTATTAATTATAATATTCTAAACCAGAACGGAGTTTTTTAGTAAAATGTAAATTGTTAGCGATACAATATAATACAATAACTTAGTGGTAATAGAGTCGAGTTATTTTTTGATCAATTCGCTTTTTAATCTCATTACTCGTTATTGTCACGACATTCCGTGTATGTTGGACAAAATGTGTAACTGTTTTAGAAAGACAACTACACGTATAATTTCATACAATCAACTCCAATCAAAAGAGGAATACCTACATTAATGGTATCTGGTATCTATTATTAAAATTATTTATTAGTACTATTAACCTTTATTAACAATTGAGCACATGATTGTTTAACTCAAGTTTATTTTGATTCAGTTTCAGTTTCAGTTTTTGAATCAGTTTTAGTATCAGTTTTTGTTGCATCTGAAGATGAATGTGATTTATTGTAATTTTCATAAACGGCTTTTCCTTTATCTTGTAATGAACCATCAGTCTTGTTATAAGTGTCATAAGCGTCTTTCAAGTCTTTTTGATCGACATTTTTTGATAATTCTTTAGCTTTGTTAAGAAGTCCGTCCATTTTTAATTAATTGATAGGTAAATTAGTTTTTGATTGAGTTTGACAGGTCAATTAGCTATTAGTTTAAAAAGGATTTTCAACAGTATTTATAATTTTTTCAATAAATTCCAAATTTTCACATTAAGTGTCCAATTTGGATTTTAAAATTTTAATTAGAAAAAAACAATAGAAATTTAATTTGATAATTATGCATAATAAAGTAAACAATTGTTCTTTACATACTAATTATGATGTAACTAGGGATAAATAGTGATATGTAAACTAAAATTTAACTTAAATGAAACATGAAATTACAGAAAAACCGTCAAATGAAAATTTCATTAAGTTTCTAAAATACGCGTAATAAAGGTTAATCTAGAGTAGTGTTTCATTTCAAACTGTAAAAATACGTAGGTTATTGTTTAATTGGTCTACCTTTTTTAAATTAAACTTAAAGTCGTTTTCAAGTTATCAAGTGTTTAGTCAGTTTTAACAACAATCAATTCGCGGCGTGCCAATCAATTCTGAGATGCTATATGTATTAGAGTCGAGTTTTTTGAACCACCTCAAAACAATGAACATTATCTCGCAAAATCTTAGTAATATGCCACATTTTGCTTGTAATCTTTTTTACGTGATTGGTCTTAGGGTGATAATATCTACCGATTGTTAACTGAAAATAATCAGGCATAAAACAAAATAAGTAATCTAACTTTGAGTAGCCATTCACTACTTCCGAACGAACAAACCCAAATTAGAAATAATGAACCATTGGTTTTAAAATTTATTTTCTAAAAATATTTATAAGTTCTATACTTTATCGTCCTTTTGGCTAATTAAAATTTCATATCTTTCAAATCATGTAAGACTTATATAACCCTGTCGACCAACACAATGAAGCTTTTGGGAAGGTCAAAGTCAAAGCTATCACTATAAGTTTTTTCCGGATCTCAGGTACCAAGTCATTTTGATATTCGTAGTTTTAAAAAAATTTGCGTTGCATTGGTCGCCTAAGACTCATTATGGATTACTATACGAACTGCAAATGCCGACCGAGACGTCTATTCTTTTGCATAGATCTTCAAATCTTCATCCACCGTAATAGAAGAAAGTTCAATTAATGTAATGTATTTAGACAAATCATTTTCAGATATACATCAAAGGACATATTAAATCTTTCAAAGATGAGAAAATTGATTTTTCACTGCTTTAAGATACGAAGAGGAAAAGCACAACCATTTATTTTAGTCGAACCTCAATTATTCGTCAGAAATCTACTTTGAGAACCCAATTATTGTAATTTTTTGCAGAAAAAGCTATTTGCAATTTATTTAATTAGTCATTGTCAGTGTTTCAACTAAGATTTTACCAGTACTTTGCCTACAAAATAATATTGCAATCATGGCAATGAAAAGAGAAATTATCAATATTAATGGCAAAAATACCAGATACAATTACAAAACCTACGTAACCTTGAGGAAAAAAAGAAAAGCTTATCTAGCAAACATAAATATTTCAACGAGTAAACTTGGGTCAACTAGTTTTAGAAAAAAGAACTTATGAACTTATACCAAAAAAACTAATTAATCAATCAACTACATCAGTTTCAATATCAAATAAAAAATCATCAATAAGTGGATCATCAACAACCAATACTTCAACAAAGTTTATTAATTGCTTTTTCTTGTTTCAAAACATTACACAAAAGCACACAATTGTTACTTACTGTACATTCAATCAATACCCATATTATTCCGATAGTGGTTTAGTTTTAATAAAGAATGTAAGAAGTTGACAAAACATTTCATGTGGCGGGTACAAGCGAATGTTGTGAGTGTTAAACACTCTTACAAATGAAAGGTATATAAGATCATGCTCAAATTGGATGCTAAAATAAATAAGTAAATTTTACAATCCTTACAACTAATTTAAAAGACTATAATAGTTTGTATAAAGCCGCTAATATAAGATCACATCAAATTTATAGAATGCAAAAGTTTCTTCGACGGTTTCTATCAGTCAAGCCTTAGGGGGAAAACGTACTACGGTCACACGATTCTAGTCTTTCATTTGAACAATTTTCCCTAAACAATACCATAAAATTGTAGATCATTATAGCCTAAATTTTTTGAATATTGTTCTATCCCCACTTTTTCAAAACGAAGCTACCAATTAATTTTTTTGTCAAAGCTACCAATTCCGGTGATTATCCAGTTATAACCGTGGAGACCTAAATTTATTTGAAATCTGGGGTAAATATTATAAGACTTATTATTAATACAAGAACAAATATAGTAACAACAAACAAAAGGAGAGTACAAATGTTGCTTCATAACTTGATGTAGAGAGTTCATGAATTGTGAATTTATGACAAGTAATTATAACAAAGGATTATCTCTGTATTGTAAATAACTGATGATCAATTTAGATTTCGTATTTTTCATTGAAAAATTTTCAATACAAAAATTATAAAAAAAGTCACACTCTAATTTTATGGGGAAAAATAAAAAAATTTATACACTAAAATTTGAACAATAATACAATAAAAAACAAACTAATGTGAAGAATGTAACCGACATAGGAATAATATTTAAGCCATAGAACGTCAATTGCATTGAATTTAATTAATACCTCTTTCATAAATAGAACTATTGTAATTTATTTTCATTCTAATGCCGGTTAAAAATTTTAAATTTATAATTGATGAAAAATTAAAACACATATTAATAAATTTAAATTTAATATATAATAATAATATAATTTCCAAAAAATAATATAAGCTTGAAATTTCTTTTAATTTCAACAACCACCATTTCATTAATTATAATAATATAACTATTCCCATTTTAAAACAAAATGTACAGAATTTCATTAAATACCCTTAAAACAACTACAACAAGACAATTTTCAACTACTTCAACAAATTTAGTAAATTATGGATTTGTAGGATTAGGACAAATGGGTCAACATATGGCTAAACATATATATAATAATTTAGAACAAGATGATCAATTATATGTATATGATTCAGTACCAGAAGCTACTGATAAATTTGTTTTAGGAGTAACAGAAGAAAATCCAACAAATTCTTTAAAATTAACTAAATTACCTACATTATCTTCATTTACAACTGATGTTGATGGACAATTAGATTTTATTGTAACTATGGTTCCCGAAGGAAAACATGTAAAATCAGTAGTTGAAGAAATTATTACTTCTTATAAACAAAATGGTTATTCACCAGAATATAAAACAACTATAATAGATTCTTCAACAATTGATATTCCAACTTCTCAAGAAATTCATAAATATGTTAAAGAAACTATTCCAGAATTTGATTTTATTGATGCTCCAGTAAGTGGTGGTGTAGCAGGTGCAAGAAAAGCTTCATTATCATTTATGTTAAGTAGAGATACTATTTCAGATGTATCACCAGCATTAACTACATTATTAAATAAAATGGGAAAAAATATTTTCCCATGTGGTTCAAAACATGGTACTGGATTAGCAGCAAAATTATCAAATAATTATCTTTTAGCTATTACTAATATAGCAGTTGCAGATTCTTTTCAATTAGCTAAAACTTTTGGATTAAATTTACAAAATTATGCAAAATTAGTTGCTGTATCAACTGGTAAATCTTGGGCATCAGTTGATAATTGTCCTATACCAGGAGTTTATCCAGATGCAAATTTACCAGCTGATGTTAATTATAATGGTGGATTTATTACAAAATTAACTAGAAAAGATGTAGTTTTGGCTACTACTTCTGCAGAAAAATTTGGTAGATTTTTATTTTTAGGTGATGTTGGTAGACATTGGTATGATAAAGCTTGTGAAAGACCTGATATTGCTAATCGTGATTTAGCTGTTTTATATGAATGGTTGGGAGATTTAAAACAAGCTGAAAATGGAGATATTATTGATACTAAAGGTGGTGAACACAAGTAGAGTACATAAAAAAAAAATAAAAAGTTATTTAAGATAATTTAGTATAAAATGAAATGCCTTGTCTTTTTTTTTTATTGACTAAAATGCTTTATTTAAATTGTAGAATTACTTAATTATCTATAACATAATCAATATTAAAACCCGGAACATTATTATTATGATGATGATGATTTTGAAATTTTGAAGTTGAACCACTATTTCTACTATTTAAATTATAATTCCCATTTCTACCAGTATCAGTATTTACTATTTCAGTTGAACTTAAACTTGAACCTTCAATTTCATTTTCTTCAGATCCACTTGATGTAGAAGTATCTATAACTCCAAATGATTTTTTATGTTGTGTTTGTGGACTTGTAGGTTGTGGGATTGTTAAATTACTTATATCTTCTTCTTCTTCTTCTTCATATTGATAATGTTTATTTAATCTTGGATTTCTTAAATTTTTTAAATTCTTAAGTTTAGTGAATTCATAATCTAATGGTTCAGTAGTTAAATCTTTTGGTTTTGTGTATGTAGAAGGTTTCCTATAAGATAAATCATATATCGATGATGAAATAGATTGATTTCTTTCTTCTGAATATATTATATCTTGTACATGTTGTGGTTTCGATGATGGTGCAACTGATGATGTTGATAAGTTTAGTAGTGGTAATGTTTGATCTATTGGTAATTCAAATGAATTTGTTGAATCTAACGATGATGATGTTGATGATCTTCTTCTTAAATTATGATGTTTTGGTGGTGATACTGATAATGATTCATTTTCAGGATTTTCAAATATTTTTGATTTTCTACGATTATTATTGAATGTCTTTGGTGCTAACATTGGAGAAATTGGCGATGTTGGATCATCTGCTATATCTTCTTCTGGTAATTTCAAGTTTGATTGTTCATTATTATTATTTATTGATATTTCAGGTAATGAAATATTTGGGATAGAATCTCTAGTTTCAATAGGTTGTGGTGGTGATTCATGATTAGTTGACCCATTTAATTGTTGAATTAATAAATCACGAACTGGAGTGTTTGTATCTATATTATTGAATTGAGTTGTTGAAGGTGGTGATGCTGGAGTATGTAATGGATTGACATAATTAAAATTTTCTTCATCTATTCTTAATGGTGATAAACTTAAAGACCCTTCATCTCTTTCTCTATAAGCTGGAGGATGTAATGACATTTTTTGAGGTGGTTCTACAAATGGTGGAGGAGCAGTTGATGGTTTTCTTATAAGATGTATTGGTCTTTGAATAGGTGATGATAATGGTGATGTAAAAGTTTCTGGATGAGGTTTTGCTTGTGGTGAATTTATTGCCGTAATTATAGATTCATCTTTTGGTTTGTATAAGTTGGCTTCTAAATGCATATCTGCATCTCTTTCAATAACTCCTTGGTGAACAGTTGAATTAATATGTTGGAATTCTATAGTCGATGAAGTTTGTGAATTATCTTGATTTATAACGCTAGAAGATCTTGATCTCGATCTTGTTGCAGTATTAAACCTGGATCTTAAATTGGATGTACTATTACTATTACTATGATTATGTTCTATGGGAGTAACCTCAGGTGATAATGGAGAATCCAATGGGGTTGTTGTTTGTTGAACATCTCCATTTCTAACTAAATCATCATATGCAGGCAATAATGTATTTCCATGAGCAGCCAATGGAGATAATACATGTAATGGAGAATCAATTGATATTTCATAATGTTTCCTCTTTGATGGGTTTTCAGGATCATTTTTACTTATTCTTAAACAAATCTTAATCCAATGATGAGATTGTATATTTTCATACGAAGTATCTGGATGAATATTACAATTTGTCTTTCCAGTTATATCTTGGGGTACAAATAATTGAAATTCTAATTCTTTTGGTAAAATATCTTCATCATATTGATCTAACCCCACATTAGAGGTATCTTGAGGATTCTTTTGTAATAATGACCTCCCCTTTATAGCTTTATGTTCCAATAAAAGATATTTTTTTGGAGGTTCCATTCTATGAACTTTTTTATTATTACAATAATATTCTAAATTTTCAGTTAAATAAATTCTTATTCTATGTAATGCAACTTTTCCCCATAATGGTACAAATCTAAAAGCTAATGGTAAATATGAGTCTAATACAACTGATTTTGCTCCAATAACTATATCATATCTTATTTGATCTTCCCAATCTCTTGATATCACTATTGATTCATTTTCTTCTAAATTTAATTCTGATGGTGTTCTAACAATGTTAATTGGTAATTTCCCATTTAAATTTGATTTGAAAGTACCAGGTCTTTGTATAGATACTTCCAAATTATATGCAGTCGATCCAAATGTAACATTACATGTCTCTGGAATTGATGGTGGTAATGGATGTTCAAAATTATATAAATAATCACCAGGTGCAAAATTCATACTTGAATCACTTGTATTATTTGGAGATACAACTGTAGTTAATTCAGTCATTGCATCAACTGACCCAATTGATGGAGATTTTGATCTTCTTATAAAACTTGGTGATAGATTTCTTGTAAAAAAATTATCTTGATTTGATGAAGTTCCATTAACACTTAATGAGTTACTTGAAACTCTTCTTGGAGGTGGGGTATTTGATCGAACAGCACTTAATTCAACATCATTTCCATGTTGTGTACCATTTTTTTCAATATAAAAATCAGCTCCATTATTTGGTAAATTTATATTATTTGTTGAATTAAAAAATGGCCAAGTATGAGTTATAATATCATTAATTTCATTATATGTATTTTTTTTAGGAGGTATACCTTCAGGCCATTCAGTTCTTTGAATACCTTTAAAAGTTAAAGTTATACTTTTAATTTTACTTGGTTTTAAAATTCTTATAAATAATGAACCTCTTAATATAGTTGGAGGTCTTGAACTATATTCATGTTGATCAAAACCTTGAACAAATAAATTTTTTTCTGAAGGTATTATATAAACTTGTAATGATGAAGTTGCTGTTGTTGGTTTATCAGGTAAAGTTGGTATAAATATATTTTGATTATTGTTGGTAGTTGTAGTTGGTGATGATTGTAAATTTGTACTCAAATCATTATGATTAATTAATTGCAGTGGTGGAAATAAAGGAGAATTTGGTGGTAAATTGTTATGATTGTTATTGGTACTATTATTTGATCCAAACATATTAATTAATGTAAATGAATAAGTAAAAGAATGATTTTAATATGATTGGAATCAAAAAAATAGATTGAAATGATGAATTATGATAATGAAAAATTATACCAAATAGTTATATTATAATGATGAATTATTAATGAATATTTAGTGAATATTTAGTAGAAAGTAAATGAAAAGGATAATTAAAAAAGAAGTGAAAAAAAAAGTTATGTAAAATTAATTTAATAAATTTTTAGTATGTATGTTATGTATATTCTATTTAATTGTAATAATGTAAAGAAGAATATAAGAAAAATTAGATCTATAAAGTCAAAGTTATAATAGACGTTTATTCTTTATTACTTACAAAATTTGCTCTCGAATTTAAGTTTTATTTAAGTTCTTTAATTTCCAAGTTCAATCGGATTAAAAGAAGTTTATGAATGATATATCTTGTAAATTAAATTAAAGTTATTGAGAAAGGGGAAAAAAAGTGAAAAGATGAACCTTAAATATTAGATACTACGATTATCTAATAAGAAGAATTATAGGAGTAAAAAAAGAGATTACTTATCATATCTACAATTTATTATAATTTAAATGTTTTTAATTAGTCCAAATAATAATTATTTATTATAATTGATCTTTAAAATTTTGATATATTATTTTTAAAAAGAGTAGATTCAAAATCAAAATCAATTCGCAATAAAATTCAATTGATGCAAAAAATAAGCTAAGAATTTATAAAAAGAAAAGTTAAAAAATTTTCTTATCTTTTTATCTTCAAATACGATTGATATTATTGTGGTTTTGTACTATTAGATCATTAATTAATAGCAGTTATTTATTTAGACTCATTTAGGCTTATTATTTAACAATAGACTTCTGTTTATAACACTGGTGTTCAATATGTTACCAGATTTATGAGTCATTACTTTATTCTGGAGTAATGATTGATTGTAAATTCAACGAGTTCCAATTCTTTTATTAACAACAAATTAAGTTTAAACAGGTTTAGTCTAAAGCCTAAAAAGCCGGACGGAATTTATTTAATTTTTTCATTTCTTTTTTTTCTGCTTCTATTTATTTTATTCTGTTACATCTCAATCTTGTTTTTATCAGTTGCTTTCACCAATAATCACCTTATTAATTAATTAGATTGCCTTATTGATTGTTTCGAAATAAGGTCTTCAAATGGTATGAATCACATCTCTCTTTTGTTTTTTTTCTTCATGCATGTTTTGTCTCATAAGATGCAGATCATAAACTATATATTAATTAGATTTATTATAATCATTAATTATATTTCCCCATAATTTTAAAACTTTATTCTTAAACTTTAGTTCTAATTTAATGAAGAATCAAATTTTCTTTTAAACGTTTGAAAAATGATTTACTTTTGGAAACTGCTCCTAATTCCGCAATGAAGATCAATATAAAATGGGCTGTATCGCTTTGTTAACAAATGAAATTTCTTTCACAATTCTCTTGATGTTTTGATACTAGTTTTGTGTAAACATGTTTATACGTCATCATCACCAGATTATATTGTTTCACCAACTCAATTTTAAATCTTAGTCAAATTGCTAGGTCTTAAACTTTTCAAATCTAATAATACCAACCCTATACAACTATTATTTGTAAATGCTCCAGACTTCGTTGCTTAAATGTCAATCTAACTTAAAACACCATGAATGTTTTAGCTTAAGATTTATACTGGATCTGATGAATAACCTGTTGTACATTATACGTCAAGATGTTGCAAATATTAATTTATTAGATTGGTTGCTTTTTTTTTTCGCTAACAAGTTGGTAATTATGTGCTATATATATATACAAATAGTTTTTTTTGCAACCAGAATTGAGTATACAGGAAGTCTAAATAATTGATCTATAAACAAGTTTTTCTATAATCCGTCTATACTTTTACTTAACCACTTACCGAGGTCTTTGCTTAATTCGTCATCAGATCCTAAACTCTCTTTAATCAAATCACCACGACATTCTTTTCCAGCAGCACCTTTTTCAAAGTTCTTTAAAACAGATTGAAGTTCATTATTTGGCTTCTCTAGCTCCCAATCAATTTGTACAATTTTGCCCTTTTCAACATAAAATTTTAACTTCAAACCCAATTTATCATTTAACAAGTAATGATTGAATATTGGAGTATGACCAAATTTCCAATTCCAATTTTTCAATTCTTCTGATGTATCTATTACTTCTTGAGGTAGTTGCGTAGATGAATTTATTTCAAATACATTTGCTGTTTTTATCAGGTTAATAAAATCAGTCAATCCCATCATTTCATTGAACTCATCAAATTCTTTGACTTCTTCACTCTCTTCTTCCTTTACTGTTTGTTCATTTATCCCATATTCTTGTTTGAATTCATTGCTTACTATTTTAATAAATTTATCACTATCAATTTCTAAATTTGTGACTTTTGATTTAACTGAAGCTATTGAATTTTTAGCTTCAACTACACCCAATTTTCTCTCATCTCTATGTAAAATTTTACTTAAATTTTTCAAATTTGAATTTAATAACATTGTGGAATGATGATAAGATTTACCCTTTGATAATTTATAGGCAGATCCACTAATTTTAAATTCTTGATTTTGATCTATAGTAACTATATCTCCACGTTTATTAACTTCAATCTTTTTAGCTACTCCAGATTGATTAATTGAATCAACTACTAAATTAACAAATTTAAATCTATCAAATTTCTGTTTAGTTGTCATAAATGAAAAATTAACATTACCTAAATCATGAACAACTGTTCCACCTCCTGATTTTCTTCTTATTAATGGATAGCCTAATGAGTTTAGTACTGGTAAGTTGACTTCTTTCCATGGGTTTTGATTTTTTCCAATAACAACACATGGTGAGTTTGTATAAAACATTAATCTTTCGGAGTTAAAATTTGTAGATAATGGCATTTTGTTGTATATGTAATCTTCAATTGATAAATTTATGTATGGATCAGTTAATTTTGATATATAAATCGATGGTTCTTTTGCACTTGCAATTGATTCTAATGATGTTATGGGTTGTTCATTTGCTACTTCTTCACTTATTGATTGGTATAATTTCTTTCTTTGTTCAATCACATCAGTTGATTCTTTATAATGTTTGAAATCACTCAATCCAAAATCGTCCAAGTCTATATCAGATAAGTCATCTTGAAAAGGAACATTGATATTCGAGTAGTATCGTAGTAGACCTCTGTTTTTCAAAAGATGCAATGATCTTTTTATAATTATTGTCATATCATTTAGTGATAAGATATCGAAAAAAAAAATCAAAAATATATTTTTAAAAATCTGAAACATCATCATCAAATCAAATGACAAGTACAAACGAACTTGAGAAAAAGCTACTAGCAAGATGTTACGACTCCAATAATGAAATCATACAAATTTTAGAATCAAGATACTCAACAGAAGGTGAACAAAAACCAACAATTTTATTCAAACATATAGATAAATCCAACCCTAAAAAACGTAAAAACGAAGAAATAGCACAATCAGATGAAATAGAACCACAACGTAAAAGAAACACTAGAAAAGAACTAAAGGTATACATCAACACTCAACTCGAATCACAACGCAAACTTATCAAAAAGATCAAAACTTTACAAAAGGAAAATCATATTTTTAATATTGATTATTTAATAGATAAATATCAAATTCCTCGTTTTGAATCATTCATTAAAATGAATGAAATGTGGCAATCATACATCCAAGATCTTTTATCTACTCCCGATGGGAAATTCCAATTAAATACTCAACAAATATTACCAAAATTAGTAAATGCAGATTTTAATGGTTGTTTACTAACTGTACTAAAATCAAGAAATAATAACGTTGTAGGGACAAGAGGTATAGTAGTTTGGGATTGTCAACATTCATTCATATTAGTTACTCCAAGAGGGTTTGAAAACAAAGAATGGTTAATGGATAAAGAACCACCATCACCGCCATATGAAACTTTAACTAGAGAAGAAATAGTAGCTGCTAAAAAGAAAGAATTAAAGTCATTATCTGCATCTCAATGGGTTGGTGGTTTTAAAATGGTCCCCAAAAAATACACATTATTCGGATTTGATGTTTTGATACCTAATAAATCCGAAGATCAAGAACAAGAAAGTTTACAATTTACAATATTAGGTTCAAGATTTGAAATTAAAAGTATAGATCGTTCTTCTAAAAAATTTAAAAATCATGCTGTTGATGATATACTATAATTACTAAAATGCAAATAAAGAAATGAATATTTAAGTATGTTGTTTAATGAATTCTATTTTTAATTGTATTTAGTTGGAGATTTAGTACTTCATTTGTGTTTGATTCTAAAATCTTATCAATTAATGATTCTGCTTTTGATTGTTCTTCTAGGGATAACTCTAGATCAGGTAACGATAAGATGTAATTTAATTGATTTATTATCTTGCTTTTTTCTTCCTCTGACAAATTCTCAATTTCTGATTCATTATAGATCCCAGCCATACTTGCACTTGATAAGCTTCTGTCTTGATTTGCGTTAAGTCTTTTTATCACCTCTTTAAAACCACCATCAGTAAAATTTGAAATTTGATTTGAATTAAAGTCAGATAGTTCTTGCAAGATATCATTGATATATTCATCAGTTGAGTCTGAGTTATGCGTTTGTTCATCATTTTCATAAATTTTGAATCCAGTCAATTCATTTACTTGGTTTTCTCTAGTCGAGGGAATTTTCTTACTCGTATCTGTTATATCTTCTAACATTTTACTTAGCTTGATTAATTCGTAGTAATTATCATATATTATTTCTTTTTTTCTCTGGTTTGAAGAATCTAATTGCAGTTGAATTTTATTTCGATAAACTAGTATATCTTTATTTGATGAATTTTTGACAAACATTTCCACATCTTCAATTGATGATAATTTTGGTTCATTTGAATGTTGTGGTGATTCAATTAGTTCATTTTTAATAAGAGTAGACTCGCCATTATCAGTACTTATAGTCTCATTAGTGCTAGTATTAGATTGTGATGATTGTTGAGATTGTTGTAGATGATAAAATTCTTGTAATGCTTTCCTTCTTGATGAAATTTTTCTAGTGGTTTGTTGGGGTTGTGGTACTTGTTGATCTTTTGCCTTAGTAAAATTAGAATTGGATGGTAAATTAGGTGAATAACTCAGTCTTGGAGTTGATACATTTGATGCTGGGGTTGGTTCTTTACTCGGTTTCTTATACGATAGTATTGGAGTCAGTGACATTGATTATGATCGGTATTTTTTTATATGTTAATTATGTGATCGGCAATAAATGCAATAAGTATTTTTTCATATACTAGTAGTTATGATTTTAAGGCAAAGTTACTATTATGAATGATTAAAAGAAATTGATAGAATAAATTTAATAATTTGAAGTTAGACAGAATTTCTGAGACCTTTTTCATGTTTTAAAAATTCCATACTAAAAAATTTGGTAGTGTTTTAGATATCCCATGATCATATATAAACTAAGTATAAGTTTTAGCAATTTAAATTTAATTAAAATGTAAAATTATTATTAAATATCAAGTTTTTGATCTTTAATTTAGTTCAATTTTCACTTTATAAGTATATCAATAATGTCATTACCATTAAAAGAATATTCAATTGATACTCCACGTCAATTTTTATTAGAAGAATCAGAAAAAATATTAAAATCAATACCAAATTGGGAAAAAGGTAAATCTTATTATCAAGATACTTCTTACCCAGTTGAGACTTCACACAAGACAATAGATGGTAATTATTGGTGTGCTAGAGAAACAGAACTTAAAAATATTGATGTTGAAAAATTTAAAAATTGCATAATTGGTACTACTGAAATTGGTTTTACTCATTCAAATCATGAATTAAATTATGTTCATCCAATTCAAGAAATGATTGTAAATGATTTAAAAAAATATGAAGATAATGGTTGGAGTTACACAATTCATGCTTTATATAATTTCGGTTTCCCCCTCACAAAAAGATATTTTAATGAATTAGTTCACGTATTTGTTGCAAATGATAGAGCATTAATTATAAGTGTACCAATAAAAGGTAAAGAAGATGGAGTTTTAGGTACTTATATCTCAATTGAAGAAATTAAATGGACTGCCCATTCAGTAAATTGGATTGTTGCTACTACTTCAAGTGCTGGTGGTATGATTCCTGATTTTTTAACTAAAATGAGTTTAGGTGGTGAATTAGTAAAAGATGTACCTGAAGTTTTAGCTTATATTAATAGTAAACATTTCTTAGTTCAAGTTGGATTATAAGCAGGTCTTGAAAGTTTGGGTTTAGAATGGAGAATTTAGGATGGATTATATTTCTTTCTGTTAATTGTTGCACTCTCAAGTGTGAACTTTTATAGATTATTTAGATTTTAAATCAAATGAATCATTTTTGAGTACCATTTTCTTCCAAATCGATCATCTCTCCTACTAAATACTCTGCAGGTATTCATTCAATGATTGATTTGCAAAGACAATATTAAATGAAATGAAGATAAATTTGTGGACATATTAGTCAAATGATTATGGGATAATCTTGTGCATCGACTTCTATGAGTAATAGATTTGGTGGAGTCAATATTGCTGATGGACGTAGCCCAAGTAACAATTTCACATTATTCTGGGGTCATACTTTTGATTGTGAATTAAAATAGTGTATCGATTTATATTATAACTGGTGGTAAACTGGGAGCTGATTTCCGAAATGATAATCCAAGCTTGCTAGAATTATTAAAGTATGGACATCGCATTAATATATATGTCAATGAATTGTATCTTTACCTTAGATCATGATTTAATATCTTTATCTTTTATCTCTAAAATGTTGTTGCAAAACTCAAACATCGAGAGAAAAAAAAAAATTGCAACAAATTACTAGTGATAAAAAAATTGAGTCAGAACAAACAACTTGATCAATTCACGTACCAATTTTGAACAATTGTATGATAAGTAAGACATTCAGAAGAATAATGTCAACAACATCACTCAATAATTCACCATCAACAAATTGGTCTGCTTCAAAAGTAAGATCAACTTTTTTAAATTATTTTAAAGATAAAAGACAACATACTTATGTTCCATCATCATCAGTTGTACCACATAATGATCCAACTTTATTATTTGCCAATGCTGGTATGAATCAATATAAACCTATTTTTTTAGGAACTGTTGATCCTTCTAGTGATTTTGCTACTTTGAAAAGAGCTGCCAATTCTCAAAAATGTATAAGAGCTGGTGGTAAACATAATGATTTAGAAGATGTTGGTAGAGATTCTTATCATCATACTTTTTTCGAAATGCTTGGTAATTGGTCATTTGGAGATTATTTTAAAAAAGAAGCTATTGATTATGCTTGGGAATTATTATTAAATGTTTATGGGTTAGAAAAAGATAGATTATATGTAACATATTTTGGTGGAGATATAAAACAAGGTTTAGAACCAGATTTAGATGCAAAACAATTTTGGTTAGATGTTGGAGTTGAAGAAGATCATATTTTACCAGGTGATGCGAAAGATAATTTTTGGGAAATGGGTGATCAAGGTCCTTGTGGTCCATGTTCTGAAATTCATTATGATAGAATTGGTGGTAGAAATGCATCTTCATTAGTTAATATGGATGATCCAAATGTATTAGAAATATGGAATATTGTTTTTATACAGTATAATAGAGAAGCTGATGGATCATTGAGACCACTACCAAATAAACATATTGATACAGGTATGGGATTTGAAAGATTAGTTTCTATTTTACAAAATAAATATTCAAATTATGATACTGATGTATTTACACCAATTTTTGATAAAATTAGAGAAATTACTGGTGTTAGACCATACACAGGAAAATTTGGAAGTGATGATAAAGATGGTATTGATACTGCTTATAGAGTTATTGCAGATCATGTAAGAACATTAACTTTTGCTATATGTGATGGTGGTGTGCCAAATAATGAAGGTAGAGGTTATGTATTAAGAAGAATCTTGAGAAGAGGTTCACGTTATGTTCGTAAATATATGAATTATCCGATTGGTTCCTTTTTCCAACAATTAGTTGATGTTGTTATTGAACAAAATAAAGAAATTTTTCCAGAAATTGAAACTGGCTCACAAGATTTAAAAGAAATTTTAAATGAAGAAGAATTATCATTTGCTAAAACTTTAGATCGTGGTGAAAAATTATTTGAACAATATGCTATAATTGCCTCAAAAACACCTGAACAAACATTATCTGGTAAAGATGTGTGGAGATTATATGATACTTATGGTTTCCCAGTAGATTTAACTAGATTAATGGCTGAAGAAGCTGGTTTAAAAATCGATGAAGAAGGATTCGAAGTTGCTAAAGAAGAATCAAGAGAGGCCTCAAAGGGTAATGGTAGTAAAAATGCATCAACTTTAGTTAAATTAGATGTTCATGCATTATCTGAATTGGATAATAAAAAATTACCAAAAACTAACGATGAAGCAAAATATGGTGTTGAAAATATTAAAGCTCAAATTTTAGCTATTTACGATGGAAGCGAATTTGTTGAATCAATAGAGACTAATGATGAATCAAAACAATATGGTATAATATTAGACAAGACTCCATTTTATGCAGAACAAGGTGGTCAAGAATACGATACTGGTAAATTAGTCATTGATGGAAAATCTGAATTTAATGTTGAAAATGTACAAGTTTATGCAGGTTATGTATTACATACAGGTTATTTAGCTGAAGGTAAATTAAATGTTGGTGATGAAATAATTGCAGCATATGATGAATTAAGAAGATGGCCAATAAGAAATAACCATACAGGTACACATGTTTTAAATTATGCATTAAGAACAGTTTTAGGTGATGGAGTTGATCAAAAGGGTTCATTAGTTGCAAGTGAAAAATTAAGATTTGATTTTAGTCATAAACAAGCATTAACACCAAAAGAATTAGAAAAAGTTGAAGAAATATCAACTCAATATATTAAAGATAACAAACAAGTTTATTATAAGGATGTTTCATTAACTGAAGCAAAAGAAATTAATGGATTAAGAGCAGTATTTGGAGAAACTTATCCAGATCCAGTAAGAGTTGTATCAATTGGTGTATCAGTTGAAGATTTATTAAAAGATCCACAAAATAAAGAATGGAGATCATTATCAATAGAATTTTGTGGTGGTACTCATGTACAAAAGACAAATGAGATTAAAGATTTAGTAATCATAGAAGAATCAGGTATTGCTAAAGGTATAAGAAGAATAGTAGCAGTTACAGGTCATGATGCACATTCAGTACAAAAATTAGCAAAAGAATTTGATGAAGAATTAAATAAAGTTGAATTCTTACCAAATGGATCACAAAAGGAAAATAAAGTTAAAGAATTAGGTCAATCTTTGAAAAAATTATCAATATCAGTAATTGATAAACAAAAATTAACTGAAAAATTCAATAAAATAGATAAATCAATAAAAGATAATTTAAAACAAATTCAAAAAGAAGAAAATAAAAAAACATTAGATACAGTTAAAAAATGGTTAGATGAAAATAAAGAATCTAATTATTTAGTTTCTCATATTCCAATCAATGCTAACGCAAAATCAATAACTGAATCATTCAATTTAATTAAAAAACAAGATAAATCAAAATCAATATATTTATTAACTGGTGGATTATCAAATGGTGATAAAATTGCTCATGGTTGTTATATTAGTGATGAAGCTATTGCAAAAGGTTTAGATGCTACTGAAATTTCAAAATTGGTAAGTAATGAAATTGGTGGAAAAGCTGGTGGTAAAGGTAATATTGTTCAAGGTATGGGTGATAATTCTTCTGGTATTGAAAAAGCTATAGAATTAGTTGAAAAAGAATTTAAAGAAAAATTATAAATTATATAATTTAGACATATAGTAAGTACAAATAATTAATATCATACATATCTGAATCTAAGTGTCGACAGTTGACATTTTTTAAAAGACTACAATTTTTCTTCAACCGATGTAATCTTTTTCTGGTGTATGTTTCTTTCTGAGCTATACCATAATTTGTATGTAATAAATGCATTTCTAATATGTACATTTTAATAAACTATTTACACTAACCTAAGCAACAACAGAACCATCATTTTGCTCAATTTGTTGTTGATATCTACTTTGTTTTTCCAATTGTTGTCTTTCATTTTCTTTTAATTTTTTAATAATATCCAATCTTTTATTTAATCCAGATTCACCAGCTTTTGACATTATTCCCAACATTAAATTAACAGAACGAACATTTTCATCATTACATGGGATAGGATAAGTTAATAAATTTGGATCCATATTTGAATCACATAATCCTATTGTTGGAATATTTGATGAAATACATTCATTTATACAGTTGGAGTTTTCTGTTGGGTTTAAAATTATAACTAAATCTGGTTTTATTATTGAGTTATCATTTGTTGTTGTTGTACGTACATGAACTTTTGAATCATTCATATCTATTGTTTGTTTCATTAATGGATCTTTTATTTGTTTATTTATTTCCAAATAATTTGTAATTGTACCTGGGATCCATCTTTTTGAAACGTAATAACTTTTAGATCTTTTTGCTGCATATACTAAAGATTCTTGTATTGACCAATTCTTATGAGTTCCTACAAATAATATAATTCCACCTTTTTCATTTATACCTTCAATTATTTTACAAGCTAATTTTAATTGTTCAATTGTTTGATTTAAATCTATTAAATGAATACCTTCATAAGTTCCATATAAAAATGGTTGGAATTTTGGATTAAATGATGATGTAGAATGACCTAAATGACATCCAGCTGCCATTAAATTTTTTATTGTAGTTTGTGAAATTTTTGGTGGTTTTATTGTATCATTTTGTGGTTTATATATATTCTCTAATTTTGAACCTAATAATCCGGAAGTTCTTAAATAATTTAATTGTCTTAAATATAATTCTTGTTTTGAGTAATCTTTATAATCTGGAGTTGGTTTTAAATTTGGATATTGCGAAGTGAATTGATTTGATGATGATGTTGATGATGATGAAGTTCCTTTGTTAGCGATTTGTTGTTGTTGGGTTTGTTTTAACCAAGGTCTGTTCGATAATATATCATTAGTTAAATTCATATTGTTTGTCATATACTCTCGTAATTCTTCATCTAATTGTTTTACTTTATCTTTTGATATTTCAGATAAATCTTTATTTAATTTTGATATACGTTCCTGTATTAAATTTGTTGGAGTTTTATTTAAAGTTTTGATAAGCTCTCTAGATTCTTCAGTCAACTCTCTTATCTTCTTAGATTTTTCAATTGCTTCTTCTTCTCTTGCTAATGCTTCTGCTATAGCTTGTTCTCTTAATTCTTTATGTGATAGTTTATGTTCATATTTGGTTTCTGTTGAAGATGGTGAGTTTTGTTGTGGTGTTTGCGGTACTTCTGAATAAGATCTTAAAAACAAAGACGACCTCTGAAGAGGTTTGAACGATCTCCTTAACATAATTCTTGAAGAATCTGTAAAGGTTTTAATTGATTTTTAAAACCTATAAAATATATAAATCAAAATTTTTCAAAAAATTTGTTTCAGTATAAATCCACACGACTTTTATAAAACACATACGTTATTATCATTACAACTACTTGATTAAATGAATGTTATTATACCTTGATGAAGAATTAACATATGATCAATTTATAAAATTATTAATAGATCAAAATTACAACAATGGATATATTTTAATTTCAGATTTGGAATTGTATAACGAAAAACTAATAAATTTTAATCTAACACCAAAACAAATAAATATTATAATTAAGTTCAAGATTATATTAATTGAATCATGGAATGATCTATATGAGTTCATAAAAGATTTTCACAGTTTTAATCAATCTACAGAAAAAGCTCTCGTTGCAATATATGGAATTTTGAAAAATTACATTGAGATAGGATTTGATGAAACTTCAAACTTATTTATAAAGCACAATCAATTTAGTGCACTCGAATTAAATAAGTTATTTCATCAACTATTTGTATTTCAACAAGACAAAAATATTAGTATAGTTTTTAACGATGGAATTGAAAAATCAAATGATGAGAATCCATTAATTGGTCAAATAGAGATTCCAAATTTATATGTAAATAGAGAAGAAACTAAAGATAGACGGATTTTAATTAAAAATGACAAAACTCTCAATGATGACAAAATTGAGATACGAGTTTTAATGATCAAATGGTTTAAATTAATAAGCAAAGAAGAATTTATTACAAATAAATCCTTTGATTGAGTAATGAATGAGGTGTCTTTTTTATTATAATATATATACATACAACATTAACTCAAAGTTTTTTTTAAATTAAACAAGTCATTTCGAAAATCCCTCTCCTCATTTGGTTTCTTCATCATCTTCAGGAATTTGTTCAACTTCTTCTAATTGCTCACCATCTTCATTTTCATCATCACCACCAGCACCACCTCCTAATCCTCCTAATGCACTTAAATCAATCCCACCTGCACCTCCAGCACCACCTGCAGCTCCCAATTGGCTAGCTAATGCACTTAAATCTGGTTGACCACCTGCACCTGCACCACCCATTTGACTTAATAATTGTGAAAAATCCATACCACCTGGTCCACCAGCACCTCCCATACCTGGCATACCGCCCATACCTGGCATACCTCCCATTCCTCCCATGCCTGGCATTCCACCACCCATACCTTGCATACCAGCCATCATATCATCTTGATCATCATTTATTTCATTTTGTTCATCTTCATCAACCCATTTATCAAAATCTGTTTTGATATAATGATATTTTAATTTTTCTTTTGTTAATCTTGGCCAGAATTCTTCTTGTAATTCTGCTTTTCTTAATACCATAAATATATGTTGACCATTTTCTGTATTTATTTTTGATTCTTCAACATTAATTTCTTTGAAAAAATCTAAATTTAAATCATAATGAATTTTATTATCTGATGAATCTGCTGTTACTTTTAATGTTGTTGGTTTTAAATCTATTTGTAAATCTTTTGGATCTGATATTTCAATTGTTAAATATATGACATTCTTTGATGCTTCTGAATCACTTGAACGTTGTGCCCATAAACATGTTGGTGCTTGAGTTTTAACTGACATTATTTTTTTTATATACTATGACTTCAATTCAACTTATATTTGACCAATTGACCTTATTTCTTAATCTCTAAAAAAATAGAAAATAATATAATGATATACTTGTCTAGAATTAAAAAGAATATAAGAAATGCAAAATTTGAAAATATCAATTTTCGTTGAAATAATGTACAAAAATTATTTAAAAGCGGTCTTTTCAATAAAGTATTCTCGAATCTTCTATATACAGGATCTGGTATTCTACTTACAAGATTATGTACAAATGAATGAAAGTACCATTCAATTTAAGATTACATGGAGAGAGTAAGACTAGCTAATGAGAGTGAGACAGAATTGAAGTTGATATTATTTGATGTATATTGACTAATGTATACATTTTTAAACTAACTTAACTTTTGAAAATATACTTGGCTCTTCAAACAGATAACACTTTCATATTTTTTTGCAGCTAATTTTAAACAAATGGATCGTAAGCCCATTGTAAAAGAGCTTGACGTTGTTTAGGTCTACAACTTAAATCACCTTTTTTACAATTTTTTTTAACTTGTCCATGATGTCTTTTAAAAGCTCTCCATCTTTTTTTTTGAAATTTATCAATTTCATCATTTCTTCTACCTAACCAATATCTACAATACCATTGAAACCAACCTCTTGGATCATCACCCATTACCCAATCATTTTCTCTCCATATTACTAATGATTGTCTTGATTTAATTTTGAATCTATTTAATTCAATATCTGGTGGTTTCCCAACATCTACTCTTTTTTTTTTCAGGTTTTCAAACCATTCTTTTGGTAATTCTTCTTCACAATCATTAAGATATTTTCCTTCAAATGCTCCTTCTGATAAAACTTGTTCTGGTGTTAAATCTGGATTGAATCCATTTTCATTAAAATCCGATGCTTCTGCTCCTAAACCATCTGCTACTATTTCATATTCATAATCTTTTTGCATTCTATCATTTACTTTTATTTTAGCACCTTTTTTAAAATCACTTAAACTTTTCATTTTGGTAGTTGAATATTGTAATGTTGATATAGCTGAAAATAAACGAAATTGATTTTGGAAATGTGAAGGTGATACTAATCTTTTAACACTTAATTGGTATATTAATCTAGAAAACAATTTGACTAACTTTGGTATCTTATCAACAACCTTAAGCTTTTTTGAAAAAACCTATAAGCTTTCGAATATTAATTTTTAATAACCAATACCGTTCTATACATATTTACGAAGAACTTACATCATACTGAAATTTACAACCAAAGCGCAACTAATTTTTTACGTATTTGTAGCAATAATAAATAACGGTGCTCAAATTGAACTCAAAAGCTATTGATGATGAAACTAAAACAGGTGCTATATGCAGTACAAAAACTCAATAATTATACAACAACGTTTTACATTATCATGATTATCAAATTCCTCTACTGAGATTCACAATTACTGTTGTATCAAGCTTGAGCACCATTATATACACACATGATGTTTTATTGTGCTTGGACTGATAACTTCGTGGGTATATTTTTAAGTTAGATTTATTTTTCAAGGTTTTGCAACCAAATTTAAGTAAATTGGAACAAAATTTAATGTAATTATGTTTTAAAGAGTAAATTCAAAAAACTGGTGTCAGTATAAAGAATATTATTTAAACTTTGAGCTAAACTAAAGCTCAGTGAACTGTGGGTAACAACAATAAGGCAAGTAATTGAAGTTCACCGCTAATTAGATAATAATTTAATGATAAAAGATTAAAAAATAATAATGTCAAAATTTTTGAAATATAATAATACTTATCAAATAATATTATAATTAAATCCAGTGAAAATTATACCATAAATAGGAAAACGCTTTATGGAGTAGAACTCAGAGAATGAGAAAATAAAAAAAATCCATTCCCTTATTTCACGATACCAATTTCGCCATAGTCTATTTAGAATATTGTTTAAGTGTTTTTTTACTATGTAATTAATAAACTTGTTCATATCCGTATAATAATCTCAATATTAAAATCAAAAAGTTTTGCTAAAAATTGAATGAAAATTAAAAAAAAAAGACTGTATATAAAATAAAAAAATTAAATTGTATTTTGTACACGACATACAAAGATCATTTCTTATTTATTTATTTGAATTATTGAATTAATTAATTAATAAATTTTTATCTTTAGGAAATTTATATAATTGAGGAGAATTCTTATCTAATATTTATCATTTATTATTATCATGTTTTTTTACCCAAATTCAAATTTGTTTAATTTATCATAATTTAATGAATGAATTAAATCTAGTAGTAAAACATTTTGAATATTATTGATATTATAACATTCGATCAGACTTTTGAACCCTGTATCTCTTAATTTTCTACTCCACAAATCTTTCAATTTATAATTATTATTTTTTTACTTTTCTTTTATGTAAATCTTAATTATTATTATTTTAAACATTTTTAAATCTAAACTGTTTTAATTGAATTGTAATAAAATATGAAAGTAGATCTATTTAAAAATATATACTTACCTGCTTGAATTTACTTTCTAATTCAGAATCTAATCTTATACACACAAATTGTAGATAATTTTAATTCAAGGGATCTCTTTGATTTTGTAATTACATTTGTATTTTATAACAAATTATTCTATTAAAGTGAGAAAAAAGTAAAAACTTTTAATTGATAAAATAAAAATTAATATTCTTTTACAATCAATTACTGTACTCTAATTAAGTAAAAAGATTAGAAAATACGCCTTAAATATCTATCAAATTGAACAATTAGGGAGACCATTTAAATATTTAATTAATTTTAAGATGGATTTTTTAAAATTTAAAGATCTTCATCATACATAATGCCTTACGATGGTTTTAGATCTTCGGCTTTTTTTATTTATTATTTACTTTTGAACTTTATTGAAAAAAGTATGGCAAGATCAAGATTTCAATATCTAAGATATAAGTTTTAGTTAATTTATATACCCTCGAGATTGAATTATTTTACTTTATCTTTTTTCACCTGTTTAATCAAGTTGTTAGGTCGAAATTTAAAATTTAAACAATAGAAAAAATTATTTAAAAATTCAATAGTTAGAAAATAATATATAGTACAGAATTTATTTAAAACTTCTTTATATTTTAGATTATAACAAAGAATCTTGATCGAATAACAATCTTAGGAGCATTAGTTTTTTCAAATTAGTCTAATCAAAGTCACTACAAAAGTATTGACAAATTTATTATTATTATTATCTTATACATTTTTTGTTTTATTTCTATAATAAAAATAATAAAAGAAATCAAAAGTAAAAATAAAAAAAAAAAAAATAAAAAACTTCAAAAATTCTATCAAAAAAAAAAATATTAAAATTATAATCATAAATAATAATCATATTATTTTTTTTTTATATAACCACAATTCAAAATAAAATACTTTTTGATTATTCAAGTTCAAATTTATATATCATTTAATAGTATATATTTATAACTATATATTATCATTATTAATTGTATCATTTAAAACTACAGAAATACTTCATTTTTATTATTATTAGTAGAATTTTACATTATAAAATAGATTATAAAATTATCATTTATAGAACAAGACGAAAAGTTGTTGTCAAAACTAAATAATCAACAAGAATCATTTTATAATGAATCATACCAATGGTAATCATTCATCTACCATTAAAACTTCAAATTCATCAAATACTAATCTATCAAAACAAAAACCACAATTAAATTCAAATATTAATAATAACAATAACAATAACAATATCAAAACTAATAATTCAAATACAACTACTAAAAATTCAAGTTCACCAATATCATCATCATTATTAACTATATCTGATTCAAATGCATCAAACTCGAAACAATTATTAAATACATATATTTATGATTTTTTAATTAAACAAAAATTACCTCAAACTGCTAAAATATTTATAAACGAAGCAGAAATTCCTTCATCATCAAAACAATCACCTCAACAGCAACAACAACAACAACAACAACTGCAACTGCAACCTAATCAATCACCACTGCAATTAAAGTTTTTCAAAGATAATAACTTACCTAAAATGTCTTTAGCAATGGATTCTCCTCAAAGTTTTTTATTTGAATGGTGGCAGATATTTTGGGATATTTTTCTGATTAAAAATTATGGAGGAATTAATTCAGTAGAGAATGGTAATAATAATAATAATAGTAATAATGTTAAACAAAATTTAGCTCAAAAATATTATCAATTACAATTATTAAAACAGAGACAACAACAACAAGAATTAGCTATGTTTATGCCTGGGGCAATGGGGAATATTCAACAACAACAACAACACCACCACCAACAACAACAGCAACAACAGCAACAACAACATCAACAACATTTACAACAATTACAAATGCAACAACAACAGCAACAGCAACAAAATCAACAACAACTTCACCCTCAAAATCAACAAATACCGTCACATCCACAACAGATGCCGCAACAAGCTATACCTCAACAACAACCACAAGGACCACAACCACAACCACCTCAAGGTTTACAAGGACAACCACAACCACAAGGACAATTTCCATCTCAAAATCAACCATCACAAATTACAAATCAACAAGTTCCTATCCCAAGTCCTCAAATGCAACAACAACAGCAACAACCTCCACTTTCTTCTTCATCGACTACTTTTCCTAACATGGTACCTCAAAATGCTCAACAATTGTTTATGATGAATCAGCAATTACAACAACAACAAAACGGTCAAGCTGGCCAAGCACCTCCTCAACAACCACCTCAGCAACAACAACAACAAGGTCAAATGATGAATCAACCACCAAATTCAGCTGTTGATCAGCAAAGAATGATGATGATGATGAAACAACAAGCTGCTGCTGCTGCTCAAAGACAATTAAGTTCAAATCCTACAAATGGAGACCCTCAACAAAAACCAATGCCTCAACAACAAATGGCTGGCGGAAATAATCCAAATAATTTAACCTTACAACAACAGCTCTTCTTACAACAACAATCACAACTCCCACAAAATCAAATACTGAAAAATTCTTTTCAACAACAAGCTCAAAATCAAATGAATAGTTTACGTCAACAAGCTGCAGTGGCTGCTCAACAACAACAACAACAACAACAACAAAATCAATTCCAAACCAATGATAATGTATCAAATCATAATTCACCTGCTGCTCCGTGGTTACAATTACAACAAACTCCTCATATGATGAATTCTCCCATACCCAATGGTAACAATCAAAATCAACAAAAACAACAATTTGCACCTCAACAAAACACTAACATAACTCCAAACACTACAGCAAATACTCCATTACCAACTCAAAATGCTCCACCAATTGCAAGACAAACCAATTCAACATCAAATATAAAAGGTAAGAACGGTAATGTCAATTCTAATGCAACAAATGGTAAATTAGCCAAAAATCAAGTAAATCCAAATCAACCACCACAATCAACAGGTATTAATACAAATGTACCAAATGGAAGAAATATGAATGCATTACAAGATTATCAAAACCAGTTGATGTTGTTAGAAAAGCAAAACAAAAAGAGGTTGGAAATTGCTAGAAATACTGGTAATTCAGATACAAATTTAATGTCAAATGGTATGTTACCACCTCAACAACAACAACAACAACCACCAAACCCTTCCCCAGCAATATTCAACGCTCCACCTCAACCACCACAACAACAACAAAACTTCACAACCCAAAAGCCATCACCAGCAACATCAAACCCTTCTCCATTAACTGCAAATAAACCATCACCTGCAATGGGAAACAAAAAACCTAAAAAGGAATCAACTGGAAAAAGATCAAGAAAACAAAGTATCACTGGCTCAACACCTCAACAACAAGCTCATACTCCATTAGCTTCACAACCATCAAGTGCCGGCACTGAACAACAACAACAACAACCATCCCTTCAACAACAAAGAAGAGGTTCAAACACTCCTAATATAGGTAAAAAAGAATTCACTCCATTAACTCCAGTAAGTGAACCAATAGCAGATAATAAGAAAAAAAGAAAAATGAATACAGTTAATGAATCACCAAGAAAACAACAAAAAAATTTATCATCTACTTCATTATCTTCACAAGCTAATGGAATAGGGAAAAAAATAGATACAACAATAAAAGAAGATTCCAAAGAAAATGTACCAACCACCTTAGATTTCAAAAAATCAAGTGATGATTTCAGTTCTGCTATAATTGGATCTTCAGAAAATGATAATTTATTCAGCGTTGATTTATTATCTGATCCCACTTCAAATCAAAATCAAAGTCATACTGCTTCTAGCAACAATAGCATATCTAATAATTTAGGATCAAGTGGTGGTAATGGTGGTGGTGGAGCACCACAAAATAGTTCAAGTACTAATTTTGATGATATTGATTTTGATATTAATCAATTATGGGGTGATGGACCTGTTGATGTTGATTCTAATTCGTTGAATGATAGTATTGGTGGGTTTAATTGGAATGTTGAAATTGAAAATGGTGATTAATTTGGTTGTGAAGAACTTTAGGTTAGTTTAAAAGTTTTGGCTGATTATAAAAAGTTTTTTCTTTGGTGGTTCATTGGCTTGTTGTATAGATGATTTCATGAATTTGATTTTTTATTGACAAGTATTTCAAGAGCTAGAGCAATTACGGAACAATATAGGACTTTCGATAGACAAAACAATTTTCAATTTTTATTTTTCGTCATTTCATTCATTCATTTAATTAATTATATTTCTTACATTTTCATTCTGTCTACAAAATTTTCAAAAAAAAGTATTATTATTATTATTATTATTACTATTTTTCTTTTATATATTTGTAATTGTATATTAGACATTTGTTTCAACATTATCTTTGTAATAATCTATTTCTTTGGTAAAGTTCATGACTTAGTTTATTTCTTTCCTCTATTTTTCACCACATGATTAAGCTATGTTTAGGCTCTAATTTATTCACTCTTTTGACATGCAATAACTGATTATCAATTTAATTGCCAGATTAGATGCCATTTACTTCATCCGAAAAATTCGCCAAATTCCAACATGTATAAATTGGTCACCCAGGACTTCTTATACGCTTTAAACAATTGATTAAAGTTGCAAAATTAACATCAAATTAATAAAATAAAATCTTTATTTAGATGCTTCTTACATTAGCTAAAATTAACCCTCGATACAGCACCTAAAGTTAAACTTCCTTGACTTTAAACGGTAATTTTACTTATCAGATATGTAGGGTTTAGAAGTATATTAATAATTTATTTTGTATCTGAAAGAATTTGATTCAAATAAATTTAAAAACTTTGGTACGCAAGTAACACAAAAAAGAACTTAAGTTTGTTTCATAAAATTTGTTTGGGTCAATTAACGCGCATAGAAAGAAATGAGGTTGCGTCAATTTATACAAAATGATTTTTGCAATTTTTCACAATAATCAATTCTTTTAAGAATCATTCAAAAAATGAATAATATATGAAGAACAATTTACTAGGATGATGATAGCAATATACAGATCCGGATTTCTACCGAGAAATTATTTATTAATTCCAAAAGTCATCAACAACAACCTCCACAATAAATTTCAGATTTCTAAAAAATTCAAAAGTACATCATCAGAAACAAATCAGAAATCGGAACTTGAAAACGTTCCCTTAAAAAAATCAAAGCGAAATTCAAAGCAAGAACACGAAGTATCAAGTGGCCAAAACCGAAAATCTTTAGAACCAATTAAATTAAAAGATTACGACCCGAAAAATTTCAACCCAGACACACAACCAAATGAAACATCAGCAATCCATACATCAAAAGGTTGGTTCTATATCCCTAAACAATTCCACATAACAGACAAAGAACCACAATTATTCCTAGAAAATATATTCAAGCTTAGAAAATTCTCATCTAACAAAGAAATTCAAGATTACATCATAAACGAAATGTGTACAACTTATCAACCAGAAACTCAACCAACTAAACTTAAACGAAAACAACTCAAATTAAATGAAGAAATGAGAAAACGCAAGAACTTGTTTAAAGAACAAATGCTTGAAATAAATCTAGAAGAATTTAACGCTAAATTAAAAAAATCTCAAGAACCAAAACCAACAAAAGAAGTAAAACCAACTAAAAAAGGTCCAAAATTAAGAGAACCAAAAGAATCAACAAAATTAAGATTCAAAATCACAAACAATAAAGTAGAAATAAAAGGTAATCTCAACCTCAAACATACATGGTTATACTATCAATCAAAACAATTAACTCAAATACCAAGACTTACAAAATTGGAAATTTCAAATAATTGGAAAAAGTTACCACAGAACATAAAGAATCAATATCATAAAGATTACCGAAAGTTATTACTTTCTGGTAAGGATTATTATAGTGGTGAAATAGTTGATTTATCTTCAAGATTAAGTCAATTAGTTGAAGATGATGGGTTTAGATGTAGGAAAACTAGAAATGAATTGAGTTTTGAAAATCGAATTAAAAGAAGTGAAAAGAGCAGACATTCTGATGATAAAAACACGGAAAATAAACGTGCTACAGTAGATTGATAGATTTCTATGGTTTCTTGTATATATATTTGTAAATAGTCTTTATAAAAGTTTAATTGATTTTTAACAAAGTTTCACTTCCGTTGATACCTTGTATGGATACTAATGCCCTGAGATTCTTCAAATTGTCTAGCAGCCAATTTTTTTTTAATAGTAGTCTTAATTGTGTCTATGACTTGATTTTGAAAAATTGCAACTAAAAAAATCTAAAACGATTTTTTACAACTCTTTACTTATATAGTATTAAATGATACTACGACATGTTCTCTCTAAATTAAGAACATTTACCGCCTATAAAAGATGCTATACTATACAAATCGAGTCAATTATCGACAATGCTCAATATCAACCCTTGAAAGAAGATGCAATTGAAGATTCATCATCTAAAGCACAAGTTTTGAAAACTAAGAAATCAGCATTTCAACCAATTAAATTAAACAAGCAAGATGCTAAGAAGTATTATACATTACTTAAAATGGCGGAGTATAGTTTATCATTACCCGAAGATTACAAATTAAAAAAATCATTAGCATTATGGACAAGAAAGACTTCAGGACAACAAGAATTAATTAAAATAGGGTTTGAAAATATTTTAAATGAAATTTTAATCAAGAAAAATCATTTAAATGAACTAGATAAAACCAAAGAGTCCGTTACATTAAATGATCCAATTGATTCAAATTTTAATGTAAGCTTAAATGAAACTAATGAAAATAATAATTCAGTCAAAAAGGATATTAATGAAGTTTACAAAACTCCAAAATATAGATATAATCTAACATCCGGTACTACATCGATAAAATTTCCGTTGACAACCAAAAAGATCAAACGATTTTATAAATTTCAAGAATTAACTAAATTAAATTTTAAAAATTTATCAGCTGCAGAGTTCACCAAGACATTAAACCAATTAGATACCAGTTGGAGAAGTATTAATTCTATAAAAAGAAATAATTTAAAAGATCAATATGAGAATTTATTACTTTCAGGAAAAGATCTTAATGACGACTTAACTGGTGTTGTGTCAATTAAAGAAAAATTTACTCAAATTAGTTATGAACCAGAACCTGGAACTTCAAAAACTAATACAATAAGAAAAGTTCCAAGATTAAAATTCATTATTAATGAAATGACTGGAATCACTTATGTATATGGACTAACTTATTTTCATGTTTGGAATTATTACTTAGGTAGAGAAATCAATAAATCGAAACTAGAATCATCAGATGAAGAGATAAATTTAAATAAATTGATTAAACAATGTGAATCAAATTGGATTAAAATGAGTCAAAAAGAAAAATCACAAGTTTTTCAGGAGTATGAAAGTTTATTAATGTCTGGAAAGGATATGTTAAATGGGCATATTACAACCATACCTGAAAAACTCAAAATTATAAAGAACAAAAAAACATACGATCTGATACATGTTCGAGGCACAACGTCGGATTTCGATACTAATTTCACAATTGAGAATCATCAAAAAGATTTGGTTTTATCAGAAGCACCAAGTAAATTGACAATTGATCAACCACCAAATTTAAGATTTTCAAAAAATCAAATGGTTGGTAATATTACCATTATTGGTGAATTGAATTTAATACATGGGTACAATTATTTCATTTATGAAAATCTACAAACTGAAAAAAATGACCACTTAAACATTAAATCGACTTTGAATAACTTAAACACCAAGTGGAAATCAATGAATGAAGATGAACAAAACGAGTACGTAACAAAATACAAACAACTACTAGAATCAGGTAACGATATATACTTAGGTGACCAAATATCATTAGCACAAAAATCTCAAAAACAAGGTATTAAAAATTTAGTAACTGAAATATGGGGTCAATTACCACCATCTTCTGCAACAACAGGTTTAAAATCTACAATTGTTCCACCTTCAATCATTGTTGATTCAACTACTAACCTGGTTCAATTGGTTGATAATCTAAAAGAAGTTCACGTTTTCAATTATTTCTTAGCCAAAAGATTCCCAAAAGAAAATAATATGTTAGAATTACAAACTCAATGGATTTATATGACTACAGAGGAAAAAGACGACTTACAAGAGGAATACAAGAATTTGTTGATGAGTGGACAAGATTACTTATACGGTAAAATAGTCTCAGTTAATGAAAAACAGCCATATATTAATAACTTAAAAATTTTAAATGGTATTGGAACAAAAAAATATCAACAGTTAATCAAATTAGAGAACCCAAAGTCCGAACAAGACGATGAAGAATTATTTGAATACTACAAACAAATAAGAAAAGAACAAGAAAAATTGGACGTTAATGATAAAAATGTAATAAAGAAGCTAAAACAAGAATGGGATTTATTAGGCGCTAATGAAAAAGATGAAATTAAATCTACTTTATCATTGTATAATAGTTTCTTACGAAAGTAGAATTTATAAAAGTTTAGCTTTATAGATATGTATTGTATAAAGACATATATACTAATAATTTAATACTTTAAAAAGAAATGAAATAGCAATACTATGTAGTTTGAGCTTGTTTTTGCTGTGGTTGTTGTTGTTGTTGATTTGACTGATTTTGAGCTTGTTGCTGTTGCTGTTGCTGTCTTTGTCTCATCAACATTTGCTGTTGTTGCTGTTGTTGTTGTTGAGCTTGCTGAGCTTGTTGATACTTCAAAAATTGTTGTTGGAATGCTTGTTGTTGAATATTATTATGTTGAGCAGTCATTAAAATGGCTTTTGAAGGGGCTCTAACTTGATACATTTCTCCTGGTATTGCACTAAACAGTTGAGTTTGAGAATCTTGTTGATTATTTAATTGAGCATCAACGTTTATTAAAGCACATCTACCTTGTAAACCACCTATTGAACCTGATATAGCTTGGTTAGCTAATGTTTGTTGTTCTCCGTTTGGCTGTTGTTGTTGGGCTTGTTGTTGCTGCTGTTGTTGTTGTTGTTGAGAATGTTGTGCTGATATTATTAATGAATTTGCGTAAAATTCTCTTGCTTGTAAAAAACGATGTCTATATCTTACTGGCATCATTATTTTTCTTTCTAATGGTATTGGATTATTTTTAGATAATCCTTCCAAAACCAAATGAGTTTCTTCATCTGGATCTAAAATCTTATTTGAATTTTGAAAATTTAAATCTGATCCATCATCATTAAAAGCAGCATTTTCTCTACGTTGAGCCAACAATGCATTATTTTGAGCAATTTTAGCTTGATTTCTTTTTTGATATTGTTGTAATAATACATCATATGGAGCTGATCTACCTGGTACAGCTCGCTTAGCACCCATTGAATGAGTTTTACAAGTCAATGATCTTGCACATAATCCACCTGAAGGTAATGCTACACCACATTGTTTTTCAACATCTACAGGACCTTTTGGTTTTGCTATAGTTTTAGGTTTTTGCTGTGCCGGGTTGATGGTTGGTGATGATGATTGTTGAGACACTGAATTTTTCTTAGTCTTTTTTATGGGTTTTTCAACTGTTGATGCAGCAGCAGCAGCAGCAGCTGCTGCGTTTGCTGCTTCTTTTTCCTTTTGAGCTTGTGATTTCTTGTATTTCTTCTTTGGTTTCCCCGTGTTGTTGTTTATATTGTTGGAATTTGTATTATTTCCATTTGTTAATTCAGTTTCAATTTCTTTGATATTAGTATTTGGTATTGGAGTATTATTTCTTGTACTATCAACTGATGATGAAATATCTATATCCAATGCTCCATTTTTTCTTTTCTTTTTGTTATTATTTGTGATGGTTGTTGAGTTGGACCCATTATTAATAGCTTGATTATCAGCTATTTCTTGTTGTCTTTTTTGTTTCATTTCAATACACTTTGAATAATGATTTTCTAAACTTTGAATTCCAATTGGTCTTTGACAAGATTTACAAATTTTATATTCTATTGATTGTGATAAATACGAATTATCAATAAGATTATTATTCAAAAATGGATTTGATGAATTTTTAGAGTTTGTAATAATATTGACTTTTTTATCAAGATAATTACCAAATTCTTTCCAAATTATCGATTTTTTAGGAATATTTGAATCAATTAATGAATTTATTTGTGATAATGTAATAATTTGACTAGATTTTGTTGTCATTATTTGTAATATAAATATATAATATTGATGTTTAAGATTCTTTAATTTCCTCCTTTGATTTCAAACAAATGTATATAATATTGATAACTCTTTATTGATATTAAATGAGTGATGATTTCTTTCTATTTAATATACAATAATGAAAATATTCCTATTTGAAATGAATTATATTGAGAAATGATTTAAAGAACCTTTTTATTGTGATTTATATTATGTGGTTGCTTTTGTATTTACGAATAGTTTTGTGATAAGTAGTGTAGATTTGAAAGTGGATAATTGTTTTGATAATGAAAGATTGATAATTCAATTAATAAATAAATATTAGATCTTTAATGCATGAATCTTATAAATTTGATTTAATTATGAAGTTTTTGCCCTAAGATTTTAATACAATTTAATAAATTTAAACTTGATGATTAAACAATTCTTAAAAGATGATAAAATAAAAAATGTTTTGATAATCTCAATATTAATTAAATTTAAAAATAATTTTTAATTTTTTTTTTACAACCAAATTTCATTTTTCTCCTTTAGAGTTCTTACATTTATAACATTTGTATATTCGAATTGTTTCAATTTATAAATTAACAAAAGATTTACATTATCAGACTAATAGCTTATCGATAATCAACTGTTTTAATACCATTGGTCAAAAAAAAAAATGCTTAGAAGAGAACCAACTACAATAAAATTATCACCAGAAGATGTATTAGAATTTGATGAATTTATAGAACAACAAAAATTACTAAAACAACAACAACCTCAACAACAACAAAATGTTTCACAAACTTCTCAACAAAATACTTCAACAACAATAAATAATAATAGTAATTTACATCAAAATCATAATAATACTGATTTAAGTCCTTCAAGTATATTATTACAAGAACAATTAAATAATAGTGGTGAAGGTATATTACCTGATTATAAACAAAATGAAAGTTTACAAGATCGTCAAATAAAATCTAAAAATGAAAGAATTGGAGTTAATAAAAATTAAGTTTAGAGAAGGTTTATGATGATAATGATAATGATAATGATAAATACAAATGATATAATGATATAATGACTAAAGTAATATATTAATACATAATAAAATAAGTTAATTACATAGTCAAGAAAAACTTGTAACTGATTACACTACCAGGTTTCAAAATATTTAATATGTCTCATATCTATTACGTAATATAACTGCATTTGATTATATAATTTATTACTTAATAATAAAATCTATTAATATTAAAAAAAATAAAAAAATATTTTTTTAATATCAATTTTGCAATCATTTTAACTCAATTCTATTTATCAACTTATCAACAATTTATAATATGGGTTGGGGTACATCATTATTAATACTATGCAGTATAATATATTACTTTAATCAAGGAAGATTGACAGTAATACTATCATCATATATACTAGTATATTTATATAGTTTAGAAAAAAAGAAATCAAAATCATCTCAAACTACGATAATTGATAATCAACCAATACCAAACAAACAAAATGTCATAAATCCAAAAGAATCCAAAAGTGTAGATTCACCAATATATGCAATAGATTTTACTTCAACCACTTTTACACCATCTTCAACTTCAAATATTCCAACTAGATCAATAAGAACCACAAGAGCTAAAAGATCACCAAAATTAATAAAAGCTAATAAACCAAATACCACCATACCCAAGTCAAATTCACCAATATTAACTCAAACTCAAGTAGACTTGAAACAATCTCAAATATATATTTTTTACACAACATTAACTGGATCATCATTAAGAATTGCGAAAAATTTACAAAATAAACTAGAAAATATGGAATTAAAATATAAACCAAAATTATTAAGTTTAGATGATGACGTTGATGATTTAGAAAAATATTTTTTAAAAACCCCAAAAATCAACGACCAAGGAGAAGAAGTTAAGAATATTTATTTATTAGTTTTACCATCTTATGAAACTGATTCACCTATTGATTACTTTTTAGAACATTTGATCGATACATACCAAGATTTTAGAGTTGATAAATATCCTTTGAGATCTTTGTTGGGTTTTGCAGTATTAGGATTAGGTGATTCAGAAAGTTGGTCAGGTGATAAATTCTGTTATCAAGCCAAATTAACTGATAAATGGTTAGGTAAATTAGGTGGTAGAAGATTATATCCTTTAGGGGAAGTATGTATGAAATATGAAGGAGAACCAAAAGCTCAAGAATGGATACAAAATTTCAGTGAATTATTAGTTGATGACGAACCTTTTTATATTGATGAAAATGATGATGGTGAATTTGATGATAGTGATAAAGAAGACGAGGAGGGAAATAGTGATGATGCAGATACATTAGTTGATGTTGAAGATATGGGTGATATTATAAGAAAATCAGGTGGATCTGCAACAAGATCATCACAACAACAATTAGAAATAAAACAAATGGTTGCCAAGGATTCACCAACTTATAAATCATTAACAAAACAAGGATATACAATAGTTGGATCTCATTCAGGTGTTAAAATTTGTAGATGGACAAAATCAGCATTAAGAGGAAGAGGATCATGTTATAAATTTGCATTTTATGGTATAAAATCTCATTTATGTATGGAAACAACTCCTTCATTAGCATGTTCAAATAAATGTGTATTTTGTTGGAGACATGGTACTAACCCTGTAGCTAAATCCAATTGGAGATGGGAATTAGATCCACCTGAAAAAGTAATGGAGGGTGCATTACAAGGTCATTATCAAAAGATAAAACAAATGAGAGGAGTACCCGGTATACAAATGGATCGTTTTCAAGAAGCTTTTAAAGTTAAACATTGTGCTTTATCACTTGTTGGAGAACCTATTTTTTATCCACACATCAACGAGTTTGTTGATATGTTACATAAACAACATATAAGTTCATTTTTAGTTTGTAATGCTCAACATCCAGATAACTTGGCAAAATTATCGAAAGTTACTCAATTATATGTTAGTATAGATGCTCCAACAAAACAAGATTTAAAGAAAGTCGATAGACCATTAAATAGTGATTTTTGGGAAAGAATGATGTCATGTTTAGATATTTTAAGAACAATTCAAAAACATCAACGTACTGTTTTCAGATTAACATTAGTTAAAGGTTTTAATATGACAGATATTGAAAGTTATGCAGATATGGTAGAAAGAGCATTACCTTCACAAATTGAAATTAAAGGTGCCACTTTCTGTGGTTCATCAAATGGTAATGGTAATCCTTTAACTATGCAAAATATTCCATTTTATGAAGAATGTAAAAACTTTGTCACTCAATTAAATCAAGAATTACAAAAAAGAGGATTAAGTTACGACATAGCAGCAGAACATGCTCATTCATGTTGTATATTAATAGCAGATACCAAGTTTAAAATTAATGGAATTTGGCATACACATATAAATTATCCTAAATTCTTTGAATTATTAGAATCAGGTCAAGAATTTGTTGATATTGACTATATCAAGCCAACTCCAGAATGGGCTACATGGGGATCAAATGAAGCAGGTTTCAATCCAGAAGATACAAGATGGGATAGAAAAGCTGAAAAATTAAAAAATAAAATTGCAAGAGAAGAAGAAGCTAAATTGAAAGAAGAAGCTTTAAAATCAAGTGAAATTGAAATTATATAGTAAAGTATTTAATTTGTAAATATAGTCTAGCATTTACAATTCAAATTTGTTGTAGTTGTGAGTCTTTTTTGTTTTTTAATTTTTTGCATCTAAAGAAAAACGTTTCAAATTAAATTTTACGCGTAAATTGCAACATTAAAATTTAATCACCCTTATCAATCAACCAAGTAACAATCAACCATTAAATGTCAACGGAATCAATTGAAAAACCCAGACGTATAGCATTCATACACCCAGATCTAGGAATTGGAGGAGCTGAACGCTTAGTTGTTGATGCCGCAATAGGATTACAAAAGTTAGGTAATGAAATAACAATATATACTTCACATTGTGATTATCAACATTGTTTTGATGAAATAAGTTCTGGAAAATTAAAAGTTGTAGTGTTTGGAGATTGGTTACCTACTAATTTTTACAAGAGGTTTCATATTTTATTTGCAATTTTAAGACAACTTTATTTAACCATTATGTTAATTATCACTGGATCTATTAGTGGATTTGATTTTTTCATTGTTGATCAATTGAGTTTTTGTATCCCATTATTGAATTTTTTCAGTGAGCCAAGAGCTAGAGTATTGTTTTATTGTCATTTCCCAGATCAATTGTTGACTAAAAGATTAAGTTTATTTAAAAAACTTTATAGAATTCCTTTTGATTTTATTGAAGAACGGACAACGGGTATAAGTGATCAAATAGTAGTTAATTCAAACTTCACTAAAAAGATATTTCACGATACTTTCACAAATTTATCATCAATAAATCCAGGAGTCATTTATCCATGTGTCGATACGGAAAATATAGAGCATAATTCAGAATCAAATAAAGAAGTATTGAATTTCTTTAAGAACTCAAAATACTTTTTATCAATAAATAGATTCGAAAGATCAAAAAATATAGAACTAGCAATTAAAGCATTTGCAAAACTGAAAAAAATCTTACCTGGAAAACCAAGATTAGTAATTGCAGGTGGGTACGATGCAAGAGTATTAGAAAATGTAGAATATTTAAAGGAATTAACTACTTTATGTGATAACTTAAAATTAACAAATTTCACTATCCGGGGCAAACTAATTATAATGCCACCTTCAACAGACGTATTATTTTTACCAAGTATTAAAACATCACTTAAAAATTCATTATTACAAAATGCAGAAATTCTATTATATACACCAACAAGAGAACATTTCGGTATTGTCCCAGTAGAAAGTATGCTATATAAAACCCCCGTACTAGCAAAAAATTTTGGAGGTCCATTAGAAACAATAATAAATTATGATGGGTCCAATATAAATGAAGCTACTGGATTTATTGAAACAAATGATTTTGAAAAATGGGCTAAAATTATGATTAAATATTATAATGAAACTAGTCCTGAAATTAAAAAACAATTAGGTGAAAATGGATATCATAGAGCAGTTGATAAATTTTCAAGAACTGAAACAAGTTATGAATTTGTAAATAATTTAGAACATGCCTTGAGACAGCCAAAAAGACAATTTATACATCCAAGAGTAATATCACTTTTCCCATTGGTTGTCATAGTAATTTCATATATTATCTATAGACTAAAATTCAGTAACTGGGAATAAATAATTGTTTTTATTGGAAAACTATATACAAAACTTTTGACTATTTACTTCTTTTTTGATCTTTTTTGAATATATCTTTTACAGCTTGCCATAAATGCAACTTGGTATCTATTTCTGTATTTACATGAATTTCAGGTGATCCTTTGAGACTTAAAGCTTTTAAAACTTTATTTGGTCCACTTAATTTATTCCTATCAACTAATCTTGAATTTCTCTTAGCTTTTTTGTGAATATTAAACCATGGAATAATTAATGATGAGAAGTTTTCTAATGTTCTCCAATATGAATCTTTGATTTCTTTGTCTTTATTTAATTTGTGCTTGTGACCTATTAAACTTGGACATTGTAAATTATAATGTCTAATTTCCGAGTTTAGTAAATTCACTTTAGCATCAATGTAGTTTAAATCAGAATCACTCAATGAATTATCTTCCATTGTAATTTTGGAAATATTAATCTCATAATAATCCAATATCTCATCAACCGTACTAGCTCGATTCACAATATTTTGCATTATTGAATCATTTAAAATCCATTTGAACCACATTTCGTCCAAATTTGCCCTAAATGCAACAATTGTTTTTCCTAGGCTCTGTTGGTTCTCAATCCATGGAGGTAAAATATCTTGTTTATTCAACACTTGATTCATAAAATAGTTGGTATCAGTACAATTTTTCAAGTGTTCTTTACTTAATGGTTTACCTCTAACATTATTCATTTCTGGTGAATCAAACTTTCCAGTTTGTTGATTTATTGAAGCATTTATCTTGTTACCTGCTAATGAACCGACAAAATCTATAGAAGATAATGAAGATTTATTCAAAAACATTGAAGGACCTAAAAGTTTTTCTCTGTACATTTCTCTAAATTTTTCTTTTTCTTTATCCTCTGGTGATTTATTAAGTTTGTAATCTAAACTTATGTCTTTTGCAGTTGATAATCTATCATTTGACGACCTTTTACGTTTTGCTTTAAAAGTACTCATCGGATCATTCATTGGTTTAGGGGTTGTGTCTATGATCATTCTTAAATTGGAGTCATGAGTTGATTCTGAGCCATCCCATGGTTTGGAATTATAAATATCTCTTGCATGCTTATTTTGATTTAATAATGGTTCACTTTTGATATATGACTGTGCTTGTTTAAAATCTTGTTGTTCTTTGTTGCCAAAATCGTATTTATCTAATATACTATTTATAGTTGAATCTGTTTTTCTCATTGATGATATATTTGACAGTTGAGTTGTAATTTTTTCCTCTAGTATCTGTTTCATTCGATCTACTATAGCTGAATTTGGATCAGTAGACGAATTTGAATTTGATGATGAATTTGCATTATTTGTGGAGGTTTTGGTAGAATTTAATCGATATATGTTATAGTTTAGTCGTAGTAGTCTCCTTGATGCATAGTAGTATTGAAGCATGATCTTCCCTAAGTCTATCTAGAATTTCATCAAGTAATATAAAATAAAAGTGGTTGCAAAGACTCCGATTAGATGAAAAAGATAATTAACTAAATAAATTTAACATAATTATGTAGCACGGAATATTCGACCCAGAAAAAAGAAAAAATAGAGAGAAACTAACCAAATTATACGACTCTGACACAAGATCGGACTAGATTTAAATTTTTACAACAATAAAATTTGATATCGTTGAGTTAAAAGTGGAAAACTGTCAAAGTTAATTTGAATAATTCGTTAAATGTCCTTTTTAAAATCAAAGGAGAAGTAAGATCTAGCCTAATTCAATGTATAATTCATTAAATTGTAAGGCAAATTATGATATATTAATTTTCAAAACTAAATTGGTAGCATATTGACAAGTTTTGTTATCACATTTTTTTTTCGTCTCCAAAATTTCATCAACTTTGATTTATTAACTACATATTCAATTCATATTTTCTTTTCATTAATTAATAATAGATTGCAACCTCATAAAACATGTGGATTTTTGATTGGTGTATGTTTATAATTTACTATTGTCAACAAGAAAATGGTAATATTCCCAATCAATTATAATACTAACAATTTAAAATAGTCCAAGATGTTTTAGCCTCATTAGGTTTATGGAATAAACATGCAAAATTATTATTTCTTGGTTTAGATAATGCAGGTAAAACAACTTTATTACATATGTTAAAAAATGATAGATTAGCAACTTTACAACCAACTTTACATCCAACATCAGAAGAATTAGCTATAGGATCAGTTAGATTTACAACATTTGATTTAGGTGGACATCAACAAGCTCGTAGATTATGGAAAGATTACTTCCCGGAAGTTAATGGTATTGTATTTTTAGTTGATGCTGCTGATCCTGAAAGATTCGCTGAATCGAAAGCTGAATTAGAATCATTGTTTAAAATTGAAGAATTAAGTCAAGTTCCTTTCGTTATTTTAGGGAACAAAATTGATGTACCTACTGCAGTTGGTGAAATGGAATTGAAGAATGCATTAGGGTTATATAATACTTCTGGTAAAGATTCAAAAGTTGCTGATGGTTCAAGACCAATTGAGGTTTTTATGGTTTCAGTTGTTATGAGATCAGGATATGGAGAAGCATTCAAATGGCTTTCACAATATATATAGGATCATTAATGTACGATAATATCAAGTAATACTAAAGTTGGAGATAATTCTGTAGTGATAAATTCGCTGGTAATCTAAAAATGTCTTATTTTTGAATTATGCGACATATTAAAATATGACATTCTATAATAATCTCTTCTCAAACAAGAAATCAAAATTGCAACTTTAGTTTCAGATTAAATTATTAATACAACAAAACAATAATGGATTCGGGGAATAAAGGTCAGTTACATCCGGAACAGAAGAAATGGAAAGCGCCAAAAGGCCCAAAACCAGTTCATCATAAGAATAAAAATTTAATAGGTTTAGGTAGAACAATAGCAAATAAAAGATCAGAAGAAAATGCTATACAATACTTACCAGATGGTGAAATGAGATTCACTACAGACAAGAAAGATCCAAATTGGGTAAAACTAAGATCAGTCACACAAGAGAATGCTTTGGATGAATTTTTAAGTACTGCACAATTAGCAGATACCGATTTTAGTGCTGAAAAAGGTCAACAAGTCAAAATTATAAAAGTTGGAAACACAAATATAGTAAATACAAATGGTTTATTAACCACTGATGAAATGTTAGCAATGAGACAAAAGCACATGATGTTTGAAAACAAACTTACAATTCCAAAAAGACCAAAATGGAATAAAAATCAAAGTAAATTAGAAATTGAGAGGCAAGAAAACTTATCATTTTTATCATGGAGAAGAGATTTAGCAAATTTAACAGAAAATAATGATTTATTACTAACCCCATTCGAACGAAATTTGGAAGTTTGGAGACAATTATGGAGAGTTGTTGAAAGATGTGATTTAGTGGTGCAAATTGTTGATGCAAGAAATCCATTATTTTTCAGATCAATAGATTTGGAGAAATACGTTGATAGTTTTAATGAAACAAATGACTCAAATCATCAAAAAAGGAATTTATTGTTGGTGAACAAAGCTGATTTATTAACAAGAGATCAAAGAATAGCATGGGCTCAATATTTAAAAGAGAAGAATATTAATTATGTATTTTTTTCAGCTGCAAAAGCTAATGAATTACTAGAAAAAGAAAAAGAAGAAATGGAACAAATAGAACAAAAACAAGACTTAAATGATACAGTAATGGAAGAAATAGAAGATGAATCAATAAAAATTCTCAAAATAGAAGAATTAGAACAATTATTCATGGATTCAGCGCCAAAATTTGAAGAAGATCCAGAATATCCCGATAGAAAATTACAAATTGGTTTAGTTGGTTATCCAAATGTTGGTAAGTCGTCAACCATTAATGCGTTAATAGGTTCCAAAAAGGTATCAGTTTCATCAACACCAGGTAAAACCAAACATTTTCAAACTTTACATTTAACTCCTCAAGTACTATTATGTGATTGTCCTGGTTTAGTATTTCCAAATTTCGCTTACACTAATGCTGAATTAGTATGTAATGGTGTATTACCAATCGATCAATTAAGAGAACATATCCCACCAACTGCTTTGGTATGTCAAAGAATACCCAAATTTTTTTTGGAAGCAGTTTATGGTATTCATATCCCAATACAAAAAGTTGAAGATGGAGGTAATGGAGAATACCCTACAGCAAGAGAATTATTAAACGCGTATGCAAGAGCAAGAGGTTACATGACACAAGGTTTTGGGGCAGCTGATGAACCAAGAGCTGCAAGATATATACTAAAAGATTATGTTAATGGAAAATTATTGTATGTAAATCCACCACCAGTAAAATTGGAGAATGGAGAATGGCAATTACTTAATTTATCAGAAAGTAGAGAATTCAATAAGGAATTATATAACTTACAGCATTTACCAGAATCAAGACAACAACAAATAGAACATGCGATGAAAATTAGGGGGATACCAATACATGAATTTGATTTGAAGAAAGATTTAGCAAAATTGAATTTCTCAATGCATATAGGAGGAGAAAATAACATAGATGAAAACACCACTACAACACCAAAGACTTTATTCTACGGTGGTAAACAAGCTAAATTAGAAAGCGCAGGTGATGATTTGGATGAAGAATTTTTCGCAATGAATAATATAGAAGGTAAAATTAACTCACCATTCCATAAGAAGACTATAAGTTTACCCACTAAATCTGATAAGAAACATAATAAAAAGAATAAGAAGCAAGATAAGAAACTAAGGGTTGTTGGGTATTAAATTTATTTATAGATTAGGTATTTATTGTACTAGCACTTTAATGATAAACTTGTGATGACTTTTTCGAAAGCTAGTTTTTTAAGTTCTGTCTGGACGGTGATCTCCCACTAAATTTATCTATAGTAAACCAATCTCTCAACTCTAAATTACAGAGAATCACATATACTAATTTTTAAAATGTTTAGGTTTTCGATGTAAAAAGGACTTGTTTCTACCTTTTGCATTTTTATTTTATAATACTTATCGTTTACTTTTGACACCAAAGTTGTTGTAAAGTATGAGTTTATGACTACTGACTAGCGTTTAAAATGTAATATATGACTTCATAACAATCTGATGAAAATGCGTGAAAAATAATCGTGAAATTGAGTTCAGGGTTTTTAAAGTTTATGAGTTTTGTTAATCTGATAATATTTAGTAATGTTTCAGAAATTTGATGCAAAAGTTACACAAAACAGTTTGACTAGTTTGATAAATAAGCTGGTTAGAAATTGCCTACAGTTTTGTTGTTCTACCTGAAATGCTCAATCAAACATTTCATTCATGCAAAAACTAACTACATGTCACAACCTAAATCAATTGGATATCACTCGAAATAAATATATTGAAAAAGAAAGCTATAAAAAATCTAAATATTTAAATTTAAAACTTAAAAGAAAATACAAAAAAATATAATTAAAAAGCAAGCAAATTTTGAAACATGAAAAAGAACAAATATAACTTGAAATGTTTTTTTAAAAAGGTCGAAAGTAAAAAACACAATTTTATTGATAAAGTAAATTGATTTGATCTCAATTATTGAATCTAGATTAAAATACCAATGAAAGCAAATAAAGTAGCTAAAATTGAAACTGATTTGATAGCGGCTGAACCTTCTAAAGTAGCAACTGATGATGCTTCAGCAGTAGCATGAGATCCAACGGTTACAAGGGTACCGGAAGCTGATTCAGCGGCAACGGTAGCTGTAAGTGGACAATATGAAGTATATTCAGTAGCTGCTTCAGTAATAACGGCATAACCAGTAGTATAAGTGTAAACTTCTCCACCATGAGCAGTAGATTCAATAACGGTGGTTGGAATAGTTAATGGACAATAGGTAGTATATTCAACGTCACCATGTGTAATAACGGTCCATCCAGTTGTAAAAGTATGAACTTCACCACCATGAGCAGTAGATTCATAAATAGTAGTTGGAACAGCAGTTAATGGACAATATGTTGTGTAGATTGTTTCTTCCTTTGAAACAACAGTGTATCCAGTAGTGTATGATGAAACTGGAGTACAATGGCCTGCACTACAGCTAGTAACAGTTATTACAGTTGTAGATGGTACAATTTCGGTTGATAATGGACAATAAGTAGTATAAGTCGTGTAATCTTCAGTAACTGTTGTTAATCCAGTGGTGAAAGTTGAAATTGGAGTACAATGACCTTCACTACATGATGTAATTGTGACGACGGTTGATTCAATAGCAGTGGCAGTTTCTAAAGTAGAGCCACCTTTAGCAGAAGTGGTTATAGCACCTGAACCTGAAGTTGAAGCAGCAGTTTCTAAAGTAGAGCCACCTTTAGCAGAAGTGGTTGAAGCACCTGAGCCTGAAGCAGTAGAATTTGACCAACCTGATTTAATAGCAGCTGATGATGATAATGATGATGGAATAGATTCAGGAGTTGAAGTAGATGGAGCAATATTCAAAGTTGGTGCAGAGGTAGATTCTTCAGTAACCGGAGTTGTTTCTTCACTAACAGTATAACCGGTATCAGGTCCACCGGTATGTCCAGTATCACCTAAAAATGAAACAGTAACGTAATCTGCTTTACCACCATATTGTCCCTCTTCATTAGAATCAAGAGTATAACTTAAACTCATTAAAAAGAAACTAGCACGTTCATCATCATCATAAAGCTCTGTTTGAGTTGAATATAATGGAAGATCCCAAGGTTCAACAATATGATTATCAACATCAACCTGATATTTAGAATTAATAGTTTGTGGTTCAGTAGTCGTAGCCTCGGTTGTAGTTGGAGCTTCAGTTGTAAGTGGAGTAGTAGTTGTAATTGGAGTTGTCTCTGCACTAACAGTATAACCGGTATCAGGTCCACCGGTATGTCCAGTATCACCTAAAAATGAAACAGTAACATATTCTTCATTACCTCCACCACCTTCATAATAAGTATAACTTAAACTCATTAAAAAGAAACTAGCACGTTCAGCACCATCATAAAGCGCTGTTTGAGTTGAATATAATGGAACACCGAATCCATCGACGATGTGATTATCAACATCAACGAAATATTTAGAATTGGTAATTTGAAGTTCAGGTTCAGTAGTCTCAGCTTCGGTTGTAGTTGGAACATCAGTTGTAAGTGGAGCTTCTGTTGTAGTTGGAGCAGCGTCTTCTGAAGATGAAGCTGGAGCTGGAGCTGCTACAACGGTTGAAGCTAAAACGGTTGAAGCTAATAAAGCGATTGAAGAAATTCTCATAATTAAGCGATTGTTGGAAGTTGGATTAATTGATTTTGAAATGATAAGAAAAAGAAAGGAAAACAATTTATTAAGTTAACCAAGACTTTTATCAAGTATTTATAGTAAAATCCTGAACTTTTACCAACCTTTACTCCAATTATTATCAATCAATTTTTTGACGCATCATTGTTTTGATTTTCAAAGTTTTGGGGCCCTTCGAGGCAAAATTGCATAAACAACATAAACATAAACATAATAATTGTCATAATTCTTTCCTACTTTGGCCCTAACAAGCAATTCGTAATTGAATTGATTAATTAATTCATTGCAAAAATTGCAAGTTCGTAAATGAAAAATCACATTTGAATATATAAATTGGAAATAAATTAAATTTTTCGTAAACCTATCGGTAAATTAAAACATTGATATTAATTAATATTATCTCCAAAAGCCGAATTATTACTCAATTTGACACGATTAAATATGCAACATTGTCAACCTACAGATTACTTTGTGGGGATTAATTAATAATAAATCTATCAAAATGACCTGAATGTATTGATTAAACTTTCTTATGAATGCCTTTTAGTATTGCTCATGCATAATTGTTTGACGTTGGTTTTATTAAAATTTGAAATAAAGTTGGGTTCCTACCAATGTATACCAACTTATGTCTTTTTACATCATAGTAGTGAGTTTTGATCGAGACCACATCAACCAATCCACCCATAAATGATCGAACCTGATTGTTCACCAAGAACATGTTTCACCTAATAAGTTACAGCGTGCTTCAATAAGTTTCTGTTACCTTGAGAATGAACAATATTTTACTGTTGTTCCGCAAATCTTTTGAAATTTTTTATTAAAATTTTTTTCTCATGCAACAAAAGGGGTAGAACAAAGTGATACATCAAACAATAAGATCTACATTAATAATTCATTAAATTCATATTGTAAAAATTCATAATGTCATACTATCATCAATAAAAAAATTTGAAATCTGATTATTTTGTATGTATATTTAGTTTAACACTTTGAACCTTATCTTCTTGTGTTCATTTTTACCCAGCACATGTTTGTTTTTTTGATGTGAAAATTCTAAAAATAGTTCAAAGCTTCTTTTGCGCTTTTGACAGTCAGTTAGCGGTGTTGGAAAAATTTATGTAGTAATATAATAAATTCTAATAATTTATTAAATTTGTTTGTATCTTGGCCACTTTATTATTCCAAAATGGTTGACAAGAGTGCTCATTTTGATGTAGAGTTTATAATGATGACGCTCGCTTTAGAAATCAGAAATTAGGGTTCTCAAAGTGACTTCTTTTAGATCCAGTAATTCGATATTGTTTCAAATTTTGAGGTTATAGCAATAGACTTATATTTAATTAAACTGTTAATTTACGAATATTTAGAAATTTGATTTGCTAGGTTACGTAAAACACAACCAATGTGCGTTTTGCATAATTTTTTCTTAAAGTGATATGGAATCAACCATAAAGAGATCAATATTGTAATAATATCACTGTTGCTTTTTCAAAAAGATTAAATACAGTTCGTTTTTAAAAATGAATAGGGGACTTAATTGTAAGTTAGTTTTGACTGAATGACGTTTTAAAGTTTAGCGAATTAATATGAATTTTGCTATGCCTTTTCGCTCGATTGATTTAAACCTTGTGGTTTAACGCTCACACAGGGTGGTTTAGAATGTGGACCAATATGTAGAATCTCTTTGTAAGTGGTGATAATATCTTGAATGAGATGAAAGGGTTAATATTGTTCCATATTATTCGTGTAAATTATTTTTTTTTTGCAGCTAAATCTTATCAAATGTTCAAAATTGACAGTCCAAAGCAATTAAAAATAAATTTCGTAAAACTACGAAGTAAATGTGATCTTGCAGCAGCATGAGTTGTCAAATATGCATCTATTATTTTCTTGGAAAGATGTACGAGAGGAATACAAATAGTGTAATGAAGGTTATCGATAAACCAGTTCATTGTAGCATCTTCTTCTGCAAGCATCTTCGGAAATATAGAGAAAATTACACCGGGGACGAATAAAATACAACTAACATAATACATTTATTAAGTTCAACTCACGCTATGAAAGAAAACTTATTATATCCAACTCACGGTCGGTTTATGAATTAAGACGGTATTGTATCCCATCTACTATCCTAATCTGTCCAAGAAATGAAAATTCATTACTGAAAGCCAATCAAGTCTAACTAATCCCATTGTTTGCTAAACTCAAAAAGAATCCAATAATTGATACACATTTCAATAAAAAAAAATGTATCATCGAAGATTATGATAACTGTACTATTTGTATCAGTGTGAAAACAAAGTTTTCTTCACATAAAAACCATAGTCAACATGAGGTATCCAGACCACTTTAAAGACTACATATAGACACTGTCGGGCCTTTCCACATCCAGGACAGGAAAGTCTATATATCTTGTGTGTCACATTTGTCCAGGAACTAAGCATGGTTCCTGTAATTGCAAGGAAACACAATCGAGCCATTCGTACCTAATTAAAGAATTTTTGGAAATCAAAAAAAAAGCATTATTAGTTTTTTTTCAGGAGTATCAATCCAAACATTAACTATTTGTTAATACATTTAAAAAAGTTAATGTTGAAGCCTTTTTGCAGATCTTATCGGGTTTAATATCACAAAACATGGTATAACACCAAATAACAAAAAATTTGAATAGATTTGTTTTCACAATTTCAAATTTTCAATCTAAGAATAATGGGGACATCTCCCCAGTTTAATCCGGCATCAAAAAAATCTTTCCAATGAGTGATAATTTATTACTAGAAAACCAATCAAGTCTTATAAATTCCATTATTTATAAAACTCAAAAAGAATCCAACAATTGAAGCAGATTTAGTGAAAAAAACTCGTTCTGTAACAGATTTTCAACGAACTATTTTTGCAAAATCCTCAAAGTATGAAATATCACAAGGGCGGTTATTGCCCCTGCTTAATCCAAAATCTAACTAACTTTCCCAATGAATGATAATTCATTACTCAAAAACCAATCAAGTCCTATAAATCCCATTATTTATAAAACTCGAAAAGAATCCAACAATTGAAACAGTTGTCAATGAAGAAAAAAGTGCCATTGAAGAAGTCACATCTGTCCAAAGACTAAGCAATTTATATATTGGACCAATTGATGAATATTTACAAGAATTTGAATTGAAATTTAATAAACCAAAACTTGATGGAATTGTATCATACTGTGGAAATTTATTCAATAATAATGTAGTAGCTTCAGTTGAAGACGAAATTTTTTCAAAGTTGAACAATCGGATTTACACCATACCAGGCCCTCTTTGGTAGATTACCTCGAAACTCTCTTTTAAACATCACTTTTTAAACACAACCCAAAGAAGATTAAATACACAAATTCCCAAAATATGACAGCTAACAATTTAATTGTGAGCTTACTTGCAAGATTAGCCAATTTTTAAGATAACAAGAAAAACCAATTTACTTGGTAGAAAAATTTATGGAGTTTTCTTCTTGTAACACACTTTCAACAAATTATGTTGTGAAGTTATCACAATTTTCCATATCGAAAACCAATCAAGTCTTATAAATCCCAATATTTAGAAAACTCAAAAAGTATCCAACAATTAGATCCGAATATAAAATCATCCTCCTTATAGTTTGAAACATGTAGTCATCATCTATATCATAAGGTTGAATATCTCCCCTGTTTAACCCAATATCGGGTTTTTTTTGGATTTACCCAAACAATTTGTAATTAGAACATGCTATTATAAGGAACAAGAATTACCTTCACTGAATGATATGAATATTTTAAGTTTGAGTACTTATCGATCAACTCCAATGCAGTTTGGGATTGATGTGGTGTTAAAACTACTGTCTATTCTATAGGATTTATTTTCTCCTTCAAAAATTTTTTTTTTCTCTGAAGTCAACATTTTTTAAGTAATTTTAAGTTAATAATTGTTTGGTAGCAAAATCGATACATCATACTTCTAATAGAGTGAAAAAGCCAACGTAAAAAGTAGAGCTTCTAATTAATAAAGTGATAATATTAATATTACATTTAAAGCATTTATCGAATTAAAATAATAAATCGATATCTATTAAACTATAAATTTAAAAAAATCACTCTTAATCATCTTTGATCAATAATGAAAAAAATATGTAAAATAATCTAATAGATTCTGAATGATGGACCCATAGTTGATTTAATAACTAATGATCCAACATTTTGCCAGTTTTTCTTTAATAATGAAACTAAGAAATTAGCAGCCATCATAATTTGATTAACTAAAACATCTTCTTCCATTTCAACATTACCAATAGCAACAGCTAAACATAAAACTTTTTTCAATTGAAATTTAATAGTTGATCTGACATCAGTAACTTTTGAATATAAATCATCATTATGAGAAACTGGAGTTGGGAATTTACCAGCTTTTGATAAAGTTGGACCTAATAATCTTGGGATTTGTTTAATTAAAACTTCTGAAGCAACAAAAGCATTATATTTTTTAGCTAATTTTTTAATTAATTTTTTATTTTTATTTAATTTTTTTAAATCATCAACTGACATAGCATCAACACCTAAAGATTTAGCTCTATCAACATCAAAAGCATCACCAAAAATACAAATGGTCATGTTTGGTCTTGGAACTTGAGGTAATTTTAAAGTACCTGAGAAACGTTTATCTCTTTGAGGATCATAATTTTTTAAACCAACTTGTAATTCAACAGTTTCTAAAAAGTTTCTTTTTTTAGTTTCATTAGAATGTTCTAATAATTTTTTAACGTTTTCACGAACGTGAGATGAAGTGATTTTAGACATCTTTGATAATTATATCGTCTCCCAAAAAATAAATTGGTAAATTTGATTGATTCGACGTGGATATAGAAGAAAGAAAAGAAAAAGGGAAGAGTATTAAAGAAATTGAAAAACTGAAAAATTTTATCATAATTTTTCATTTCTCAGTAAAGCTACCAAACGAGTACTAAATAAAGTAGTGCCTCGTGGCCAAAGTGACTGCTAAGGAAATTGTGACCTTTTTTGATTGTCTCATGAATTGATTTCAAGACTTGTAATTTTTTTGATTACACAATAAGCAAAAACATGAGCCGCATAACAAGTCTTGATCCAATATGGAAACACATAAACGCGTTCCAACTATAATGATTTCGAATTGATTATAACTTCCTCTTCATAATGTTTATAACATCAATTTCTACAGTGTTAAGAATACGGCATCCTCATCAATCATTAATTTTCCCATTAAGAAACTTGTTTCGTCAATTTTCAATAGCATTAACTAAATCATCACCACATTCATCACATTACAAGACATTTCCAAAATTGAAAAAAATAACAAGAGCAGAAGAAGCAGAACTTCAAAAAATAGAATCTCAAAAAAAATTTCAATTTCTAGATAATAAATATGATATAATTGATTATAAGACTAAAAAAATTTTAGATATAGGATTTGCTCCTGGTAATTGGTTAAATTATGTAGTTGAAAAATTAATAAAAATCAATCACGTTAAAGATTATAAATTATTTTCCAAAAATATTTATGTACTAGGATTTGATATTTTGTTTAAAAATCCACCATTAGGTACTTCATCAATTCAAGGTAATATTTTTTCAAAATTAAGTTCAAATAATATAATTAATCATTTTAAGAATATAGAATTAAATTCTCAAAAATATAAATTAATAAATCAATCACTGGAAGAATTAATTCAAAAATCTTATTTCGAACAAGAACAAGAAACATCATCAGAAGAAAAAGAAGATGATATAATTCACCAATTAACTGAAAATTTAGATAATTTGAAACTTAACTCAAAAAAAATTGATTGGAAAATAGATTTAGTAATTAGTGATTTATCAAAACCTGGAAAACAACAAAGTGGATATTATGATCATACTGAAACTAATCCTTATTTACGTTATAATAATAACAAGGGTTTAAATCATTCAATAATGAATCCTGAAAAGGGGAATATTGATTTAGCTGATGCTTCTATATTATTAATGTCGAAAATATTAAAACCTGGTGGGAAATTTATATTAAAATTAAGTGAAATTAATAATGATGATACTGAAATAGTTTTAATGGAAGAAAGACTTAAGAAGATGTTTAATGAAGTTTATGTTACTAATTTAATGAAAGAGTGTATATTTGTCTGTCTTGATAGAAAAAAATAAACAGTTGCAAAATTTTAAATTTTTATTTATTAATTTTAATCTATTAAAAGGTTCTTAAGTTTCTTTTACTTCAACTTCTCCATTTGCGTCATCAACTTCTTCTTCTAATTCTTCATTATTTATTTCTTTTGATTCTGTTTCTTCTTCTCCCAAATCATCCTCTTGATTTTCCACTGATTCTTCATCTTTTTCTACTGCTTCTTCTTCTTTTTCAGTTGATTCTTCTTCAAAATTAATTAACGGTGCTGAACTTCCATTTATATTTAATTTTGTAAAATCATCAATTAATCTCTCACTTATTTTATCTTTATTTTTTGATTTTAATATACTTTTAAATTCTTGTATATAATTTTCTAATCTTTCATGATCAACTCCATAATTTGTACCAAATAAAATAGCTTCAGTATATCTACCACTTTTAACTAACAAATCTAAACATTTATTAACATCACCAACTAACCACCAAGATTGCCATGCTATATTATATCTTCCTTTTGATTCAGTTTCTTCTGCTAATTTTATCAATTGTGCTTTATTATTTGATGATGATAATAACAATAATAAAGATGAATAATCTTTTGCTAACCAAAATGATTCTTGAGCTAATTTTATATTCCATTTTGTTAATGCTAAATCACCCAATTTTTTCCATTTCTGTATATTTATAGAAGCTAAACTTGGATTTTCACTTTGTTGTGTTGATAATAATTCATAAGCTTGTTTTAAGTTACCAGTACTTAAAGAGATTTGAAATTTTGAATCAAAATCTTGTGATAAGGAATATGATAATGATAAATAACCTAATTTTTCAAAAAATCTTGATAATTGATTTAATTCTGTTTTGGAATAATTTGAAATAAGATTATTATATTCTTCTGATAAATTTTCTATTGATACTGTGGCTAAATCTGGAGTTTCTTCTCCTGTTTCTTCATCCAATATATTATGTGTTGCAAATTGTTCTAAATCACCTCTCATTACCAAAGTTTGTAATTCCAATACTTCTGAATTAATATACCATGATATAACATCAAATGATTTATCAATTAAATATAATTTCCCATCTTTTGCGTTATAACCAATTATATAAACTTTACGATCAAAATGACCTAAATTTATTACTTCACCACCAACAAAATAATTCAATCTATTAGTAGTTGCTGTAGTATATACAAAGACATCACCAATGAATTTACCAGATAATATAGATTCTGAAGTTGGTAATGTATACAACACATCAAAAGCCAGTTCTGCACCTTCTTCTGGATCTAATTCATCATTGGCAAGAGCTTGTTCAAATAGTTCTTGATTATAACTTAAAAAATATGTTTCATCACTTTTTCTACCAATAGTTGAAGTACCACTAGTTTTACCACTTGAATTTGATGTAGTTATTATAGCTAATAATTCTCCATTATCTGACCATACAACTTCAGTTATATCATCATCAATATCAACTCTTCTTACTAATTTGCCTTGTTCCCAATCATAAAATGTTATACAACCTTCTGATTTAACACCTAATAAAGCACCTGTGAAAATTTTATCAGCTTGATATAATAAATCTAATTGTAGATATTCTTGAAAATTTTTATAAATTTTAACACTTACACCTGATTCTCTTATTGCAAATGGACATGCAGCTGATGTATCATGACTATTCCATACAAAATCAAGAGCACTTCCATAAGCTTTTGATCTCCAACCTAATGCACTATAAACTATATATTCACCATCACCACATACAGCAGCATATCTACCATTAGGTGAATGACTTAATGATTGTGGAAATATTTCAATTGTTCCTAATTCTCTTTGTTGTAGATTTAATGATTCGCCATCTTTTAAACCTTGAGCTGAATTTGGTTTTATTATAGATTGTGAAACTTCTGAATTTTTAGCATAAATTAATTTATTATTTGAATCTAATGAAAAAAGTGGTTCTTCATTACCTAATTTTATTATAACAAATCCTGAATCAAATCCAGCAGCAATAACATTTGATTTTGGTAATATACCAATACACCATACTCTTTCCAAACTATAGTTTATTGATTTTTCTAATTTAAAAGTATTTGAATTCCAAAATCTTATAGTTCCATCTTCTGAACCAGAAACTATAATTGGTAATTCAGGATGAAAAATTGCAAATGAAACATTTGATAAATGACCTTCTAATGTAGCTACACAAGATTTGGTTTGATAATCCCAAACTTTTATAGTTTTATCATCACTTGAAGTAATTAAATATGGTTTATCAGCTTGAGGATAATAATCAACATAATTCACACCTTTTGCATCATGAGCCACCAATGTGAAATTTGGTTGTGAATTTCCTAAAGACCAAATTTTAACAGTTCTATCTAAACAAGCAGAAGCAAAAGTATTTGGATCTTTTGGATTAAAATTAACACTCATAACATAATGTTGATGACCTTCAAAAATTTGTTCTAATTTCCAATTATTATCCCAATTCCATAATTTTATAGTTAAATCATCACTTGAAGTTAAAATTAAAGGTCTTGTTGGATGTACTGCAATAGCTCTAATATAATCTGGATGAGCTTCAAATTGAGTAATTTTTTCACCAGTATTATAATTATAAACTCTAATTTGAAAATCATCTGATCCAACAACAATCCAATTCTTTCTTGCAATAAATTTACCAGTACGTACTGGTAATTCTGTAACTTGTATTGATTTAACTAATGCATTTGTTGCATATGACCAAATTTCAATTTTACCATTATATAATGTTGTTAAAACCCATGGTTCTGTTGGATGGAAATCTATACCTTTAACTCTATCTGAATGATGACTAAATGTTTTTGTGATGTCCAACTTCATGGTGGAAAAAGAAGTATTCAATTGGACAATTGATGTGGTTGTATTATGCTGGATTAATGGTTGTTTAATTATTTAATTGGTTTGTTACATATTGTTGATTTGAAAAATCTTTGGACACGTTAAAATAAATCACAGAGCTACCAAATACGACAACATTTTTACACGACTAACACATTACGAAAGTATACTTCAAAAAGTTAGAGATTAAGAGTTACAACCAACCCAAAATATTTATAAGGTCCCGAATGTAGTATATTTATAAATCTAATAGACTTTTTCTAATTTACCTCTTCTTTCATCTCTATATTTTTTCTCCAAACTATCAATTTCTTTTATATATCCAATCCATTGTTTATCAAATATTTCATTTGAAAATTTATCAATAACAATTTCTTTACCAATATGTCTCATTTTATTTAATCTAGCATGACTTATTAATTCTTTATCTTTTATAAAAATTATAGTTAATAATTGTTCTAAAGTTGGAAATTCTAAAATTTCACCATTAAATTCAAATAATAAAAATTTATTTTCATTCAGTTCAACTAGTTGTTCGGAAGGATTAAAATCAGGGTCAGCAAAAGATTTGAAAAAAAACCCTATTGAATTATGCCAATCTTGTTTTGGTTCATCATCTTCATTTTTAACAATGTCCAAATAAGGACCAGCTGATGCATGAACTATTGGAATACAACCTCTTGCAATATATTCAACTACTCCAATTCCAAAATGTTCATTCCACATTGCATTAAGTCCAAATTTACAAACTGATAATAATTCAATAACTTCTTTGTATGATATATCAACTTTGAATTCAACAAAGTTCGTTAATTTCAATAATTGAGTTTCTTGTTGTAAAAATTCTAATGTTGCTGTATCATCTTTTGTTCTACATGAACCTGCAAATACTAAAGTTGGAATTTCTGGAGTTGGTTTAGCAATACCTGGATAATTGTTTACTAAGAATTGTTGATACTCTTTAAGTATTAAAATGTGACGTTTTTCAGGACGAAATTGAGCCAAGTATAACAATTTATTTTCTCTTTCTTTGTTAGTTGTTTCTTCTTTAACCAAATTCTCAGTACCACATGGTGGATATAAAGTTGTAATATGCTTACCTAATGGTTGATTATAAATCCAAATTTTTTTCATATGATTAAAAGTCCAAGTTCCATTAGCTAAAGTTAAATCAACATAAGATCCTAAATATACATAAATATAATACAAAATTGACCAATAAATAAATTTAATATAATTTTTTAAATCAATTACATTTTTCAATTTCCAAATATCTGATAATTTATTATATTTTAATTTATTAAACATATCTTCTTGTAAAATTGGATAATGAACATAAGCAATTATAGGTATTTTTAAAACAATAGAAGCAATAAAATAACTACCAGGTAATCCCATAGTATCTACCCAAACATCTGGTGATAATTCAAAACATGCTTCTAAACTTGATAAAATTTGTCCAATTAATTGTCCAATAATAGTAAAATGTTTCCAATAGGAACTATCAATTAATTTATTAAATTTTCTTAAATATATAAATACAATTCTTGAATGATCCATACCTTTAATATGAAATTTATTTTCAACTTTATTTAGTATTTCTAAAGGTTCTGCATCTAAATTTGATGTATATATTGCACATATATTTTTAGAATCTGCATTTAATGTTGATTTAACAGCTTCCCATAATACTCTTTCACCACCACCTCCATTATTAGCATAAGGATGATAAAATCCATATAAAATTCTTCTTTTGGGATCATCAACATCTCTTCTCCTAGTTTCTTCCATAAATTTATTCTTATTTTGTATATCTTTTGGATTAATTTTTAATTTATTATTTATATAATTTGTATAAAATGATGGATTTTCACTTGCTAATAGTAATCTTCTTCTATAACTTGATCTTTTATAACCTATTTTTAAATATATTGGTTTATTATAATTTATAACTTTTAATAATTTATCTTTCCAATTCCTTGGTGGTACTAAAAAATAATTAGGTAGTATACTATTGAATGTTTGATATGTTAAATATATTACTGTGATTATACCTAATAGAACCCACATCATGATTATTGAATTGATTGGTAAGTTGATTTCAATTGATTAAAATTGGGTTTGAAAAATTATGTACAATATTATGATATTAAATACATTTTTGATATTACACTAAATAAATTTACGATAAGATTTATTATATTTGAGCTGCAAAATTCGTTCGGAATCAAGCGGTATCAATACAATCTATTTTAAATTTATCTTGAAAATTTGATTATTAACCATGTTTTGAAATCTCAATTTAAAAATTTATTCACCACTAGACTAACTGTTAGACCATTTTCATAGAGTACATGTGTAAGTATTAATCGCACCTAGCTTCATAATTTTAATTGCTAGTAATAGCTAGCTTTTTCTCAATTATTTTGCAGCAAAATTTTAATCATTACAAATTTTTAATCCCTTCATAGACAATTACATACTCTCATTCCTAAAAACTCATTTTGTAAAATTCGAAATTCTATACTTTATTTGATGGTGATTGAAAAGGTCGCTAAAATTTTTAAGATATTTAGAGCAATTGTACTCAATGAAAGTAAGTAATTTCTAGGTTAATGTCAATACAACAGCCCAAATTTTAAAATAAATGATTAGTTTTTTCATTTCTAATATGATCTTCATTACTATTTACAATTAAATAAATCTATACTCTTCATTCATTATAATTTTTCAAAAGAATTTTTTTCCTTGAATTTTTTTTTTGATAATCTATTTCCCTTAACTTCATCCACTATATAAGCATTTATAGCAAGTCCAATAAATATATAAAATATTGTATTGGAAAATAATTTAGTTATTGATTCACCTAGTTCATTCCATTTAATCTCTGAATTTTGAAACTGATTATATTTTGTTAATGAATTATTGAAAGACAAATAAGGAAATTTAATACAATATATATAAATTGTCCACATGATAAATTGACTCGATCTACCTTGAGTCAATTTATCAACCATTCTCGAGGCCGCTCCCGTTATTACATATTTGTCAACAATAATTGTCAACAGTAAGATTACTATAATTGATAATTCAGTATTCATGTCCTTTATGTTTTGATGTTTATTCCAGATTCCTGTTTCGTAAGACACACATTTGATATCTGTCAAGAGAAAAAATTAATCCAGTTCTAATTGTTTTTAATTGAAACAAACTATCAAATTGTTGTTGTTGATACTAATAGCGATATTAAGATGTTTTTTTATTTTTCTTTCTGTTTATGTTTAAAGTGAAATTCGTTATTTCTCACACGACAATTTGTTTCAGGCTAAATTGGAGAAATTGAATCTAATTTCTAAATCCACTTATATTATTACAAACTCTCTCATAGCATATTGTATGATCTACATTTCGTTTGAGGAGTGTGTGTATTAAAAAATTCGCTTAAATCTTTAAGTGTACAATTCAATTATACCTAATGAAGGAAAATAATTCTTAGATTTTGTAGACCCATTAAAACAAGTGCCTGTATTCTAAACTTTTAAATCTATAATATAATCTCTTCATTACTATTAAAGAAAGAAGTTTAAAAAGAAAGGAACTCCATACAGAAATTGTAAAATAAATTTAGATTACTATGAAAGAATTTCAATCAATTGGTAGCAGCAGTATCTGTAATTAATTAAACTAAATTGAGTTAATTAATTAACATTGACGTGATTGTGTAAGTTTTTAATTAATTAATACTAAATAAAGAATTATTCTCCTTTCATAGAATTTATATTGCTGCTTTGTAATAATATTTTATATATGATTATTAAATTCAACTACTTTTCTTCTTTTCACTTTCAATTTTAATAATCAATTCAATTTCAATTTGTTCATTTTTAATTAAATTCTACAATTAATTAGTTCAGTTTAGAAGTTTAGTCTTTTAGAATTAATCCAAAAGTAAAAATAAAATAAAATAAAATCCCCAATAGAAAATTTCTTTTAATTATCATCAGAGAAAAAAAAAATATAATTTAAATTTAATTTTACAACCAGAGAATTATAATTCTTAAAACCAATTAATTCAATCAATAACTTCATTAAATATCAAATTTGCTATTTCATTTTATTGTACTATTATTCATTAATCATATTATATATTTATATATTTATTAAAACAATATCCATTTTTTTTATATCACTTTATAAGGAACATTTAATTTACCTTTTCAAATATTTCATTAAACAATTTACAACCAAATAAGACACGTCTAAAATATATTTATAAAAGACTTTATAAATTCAATAAATACAATATTTATATATTTATTAATCAAGGACAATATTATATATATAAATTACAAAACTAGAAATCAGTATCATTGCATGTACTTAGACAATAATATAACCTCAATCAATTCAACTACAAACGCATCAATAATTTCAGATATGTCAATGCACACTACTACTACTACTACTACAACAACAACAACATCAAATGATAATAGCAACAACAATAACAACAACAACAACCTTCATCAGTCATCTTCAAACCCAAATAATTCAACAACATTATCAAATGGTCCAAAAGTCAAAACACCATTAAAAAAGGAAGAATTGGAGAAAATAGCTCGTCAATTAAAGAAAAAATTATCAAAAGCTAGTATTACAGCAAAACAACTGTTATCACCAATAAACATGAAATCATCAATAAATCATCATTCAAATTCTATACCAAAATCTTCTCCATTAAAAAATTATATAAGTAATTCAATAAATAAATCCAATAAAAATTCACCATCAAATAATAATAATTTTAGTACTAGTAATAATACAACTATTGATTCATCAATGTTTATGTTATCATCATCATCACCAAATAATTTTTATTCACCACATGGAAAATCACCAACTCATATTAAAACACCAGCACAAACTTATCTTTCTTCATCACCTTTAAAAAATATTGCAAATGATGATTCTGATGAAAATTTAAATGATTCACCAACTAAAAAAAGAAGAATAAATAATTCACCACAAAAATTAATTTTAACTCAAATGACACCTCCATCATCAACTGGAAATAATTATAAAAAAAATGAACATATTCAAACATTAAAACCTTCATTAGATATGACATCATCATCATTATCACCAAATAATTCTAAAAATTTTAAATCACAACAAGAAGCAAAAGAAAGAGAGAGAGAAATTGAAAGACAAATTGAAAACGATGTTGCTAAAACTCCTGCACCAACAGATACTGAAGGAGCTGATTTATTAATATATTTAGCTACATCACCAAGTCCTGCAAAGACATATAAACCAAAAATTTCATTCAATCCAGCACCAACGCCAATAGAACCATCACAATCACAACCACAACCACAAACTATTCAATCACAATCAAATACAACCACATCAACATCAACTTCATCATCAGCTTCAAATTCAGCATCTTCATCATCACAATTTATAACTCCAATACCACCAGTAACACCAAAAAGAATTAATAATAATCATAATAATCATCAAAATAATTTTTCATCAACAATAAATCGTACTCCACAAAATAGATTAACTCCATTTTTTAATAATTTAAATTCAAATTTACCAAGTTCTGGTTTAACTTTAACTCCAACTGGTTTTAATATGAATGATTATGTTAATTTTTTTACACCATCTCCTGGTAATATTGGTTTAAATAAAACAAATTTATTAAAAACTCCAGATTTTAATAATCTTGGTAATAATGGTAAGTAGTTTATAATATACAATAATTCAGTTAAGAACCATGTAAAGACTAAGAGGGGCGCTGCGATCCGGAGTGTTTCAAGTCTCCGACCAACAACTTCACTGTGCGGCGAGGATCATCGACCATATTAACACAGTCACTTATGGTTGAACACAACAAGCTTATTTTACAGGTTTGTCGTCATTACGCAATGAATGCCGAAGTGAGGATAATGTATCCACTGAAACCCTATAGTTTGATGAAATTATATTCAGAGAATCAAAATATTTTTTTGCAACCAAATAATTTATAGTCGTGTAAAAATGACGTAATGTTATTTTTTTTTTTCATAAAGATATCCTTCTTTCGGAACTCAAAAACAGAATAAGAAGATCATCATTATCAATATACTTGTAAATATTCACTCACAATGTCACCAGAACAAACTACAGAGATAGAGGATAAGACCAAAGAACTAAACATAAATTCATCATCGACCAATGGTTCATCCATCACATCCGAATCCACAACGAATAATATAAATCCAGTTGAAGAAGATGAAGATGAAGATGATCAAGAAGATAATACAACAACATCAACAACAGATAAAAAGAAGAAAAAGAAGAAAAAATCAAATAAAAAGAAAAAATTAGTATCAATAGATCAATCTTACCCAGAAGGTATTTTCCCCGAAGGAGAATGGCAAGAATATCAACTTGATTCAACAAAACAAAGAACAACAGACGAAGAAAAAAGATACCTTGATCGTCAACAATCCAAAAAATGGGAAGATTTTAGAAAAGGTGCAGAAATTCATCGTAGAGTTCGACAAAAAGCTCGTAGTTCAATAAAACCAGGAATGACAATGATTGAAATTGCTGATCTTATAGAAAATTCAGTTAGAAATTATACAAATAATGATCATACTTTAAAACAAGGGATTGGATTCCCAACTGGATTATCTTTAAACCATGTAGCTGCTCATTATACTCCAAACACTGGTGATAAATTAACTTTATCTCAAAATGATATAATGAAAGTTGATATTGGAATTCATATAAATGGACGTATATGTGATTCAGCTTTCACAATGACATTTAATGAAGATGGGAAATATGATACTATACTAAAGGCAGTTAAAGAAGCTACAAATACAGGAATAAAAGAAAGTGGAATAGATGTAAGATTAAATGATATTGGTGAATCAATTCAAGAAGTTATGGAAAGTTATGAAATGGAAGAAAATGGGAAAATTTTACCAATAAAATGTATTAAAAACTTAAATGGTCATAATATTGGAGATTACGTAATACATTCGGGAAAAACTGTCCCCATTGTTGCAAATGGTGATATGACAAAAATGGAAGAAGGTGAAATTTTTGCTATTGAAACTTTTGGATCAACTGGTAAAGGTTATGTTTTACCAGAAGGAGAATGTTCTCATTATGCATTAAATCAAAATATTGATAATATTAAAATACCATCAGAAAAAGCTTCAACATTATTAAAAAATATTAAAACAAATTTTGGTACATTACCATGGTGTAAACGATATTTAGAAAGAACAGGTGAAGAAAAATATTTATTAGCGTTAAATCATTTAGTTAGATCAGGTATAGTTGAAGATTATCCACCAATTGTTGACACAAAAGGTTCATATACTGCACAATTTGAACATACTATATTATTACATCCACATAAAAAGGAAGTTGTAACTAGAGGTGATGATTATTAAGAAAAAAATTATTTATATGTAGTAATAAATACAATTTTATTCATTTTTAGATAAATTTACCCATTTTGTAGAATTTTTAATTATCCAAGGATGTTCTAATACTTGATCCAATGAAATTCTTTCTTGAGGATTGAATTTCAATAATCTAAAAATTAAATCAATAGCATCATTATCTAATTTTGTAGTGGTTGGAAATTTTAAATCAACTTTTAATATTCTTTTGTATGTAGCATTTTTATCATTTTCTTCAAATGGAGGTTTACCAATTAAAAATTCATAAATTAATATACCTAAAGCCCATAAATCAACTTTATAATCATGAGATTTTTGTTCAATCATTTCTGGTGGTAAATAATCCATTGTTCCACATATTGTATTTCTTTTATTTGATCCAATAGCTAATAATTTTTCTTGTTTTTCAATTTTAGTTTTTGTATATACTGACCAACCAAAATCTGATAATTTTACAATATTATTAAAATTAAGCATTATATTTTCTGGTTTTAAATCTCTATGTATAATATTTTTTGAATGTAAATATTTTAATGCTTGTACTATTTGATATATATAATAACTTGCTAAAATATTATCAAATTTCTTTTTGGTTTTTAAAAGTTGATATAATTCTCCATATAAACTAAATTCTAATACAAGATAAACGTTTATAGAATCATGAAACCATGTATATAAATGAGTTATATTTTGGTGGTATAAACATGATTGAATTTCAACTTCTCTTTTAAAATTTTTTTCTAATTTCATTGATATTAATTCCTTTTTAGACATTATCTTAAGAGCAATTGGTAAACCTGATTGCTTATGTTTTGCACAATATACTTTACCTAATTTTCCTTTACCTAATATTTTACCAATTTCAAAATCTTCAAATTTTGATTCTGGAATGTTTAGGGGTGGGGAATGTGTAGTTTGTGAATTATTGGTGATTGGTTGATCTAATGGTTTCAAAATTGTTGGAGGTTGTTGATGAGGATGTTGATTTTGATTTTGATGATGAAGATGATTATTTTGTTGTAGTAGATTAGTTTGATGTAGCTGATTATTATGTTCTATTGGATTTATTTGGAATTGTTGATTAATTTGTTGATTAATTTGTTGTTTTGATTTATTATTAAATCTTCTTTTTTGATCAGTAGGTGATTCAATAAATGGTGATGAAGAATTTTCTAAAGTTATTCCATTATTATCATTATTATTTAATGGTGTTAAATTTGATAATTCTTGATTGAAAGATAATTGATTGGATTTAAAAGGTGTAGGTGATATATTTTGATTAAAATCATTTAATTGACTATATTTATAATTTTTTCTTAATTGATTTGATTGATTATTGGTATTAATGATTTTAGGTTTATTTATTTTAAATTCATTATTATTATTGATTTTACTTAATGGCTTTCTATCTTTTAGTTCATCGTTTTTAATAAATGGAGTATTATGACTTAGCATATGAGTATTCATATTCATATGTGTTGTGAATCGTTGTTCATTAAACTTCAATTGATATTTTTGATTACTTGTAATTTTATATATAAATAAGACTTGTTATTATTTATTTATGTTTGTACTTAATATGTCAGTAACAATATATATATATATAAATGAGCTACCAATTACGTTACAATAAATTTAGTTTAAGGAAGGGTCTACTAAGTTGATTCTTTTGAACTCAAAGTATATTCAACAGTGTACATTTGAGTTTGGGTGTCTGAGCTTAACGAGAATTGAAAGATTTTACATTTTACTATTAATGTTGTAATTAAACTTCTCATTGAAAATTTGGGTTAAAAAAAACTATACATTCAAAAAACTATCTAAATAAACATAATCTTTTGAATCATTTTCATCATCATCTTCAATATCATCAAGATCATTAAAATTAAAAATATTATATGTTTTATTTTTAATTAAATATTCTCTTTCATCTTCTGGTATTATATTTTCTAATTCTTTTAAATTTCTAACCATTCTTGATTCATTTATACTTTGTCTTGTTGCTTTAAAACTTGAAGAATAACCTGATTCAACTTCTTCAATTTTATCATCAAATTTTAAAACATCACATAATGATCTAACATCTTTTAATTCTAATTCAACACTTGTAACTTCACTTTTGTTTAAGTACTCCAAAATAGAATCTAAATCAACTCCTCTAAAACTTGAATTTGTAAAAGTAGCTTGTAATGGATTTAAATTTTGATAAGTATCACCAGATTTGGGAAATGTTTGTTTTACAACATATAACCATATTACATGTAATAAAGTATCAATAAATTCAGTATCTAATTCAGAATCAGTAAACCAAGGACCACCAGTAACATCAATACTTGGTTGTAAATGATATAACATATATATTTTTCTTGTTGGATGTTTAACTGATTTTATTGATTTAATATAACCTTGATTTTCTAAATTTTTTAAACATTTATTAACTATATGTTGATGTAAATTGGTTTTAGCTTTTAAAGTTTTAGTCCATATCCCTTCTCTTGAACTAGCTTCTATGTATGAATATATCATCCCTTCATCATCTGACATATTTTTGATCTTATTAGCTTCTTCAATATTTATAGCTTGAAATTTTAAATCTTGACCAGTTTTACTTAATTTGATTAATTTATCATTCATTAATTTTTGTAACATTTCCATTAAATCTGATTCCTTTTTAACATCTATGAGCTCTAGTAGTTCTTCTTGTTTGTATTGTTTTTGAGGATTGGCTTGTAACATCTTTTGATGTAGTAGCATGGACTGTTCTAATAGATTAATTGACATTTTGAGTTGAATCTTTATATTAATGAGGTCTGTGGAATAAATAAGGTCGTTCTATGATTTAAAAGTTGTGAGTGGAAAATGATATTCCAGCTGATTGATCTATGAGTTGTAATTAGTATATTAGTAAAGATGATTGTCTGTATTATTTGATCTATTTGATCTATGATGATCTGTTTATGAAAAAATATATTTTTTAAATTGGTTTTGTGTTTTTGATACTCGTAAATTTTATTTAATAAATACATCTTATAGTCTAATAGAAATACTTACAAAGACAACCAAAGTTCCAATTTCCACAAATAAGAAGAAAATCTAGTAATAATCATGAAATAATGAATAAAGATGATGAAGATACTGAAGAGTTCACAATAAGACCCAAAGTAATCCTACCCAAAACCTCGAAAATTTCATTTAAAAAGTCAATTAAGTCAACCAATGGTAATAATTCGAGCAAGTCAAGAAGGTCAAATCTAACATTTAGACAAGACGATGATGAAATAGGTCAAGATGATGATGATTTAGAGATCAATTTGAATATCAATAATACAAAAAAGACTAGTAAACCACTACTATCATCTAATTTATCATTCCAAAATTTAAAAAGAGATACAATTAATAATCAAAGAAGGATAAACCTTTCAAAATATAAGTCATTGTCAGCAACACCAGAATTACAAAAGGAATCGATTTTACCAAGTCCTGAATCATCTAACAACAAAGTCACAAATATAGATGATATACAAATTGATGAAAATTTTCAAGAATTTGAATTTGATGAAGAAGATCCAGATAATAATCCAATAATAGCAAATATTCAAGATATAGATCCATCAATACGACAAAAATACCTACAACAACAACAACTCAAATCAACACCACAATTAACTCAGATAAAAAATTACGTACCAATAGAAACCAACAAAGAACCACAAGAAAACTTATCGAAAAGACAACTACTAAAACAATTAGCTACAGAATACAAAGATTCAAATTATGATGATGGATCAGGAGAATTTGAAAAACATCAACAACAAGAACAGCTAAACGTTTCCACTATAAAAGAAGAATCATTAGGAATGCATGATTTTGAATTAAGTGATTCAGATATGGGTACTTTAAAACCAACTATAGATTTTACCAAGAAATATAATATGGAAATTTCAGAATCTGAACAAGAAGAAGATGAAGATAATGAGTACCTTAAAGAAGTTAAGATATTAAGTATTGATGAACAAATTGATAGAATTACTTTATTAATAAAAGATGCTAAGATTGAGAATGATTTGAAAATTATTAAAACGAAGGAGATTACAAAGGAACTTGAGAGGGTTAAAGATGCTAAGGAAATGGTTTTACAAAGGTTGAATAATTTAGTATAGATTACAATATTGTTACTTAATTGTATAATGGCTGAATAATATTATATACTACAGAAAATTTAAACCAATATCAGTAAAAGAGATAACATATATTGAAGAGAACTAAACTTATTTACCTTAACACCCCAGAAAACCCCAGAAAACCCCAAAAAAGCAACATCACTTATAGTAATAGCAATAACATATCAAAAACTAAAAAATATTAACACCAACAGTAGAAAAAGTATGATGATAATGATGATTTGAAACATTTTGAAAATTATTAGCAGTTTCATTTTCCAATTGTTGTAATTCTTGTCTCATATTTTGAATATTAATTTGTAATTGTCTAGTTTGATTCAAAAATTCTTGATATTCTTCTCTTTTTTTAGTTAAAAATTGATCATATTGTTGTTGTTTTGTTTTTAACATCTTGGAATATTCATGTTTTAATCTTTGTAGATGTTCTTGATTTTCTTTTTTAATTTTTTGTAAATGAGTTTCTCTAATGTGTTCATATTCTTCAATTTCATATTTATGAGTATCTAAAAATTGTTGTTTTTGCAGTTGAATTTCTTTTGTAATTAATAAATTTTGAAGATTTTCTGAATGTTGATAATTTTCTGAATTTTTAATTAAATGTTGCATTATGGATTCTTGATGTTTTTCAACTTCAAATTCATTAATATTAAATTTAATTCTTTTTTTACAATGTGGTAATTGTTGTTGTTCTTGTTGTTGTTTTTTAAAATCTCTTATAGATTCTAAAATTTTTTCAAAATAAAATAATGATTGTTTAAATAATTCTTGATCTTCTTTTAGTAGGTTCAGTTGTTCTTGTTGTTTATTACTTAATTCATTTTGAAGTTGTTCAATTGGTAATGATGGTAATCGAGGTATTGGAATTGGGTGTGATATTCTTGATTGTAAAGATGGTTTTGGTGGTAATTCATCTTCTTGAAATTTTGTATGAGTCATACGCTTTTTGACCCTATTTAAAATATTCATGACTAATTATTTCAGAACTTTTAATACCATATATGATATAATATATTATGAATTTTTGAAAATGAATGTAATTAATATTATATAATTTATTTTGTAATGTGTATTTAACAAATTAAAAATAAAAGAAATTAATAAATAACAAAAAAGAAAGAAAAGCCGCACTTAGAGTGGTTTTTAGAATTTTTTAGTCTTAATTGTATTACTGAAGTGTTTCAAATTCACATAGTTGCAAAATCAATGGATGAGCGATTGAGTAGAAACATAATAGTAATTTTTACCTTTAAAAATTGCAGGAGGTTTACTATACGATTTGTTTAATGAAAAACGTAGTTAAGTTAGAGCTGTAAGAGTTAATCTTGCCAACTTTGAAAATTTAACTACTAATATTGGATAACGTATGATCTTGATTATACGAAGAAACAATTCTCGGACCTTGAAAACTTTGTAGACAGATTCAATAATTGTTTCGGCCATTTCTGGTAGTTTAATGAGAGCAAAAGATTCAATAATCATTGTTTAATTCAAAACCAAAATTGGTGAAGCTTGCCCGAAAGCAAAGTTTGGATACTGGATGAGTCAGAATCAATAACCAGTCTCAGCAGTAGCTTCACAAGTTAAATGAGTTAAAAATTGATGTCTAAAATTCATTAAATTAAAGAGTTCGTCTTTGTATAAACAATAGCGCGGTTAAAAAGAGTCATAAAGAAAAATTACTTAATTTGGATTTTACTAAATATAAAAAATTTTTCAAAAAAGTTAACTCATTTATATTCTACAACAACTATACAATTATAATAAATTTCTCACAAATATATAATAATCTACCAAAAAAGACCCTTCAATATTATTCATAAATTTATTGCTAGTTATGTCTAAATATATAAATTCAATTTTAAAAATGACAACGACAACATCAAAAAGATTAATTACAACAACTACAACTACAAAACCAAGACATTTAATAAATATATCACAATTGACAAATGATGAATTTTCAAATCTTATAAATAAAGCATCTCATTTAAAATCAATATATAAACTGGAAGATAATATTGAACAAACTCAAAAAAATCATCAAAAATTATTAGGTAAATTAGTTGCATTATTATTTTCAAAAAGATCAACAAGAACAAGAATAAGTACTGAAGGAGCAGCTTCATTTTTTGGTGCACAACCTATGTTTCTAGGTAAAGATGATATTCAATTAGGTGTTAATGAATCAATACTTGATACAACTAAAGTAATAAGTTCAATGACTTCATGTATATTTGCTAGAGTTAATCTGCATTTGGATATACAACAATTATGTAAATATTCATCAGTACCTATTATAAATTCATTATGTGATAAATATCATCCATTGCAAGCTATTGCTGATTTATTAACAATAAGAGAAAAATTTGGTGAAACAAAAAATTTAAAATTAGCATGGATTGGAGATGCAAATAATGTTATTAATGATTTATCTATTGCTTGTTTAAAAATGGGTATAAATGTTTCAATATCAATTCCCAAATCTATACAATTTGATTCAAATGTAGAATCAGATGCTAAAAAATTAGCTACTGAACAAAATTTAAAATTTGAAATTGTAAATGATCCAAAATTAGCATTAGAAAATGCAAATATAATAGTAACAGATACATGGATATCAATGGGTGAAGAAAATCAAAAACAAGCAAAATTAAAACAATTTGAAAATTATCAAATTAATCAAAATTTACTTAGTGATGTAAATTTAGCTTCTAATTGGATTTTTATGCATTGTTTACCAAGACATCAAGAAGAAGTTGCTGATGATGTATTTTATAGTGATAATTCTGTTGTATTTGAAGAAGCTGAAAATAGATTATATGCTGCTATGGCTGTTATTGAAGCTTTTGTAATTAATAAAGGTGATTTATTGAAATAGAGTGTTGGGGACGATTTTAAATAAAATAGAATAAATAGAATAGATAGAGTGTGTTAATAATTTGTACAATTACTTATTTAGATGAATAAATCAAACGTCTAAATAGAAATCAATTACATTGATCATATTTCGAGCATATCCTTTGTGTAATGGGAATAGTAGTTGCGTTAAGTATCCCGGCAATAAATTTTTAATAGAAATGGAAATTGGGTTAAACTTTTTTAGTACGGTGCGGCGTTGAATCGTACTCTAATTTTTGTGTTTTTCCGCTAAGACTCCACACTTCCTTAAATTTTTCAGGGTATTTATAATAACACTAGATTTCCCATGAATTAAAATATTTTAATATAATTATTATCATTAGGTTTTCTTAGTTCAATTATAATTAGATTCAATTAATCAATTAAAAATGACTAAAGTTATAGTATCAGGAGGTACAGGATTCATAGCTCAACATATATTAAAACAATTATTAAATAAGAATTATGATATAGTTTTCACTGCAAGATCACAACAAAAGGGAGATCATATTTTAAAATTATTTAATAAACCTTCAAATTTAAAATATGAAATAGTAGAAGATATTGCCGAAAGTGGAGCTTTTGATTCATTATTACAAAAACATAATGAAGCAGAAATTTTTTTACATACTGCTTCACCTTTCCATTTTAAGTCTAATGATCCTGAAGTTTTAATAAAACCTGCTGTTGAAGGTACGAAAAATGTCTTATCTGCTATTGCCAAATATGGTTCCCAAATTAAAAAAGTAGTAGTTACTAGTTCTTACGCTGCTGTTGCTAGATCAGATAAGAAATCAACAGATACTATAACTGAATCTGATTGGAATACTGAAACTTCTCCTGAGGTGATTGGAAATTCACCTGTTTTAGCTTACAGAGCTTCAAAATCATTAGCTGAACAAGAAGCTTGGAATTTTACAAAGAAAAATAATGTAAATTTTAAATTAAGTACAATAAATCCAGTATTTGTATTTGGTCCACAATTATTTGATTCTGAAATTAAATCAGAATTAAATACTTCTTCAGAAGTTATAAATAAAATTATCAATTTAAAACCCCAAGATAAAATCCCACCTTTTAAAGGAGGTTGGATCGATGTACGTGACGTTGCTAAAGCTCATTTATCAGCTTTTGAAAACCCCCAAGCAGAAGAACAAAGAATCATCTTATTTAATTCATCTTTTACTGAACAAACTATTTTGGATTTTATTAATAAACACTACCAAAATTTAAATTTACCTAAAGGTTCACCTGGATCAGATAAATTACAATTGGAAAATTTACCTAAAATTGATGATTCTAAATCTAGGGAAATTTTAGGGTTTAAATTTGTTGATTTTGAGACTTCGATTTCTGATTCTGTTGATCAAATTTTAAAAGCAAAAAAAAAACTTTGATTGAAACTGATGCTTTAAATTCTTTTTAAAGGTTCGAGATTAATTATAGTTATAATAATAATTTGATCTTGCATTTGTATAGTTTTACATTAAAAATAGTTGAATATAGATTCATTAGTGTCTACTTATTGTAAATCAATTTTATTTCAAAAGTTGAAAGATTCGGTTGCCAAAAATTAAATACATTTTGCAACTATAAGAGAATTTACAAAGAGACTTAAGGTAAGATCTTATGAAAATAAAACCATTATTAACTTTTATTCTAATCTAAACCCTATACCCAAAAAAGAAAACCCAAATTCCTATTTAACCCTGGTAAAAATAAATTTCTAAAATATACCATATTTCTGACAAGTTTGAAAAGTCCAAGCAATAAAAGGATTAATTTTTAATTCATCAACATGATTTTCATCCACCTCCAAAGAAAATTTAGATTGTTGTAATCTTATCTTTTTCTGTGATCCATTTAAATAAGTGAATTGTAAATATAACCAATAAAATAATTTTTGTTTTAAAGTTAATTGAATATTAAGATCTCCATCTTCATTATAATAGTATGATTCTTGTGGTAAAAGTTCTTTAGTTTCTGTTTGTAAAATTTCTTCGTTTTTCAATGCAACCATTTGATCTGGGAAATCAGAAATTACTCCATACTCCACTAATTTCGCTAATTTACCAATTTTAACTAAATATTCAAATTGAAATTTATTATTAATTGTCCATGAATAAAATTTTAAATTTTGTAATTTTAATAATGGAATAAATTTAGTTAAAAATTCAGAAGACCAAGTTGAAATATATATCAAAGATACACCAGTTAATTTAATTTTTTTTCGATCTTTTGGTTGAAATTCATCAAGATAATAATTATAATTAATATAATTTATTGAATCTCTCCAATTTACACTTATATGAAAAATATCAAATTGATAATAATCAAATTTGTTTAATTTACCAAAATAATCTTGAAAAAAATCATTTTGATTTAAATATTTTAAAAAATTTAAATCCCATATCCCCAATTGTAATTTATTATACCACCATTCTATATTATCATGAATTTTCAATAATTCTAATACTAAATATTTTAATATTTTAGTAGGATTTAATTTTTTAATATCTAATTGTAATTTGTACTCATTTGCATCTTCCACATTATTAATATATTTTTTAAACCATGTCAATAAATCCACAAAACTCAACAACGGATAATTTCCATTTTTAGTTTTTAACTCTTTTAGTACTGAATAAGGAGTATCAGTAATTTTATAATCAGTTTCATTCCCCTTTGAATCAACAAATACTCTTTTAGTTCTTAAATCATGAGATATTACAATAACATTATCTGAACTTAAATATAAATCAGTTTCAATTACTTTTGCACCACAATTAAAACATTTTTCAAATCCCACCAATGTATTTTCTGGATATTTTCCTTTAAATCCTCTATGACCTGTTATAACTGGTGATGATGTAGTTGATGGTAAATAGGAAGATGACGTCATTTGTGAATCTAGTGTTGTTGAAGTTGACATCTTTTCTGAGCTTGTTTGTTGTGTAGATTTATTATTTTAAAATTAAATTAAGTATTAAATACTATATCATATCTATGATTTAATTATTTATCTAATTTTTGCAAGATATTGAATTATTTAAATATAAAAGTTATTTGGTATGTTATTTTTATGATTATAATAAAAAAGTATGGAGTTAAAAAAATTTATTAGTTTATGTATTATGCACGTGCTACAATTTTTATCGTTTCTTTTTTTTTTTAAGAGTACTACAACAAGAAAAGAAACTAGCGCTATTTGAATCGACCCAAATCGAATAATTACGAATAATCTAGAACTAAAATTTTAATTCTTTCGCTTAAAATATTGGACCCTTTAAATACTAAATATAGAAACTACTAGTAAGACTTTATAAGTTCATATTTTAACATTGAAATTTCTCAACAATTAACTAAATAGAATTAACTAGAGGTAGTAGTTGAAAGTAAAACATAGAATTATTATTTCCACATGGTGTGAATATACAAAATTGTAAAGTATAGTTGTAAAGATCCTTTCAAATAAGCCACCACTACCTTGGAGATAATTTTTTGAAGTAGTCACCGAGATTTGTTCCGTATAACCACAATTTATTGAATTACAACCGTTTAAACCAACTTAACTACGCTTTAAACCCTAACTACGATGTAGATAAATCGTTCGAGTGTATTAGTCATTAATGAAGTGAATAAGAGTGGTGAAATGGAATCTAGTTTACAAGCTTACATTAAAATGTTACCTAAAAGGCTTTTCTTTATTTTATGAAAATTGCAAATAAAAATAAATAAAGTATGAATAAAAATTCAAACTAATAACATTTTTATACTCTAAAATTCTAAAACTAAAACCAATAATTTAACAAACTACCCCCTTAATCTTTATCATAATTTATGATGATTATTTTTTTCTTCATCAACACATAATTTAATTAATGAAAAAGCAATAGATTCACTCATTGGTATCATTATACCTTCAGGATTAAAATCATCATCATCTTTGTTATGTTCTTCAATTCCATTTTCTTCACTACCAACTATACCAGAAGGATAAACTAATTTTCTAACAAAACTTGTATCAAACCATCTTGCATCTAATAATTCATTATCATGATTTAAATTTATAATTTCATTTTCTCCATTAAATTCAACAATACCAATACATCCAATCATTAAATTTTGAGGAAATGGCCAAGGTTGAGTCATAACTATTTGAATTTCATTACAATTTACTCCTGTTTCTTCCCAAATTTCTCTTTTTGTTGCAACTTCTATAGTTTCACTTGGTTCCATAAATCCAGCAGTACATGAATACATTTTGGAATGAACATGTCTTCTACCTAAACTTAATAAGATTTTAGATCTATCACGATTTGTAATTATTGATATTATGGCCATATCTGTTCTTGGGAAACTTACATTTGATACAGGTGCTGATTTTACAGGACATATTGATTTAATAATTGGGTTGTTTGAGTCTTCTGGATTAGGAATTTCAACTGTTTCTTCATTAGTACATAATAATTTCCCCCCAGCATGAATTGGTATAGTAGGTTTCCCACAACCAGGACAAAATTTATTAGTTTTTAACCAATGGAAAAACATAGCACCTTGAGAAAATAATGAAGCTTCATAATGATTAAAATTTAAAAAATGTTTTCTTGAATGAGTGAAAAATATCCCATTTTCTTCTGGTGTTTTTGTTGTAGATTCCTTTTGGTTAATTGTATCATTAACATAATGAACTAAATTTTTACATAATTCTTTATTTCGACTTATATCTACTGCATAATATGCTATTCCTTGATATCTACCTTGATGATCTAAATATTTTTCATCTCCATTTTGTTCACAATTGGATTTTAAAGTATTTATATCTAAACCAATTGATTCATCTAATAATCCCAAAAATAAAAAAACAGGATTTGTATCTGATCTTAAAGTTGATGATTGGTTCTTATTATCATTACACCATTTTGTTAATATTGTTTCCCAATTAGGTATATTATTTATTAATCCACCTGATATAAATTGTTGATTTCCTTTGTATCCCAATCTTTTACCATTTAAATCCTCCAAAGATTCAACATTAATTTGATTATCTCCATTTGTTATTATAGTTATTTTATTTGAATAATTTTTATGTACTAATGGATTTTGTTTATTAAAAAATATAAATCTTGTCAGTGGATGAAATAATGATTGTGATATAAATTCATTATCTTCTCTTAAAAATGATACTCTATTTAATACTTCTGTACCAAAATACATATCTTTTTGAATTTCTTTAATTGATGAATACAATGAATGTGACATGCTGAAAGATTTATTGAAAAATTTATGAGATTGTTTAATTAATGAAATTGAATTTAGTAAATGATTATATTTCATTCAATAGAACTAATAAAAGTATAGTTCTCTAATACTATTTAGATCTTTTAAATATGAATGTTGAAACTTTGATTAAATTAAATATTTTGCAATAAGAATTTTTCTTTTTTTTTTTCAACAAAAGATAAGAAGCAAATTTAATTATAATATTTCTTTGGTATTATTATTACTAATCTTCTTACTATTCTCCACATTATCGTAAATTATGAAAATGTAGTACGAACTCGTTAATTTTAAAGTACAAAATCGAATTTTAAATAATCCTTTAATTGATTCTGAATTTAATATATGCTGAAGCTTATACTAGTTTTAAAATAAAGATAATTGTTAATTGTTAGATAAAAGACTATAAAATCTATGTAAAAAAGATGGGGATTATTCATGAGTATAAATACCATGATTATAAAATTGGCCCCTTTCATTGTAAAGTCCTAAATGAGTAATAAATGGGAAAAATCTGAAACACTTGTAAATTGACATTAATTAACAACACAATTAAATATTCATATAATAAATTTTCGTGTAAAACTCTAATTTGTAAAATAGTGTGTGAAACTACACTCTTCCCTCTTCTCCTTGAGCATCTTGAGTTGTTAACAGTAAGATATCCAATAATTCTCTTTTCTTAATTAAACTGTTATAATTTAAAGTATCTTCTGTAACTATTTGTGTAAAATTTAATTCATTAATAATCTTTCTTGATACCTTAGATTCCATTTTCTTGAAGTTATCCTTTAATGAACTTAATGCTTGTATTGGTGAGTTTTCAAATTGAAAAGCTAAAACTAAATCATCATGATGATAGACACCTAATAAATAACCATCTGTATCTAATAATTCATAGCTTCCTTTACCTAAAACTCTTGAAATTTGCATTGGACCAGCAAAATTAGCATTATATTTATGTGATTTAACAACTTTTAAATAGACCCACTGTCCTTTGAAAAACTTTGCTGGTGTAGCGTACTGTTGTTTTAATAAATTTCTAATGACTATCTTTTTTAATTTGCTATCGGTATGTTCTTCTCTTTCTGAATTTAAAACTTGTAATTCATATAATCTAAGGTAAACTAAATCTCTATGATATTCTTGTTCTTCTTCTTCTTCTTCATTTTCTGGATTGTTAAGTTCTAATTCAAATTCTTTCATCATAGATTTTTGTAATTCTGATAATGTGTTTTCTTGATCAACACTGAAAGCCAAAAACCACGGGGTTAGATTGAAAATGGTGGGCGTAGAATTATATATTCTTAAAGCTTCTCTTAATTTATCTGGCCAATTTGCATAAGTTGATCCAGTAATTGCTAATAAAACCTTCTTTAATGATTTAATAATTCCTTCTATTCTGCCATTTGCTAATGGATGTCTTGCACTAGTTGTTTTGTGAGTAATTGAAGCATCCATACAAAATCTTTCAAATTCAAATGAAGTAAATTCAGCACCGTTATCTGTTAATAATACTTTTGGAAAAGGCATTGTACCTAATATTATTTTTAAGAAACTAACAGCAGCATTTGATGATCTACCTCTAACTGGAATAGCAAAACAAAGACCTGATATATATTCACCAACTACTAAAATATGGTCATAACCATCTACTGATAAAATTGGTCCTGCCCAATCCATACTGATACGATTGAAAATTTTTAATGGTTGAAGTGGTTGAAGTTGTCTAGTTACATGAGCAATAGGTTGATGAATTTGACACACATGACAGTGTCTTACCACATTAGTAGCTAAAATTAAATCATCTGGGTTCCAGTATTTTAATGATGCTAAGTAATTTGTTACTCTAATACTTGGATGATGATATGAATGAAGTTGTTGTAAAATTTTTGAATAATCTTCACGATCTAAATATTGTAAAACCATTTTGTTTCTAATAATATGTAATTCATTGTTTAATATGACAAATTCATTATATGGAAGTTCTTTCAATTCTTCCTTTTCTTGATCTGTTAATTCTTCATCATCTTCTTGATTCAATCTTTTCTTAATTAAATCCAATTGTGATTCATTTAAATTTTCAATACTTATCATATTCATAGATACTTGTAATGAATTCTTTAACATTTCCTTTTCATTAACCATTTCTTGGACATTTTGAACCTGATATCTTGTAATAATATCACTCATAAAGTTATATTTTTGTGGGAGATAATAAATTGTGACATTAAATGATGAAATGAGATCTAAAAATCTCGCAATTCTTTGAGGAATTGCCCCAGAAGTTTGGTTAACTGTTTTTAAACTTTGATGATCAGTGTAAACAGTAACCTTATTATTCAACAAATAATAATATTTTGATAATATAGTAACTATACTGAGAAGTTCTTTTTCCATGACTGAATAATTGATTTGAACCAGATTTAATTTATGAGATGAAAATACTAAAGGTAATAATAATATCTTATCATTTATGATATGTGGTTGACTAATGATTCCTCCAACACAATCTTTCAGAGCATCAGTAAATATAATGACATCAATATTAGGATCAAATAGTTTGAGTGTTGGTAATCCTGTAACTAATTCTTTCAATAACTCAAAACATTTTGTAGATTCTTCTGTATGAATGATTGGTTTATTTTTCTGGATATTAGATTTTAAAAGATCATTTAGTGGAGCTGTATACTTTGATAAATTTGGGATGAATTCTCTAAAGTGATTTAAGAATGAGACAAAGCTTCTAAGGGAAGTTGTGGTGGTTGGTTTATTCCAGGATTTTATGGCATTGATTTTATCTAATGTAGGTGAAATTTTGCCTTTTGAAATTTTGTAACCTAAAAATACAACTTGTGGTTGAATGAGTTGAGTTTTGTTTAAATTAATTTGAAGTCCTTCTTGATTTAATCTTCTTAATACTTCAAATAATGATTTTATATGATCTTGTAAATTGGTATTAAAGATTATTATATCGTGGATATATACAAATAAATTATCCATATCTTGTAAAATATTTGAAATAAATTTAGTGAATTGATATGGAGCGTTGACTAATCCAAACGGAACGCTTTTGAAATTGTATGAACCAAATTCTGTGGCTATTCCCACGTATTTTATTGATTCATCTGATAGTTGAAGCTGATAATAAGCATTCTTTAAGTCCAAACAAGTAAATAAGTTGGAATCTTTTATAGCAACTTTTAAGTCATTGAGACATTTTGTATAATAAAACTCTTTTATTGTTCTCTTATTCAATCTCCGTAAATCCACAGCTAGTTTTAACTTTGAATTATCCAATTTTCCTTCATTATTCTTCTTATTTCTAATTGGAAAAATAGGATGAAACCATGAACCTGGCTGAGCAGGAATTAATACACCAGCTGCAACATTATCAGTTATAAATTTCTTTATGGCTTTACTTTCTTCTGGTGATGTACGATATGGTTTTGAATAAATTGGAGTCTCATCTGATACTAATATTTTAAATTTAAATGGTCTATTCTTTGGTTGCCGTAATGAAGTATCAAATAATTGTGGATATCTTTTTAATAATAATGATTTTAATTTATTTCTTATTGATGTAATTTATTTCTTATTGATGTTAATTTGACTGAAAATGGAGATTCATTGTTTGATAATTCTTCTTCAATTGGTTCTAATTCTGGTTCAATACTCCATTTTGGTTTTTCAGATAAATCATCAATTTCATTATAAACTGTTGAGGTTGTGGTTGATATTAAACTCTTTTGACCATCTATAGGAATTATAGCTTTAGTGGTGGTAGTATTTGTATTATCATGTAAATTAAATTCATTTTCATTTTGAATAACACTTTCATCAACTTGATTAAGATTTGTATCAACACTTGAACCTTGTTTTAAATAATTCTTTAAGTAAATGATTTTGTCATCAATTGTAATAGATTGTCCTGATGGATCTACTTTATAATTTAACCTTGCCATTTCTTGATAACCAATAATAATTTTCTTTAACTTGGGCATTATATAAAATTCAATATCAATATTGAACGGCTCTGGGAGTCTAATTTTTGCCTTATTTGTTATCAAATGATTAATATTACTAGCAGTTTTTGCATTAACTGGTTTTTGAAGTGGAATTATCTTTGCATTTTCATCTAATTTTTTTATATTGGAATAATTAATGAAGTTAGCTGAAGCTCCTGAATCCATAATGATATTTTCTAATACATTGGTTGTCATGTCTACCTCTATTTCATTTAATTCAATATTGTATATATCCAATTCTTCTATATCAAACCCATGTTCAAGTTGTTGAATTTCTTCTTCAATACCATCTTCATTAATACTTTCATTGGATAAAGTATCTTGTTCTTGTGGTAATTCTTCAAAAGTGCCTTCAATAATTTCAACTTCATAGACATCTTGGGTAATTTTATCATCAGCAATGATATGAGCTAATAAACAGTCACTTTGAACTGAAAGTTCTTGATCAATTTCTAAATTGTAAATCTTTTTGGATTTTTGACCAGAATTTTTAACATATCCTTTAGCAGTGCCTCTTTTGAAATATTTTTTATAAGGTTTAGAATAGGATTTGCTCTTGTTGAAAGAATTATATTGATTTCTTGGAATCCATTTTCTAACTGCAGTTGATGAATCATAATTTGATGATGGATTTTTATTGTAGTTTGAGCTTGTATTGAAATGAGTTGTATTAGATGATTGAAAATTGGAATTGTTAACCCAGTTTAATGATAAATCACTTATTACTGCTTTCTTGAATTTTAATCCATTTAATCTTTGTTTTAATTTGGTGTAGAAAGTATTTATTTCATTAATCTCAAACCAATCTCTATCATAAATTTTGTCTGGAAAAAAACTATGGAGAATAGCTAATAAATTTAACTTTGCTGCAACAAAATCATTTGAAAATGATTTAGCATTATAATGTTGATTTTGGTATTTGGTAATGAATTGGACTGCATCTTCTCCTATAACTGGTCTTAAACCTAAAGCATTTGAATAATTTACACAGTTATCCCAACTAAGATTACAAACTTCCACAAATGATATGATTACATCAATATAACCGAAAATACCATCAATAGGATTATTTTTATGATATGATATTGTTGCTTCGAAATCTGCTCCTAAATAAGTTTCTAAAATTGCTCCATATAATGAAAAATTTACCCTTGATTGCAACAAGTAACTTTGGAGTTTCTTTAACTTGTTCACCTTATCTTTATCCTTAATGGTGTGGATCATTAAATCACTTTTAAATGGTGGTGGTCTAGCAACGTCAGTACATTCAGGTGGAGCTTTAAAAAAAATGAATGGTAGATAGCGTTTAATATCATCCTTAATTGCTTGATCAATGCTTAATCCATAAAGATACTGAGATAATGAATTTGGATTTCTTGAAACTATATCTTGAACTAAATTATCATGGTACTCTCTTGATGTTACATTTTGATTAGCTGGAGGTTGAGCTGGTGGTTGATCATTCGGAGGTTGAGCTGGTGGTTGAGTTGGTGGTTGAGCTGGTGGTTGAGCTGGTGGTTGAGCTGGTTGAGCTGGTTGATTTGTTGGTTGAGCTGGTTGATTTGATGGTTGATTTGGTGGTTGATTTCCCAAATGAAATTCTCTCAATGGAATATCTGCAGTAAAATCAGTTTGTTGGTTAGTTGCATTCATTCTGTTGTCTAAATTGTTTAATCTGGAAACCAATGTATTCATAGTTGAATTTAAAGTTTGAATACTAGATTGTATTTGTGAACCTTGATTATCTTGTTGATTCAATCTATTAATAATATCTCTTATTTGATTATCTGCTTCATTTACAATGGTTTCTTGTTGTTCTTGTAATCTTGATGTAGTTTGAGCTTGATTTTGCATATTGGTATCTTGTTGTTGTTGACGTGCTAACATCAGCTGAATAACTGATTCATAAGTTGATACTTTGGATCTTAACTCACTTTCTGTTCTGTCTACATGTTCCTTCCATTTGTTGATGTTATTTGTTAAATCTCTTGATAAATCATAATATTCCTGAGTTGATTCCTCAGCTCTTCCAAGTCTGAGTTGTAGTCTATTATGTTCCTGTTGAATATCTCTACAAATAACTTGTAATGAATTGCTTACCACTCCGACTTCATCTAAAAACCTAACTAAATCTGATTGACTAGGGTTTTCACCTAGGTATTGACGATATGGATAGTGAGGAATGGCAAATGCATAATTTGGTGGAGGACCTGCTGGTGGAGTTGAATTAGTTGAGGTATTATCACCTTGACCTTGATTAACATTAGTTGAGGTAGTGGGTGGTCCTGTATTTCCTTGGGTTGAACTAAGTTGACTTGGATTTGTATTAATTGAACTGTTGGTAGGTCCAGTATTACCTTGAGAACCTGACATNGTAAATTGACATTAATTAACAACACAATTAAATATTCATATAATAAATTTTCGTGTAAAACTCTAATTTGTAAAATAGTGTGTGAAACTACAAAAATATAGATACTAAAATATTACATAACCATACAACGTATAAAGTAACGACAAACAAGTATTAGCAAAGAGTACTAGGTACTACGGAAGAAACGATTACATTATAAGTAGTAAATTAATTCAAAAATGTCAAATACCTACGGAAATGTGTCAAACTAATTCCAATACTCGATAGAAGTTTAATCCCTTCATTCAAATATAAAGTGTATATAGTTGAAATTTTAATTTCCCTGAGGCGTATAGTCTAAATCATACCATTCAAACGATTTTTGGTAAGTAGATAAAGGTGTTCTCAGGGACTTTATTCTGGATCACATTAGTTATAGTTGAAAAATAATCACTTTTTGATAATTGAAATTTCTAAAATATTCTAATGAAATTGTTAAATAAGTATAAATTTCTATTTTGAGTTAGTATAATTGGACTCTCGAATTAATTCAAGTTAGACTAGTTGTTCTCTTTTTTAAAAATATCAGATAAGTAATTAGACTTTTCCCCAGTATAAATGTAGGATGTCAAGCGTTCATTAAATTTGGTCTGTTTAGTATTTCATCATTATATTTCAAACAAAAAAGGAACCTAACCAATAGAATTAGAAATTTATTTGAAAAAGAAACATACTTGTCATTAATCCTTTCAATGTTGATTTGGATAAGTTGATAAAGTTTGAGTTAAAAATTTTTTCCTAAAGATGGTTAGTGAATTAAATTCTATCATTTATGCATCAAAATCACTCAAATTTAATGATCAGAATACACAAGATATTCCTCAATATAAATTAGGAAGTCTAACGTCTAAATAATCTTTGATTTTTATCATCATATTAAATTGATTTTCTTTAAATTGATAATTATATCGAAACATACTATATTGTATTGGTGCTGGAGTACTTGAAAAATCTAGTTATAACATTCACTGTTAAGTAAAGTTACTACCTAGAACTTTCAAATCTTTTGATTGAATTGATGAATGTACAAATGTAAAAGAAACTACTTAATTTGTATGAATTTTAAAATTTTTCAAAATATAAAAATTATGATTTAGATGAGAGAAAATACCGGTACTGCATATTACCAATATTTAAAACATACAGTTTAAAATAAAATTGCAAAATGATAAATCTATAATTTACATGTTTATTAATTAATATTTATCAAGTTTTATGTACATATTTTTATTTACAATTTTTCTCCGAATTTAACCAATTTTTAAACCTCTAATTATAGCACTACCCAATCCTTTAACCCAACTTTTTTTAGACTTTTTATCAATAATAATGAAAACTCTACCCAGTTGATTCATTCTACCAGTTCTACCTAATCTATGAACTAAATCAACTGAATTTCGAGGTAATCCAAACAATATAACATTTTTTAAACCAACGAAATTTAATCCTCTAGATAATAGATCTGTAGTTATTAATATTTTCAATTTTGATTGATTAGCTGAAGTAAGTGGTTCAGCTGGCTTTAAAAATGGTTCAAGAATTTCTTTTCTATCTCCAATAGTTTTGGAACTTGATATTCCAAATATATCTTCTTCATTTATATGGTACTTATCAATTAACCCAGATACTAAATCATCTACTTCATCTTTTGAATTAACAAATATAATAATTCGTTTAGTTTGATCTGGTTCTGTTCCATCTTTTGAAATAGCATAAATGGATTGTGCTAAACATCGTAATTTTGAACCATTATAAGGTGATAAATCTGAATCTAATGTGAAAATTTTAATATTTTTTGGTATTTTATGTAAATTTGGAGTTGATATTCTAATAATTGATTTTTCATCAGGGAATAATTTTTGTAATGATTTTTCAAATTCTTTAGGGATAGTAGCTGATATTAATATTAAATCTAATAAATTTGGGAAATTTTTAATAACTGATGTTGTATCTTTTATAAATGATACATCAAATAAAGTATCTGATTCATCTAATATACAATATTTAACACTTTTGAAAATCTTAAATGGTCTATCAACTGCTTCTAATTTCGATAAACTTGTGATTTTTGCTGGAGTAGTTACTAAAATATCTATCTTACCATAGTTCTTTAGTTGTTTGTATAAACTTATAGGTGCATCACCATGAGATAATTTCATAATTGATAATCCTAAAGTTTCATTTTCTGGTAAATTAAAAAATTGTTCATATTTTTTAGATACTCCTTCATGTTTTAGGGAAAATTTATTAGCTCTTTTCAAAGTTTCATAAACTTGTTCAACTAATTCATGTGTTGGAACCATTATTATTGATCTTATTTGTTGAGATTTTTTAAATAATTCATATTTTTCAGGTTTTTGGTTAAACCAATTTAAATCATCTTCTTTTAATTTTGATAATAAAACAGATAAATAACTCCAAGTTTTTCCTGATCCTGTTTCTGATGAAATTGTGAAAATTTTAGTTCTTTTGGATTCATTTTCGTTTTTCAATTCGTACAAAATTCTTTCACTTTCTTCCATATCTTCTAGATTCTTAGTAGTTGGTGATATTGATCTAGTTTGATTAATTTTTTTAATGGCTGCAATTTGAATCGGTGTTGGTTTTATTTCTATTTCATCTATGGAGCTATGTTGTGGACCTTTCAAGTTGTATTGTGATTTAATTTCTTTAATCATTGCTTCTCTCACTGACGGGAAAATTTTGAGTTGGTTGAAATCTTTGACTTTTGATATTTGAAATGATGGGTCTTGAGTATTTGTTGATTTCAAAGAATTATAAAGTTGTGAGAATTTACCAGTTTCAAAAATGTAGTTTTTCTTGGTATCTGGCCTTTTTGATGAACTGGAATGGTCAGCATCTTTATTTGGTCTTGGAGCATTCTTCAGTTTTAGTTTGTGAGAATTATTGACTTTAATTTTTGATGAATATCTTGATGATGCAAATCTTAATTGGACCAAAATATTGTTCCTAATATTTTTAATGACTATATCATTATCATGCCGTATTATTCTACTGATCATTAGTTATCTCTGGAAGTCTATATGAATTGTAAATGGTTACCCATCTGGTTGATCTGATCTGAAAAATTATTAGTTTCAAAATAGTAGTGCAAAATAAAACAACTTTGAGACTTTCAAAAATTTTTCAATTTTTAATTAGCTTTAGATCAATCCAATTCCAGAAACAACCACAACAACAACTAAAAATGTTGAGATTGTCGAGTAATTTAAGACAATTGAAAATACAGTCAACCTCACAAAATATCTCACACCAACTAATATACACCAACATCACCAAAACATTCACAACTTCATCAACTTTAAACGCATTACCAAGACAAAAAGAAGGTAAATCAAAACAAATATTAAGAAGAAAAGTTATTGAAAAAGATAAAGTTAAAAAATCTACTGGATTAACTCATTTACCTTTCCCTAAAGCTGTACAAAATTTAAAATTAGATAAATTAGCTCCATCATTGGGCAATATTGAACCAATTTCAACTCAAAATTTAACTACTGGAACAGTAACCAAATATTCACCACCTACAGAAATCAAATTGAAAGAATTTGAAGCTTTTAAAAAATTCCAACATCATGAATTATTCCAACATCCAATATCATTAATTACATCAAATACTTTAAATATCTACAATTCATTTGTTAAGAATTTAAATCAAGAATCAAAGACAAATAGAAAATATATAGATGGAATAAAAGGTGTAGGGAAATCAACATTAATTAATCAAGCATTAGCTTTATCTATTGAAGAAACTAAAGGTGAAGTAATAATATTACATTTATCATCAGCAGATATAATAGGGAATGGATCATCAGATTATTTCTTTAATAATAAATTAAATTTGTATCAACAACCAATGGCTACTAAAAGATGGTTAAAAAAAATCCTTAAAGTTAATGAAGAAAATTTTAAAAAATTAAAATTAACTAAAGATATAAGTTTTTTCAAAGATAAAGTTAAAATAGAATTAAAAGCTAATAATAATACATTATATGATTATTTATCACAAAATAGAGAAATTAATACTAGTCAACCAACAAATAGTTTCCAATTTTTTATAGAACAATTACAAGATCATTCCAAAACCATCCCAATAATAATATCAATTGATGATTTTAATTCATTTAGTGATTTCTCAATAACAAAATATAAAAATCCAGATTATAAACCAATTCATATTAAAGAATTTGAATTAGGGAAATTTTTATTAGATGTATCTAGTGGTGATTTAAATTTTATAAAAGGTGGTGTATTATTAGCTAAATCTTTTGATTTTGCACCATCTAGAAAAACTACACAAGTTGCAGTATATCCAAAAGAAGATTATGATCCATATATGAAATATCCAAATTTAGATATGTCAGTATCAAAAAAATTATCAAGAAATGGAGGTATATCACCTATAAAAATGAATTTAATGACAAAAGATGAAGTTAGATCATTATTACAATTTTGGAAAGATCAACAAGTTTTAATTGTTAGAAAAGATTACAATAAAAAGGATTTTAATAAACAAGAAGAAATAGTAGAAGTTGAAACTGAGGAACAACCAGAGTTTAATGCTGATAAACAATTTGAAAAATTAGTTCAATCTTCATTTGTAGTATCTCAAGGTAATCCATACGGTATATTAAAACAAAATTTAATAAGTTATTAAAAAAAATTGATAGACATTTATTATCATACCCAATTGTAAATATTCATTTAAATAGTCAAAAAAAGATAATAATACAACTACAAAATTTTTTAAATATAATGCAAAAAAGTCTATTATATCATTACGTAAATAAAGTATCTTCTTCTCTTAAATATTCCCCAATATCACCTTGTCTAAAAGCAACTATTCCAGTTGGTGATAAATTTCTAATTTCATTAGTAGATTTAGAACTAACACCAAATCCTAAAGGTATATCATTCATACTATATATTATAACCCCAGCATGTTCAGGTATATCATCACTTATTCTACCAATATGAGCTTTTAATACATGATTTCCATATAAAAATGGCATTTCACCATTTTGTTTAATCCATATTTTATATTTTGCAAATTGTGATAAATAACTTAAAGAAGTTATATGTAATTTAAATTTACCAGTTTTTGTAAATTTTCCAAAACATATACCTAAACTCATTAAATTTGATCTTGATATTGATGTTGCAAAATTTGCAATTTTTTCAGATACATAATATACTCTATCTTTTTGTAATCTAAATACATGTGGATTTTCTTTATTATCTATTAAAAATGATATATTTCTTCCTATATAATTGGCTAGTTTTTCAAATACTACTTTCGTTTCTTCTTCTGTTAATGATCTCATTTTGTAAAATTATGTGTTATTGGAGAATGTAAAATGAATGTGATCAATAAGAAATTGTCTGATTTAAGATGAATGAAGTATGAAAGTACTTGTTAAATTAATGATTTAGGTAAATTAATTATGATCTAATAATAATGATGGTGTTTGTAGATATAATGACATTAATTTTTCAATATTAATATCAAGTAATAAAATAAATTTCGCGATGTCTTCTTCTTTCTATAAATTTATTTTATTTATTACACAAATTATTTATTTAAGAGAGTTCTTCTAAATCATTTATCTAGTTAGTATTAAGGATTAATTGATTTGATATCTGACCAATTAAAGTTTAATATAAGTTATTAAAGGGATAAATTTTTCAGTTGTTTAAGATCTACATAACGATTTTTTTTGGGGTATATCATTTAATAGTTATATATATACTATTTGTTTCAACATAATTTGCAACAATTCAAGAAGACTTAAAAAAAGTACGAGAAATTAAATTTTTTAGAATTTTTCAAAATCAAATTCAGTTAAATCAACTTAATCAAACTTCCACAAATGTCAACAGATCCTCAAGAAATAGAAATAAAAGATGTTAAAATGGATGAACAACCTAACACAACTAATCAGGACCAAATTATTTCAACCTCAACAACTTCCATTGAAAATGAATCAAAACAGAATCAACAAATCAATAGTAGGAAAATTAAAACTAAAGAAAGACAAGATAGGCAAAAATATGAGCAATCGTAGGTAAGTTTTTCTCAAGAATCTTCATTATCATGAATTTTCACTTTTCTTTTAGTTTTTCAATTACTAACTTATTAATTTTTAGTGAATATGTTGCAATATTAGATGAAAATGGTAAACCAATTCCAAAATCAGAAAGAAAACCTAAAAAAAAAGTAGCAGTAATGATTGGATATTGTGGAACTGGTTATAATGGATTACAAATTCAAAATGATCCAAATGTTAAAACTATTGAAAAAGATTTATATGAAGCATTTTATAAAGCTGGTGCTATATCATTAGAAAATTCTATAGATTTAAAAAAATCAGGATTTCAAAGATGTGCAAGAACTGATAAAGGTGTTCATGCTGCTGGTAATGTTATATCTTTAAAGATGATTATTGAAGATTCTGATATCTTAAAAAAGATTAATAATAATTTACCTGAAACAATAAGAGTATGGGGAATTCAAAGAACAACAAAGGGGTATGATTGTAGAAAAATGTGTTCTTCAAGATGGTATGAATATTTATTACCTACTTATTCATTAATATCACCAAAACCAGGATCAAGATTATTTAATTTAATTGAAATTGAACGTAAAAAATATCCTCACTTATTTATAAATGACTTAGAAGAAAATTCCAAGTTTTGGGAATCCACTACAAAAGAGTATTTTAACCAGGGAATAACTCAACAAGATCTTGATTTAGTTGAAAAATATTATTCCACAGAAGAAATACCAAATGATGAACAACATATAGAAAATAAAACAATAGAAACAATTATTAAAAAAATCAAATCAGTTGAAAATCAACAAAGAAGATCATATAGAATTTCCACACATAAATTAAATAGATTTAGAGAAGTAATGTCAAATTATAAAGGTACAAATAATTTTCATAATTTTACAATTGGTAAATCATTTAAAGATACTTCATCAAAAAGATATATTATTGATACAATCACCTCCCAGCCATTTGTAATAAATGGAACAGAATGGATATCTATAAAATTACATGGTCAATCATTTATGTTACATCAAATTAGAAAAATGATATGTATGGCATCATTAATTATAAGATGTGATTTACCTTCATTGTTAATAAAAGATTCTTTTAAACAAACAAAAATAAATATCCCAAAAGCTCCATCTTTAGGACTCTTATTAGAAAATCCAGTATTTGACGCTTATAATTTTAAATTAAAAGATAATTTATATGATATAATTGATTTTAACAAGTACCTGGAACAAATGCTCGAGTTTAAAATGAAATATATATATGATAAAATTTATAATGAAGAAATTGAACAAAATTCATTTTATGGATTTTTTGGATTTATTGATTCTTATAAAGTTCCAGAAAATGATGAAATTGATATAAAAAATAATATGATTACTATATTTGATTTTTTTCATAATTATATTAATGAATATAAAGATAAATCTGTGGAATCAAGTAGTAATGATGTTATTGAAGAAAAAATAGAAGAAAGAAAATAAATCAATAGACAATATTATAAGTATATTAATTAAATGTTTAATAAAAACAGTTCTAATTAAATCAGATAGAATAATATTGATAATTTGTATGTAGAAAATATGAATTACATTAATAATTAAAAGTGTTTACACAAACAAAAGATTTATTAAAGTTGTAATTAACAAAAAGTATATAATTTAATAAAATTATAGCATATTAATAATATCATTTTTCAAAAAAATTTTGTAATCAATTATTAAAAATTTTGAAAAATTTGAAAATTTGAAATGAAAGAAAATGCAAAATATAGTAGTAGTAGTAGTAAAGATTTATCTAAATTGACCTAAAATAAAAAGACCATTTGATTAAAATCCCCGTTAATTTGATTATTCAATGATGAAACTTATCACCATTAATGAAATTTTTTTTTAAAAAAATTTCTAGCAAAAATTGAAACAAGCGGCGATAAGGTAAAGTAGAAAAAACAATTAGGTTGTAAAATAAATTTGTACTTTTAACCAACCAGCCACAATCCAGTAAAATGATAAAACCTTCAAGGAATATGACTGCAACAACATTATGGTAACATACTTTAGTATTTTATCACCTATTAATTCAACAAAATGATATTAGCGATAACATTGAAGTATTTACCACCAGAGAAAGCTGTAAATTATCGGATCACTTGCTAAGTTTACTCAATCAACAATTTAGTCAAATGGAGCATGATAAAATTTTCATCACTTAAATCTTATTCAGTTAAAGCCAAGCAGGATTACCTTGATTTTGGTTTTGTTGTTGTTGTTGTTGTTGATTTTGTTGACCTTGTTGTTGTTGTTGAGGATTTGATTTTTGTTTTTCTTGATAATTACTTGAATAATTTTGATTTGGAGTGTATACAGCTTTTTGATTATTATAACGTTGGTCAGCCAATTGTTGTGCTGTTTTTTCTGGTGATTGAGATTGATTTGTATTTGTTTGTTGTTGTTGCGGTGGTTGTTGATCATTATTTTGTGGTTGCTGTTGCTGTTGTTGTTGTTGATTCTGTTGTTGATTTTGATTTTGTTGTTGTTGATTTTGTTGACTTTCATTATTTCCTTCACCATCTGTAATTTTACCTTGAGCTCTTTGTTTTTCTTGTTGAAATTTATATAAAGTCCAATCAAAAACATAATCATAACGATAATTTTCTTTTTTAAATAAATCTCTAAATAATTTTCTTAAATATGCATAATCTGGTTTATCATCAAATCTTAAAGTTTTAATATAATTCATATAATCTAAAAATTCAGTTGGTAAACCTTTACATAATATATTATTAGGAGTTGTCATTTTTTTTTCCATTATTCTATCATATTTTTGTCTTTTTGTTGCAGCTTTTAAACCTTGCCATGGTAAAGAACCACGACAAAAATATATTAAAACATAACCTAAACTTTCTAAATCATCTCTTCTACTTTGTTCAATACCTAAATGAGTATTAACTGATGCATATCTTGCTGTACCAGTTAAATTTTTATTTTCACGATAAGGAATATGTAAATGAGTTCTTGGATCTCTATATTTTTTAGCTAAACCAAAATCAATTACATTAACTTGTGAACCTCTTCTACCAATTCCCATTAAAAAATTATCTGGTTTAATATCACGATGAATAAAACATCTTGCATGAATATATTCAATACGACAAATTAATTGATCAGCTAATAATAAAACTGTTTTATAAGTAAATTTTCTATTACAATAATTAAATAAATCTTCTAATGATGGACCTAATAAATCAATAACCATTGCATTATAATCACATTCTGTTCCATACCATCTAACAAATGGTATACCTACACCTCCACTTAATGCTTTATAAACTTTTGCTTCATATTCCAATTGTGGATGTTTTGCTTTGGTATTTTCTAATTTAATTGCAACTTCTTCTCCTGATATAATATTTGTACCTAAATATATATCACCAAATGATCCTGATCCAATTTTACGACCAATACGATATTTTTTTCCAACTCTTAAATCCATTATTTTTGATGTTGTATTGGGTGGTGAGATGATTAATTGATTAATTAAAATATTGTAAATTAAAAGTTTTTTTTAGTATGTTGTAATTAATAAAATGATGTGGAAAGAATTGAAATTGAATTGGATTTAAAATGATTTAATTAAAAATTGAATGATGAGTGATGTGTGTAAATTTTGATTAGTTTTTGTATTAAAATGATGGACTAAATTGATTGATTAATGTATATATGATAATATACTAATGAATAATGATATTAATGATGATATATTATGAAGGCGGGTACTACTTAAATCGTAGTTGATTTTTTTGCTATTTTGTATTTAAAAAGTTAATTAATAATTAAAATTTTTTTGGTTGTTATTTTTTTATTAAAATTATTTTTTTTCTGTTGTCAAAATTGCTGATTTTTTAATTAAACGATTTTAATAATTAATAATAAGAAACTTTTATTTAATAATAATACTAATAATTTTGAATATTATACAATTAATGATTAACCTCCCTTGTTGAATTGATTGACCTATAATTGATTAGTGATACAATGACAAGGACATACGAGGGGAGATTTGATAGTTTATATATTCAATAATAAATTCACAATGTAATAATTTTGATATGATTATACATAATAATAAAATGGCTAATTAATTAATAATAAGTAATATGTTAACTAGAAAAATGTGTATACTAATAAAACTGGTAGTGCAAAACTCAAATCACCACTTGAACGAACATATATAATAATTTATTATAATATGATACTATTAAATAAGGGATACTAAGTGCTGTTTCATTTGACGAAATAATTTGTTAATGAATGTATAGAGTCATAGTAAGTCAATAAATTAAACGTTTAACAATTATTAAGTAATAAAATTAATTTGATGTGAAACGATTGAAACGATTGAAACAAAATAACAATATTATCAAAAATATTATAACCATATTAAATAAATAAATCTAGGGGTGCATTTACGAATCATAATAATAATAATAATAATTAGTATATTAATAAACAATAGTTATAAAGAATTTCTTTTGAATGATCTGATTCTGAAACTTGTATATATGTATGTATGTTTCAGTTCTAATTCTAATTGGCTTCGATTCGAGGTATAAAATATACTTACTTGATAATAAAAGTGGTATCAACTATGATCTACCCAATTGTATAACAAAATAAAGGTTTTACTTACTCAAGAAATAATAATTGTTATTTTCTATTAATAGAATTTTTGCAACCAAAATTTTTCTAATACTAATTTGACTTTACAACAACCTTTTTATTTTATTTTATTTTATTTCTCCACTTTTTCAATTTTATTTATAAGTTTAAATTAATTTACAACCAATATTTTATATTTTGTCAGAGATCAAACTCAAATGTGGTTACGTTATTTATTTTCATTCTCTTTAGTAGTTTCAGTCAAAATAGACAAGATTTCATAGCCCTCAAAGTAATATCGTATTTTATAATGATTCTGAACTATTAAGTTTCAATTATATTATATTATTATTTATTATTTATTAAGGTATATATTTAAAGTTTGAAAAAACAGTAAACTAAAACAAATTAAACATCAGTTTCAAATTAAAAACTAACTATAGAATAGAAAAAAAAAGATGGGTAACACAGACAAATAATAATGATGATCCAACAATCAAGTAAACATTTCTCTTTAAAATGTAAAAAAATAATAAGTTAAACATTAATTGATTATATTTAAGCTTTTGCAACAACTGGTTTTTTAAATTTTGCATAAACCTTTTTGAAAAAATCAAACAATTTTTTATTTGATGATGATTTAGATTTAGTAACAATTGGTTCACCTTCTTCTCCTTCAGCTGGTATTTCAGCTTGTTCTTCACCTGTTGCAGCTTCAACTTCAGTGACATCAGCAGTTGGTGTAGTAATAACTTCATCTGTTGGTTCTACAGTCGTTGGTTCAACTTCTTCAATTTCAGATTTTTTAACAACAACTGGAGTTTCAACATCTACTGGTGCTTCTTCTGTAACTAATGGTTCTTCTTTGTTGGTGGTAGCTACAATTGGTTCTGTACTTGGTTCTTCAGTAGTTTTTGCAACTTCTTCTGTGGCTGTGGTAGTTTCTGGTACTGCTGCTGCATCTTCTGTTGTAGTTGGTTCTGCTCCTTCAACTGGTTCAACTTGATCAACTTCTTCTTGTGGTTGTTTCTCTAATGATTCTTTTGATTCTGAAGTAAATACTTTTGATACTCTTTTTAATTTATCTTTAATAGCCATTTTTATAATATATATTTATATGTTATAATTTAATTTTATTTATAAAAAATCTTAAGGTGGTAATTTAATATATAATTATATTTCTATAATTTTCTTAATTGAATGATCTCTTTAAATTAAATGAATGAAAAAAACACTTTAATTAAATAAATGAAGTAAGTATAAGAAAACAATATTATGTATCATCAAAAAATTTAATTAAAGGGAAATCTATTCAATTATTTATATACTGTTGTTTTAAAATTCTATTTAAAATTTTTTTAAGGAAAGTTAAATGATTTAAAAAAAATATTACAAAACAAAAACAAAATAATAAAATAATAAAATAAATAAAGGATGTGCGTGATACTATTAAATTTTTGTATAAATAAAAAAGAAAATAAAGTTTAAAAATTATTACAATTTAAAAAGATAAGGGATATAATTTGTCTAGTCGACAATACATAAGACTTATTCTCATTCATTATTTTGACAAGTGGACAACTTATTAACTCATTAAATTTAAATTTTAATGAATTGTGGACCAAATAAATTAAATGAACTTATTCTAAAAAATTGTACTAGAAAAAAAAAAAAGTATTCGTGTAACAAAAAGTTATTAATAATAAAATTATACGTCAAAATTAAATATAATAAGTCTGGAAATAAATTTAAATATAATTTGTTTCGTGTAAAGTTCGTTTCTTTAAAAAATATTCTATTAATAGATCATTCCTTTCATTTTATTGTGGTATATTATCTCTTTGAACTAAAATGAGTTTTAGTACTTTTAAATTTGAAAAAAAAGATCGACTAAATATAATAAATTAATTTATTCATAATAATATAAAACATGTTTACCAAAATGAAATTACAATAATAATAATTATGTAAGCTATTCTACAAAATCATTTACTTCTCAAAATTAAAAGTTTTAATAGATACTCTACTTTCCAACCTAATTATTTTAATACTACACATGTTTTTCAGACAGTAGGATTATTTAAACAATAGTTGTCATTAGTGTACAGTATACTTTATAGTTTCAATAGAGCTCAAATATGAATGATCATTAAAATTTTTGATTTTTTCCTAGTTTGGTTATTCGATTTGTTGATATTTAAAAAGGCTATAGCTTAAATTTTATATGGCTTTTTATAATGAACCTTAAATTTTATTATACGGCTGAAATTAATGTATTTTATATTTTATTACACAAACTCTAATTATTTTTTATTTGTTGTTTTAATTGTCTTACGATAATAATATAATAAGTTTATTGGTAAATTATATACAGTATTTAATATATTATTATAAATATTAATATAATTGAAAATAAAAATAAATCATATGAAAACTTAAAGAATTATACATACGAAAATTTTATCGTTTCTTAAATATTCAAGTCTAGGTTAGAAATTCTCAATTTTATCAAATACTTTTATCAACTTTTATAACTCTCAATACTTTTAACTGTAACAAATTCTATAAATCATTAAATGTAATTAAATCTTAAATTCATGACATTCACGAATAAAATATTTTCAATTTATTTAATTTTTCTCTTCCATTAAATTCCATTATTTCACAATTTTCTAAGTTTTACTTTGTTACTATCATTATTACAGATTTATTTCTTATATTTATATAAGAAAATACTAAATATTTTACCATGTTACAATTTGATCTACTTTAAAATGCAGTTGAATATACATTTAAATACAAGTCATTTCTACAGTTTAACATGATTAAACATCTTTTGAATAATTATTTTGTTTATGAGAGGATCTTTTTTCTATTTCATTCTTTATTGTATATGTACTGTACTTCATTATTGACTGAGTTACAAAACTTATTTGTGAAACATTGTTTTTAAGTGGATATTTAAATTCCCGGATAAATTTTATAAAATTGATATTGCCGTGTATTATAATTATAGACTGTGTTTTTGATTTTTCGTATTATAAATGTGTCAAAATATCGACATATTAATAATAATTATTTTTGTACTATTTTAGCAACAAAATCAAATAAGGACTTTACAATAAATGAATTTTTTAATATTCAAGTTATATAATTATATACAGATACTTCATAACTCAATCAAACTTCACATTTTCTAATATCATAGTGCTCTTTTTCTTGATCCAATTGGTTTTCTCCCATTCAATTCTAAATCTATTACCACATCGTTCATCAATATGAAGTTCGTCATCTTCATTTGTGTCAATATAACTTTTTAAGTATAATATTAACTTCAAAATGTTAAAAATATTAATTACTATAATTTTAAGAAGATTCATTGCCAGCGAATGTAGTATCTCTACGATGATTCAATTAGAAATCTTGAACTTGAATTTTTTGAAAGTAAGTTAGATGTGTATTCTGATTCAAAGACCCCGGAATGAAATCTTTTATAACTATACCAAAAGAGAAATCTAATAACCTGCAAAATGAAGTTAAAGTATCAAGTACATTCTTTCAATTCTTCCAAACATACATCAATATGTATTGATAAACATACAATATCTCTGAAAATCAGTTAAAGTTGGTACACTACAGTATATTATATGTTAGGTATTTCAGACAGTTTATAAGACTTTATAGTTTCTAAAGGTTTTGGATAATTTGTTCTCATAAAATGATCTTAAATTAAAATCTTAAGTTGAACTAATTAATTGGGCTTTACAAATGTGAAATTCTTACAAATGTATTACTTGAGATACCATTAATCATCATATTGAATCAACATGTAAAAACATACACTTTTAACTTTTTCAAAGAGATAAAAACTCTACTACTAATAAAACAATTTAAAAAATACAATAATACAAGTTACATATATTAAAGATACATACTTTTAATGACTATACATTTTGATGAAAGTTTTCAACTTTACACTGCAAAACTCATAAAAATGTGCTCCTTGTATACTCAGTATGTGTAATATCCATAGAATGTTTCGTTAAAGATACATTATTTCACTAATCAAAAATCAAAAAAGAATCAATGAAAAAGATTCAAAATCAAGTCAAGCATTTAACGCAATCACTAAAATTTTGGTATCTTGTTCTCCTCTATTTGAACATTTCTTAAATTGAATTTCTCTGATAAATATAATTTGAAGTCCTAAATGATAAAGGTAATCAATTGACCAATATTCAGAATCAACAATAAATGATTAATGAACTAATATCCAATATGATATCATCGACGATCTAGGGAACATCATTGAAAAAAATACTGACATTGATTTAATTTTGTAGATGATGAATAAATCAATTTTGTTTTATTTTATATTTTAGCGGATTATATCTCACTTTTATACTAATTTTTTAATTTTTTTTTGTTATGTTTAATTAGAATTTATTTGGCTGCGAAAAATTTAAGTAGTGTATCGACTAATAACTAAATAAACAAACGCAATAAAACATATTAACATCTTAAAATTAAAAACTGATGTTTCCTTTGAATTGAAATATTAAGAATCCTTAAGTTGGAGTCTTGATTGACTTTCAGGTTATCTCTAGTACGCAGCTGGATGTAAAAGATTAATAGTATTTTTATGATTTCATCCATTCAAATAGATAAGTTCTACACATTTTAAATTGTTAAAATAATACACTAATACAAAGTTACATATATTAAAAAAGTAAACCTAGTTGACATACATACCTTTATATTTTAATTTTTAACAACAACAATAAATTTGAGCGCAACGTTAAAATTATTTTCATCCGAGTAGTCATCGAAGCCCCTTGACGTCTCTACAAAAAAAGATCCCACAATTTGAACATCAATGGTCTAAAATTCACAATTGTATCAGCATTTCTAACTTTATCGAAGATAACCAATAATCAAGAATTCAAAAAAAGTTCATTGTGAAAAAAATCAAATTCAAATTATGTCAAACTATTCAAGTGGGTACTTGAATTTGTGACATCCTTCTTTGATAATTTCCAACTTTAAATTTTTTTTAACTCTAACTTTTGAAGTCCTAAATGAAAAAGGTAAACCAATTGACCCAAATTCAGATTCAACAAGAAATGATTATTCACGATTTCTTTCATTAAACATTTTAAAAAAGAATTAGAAATATCAAGCTATGTGAAGACTAAAAAAAGAAAAAGAACTCTTAAAAGATTTTTTTGTAAAGAATTTGTCTCGTTTTTATATTAATTATTTAATTTTTCTGTTATGCACTATTTGTAGTAGTAAATTATTGGTTGCGAAAATTTAATATCAGACAAAGTATTGTAATTATTAACAGTATATAAGAGTAGTTTGTCATATGTACGTCAGGTTTGTAAGCAGATCTTTCTTTAGTACCAACTACTATTTACGAATTATAATTCATTCTGGAATTAATTGTGAGAGTTGAATCATTTTCACCATGAGAGAAATTGAAGAACTTTTATAATATATCAAAAATATATTAAAAGAATCCAATTAGTATAACTTCATAATCCATTGCAATCTCAATCTCATGAGAATTTTTTCTGAACTCTTTGCTTTTATCGGTAAAGTTTTTCATAAACATAGATACATTAAAACTTAATTTTATCCTGTCTAGTCTATTTTATTTTGATAAAATTTTAAAAACTGTTTCATATTCAAACTTTAACCGCACCCAATAACAAACACCTAACTTGCTGCAAATTATTCACCAATTTATCAACATATAATATTTGACTTTCTTCTAACTATCATAAGGAAAAACGTTGAATTTTATCTAATATGAATAAATTATTTATCCATATGAACTATAATTCCATGATTCTTTACAACACAAATATTGCGAATGATTAATCGAAAGTTGAAACCAATAAAAAATTTTTGTTAAGGAATACCTATCAACCTTTATATCTTGAATCATAATCTTACTATCATATCCATAATTTTCTTTATCTTTTGTAGATTATTTTCAAATATTCTTCACTCACGTCATTAAACGAAAACGGCAAATCTGATTTGTTTCATAAAGTTGCTCATGCTAATAACGGAAGTAATAATGGACTTCT